TCTTCAAAAAGTCGTTCCTAAAGTTCTTATTCAGATCTTGAATGGTCTAGTTCACCTTCACAGTGGTCCGTGTCCTATTCTTCATCGGGATTTAAGACCCTCAAACGTTCTTCGAGATGTGGATGGAAATTTTTTAATCGCTGACTTTGGTATAAGTCGAAAATTATTAAATGAAACTTCGACACATCGAAGCATACAAAGAGGAGCTAAAGGTTGGATAGCTCCAGAGTCATATGACGCATCAGATGAATCAATTGATAAAGTTCGTTACAAAAAAGAGTCTGACATTATGGTAAGTTCTTGAAGTAGAAATAGAGGTCCAACTACAGGTCAATGTTGTGTTTGCATTTGAATGTTGTATTTAGTAGGGATATCATTATCACTGCCACTGATATCATTATCACTTTTAAATAAAATTTTTGTTTACCTTCATTGTACAGTCATATAGTGGCGAAATACAAATTGTACTGTATAAAATATAAAAATATGTATATGTATGATAATGAATTGTTGTTATTGCCTTATTGGTTTTACGATTGTATGTCTCTCATTTAGATTACTCTAAAAAATTTATGGCTACGATTCTTAATTGGAGAACATTATTCTGACTTTTTTCGAACTGAACTTGTATTTTTTGCAACTAACAAATAAATTAACTGCATTTTTTATTGAAAATAGAATGCCGGAATGGTGGCTTATTATGTTGCAACAAAGGGAAAACATCCTTTTGGACCTGAACGGCAAAGACTAGACAACTTATTAAACGGAAAGCCAGTTGGCTTGGACAAAATCAAGGATGCCACGCTAAAAGACCTTTTATCGTGGATGCTACAGCTGAAACCGGAAGACAGACCATTGGCCAACGAAGCGTTAAAACACCCATATCTACAAACCGATAAGGAGACTTTCGATTTTCTGTGTGATGTTGGGAATGAACCAGAAATAAAGACATCATCTCCACATTCTCTTCCCCCAAATATTCGTGAGCAGTTAAATCTTTCAGTAGATTGGATGGACCGTATCGATCCTGAATTCTTTAATCATTTCAATAAAGTATCCGACTCTACATGGTTAGGTTGCCTAAGATTTTTACGAAACGTTCGCCAGCATTGGCATGATGAATCTCGTCCACAACTGTCATCATGTGTTAAAGATGGAAACTATCAAGAGTATTTTCTTCGACTTTTTAAGAAACTGCCTTATCTAGTTCACAGAACCATAAAATTGAGTGAATGGAAGACAAGACCTGTTCTAAAGGAACATTTTCCAAGTAAGACACAGAAATAAGTTGTTATTTTCGATAGTCAAGCTATAAATTAGCGGTCCATGACACTGACTAGGCTGACCGGCATAGGACAAGGTACAAACTAAGAGCTGCACAATGAACAAAATAGGCAAGAGGACACTCTTGTCGAACCAATGCTTGAACACCATTGATATGGCCAGACATGGCAGAAGCACTATCATATGTTTGCAAAACCAATTTTCTTTAGAACACTCACCAAGTTTATCTTTGACAACTTGTGATAATGCTGTGGCATTTTTGTTCATACTTACATCCACAAATCCTAATTGCCTCTCAATAATTTCACTTGCTTTGTCAAACTAAGCAATAACACTTAGCTGCTCTTTGGTGGACACATCAGATGCTTCATCAACCTGAATACTCATAAACGTGCAATCAATTATTTCCTTTCTGATTTCATCTTCAATAATTGAATCAAGATAGCTGATAAAATCATTTTGAATTTCTGGGGAGACTCCAGTAAATCTTTTGTCACCAATTATTTGCATTTTTGTCATTTCACAATCATGACAACGATATCAAATATGCTACAACTTGACAAGTATTTGATGTAGTTCTTGTTCAGAAGACCACAAAAATCTCAAAGGTTCTCATGATTTGTATACAATTTTTTTTTTCATTATTCATTTACGAAACGCGAGATGCATGTACAAAAACAAATCGTACAATTGTTGTGAAAAAGGCCATCACATGAAAGAAAGCAAAAAACTAATGAGAATAAGTGAGTTAACATTTCTCTCGTGATCCGTTGAGATAAAATTTGATACATTTTATTTCGTGCAGACTACAAACTTTGATCGAGCAAATCATTAAACGACAGTTACGATGCGCACATCTGCATTCATATGTGGCCAACAAATAGCTCGTTCGTCAATAGTTAAAAAAGGCATCCGTCGTAGAAGCCGACAACTGGCAACCACAGTAGACTCGCTTTTATGAAATTTATGTTTTTAAAGTGATTTTAATCTTAAAATTGCTTGCTAAATATGCGAAAAACACATACTTTTTCCTCACTCTTTCTCAAGGGGGGAAAGAGAAATTGTGAAAAATTCGGAAAAGCAGTCAATTTCGGTAAATCTCAGCGGTAATGGAACAAATCCTCCATTTTTACGGCGTCAGCCGCTAATTCCAGTGAACTCAGTATTTAAATTTCTAAGAGTGACACGCAGTTATGTACATCAAGATATTTTCCATGATTATTCTAAGAATGCTCCACTCGAGGTGTCTGAGAGTGAGGGATTATTTTTTGCTGCTCTCATCAAGAAATAATCACATAACCTTAAACAATTTTAGTCAACCCAAATATAGAGTAAAATTTTGATAAGTTGTCTTTGTATCAATTATCAATTTTCTCAAATGTGGTAAGAAAAAAGTGCGCACGGGACATTTCAACTTTTATTTCTCCTAAACTAAGACAAAAAGAAAAAACTTTACTATGGGATATGCATGAATCAGGACAAAATTTACTTTTTGCACATTCATCTATGTCATCAGCAAACAACATCATCCATACAATTTTATAAATCGCTCAGCTTTAAAGTGACGCATCAAATTTAATAACGGGTAATTTTTTAAGATTTCGATGGAGCCCCCGCAATTATTGTCATGGGAGGAGTCTATAGCAACCTTATTAAAGAACATATCAGTAATGAATACCTTAAAAAACTGAAAGAATCTGCCAGAGAGGGATATGCAGTCTTAACGGTAAGTAAGTCGTTTTAAAAATTTCGCCAGAAATTTTATTAACTGCATTTAACATTATGATTATTTTTATCACCTCAGAATGGTGGCACTGCTGTTGATGCTGTTGAAAAGGCAGTTAGTATTTTAGAGAGCAGTGACTTATTCATGATAGGTCGTGGATCTCCATTGAACAGTGAAGGAGAAGTTGAATGTGATGCAATGATTATTGATGGACACACTTTAAATACAGGTTAAAATCCATTTGTGATACTTTAACTTTGAATTTTTTTGATAACAAATAAAACCAGAATGTATTTCCCGCTGCATCTTCATTAGAAATTGGCAAACATGATACATGGTGTTTACATTTTGTACGAAGCAAATCGCATGATGTCACTCAAGAATAAACTTGGTACTCTTAAAATTGTGAGTAATCAGTGTAAAAAGCTTTTTAATTCTTTTCTGTTTACTGTAGGTGCTGTAATTTCTGGTCGAAATTTCAAAAATCCAGTTTGTCTTGCTCGAAAAATAATGGAAAAAACACCACATAGTGCTCTTAGTGGTGATGGTGCTCTGAAATTTGCTCAGGATAATGGATTGGATTGGTGCGAACCGAATGAATTGTTAAATGGACAGAGATGTCTTCCACATGAATGTTACAATGATTATGCGAGATATTTTATGGAGGAAGGACCTTTTCCTGCTAATGCGCCTGAAATTAGACCTCAAAAAATTGACACTTGCGATTGTGCATGTGCTGTTGCGATTGATAGAGATGGCAAGTTGGCATGTACAACGTCAACAGGTAATGACTAAATGTGCAGGTCGTATTTATATAATAAAAAATCATACATGAATTCAGTTCTACGTCACCTACATGTCATCATATTCCTAATTATTCATTATTTTAGGAGGTATTGCTGGCAAACTTAAAGGTCATGTTAGTGAAACTGCATTAGTTGGTTGTGGTGGATATGCAAATGATAAAGGAGCAGCTGCAGCAACCGGTTCTGGAGAGAAATTGATAAAATTGAACTTTTCAAGACAAGTTGTAATTGACATGGAATCAGGAAGTGCCCAAGTAATGCAAAATATTAAAAATTTTTTAATTGTTTCGATGTATTGTATTTTATGTATTATTGACTTTTTTTGTGTAAGGTTATGAAACTTACGACATGGACAAAAATTGTGTGATTTATCAAGTCCATTCAATTTTATCAACTGATACGTTCAACTTATTTAATTATATAATTTAGTCAAGTTTTTTTTTCAACACCTTTTTTGACACAAATTCAAGTCGCTTTACAATCGAAAGTTTACTGATTTTTCTCACCACCATGCAAATTGACTTCGTTTTGTTGTAAGGACCATGCCTCAAACTGTTAATCCTTAAGAAATCAACTTATAGATAAAAGAATATCAAGCTCAAACTCAATCATGTTTTTGTTTAAGAACATGTTGCTGTCGATTAATACGTGTACACGGCACAACATTTGATTGCACTGAACATGCAATCTCATGCTCTACTCTAAATTAAAAACTTATTTTTCCAACTCTTTTGTCGCTTCTCAAATCTCAACGAAATTCCTGTCTCAAAAAATCTCTCTTTTTTAACATTTTAAGCCTTAAAAATATCTTTGACGATTTCTAACATTTCTACCACAGTGTTCAAAGACTGGTCAACTGCTGTTTTTTTTTGATATCGTGATAAAACACTGTCCAATAAGAAATTTATAAAATTAAATTTCAACAATACAATTTTAACCAATACCCATATTCCCTTTTTTGTTTTAACTTTTGTTTATTTTTTTCATAAAAGAGAGCTGTACAGAGTGCTGTGAATTTAGTTCAAGAAAGACTTGACGGACGCGCAGGAGGAATTGCCATTGACAGACATGGAAATATTGGAAAGGCATTTAAAAATGACCTCATGCCTTGGGTTAGCATCAAAAATGATGAAATGAAATTTGGGTTGGAAAGGGATGAAGAAGGAAACTATCCTTTTGAATTTATTGAAAACAATGGCAACAACTAATTTATGATTTTGTAATACATTTCCTCAATATTCATTCACAATCATGCACTGTTGAACTTTAGCATTTGAAACTAAATATTCACAATTCACACAAACAAATAAACAATACAACAATCAATCATTTATGCACGTACATAATTATCGTACGTAGGTACAGTACTCTGCTGCATCAGTTAATCATAACATATTTTCCTTCATTGTTGAACTATAATATTTGAAACAATGCATTTTTAATTATTCACATGATACAAGAAAATCTTTGTTGATTAAATTTCTTCACTTCAAATATTGTCTGAACAGGAAAATGTTGTTGTTTTTTTCTCTTGTGTTTATGGATCACTCCAGTTTAGCAAAGTTTCTTTAAAAGTCAGTGTTACTCGAGCTCAATAAGTCGATCACCTTCCAATATTTTATCTCCTGGTTTACAGTTCACTTTTTTAATTCGGCCAGATTTCTGAACGCATAAACTATTTTGCATTTTCATAGTTTCAACAACACAAACCTCTTGACCTTCAGCTACCTGAGAAAGTGAAGTTTTTAGAGTATCCTCACCAAGTAATTGCACTACAATTGATTTCAATATTTAAAACTACCTCTTGTCCTGGTTCACATGTAACTGAGATCACTGTGCCTGGCATTCGTGAATCCAAAAATGGCGTCAAATCCTCCTGAAAATGAAAATTTGTAAAAAATTTAGAAAAAGAATATTTTACCCTTTAAGTACTGGGGTAATTGATACTATTATTTTTAGTTTAATTCAATAAAAGAGAAAATGTATAAAATTGAAGGTATAAATAGCTATGTAAACCATGAAAATCAATACCTTTGGTTTTTCTTTCATATTTCGTGAGTAATCATTCTGAGTTTCATTCATCACGATGACATCAAACTTACAATGGATGATAATAGGTTTGAAAATAATAATTAGAACTTTCGCTTAGCAAGACTCGCGTTAAAAAATACCATAAATTAAATTGACAGTTTTATTCAACGTAATATCTTAATTTTGAAAGTCATTCATACCTTTGATCCATAATGTTGAAGTTTGATATTTTGACCATTTCTTGACAAACTCTAAAAATTATTTCATTAGATGTAAACGATAAATTTACATGCAAATTAATGCGACAACAAATTACCTGTACAAAGACTTTTTTCTCATTTATTGTTGCTTCTACAAGATTTGATGCAAGGTTAGACGAGGAATGGAATTTCACACAAGTTCCGTCGATATTCATCTGACATTTAAAGAACAAAAACATACATAAGACTAAAAATTTTCCCAAAAAGTGCACAAATAAGCAATTCATTCGTGACATAAATCATGAAATGCACATTGGAAGAAAACGTACCAGATAACTATCGACATTTCGATCAACGTTCACTTTGTATATCTCATCATTTACCAGCACAAAAGCGTCCACTTGCTTTTGTCTGTAGAACCAAAATTATTCCTGATAAATGGAAAGTTGTAGGATATGTCAGAATGGTCGAAAATAACTTTTGAAACATAAAATACACGATAAAACATGAAAGTTGGTTTAAATTATTTTTAGAATTTTATGTTGTTCTTCAAATAAACTATAATGGATACCTTGTATGATTCAAAAAGTGTTTCTGTCTATTTCCACGAAGTATGAACAAATAACAAGCCGTGGCTGTCAATTCGTTCACTTCATCTCTGTTCAGCTGTTTTCCTGAAAAAAGTAAAACATGACTTTTTTTTATGGCGAACGTATTGTTCACAGTGAACTCAATATTTAAATAACTGGAATGATAATTGAAGCCAAAATTGAAACCTAAAAATATTTGTCGTCATCATTCGTCTCACTCGTGTTTCTCGCGTGTTTATAAACGATTTGTATTTTTTCGGATCCTAGATCTTAAGTTTGACCTCAGTTGATTTCATTTCACTAGTCAGTTTTATCTTCATGAAGAAAATCTTTTGAATTATATTTATTTCAATTCTACATCATCCTCAGTGCAAAAGTATTATTACCTCGATCTGCTCTTAAGCTGCGGTTTTCCTTTAAAACATATCAAAGTCTTTAAGGATGTTCAATTATTGATATCAAGATGACAAGCATTTAGTATTTCAAGCACTATCAAATCGATGAAAATGACAATCGCTCTGCAAAAAGTAAAAATGCGAGTTATAGACTCAATATTTTTTATGAAACTGGATATTCAAGTTTCCTTTTTCTTCTGAAAAAGAGATCTTTAAATCCACTGAAATGTCAAAAAAAGACAAACACTGTCTGACACCGTTTGAAAATTTACCTTTCGATGTAAGAAAAATTTTTGCTTGAATATTTTCTCGTCATATTTTTTTATTGTATTGTCTTTTTAGCATACAGTGTAATTTTCAGTTGGCTTTTCCTCGTTACAAGTTGTAAGTTACAACGAACTCACTGTAGTAAACTTTTAGCTGAAAAAAATAACCTTTTGCGAAGAGTTGGCCTCGTTGGCCTGAAAAAAAGAGTCTTCAACGGTCCATTTTTTCTCAAACTATTTTGTCGAGATACGGGACGATTTTGTGGTGGTTTATCCGGGAGAAGACTACGAACATATTCTATTGCTAGTCTTGTTTTCAACTTGCAATGGCTGTTGGGGTTGGTCGTCTAAAGAAAACAAAACAGAAATGTAATTTTGTAATTAGCAACCTGGTTTGTCGTTTTTTTTAACTTTTCTTTGTACACTACACTTAAATGTGTAATCAATCATCAATCATCAATAACCAATGATTGATCATCGTTTTCTGAGACAAACCGTGATCGACCTGTAATTCTTAATACTGAAGAGTATCGTAGTGTAAATGAAAATACATGCTCACTTTTTTAATCATATGTTTGTTTGGTCGTATATTGTTTCGTGAATGCTTTAGTTTAACATTAAATGGAAGATCACGTGGACCAGTTTTTGTCACCAATTGTGTTTTTGATGGCTCAGCTATGGCCCTCTCTTTTCTTGCATCAATGCAAAGGTATTTACTGGGTTGCTGGAAAGAAGTAGAAAATTATTCTTTGATATATGTTTTCTAAAAACTCCACGAGAACATAGTCAAATCTATTTTATAACATTAGAACAAAGTAAATACTTTACAATGCCAGACTGCGAGTTTCAGTTTGGTGGAAAAGCAGCTGATAAAATTAAGTAACATACACTTTTTCGTAAAGGAGAAGTTAAAAAAGATTTCATACAGCAATAGAATCAAGTTGCCAGCAATACCTGATAATGAAATGGACTTTGCAAATAATGTTTGTATTCATCGTTCATTTCATACTTTGATACTGCCATAATCATTTGTTACAATAAGTTGGTATAAAAATGAATGCATCAAAATTCTTTATTTTTTACGGAAATTCACTCTCCATTTTTCTATCCTTTTCATAAACACAAACATGCTAGTAATAAAATAACACAGAGGTTTTTAGTTTCGTTGGTACAGTCAACTAAGTTGATATTTTGGTTTCCAGAGAAACGAAAGAGCTTCTCGATCCGTTCGTAGCGAGTAGAATGAGACTTATTTATTAAACTCAGGATTTGAACAAAGTTATTTTCCATAATGCAGTCTATGTTTAAGGTTTTAGCATTTTTGTAGATTCCGGGGACTCTGTAGCATGTGCATAAAAAACTGAAGGAAGTCACGGTCCATTCCTATCTCGAAATACGTTTTTCTAAACAAAATTAAAATCGACTAAAACAGAACATCTCTCCTTGTACCTAGTGCATGGTATTTCATCTTTCGTTATATTTTATAACTGTTTGGGACTCTTACAATTCATTGACTTGTTATCAATTAGGATCATGGGATTGAGACGAAAATCTTCACCACCATAATTAAAGATAAGTTAGGTAAGGTAGCTGGTAAAGGCCGTTGAGTCTTCAGTGGTCTGGGGACAAGTAAGATGATTACATGAACCTTAATTTTTTTTAAATGGAAACATCGCTTTTAAATGTTGGTTAAATGTTGGCAATAATATAAATAAATATTTACGAGATGAACTTACATGAAAATAGTTTTATAACCATTAAGCTAGTTAAGTAAAGGAGAAATACATTTTTATAGGTTTTATTATCTGTGGATTTTACAATGATTCACAGTTTGTTTATCATCAACCATTCAGGGTGAGTCGGTAGTGACAATATGTATTGGTTTTATATTTGTTTGCTTTCAAAGCTCTTCTGTTGGTTTTGTACGTATCAACTTGTGATTATTGTGAGAAGTACTTTACAATTATTTGAATGAGGTAAAATGAGATTAGTTTCAGTAAGATATTAAAGGAAAGCTTGAACAATGTCAGAAGCCAGTGAAGGTAGATTATGAGAAGTATCATGTGACAGGATTAATACCCAATACCTAGAAAAAATAAAGAATGTCATAAAAATCGTGAGATATTACCTGATATCTGTAATTTCAATAGTGTTGAAGTCAGTTAGATGATGCCATTTTGATGATTTCAGCTTCCTCAATTGTGTAGTTATCACAACTTTACACCAAATGGGTTACTGTGAGTCACTAGGTCATATGATGTTTTTCATGTACATTTAGGGATATATTTCTGGAAAAACATTGGAGAAGTGTTTTGGGACGCTCTGTTTGTGATTATTTCTTCGAAGCTCAAGGAAAGGTAAATGAATTTATGTGTAAATTGTTGTTTGTGCTTGTTTGGTTGAGAAGTTTTAAGGTACTTTCATGAACGGTTTTCATGTTATATTTGTCTGACAAAATGCTCCTAAACAAATTAAATATCATCTTTTATGTTCAGGCTACTTCTCCAGAAGACATTCCTCCTGTAATTGCAACAGGATTCAGTTATCTCATCAGTATATTTCGCCATGATCTCTTCTTTGTTTCTGTTGTTGAAAATGAAGGTTTGTGTTTATATTAAGGTTAGTTAATGTTTTATTAATGTTTATTTTGAATCAATTGCCTCTAATCCAATCAAGAGATTGATTGCTAGTTTTAATTTAAAAAGTATGCATTACATTGCAAAGAAGTGTTATCACTCAATAAAAGGCATTGCATTAGGCATCTTAGTGGTAGATAAAAATAATTTAGTCTTCATATCATCAACATGTGGTGAACACTTTCATGATTATTATTATTGATGAATTGAAAACATTCCTTTCCAGTTCCACCTTTGTTTGTGATTGAATTTCTTCATCGAGTGGTTGACTTGATCAAAGAGTATTTCTCTGACTGTACTGAAACAATCATTAAAGAAAATTGTGTCATTGTATATGAGGTTTGAGATTAGTATATTTTGTAGAGAATCCAGCTGTTTGATAGATGAATTTCAATTTTTTTCTGTTGTGTGTGATGTAAAATATGATATTATATTTTTATATTCTTCAGTTATTGGAAGAGATGTTGGATAATGGATTCCCTCTTGCTACAGAGTCAAATGTCCTTAAAGAGTTGATAAGACCTCCTAGTATAGTTAGAAATGTTGTTAATAAAGTGACTGGAGATAGCAAGTAAGAACCTTCCTTATAGTAAACATATGAGCCATGTTTTGTAGTGATCTTTATGTTGTTCATATAAGGATCAGATATAAATATAAAGCAAATAAAACCACTAAACATTTCTATATTTGCATTGTTATTTATATGCAACTTACTACAATATTTAGTTAAATTTAATTTAGTTTACACATTTATGATCATTCTACATATAATTTAAGTTAAATATTTCATATTTTCCTAGTATGAGCAGTCATCTCCCAACTGGTCAATTGTCCAATGTTCCATGGAGGAGAACTGGTGTAAAATATGCAAATAATGAGGTACGTAGCTATATTCACATTGTTCCATTAAGAAATTTGAAAGAAAATTCTTTTTTATGCTTTGTTTTAGTTGTAATGGGATGAGTGAACTTTTTTCTTTTGTTAATTAGTTGAAATAAATATTGCTAATTAGTTGTTAGTTCTAATTATTCATAATTTGTTCCAATTAATTCTAATTATCACAAATTAGTCCTAAGTATTTCTAATTAATTCTATTCATGTTATAGATTTATTTTGATGTAGCCGAAAGCATTGATGCCATCATTGATAAACAGGTAACAACATTATAATACTGTGGATTTCTTGTTCACTTTGTGGAAGATGTATGACAAAAATATTTTTGTTGTTTTTGTTTAATGTTAAATTAAAACTAAGGACATGTACGAACTGAAAACTTATGGCATGTTTAAATTCCTAAAATTTTCTGTTTTGTGTAGGGCTCAACCATATTTTCAGAAATACAAGGAACTGTAAGTGCCTTCCTTTTTTTATGCTTTGTTATATGTACTCTCTTGTATAACATTTTAAAGGTTTTTTCACCTTTTTTCAACTTTGTTCTTTCAGATTGACTGCAACTGTAAATTATCTGGCATGCCTGGTATATTTATGATACTTTGTTATATCTCTAGATTAAACTTGAATTTATCTGTAGATTAAAGATTTGTATTAATTATAGATCTCAACATGTGTTTTACAAATCCTCGTATCCTTGAAGATGTCAGTTTTCATCCTTGTCTTCGCTTCAGAAGATGGGAGGTACGTAAGTGTGAATGTTGAATATGGATTGTCTCTGGTTGAATTCAACACAAATTATTCTTAATATGACTAATAACAATTGGCTTTTTACATTGAACACTTTTCTTTCAATCTTGCACTAAAACCGCGTTCAAATGTCTGTGTATTTTAGTCTGAACGAATTTTGTCATTCGTCCCCCCGGATGGTCGTTTTCGTTTAATATCATATAACGTGGCAACCGGGTGGGTGTTTTAGCAGTTATATTTTCATGATGACATTGCATATTTTGATGGGAATTTTTTGTTTTTTGTTTAGAGTAAATATGCTACCATTGTTTGCAAAGCCTCGTGTCTTGTTTCAAGAGGTTTATAAACTGTTGAAATTATTTTAAAATATTTTTTATTGATTGAAATAAATTAAAGTGTTTGATTTTTCTGCTTTTTCATTCGTACGACTGTTCAAAACATTGATTCGATGATCGTCTTTTTCTTGGTTGTTTCAGGGTGGAAGTGGAAGATTTGAATTGTCGATAAGCTCAAAACCAGTTATGGGTAAAAATGTATGTATTTATAATCATATCAATTTATTAAACTGCTGTTGCATCTTCTTGCATTTATAAACTTAAAGATATAACCTAAACTAGTCCATTTTTTTCATACGTATTATCTCAAAGCATTTTTTATAAAACTAACTAAATCGTCCTAACGTAATCATACCAAGTCAAATATTGTATACATTAACTTTTTCAAAGTCTTTTCACTCAGTGTTTCAATATTTTATTTAGATCGAGAATGTTGTCGTGACTGTTCCATTTCCTAAACAAGTTCTCAACCTTAACTTGACTACAAACGGTAAAAACACTCATAAAATATTAAACATTACAGTCTGATGTTTCATTGCTCTTCATTGACGTTTCCCATCAACATTTATGACTTGTGTTCCATGTTTTCAGTTGGTACCTATTCATTTGATCCAATCAAAAAAGAGCTTTCATGGGAGGTAGGTTCATGAAGAAATTGTCACGATCACGTGGTTATGTGAATCTAACGTTACGTTAAACAATTTTAGATCGGTAAAATACAATCTCAGACACCTCCACCTAACATCAAAGGAAATGTAAGTAAAACTTGGTTTTTATTTTGCTTTTTGCTCGTCTCAGTTGATTTACAGACGTCCAACCATGTTTTTCAAAAGAATATTTCCAAACTTTTTACATACGAAATAAAGTCGACCTTCACAACAGTCTTTGCTCACTAACTAAAGTTGACCTTCACAACAGTCTTTGCTCACTAACTAAAGTCGACCTTCACAACAGTCTTTGCTCACTAACTAAAGTCGACCTTCACAACAGTCTTTGTTCACTAACTAAAGTCGACCTTCACAACAGTCTTTGTTCACTAACTAAAGTCGACCTTCACAACAGTCTTTGCTCACTAACTAAAGTCGACCTTCACAACAGTCTTTGCTCACTAACTAAAGTCGATCTTCACAACAGTCTTTGCTCACTAACTAAAGTCGACCTTCACAACAGTCTTTGTTCACTAACTAAAGTCGACCTTCACAACAGTCTTTGTTCACTAACTAAAGTCGACCTTCACAACAGTCTTTGCTCGCTACCTAAAGTCGACCTTCACAACAGTCTTTGCTCACTAACTAAAGTCGACCTTCACAACAGTCTTTGCTCACTAACTAAAGTCGACCTTCACAACAGTCTTTGCTCACTAACTAAAGTCGACCTTCACAACAGTCTTTGCTCACTAACTAAAGTCGACCTTCACAACAGTCTTTGTTCACCAACTAAGGTCGACATTAACAACAGTCTTTGCTCACTAACTAAAGTCGACCTTCACAACAGTCTTTGTTCACTAACTAAAGTCGACCTTCTCAACAGTCTTTGTTCACCAACTAAAGTCGACCTTCACAACAGTCTTTGCTCACTAACTAAAGTCGACCTTCACAACAGTCTTTGCTCACTAACTAAAGTCGACCTTCACAACAGTCTTTGCTCACTAACTAAAGTCGACCTTCACAACAGTCTTTGCTCACTAACTAAAGTCGACCTTCACAACAGTCTTTGCTCACTAACTAAAGTCGACCTTCACAACAGTCTTTGCTCACTAACTAAAGTCGACCTTCACAACAGTCTTTGCTCACTAACTAAAGTCGACCTTCACAAGTCGCTATAACTGTAGTTATATACTTTAATTGTTTTCTGATAATTGCTTCTCTCCCCTTTCCACGTTGGAATGAGGTGAGAATCGCTGTACTTTTTTATGACACTGCTCTCGTTTCATATCTTCTTATCTTTACATGTCGTCAAACTCTTGCTGTATGTTGGTTTTCTGTAGTTTCTTGCTTCTTACCACCGGGTCGATAATTGAGGGAGAGGCAACAGTCATAAATGCATGTGTTATTTAATGAGTTTTTTTATTTAAATGAAATGTGATTATGGATTAAAATTGATTAGAACATATGAATGTATGAATATGCTCCCCCCAATTATCCATCTTCTGCGATCCATGCATCTTACTCTTTGTTCTCTTTTCGTGCGTTTGTATTGAAAGACTTAATGCATGACTCCGTTCACTGTATCTTACATTCTCTGATTTCCAATGTTTATATTTCAGATATCTTTACAAAGTGGTATTCCACCTCCGGAAGAGACACCAACCATATTCGTAAGTGGTGTTTTACTGGGGGACTGGGGAGATAGCACCACTTGTAATTGGTTGGTATACATAAATAATTCCCAAAGAGAGTGATTTTCTGAAGTTCTCTATGATTTAATCATAACACGACTCCCTCGAGGCAGGATTAATTCATCACAGTACCACCTCAGAAACCTGTCCTAGTCTTTCCTTCTTTCATCCGTAGCATTCTTTTCTTTAGTTAAATTTCAAAATAAGTGCATATGCAGCTTCGGGATTGAAAGTCAGTAGACTGGATATATATGGAGAGGTAGGTACACTTTGCATGGTTTGTTGTGTATGTAGGGGTACATGGTTTGTTGTATACAAATTGGTGTTCATTTTCATCCTTGCTGCCCAGTCGTCATTTTCAGTGAACGTTGGATGGTTTCTGATATAATTTAACATGTAGTTTTGTTGTGTTCTTTCTAGAAATACAAGCCATTCAAAGGAGTGAAGTATTACACAACAGCTGGACGATATCAGATAAGAACCTAAGAGTTTGTTCAACAAAAACAGTTCATTTGGTAAAAAAGTAATTTGTGAGCATAATCGCTAACGGGCAAGAAAATATTGACTGGTATTGATCTTGTATCCTACTGAAATTTACTCAGTTAATGAATATTAAAATCTCATATAAATTTAATGTGTGATCAGCGTTTGTTGGTGAGGACCTCTTGGGAAAATAGCATGACGCTAGTACATGAACTATTTCATAGCTTGAAAATATGAACAAAAGCGAGTAGTTTATGTTGCCCATTCTTTTAAAACATATTTGTTGAGATGATAGCCTATCTGCAACCATGTATAAATGTATGTGGTCTTTTCCCAAATTATACCTCAAATGCTTGGTTGTTATTCAGTCTTAGAACAGATAGAGTAAACAGATAAATGAGCGTGATAGCTTGTCGCACTCGAGTATTTTAGTTGATTTACTGTTTCTACTACAGGCATTTCAAATTAGATTTCGTTGATGATGTTTCTTGCGAACTTAGAGAATTACATCAAATAATTTTATCCTAATTCAAATCAAAAGTAAACTTTATTTAAACCGGTTACAAATTCATTTTGGGAGAATGGTATCGAAAGGGCCTTGTATGCGAAGAAATTCAAACTACCACTTATATCATTCACAATTTCATAAAAACACGCATCATATGAATATTTCTAAATTTCAATACTGGCGTGCATTGTATGTTTGTTCCAATAGGTTGGATACATTTGTTGCATTGTACGTAAAATTTGAGAAAGTAAAGCATTTAGTTATGAACGTCGATACATAAGACTTCACTTCATTACCTATACTGTGACCAAAATCTTCATTAAAGGATCAAGTGGCATTTTATATCTGGGAATGTTTAAAGATTCTTTTCACTTTGATGGCTTACCACTCGTGATAAAGAATGTTCTACCGCTCTCTGATGGTTTGTCATTTGTAGCAAAGTCATTGATTGAAATCACGAAGCCTATTATGGCTACAGATTACAATATAAAGTAAATGGTTTGAACCCGGAAGTATCGTTAGATGTTTGTAGATGTAGATCGTCCAGGCTAACCTGACCTTTACTCCGCATTTGACTGTGAAGATGACTACCGCTAAAGTTGTCGAAACGTCAGTCAACAACAACAAAAACAGTCCTTCTCGGGACTATAACAACCTGGACGATCTACATTTACAAACATAGTCCATTTACCAGGTGTTGAAAACTATTTAATATTTACTGCAGTGGAAAGTTTCTTCTTTTCACAAAGTTTTTCTGTTCCAGATATATTTTTTATGACTTGTTCTTCAACATGGCTTTAATAGTTGTTATTTTTTCTAGTCTTACTTGGTTTCATGAAACATAAGGAGTTGCTGGTACAAAGGACAACATGACGTGTTTCTTCATGTCTGTCACTGTCGAATGTAGATAGTGGAATCTCACTTGAAATCAAAGCAGGCTGCAAAGTGTTTTGAAAAATTCCACATGGTTTAAGTGCGTAATTAGACCAACTTCTATAAATATATTTATAATCGAAAATATTTTAAAGCAAATCAGATTGGTTATAATTTAGTCCTTAAGATATTGTTTAAAAATTTCTAACGAACAACTGGTTCAGGTTGCTCGTATGCTATGCTATGTTATGTTGTGGTGTGGTGTGGTGTGTTATGCCAAAATCTGTTGTACTTTGATTTTAAAACAATGTGCCATCGTGCATTCTGATTCTGACCAATCACAAAGGACCCTTCATGTTTCAAGTACATCGATGACCGAGGTCAGTAGCCAGCACGCTTCTCACGTGATGAGTGGAAGAGAATGACGTAAGAGGTGTAAATCAAAGATGGCTTCTCAATCACAAGGAATTCAACAACTTTTAGCCGCTGAAAAGAAAGCTGCGGAGCTTGTAAGCGATGCTAGAAAACGTAAGGATGAAGTGCTTTATGTTTTATTTATACTCATTTTGCATGTTTTAGTGCTTTTTCATTTTTGAACTCTTATTTTCAACCAAGTAATTCAATAAGGCTGTATTTTACATTTAGTATTTAAGCTTTAATATTCGTCTTCAGATTTATAGATTAAGCTTTGAAAAATGAGTAAAATTTTGCTAATCATAAATACTTGAGTTGGGAAAGGGCTGAGTGACGATTATGTGATTTAAAATCGAATTATTTAACTTTCCAGGCAAGACAAAACGGTTAAAGGAAGCCAAAGAAGAAGCGCAGGCCGAAATTGAGCTGTTTCGTCGCGAACGGGAGAAAGCATTTGAAGAATATCAGAAAACTGTAATCAGTTTGTTTTGACATTATTTTGCACCAGTGTTTATGAATTGACTAACTGGAAAACAGATTCTCATTGTCAGAATGAGTGACATTCATTTTTATATTTTTATTTTTCAATGTTTAGCACATGGGATCAAAGGATGAATTTGTCCTGCAAGATGAGCAAGACACAAGAGCAAAATTGGAAGAAATTGAGAGGAATGTTCAAACAAATAAAGATGCCATGATTGAACGCATTCTGTCTTTGGTTTATGAAATCAAACCAGAACTCCATCAGAATGTTCGTTTATAGACCAACAGGAATGTGAATCCATTTCCATTTCAAATGGTTGATATCCTTTCATGCATAATTTATTGATTTAAAATAAGCAATTACTCAATACTCTGTCATTATTTTAATTCCTCTGATCATACCAGGTGTAATGGCTTAGTTCTCTTAAGAAAGTGGCTTTAAAGTCGAAGTTAAAAAGTCACTTGCTACCAGAGGATGCTGAGTCAAATATGTTAATTTCATTCTCACATATTTTATGTGTTAGTTTATAATGTTCAACTTTTGCTACCTTCTCCTGTGTAATAAATGATAATTATTGTGATCATCAGTGATTCCTATTCGAAACACACCAGTTTTTTGTATAGGTACATAAATTATTTTTAATTTTGCAATGCAAAAATCCTTGCCACTCTCTTTACCTAATTTTAAGCAAAAATTGCACAATAATTGCATTAACGTTTGTGTAGAAAGATTGTGTAGAAAACATCTAAAGATGTTAGTTGAGGTTTCAAAGTCTTTAAAACATTGTCATAAATCTTAAAATTTCCATCATGATTTCAAAAAACTTTACCATAGATCTCCACAGATAACATGTAGTTGTAAGTAAAGTTTTTTATTACTTTCCTACACTTGTAATCTTTGATCTCTGCTGTAAAAATTCAGGGGGGAGAGGCTAATAAAACACTTCACTTACGTATATTGAAGACACTCAATGGACTTTATGATGTTTGTGATCCCTTGTCATCCCTTATGATCCACCATCAGCAATCAATGCCTATTTAATGAAAGAACGTGTACATGCGAGTGACGAATATTGTAATTTTGAGAGCTTTCCGTTGATCAGCACGTGCACTTTCAAGTACTCAGACCTCAGATGTATTCCATTTATATTACTACAGGGAAAAGTAATGTGTTTCTCTGACAATAAGCCATTAATGTGGAAGTGTACCGTTGAACTAAATAGATGGAAGGCTAGCAAGGAATATATGATACGTGCGTCCCCGGCATAAATAAGGAATCGCAAATATTTGTGATTTTTTGTTTTTAATTTTTTTCGCAGAGCAAAGGTTAAGTTCGTGTCAATCATGTGATTTGAATTTATAGTTTATAAATATCACGATTTCATTGTTGCACGAGATCCTGAATGAATGCACTTCTGCGATGCATCTTTATCTTTTCATTTCAGATTCTTTTGCAACAGTTGTGACAGTCGGTGGATGCAAGTCATCCAAATCTATGAGGTGCCTAGGTTCACATATTTATTTGAAAATTTCAATCGATTTTTTTATACATCGTTCCTTTCTCGCTATCAACCTTTGTCTTCCCACTTCCCCATTGACAACCATCGGAATGGGACTTAATTTTTTTTGCCATGATTTTTTTTATTTTTGGGCCGGGTTCTTATATATTTCGATAAATATGTCGTATCTTGTTCTCGATGAAAAGAATCCGATTTTGTCTCAAATCATCTGGGGCTGGAATGATAGATAGTAGTCAAAGCGTTTGGTTTATAGAATGCTGTATATTCAGTGTACAACAGCAAAATGTATTTGGTAACTCTCTGGTGAAAAACTGCATATGTAAAATCGTCTCATGTACAAAAAAATCGATTGAAATATTCAAATAAATATGTGAACCTGGCAGAAGAAGTCGTCTAGTTTTGGCAGCCATGTTGTTTATGAAAAGCCAAATGAAAAGCAAAGACAGAACGTTTTGCTTACATGACGAACCTCTGGCAAAAATTTCATCAAGTTTGTTGTTGAAAATTTCATCAAGTTGGCTCTTAAAAATTGGCAGCAAAAAATTTCATCAAGTTTTCAAGTGAAAATTTCATCAAGTTTTAAATAATCGCCTTAATTATGGTGACTTTTGTTCTTATGACAAAGTTTTCAGTTGCTTGATGATATTTCATGCGATTTGAAATATTGACCCATTTGGCACCTCATACAAATCAAACTCTGTCACTCATCTAAAAGGACAGTGACAAAGCTAGTTTGCGGACTTAAATTACATCGCCATCCTTGCCACGAAGAACTCGGTATGTACTTGTTAAACTGCTTATGCAACGAATTTTGACCCTTTTTTTTGACCAAATAAAAAGAAGTAGCCTTCCTCACTCTAAATTTCAAATCAAAATAAAATGAATTTTTGAATTTTTCGTCCAAAATTGACATTTTTGACACTTCCTGTGCGAACTCTTAAAAGGTCATTTTATTAACTTGAGAAGTCATAAGTGAAGCACACTTCTATCATGGCATGTAGCAATTATTTTAAAATCTCCATCGAGAATAATAAGACCTTCTCCTGGCGGATGAAACTAGTCGAATTTCACCAATTCTGTGAGAAATGAAAATTAAGATCCTTGTATATATTTCCTAAAGAAGAATAGACTCTCAAAGGCAAAGAAAAGGTTAATTTTGTTCGACAACGTTTCACCCCTTCGTAGATGTTTTTGCTCAGTGTATTTTGATGAGTCGTGTTTTGATCTATGTAAATGTTTGTTTGACCAAGAAGCTTGAAACAAAAAGAATGAATATTTGATTCCCACAGTCTATTTGGCTGGAATCGGTCTTAGCAAAAACAGAAAATGGATTTAGCTGGACTACAACAGGTTGGACTTGAATTCACAAGTATTTTAAGAACAGAATTACAATTATTGTGGAAGAGAAGTCAAAAAATGAAATCCTTTAACAAAATATGAGCTGGTTGAATATAATCAAAGCATCATTTTGATATCTTAGCCACCATGAGGAGATCAGTATGAACTGTGAAATATTGTATGCATGATAAAAACAAATCTGACAGTTTTCTTGATACATTGTCCATGAAAAGTTTTGGGGAATCTTTTGGGTAATGAGTTTGTAACTTTGTTTGATATCAAAATAAACATTGTAATCATTAATATTTGAAGTAATTGAGTAGCACACAAACTAAATCAAGACTATTTTAAGCATATTCTAGCTGTTATATATTATTGATGTAGTAGAGCTGTTTCTGTTGTAATAAGAAAACTAGAATGTAGAATAAATATGACTTATACACTCTCTTCAGATTAATCTTGGTTACTGATTAGTATTTGGTTATGTGGTGATTTAGTATAGATCTAGGGGTTTGTACAAATAAATAATTGACATTAAAATTATAAACTGTACTATTGGTAACTTATATTTTACAAGTATATTATTATCAAAACAAGAACTATGGAAAGAGCCTTAGGCAGGCTACATCTATTACATAAACTTTACATCTTACAAATATTCTAGCCTAGTAATAACTTTAAGAGCTTGACTTATTTATCAGGATCGAGTTGAAAGTACATAGTTTGTAAGAACACAGTCATCATTATCATTTAATAATGGCACTGTATTTTTTACACCTGCTCACATTGTATTAGTAAAATCTCCATCTTCCACATTATGTTTGTAGTTCAGTATTTTTCTAGTTTCTGCTCTCAAATGACATTGGATCACTTATGTGTTATTTTAAGTAATACAAAATAAAACAAATTCCGAAAGCGGACATCTCCTTCTCTTGATATTCAAGATAGTACAATAGTTTGAAACAAAAGATGGTGTAATATTTCGTTTTTATTCCAAAGACATCATCAGACTTATAGTTTACAATGAAAAGTTCGTTCATTAGGTCCGTATTCAGCAATAAAATTAACTAACTTCTACTCTACAGAAAATTCTTATTTATACATCAAATTGATACTAAAACTATGGATTTTCAGTTAAAGAGAAAAAGGGGGCTCATTGCATAAACACTTCCTTTTTCACGAGGAGAATTTAAGATAAAAAAATTATTTTTTAATTATTGAACTCTTCTGCGTGGACAATGCTTAATAAGGAAAGCGTTTATTAATGTGAAAATCGCAAAACCTTGTTTTGCTTATTGAAAGTTTATGGTTTTAGATATTTTTTGAACAAGAAAGTTACGTAATGTAAATTTCATAAATTTTTTATGAAAAATCGTCTCTTATGTTGGGAAATTCGTAAGACAGAAAATCTTTCTGGGATCTATTATGTTTTTAGTTTTACGAACGATATTCGTCCAGTTGATCTTTATATAATGTGCGTGGTGTGTTGATAAACGTTCGTCTCTTTCTTTACCTAGGTTATCGCGCATTTATCGCGAGATTTTGATTTAATAATAAAGTTAAAGATGAAAACAACAGAGTATTTAGCTTTCGCAATAGGATCACCTGGACGATTTCAAGTTGTTTTGTGTTTAATGCTGTCCGTTTCGTCTTCCTTCGTCAGCTGGGGTCATCTTGGAATGGCTTTTTATGCTGCAGAAACTGAACATCACTGTCTTCTTCCAAACTCCTCGTGGAACATTAAAGATTTCATACCGACTGTAAGTTAGTCCTAGTTATTATTACATTCGTTATTATTTTTATCATGTAGGCTTAACTAAGTTGCCTGCGTGTCATTAAAGAAACTTGCCTGAACAAGTTGATTAGATTATTTATTATCTAAGATTATTATATCATGCCGAACTTGTTTCCCATTGCGCACGATAATTGTGGTTTAACTTGATGAGCTACAAATGTGCACATGTGCACTATTCGTTTTATAATTAGGTAAAAGAAAACGGCAAAGAAGTGTTAGATCGCTGTCATCTTTATTCCGACGTCAATAAAACTACGAAAATATCCTGTACTCATGGTTGGACCTATAATCTTTCTGGTAAAGAAACAACAATTATTTCAGAGGTAAGGTTATTTTATATGGAAATAATTATGAACGTTTTATGTCTATCTTATATGTTTACGTTAAGTTCATTTGTTTTCTAGTGGGATCTTGTCTGTAATGACGTTTACAAAAGTAACATTGCCACTGTACTATATAGTTGTGGAATGATGTTAGCAATACTATTTGGTCAGCTGTCAGATAAATTTGGAAGAAAACCTGTGTTTCTGTTTACAACTTTCTCACCTTTCATTGTGGGCATTGTCATTTTCTTCAACAATAACTACATCATTTTTTTACTTTCTCGTTTTGCTCTTGGCTTTCTCTTGGAGGTTTGTTGATGATGAATTAACTCAATGTTATAACGAGTATTTTACAAATCTCATTGTATGTAATTTGCCTTACAAATTGTGTTGATTTTAACTGTTCCAATAGATATTTTATTTTTGCTTTTTTTAGGGATTACAATCAATATCATACATCATATCAATTGAACTTTTCGCCTGTAAATATCGAACGACATTCACGATAGTCAATGCATTATTCTGGGGTATTGGTGTTATGATTCTTGCTCTTATATCTTTTGTGTTGCAAGATTGGAGAAAGATCCATCTATTTACAACTGCCTGTGTGTTGGTACAGTTGCCTTTGATCTGGTTAGTATTGGTATCATAAATTTTCGCCCATTGTAACGTAATAGTTGAATGCTCAGATGTTATATTTTTAACTGATGAAATACAAGGAATTTTCTTCTTTATTAATGAAACAATTTTCAACAAGACGATGTAAAACATGGAGTAAAACATCTAAATCGAATGTATCAGAATAATGTTGCCCGTGTCTTGTGATGTTTTGTGAAATAAACACGAGCAAATCCTTTCGTCCTGCTATGTAAATTCTGTATCGTTATTATTGTCATTATTTATTTCTTTGGAAATGTACTGTTTTTACAATTTGTAAACTCGAAAAACTAAAACAATTAAACTCATGTGCTATCTAGTGTCTGCGCTACTGTGAACACAGCTATCATATACAGGTTGCAATGCTGTAGCTCTTGCCAATTATAATATAAAATAACAACTTTTTGTTTCCACACTTAATGTCCATGCATGAGTTGAAGAATTTAAGGAGTTGAATAAGTATTTCATGGATTCACTCGCAGTGCATTGCTCTATATACGATCGATCCGGGGCTTTGTCACCCAATAAGTTTTTTTCTTTAAATTGTTGGAATTGTTCTAAGCCGAGTGATTAATGTTTGGATCAAGACTAATGGTCAATATGGACAATGTCACCAACTTAAAAACGGCCATATGTATTTTTCTGTAGGTTTTTGCCGGAGTCCTTTCGTTGGTTGATTACACAAAATAAAGTTGACGATGCAAGGGCTGTAGTTGAAAGGATAACAAAGTTTAACAAGTTAAGTTTTCCTCGTGAGATATTCGACGACATCGCTCATTTCGTGAATGACAAGGATGACTTGCGTTCCAAGAGAGTTTACACGTTTTTGATCTGTTGAAATCACGTGAGCTGAGAAAGCGATTGGTGATAGCAGCTTTTGTTTGGTAAGTGCTACCTTGTTGTCATGTGACATTATCACGTGACTCATACGCTTGTTGTTAAGTTTTTTTGTTTGAAGCCTCCGTGTCGAAATGTTACGTATCAAAACATACTTTACCAACATGTGTTGGTCTTTTTACTGAAAATGGACAGAAATAAAATTTTCAATAAGTTCTTCTTTAAAGTGAATGATTTGAACCCAGGAGTTTCGTTAAATGTTTGTGAATGTAGATCGTCCTGGTTAGTAGAGTCTTGAGAAGGACTGTTACTGCCAATGTTGTCGAAACGTCAGTCAACATCAACACCAACAGTCCTTCTCAAGACTCTACTATCGCTAAGGTTGTCGAAACGTCACTCAACATCAACAACAACAGTCCTTCTCAGGACTCGACTAACCTGAACAATCTACTTCTACAAACATGTAAATTCTTTTTTTTTCATTTAGGAATTCCGCTATGCTTGTTTATTATGGCCTGACATTGGACAATTCAAAACTTGCCGGAAATAAATATCTTAATTTCTTTATTGGAGGCGCTTTGGAGGTCGTCATCGTAGTTATGGTAATGTTCATCCTTCACAGGTATCGTTCAAATACTTAATGTAGTAAGGGCGTAATGGAGTGTCTAGGGATGCTAGGGAGTAAATCTTGGCTTGATTGACTTCCTAGAGGCATAGGGGTAGCTAGGGACAGTGTGAAGTAGATGCATGGGACCTTTTACGCAATAGACTATTTTGAACAAATATACTTTGTAGAAATTACTTATACCTTCAAGTTTTATGTCTTTTTGTCGATCACCTCGTGTATGGTATTTATGAAAGTACAAATTGAGGTAGAAATGAGCATTTGAAACATCAATTTTTCATTTAATTGATTTTTTGAGACATTCAATGCAAATCATGATGAGTTTCTTACTTTTCACTCGATATTTTTGTATCAATTTTAATTACTCTCCTTCATCATGCAGATGTGGTCGGAAAAAACTTATAGGTCTTTTTTTTATTCTTGGTGGTATGGCGTGCTTGATTTCTGCTTTTCTGCGAAATGACAATGGTAAATATTCTTCCCTAAGTTGAAATTTTCAAATTGTGTACCCAGTTTGTATTAGGTGATGCTCTACAACACACAAGCCAGAACACATTCCTTAACTTTATTTTTTTCACTAAACAAATTTCTCCCTTTAAGAGTCCCTTGACTCCTTGAGAACTTCTCTTTCTCTGATTGGACGGATGTGTTTAGCTGGAGATGTAGCTGTTATGTTCATTTATACTGCCGAGTTGTTTCCAACAGTTGTAAGGTAGGACATTGATAATTTTCTTCTATGCGTCTTTTGCCTGAACATTTTTGTAATTGTGTTATCACTCGTTGATCTTTTCAGAAGTGTTGGTTTCAGTGTTGCTGTGTTTGGTGCAAGGGTTGGCTTTCTTTTAGCTCCACAAATTAACCTCATTGTTAGTATAACCTAAATTGTTTCAAGTCAATTTGAAATTCGCGCCAATTTATTTGATTGTGCAAAGCTACGTGCTGACGCTCTCAACATGTTAACTCAACATGCGCTCTACATTGTCGATTCAACATGTTTAGAGCATTTGCACACCCTGTTGAGGATTGTTGAGTGGTACTGAGGAGTGTTGAGTTGTACTGAGTGTTGTTGAGGAGTGTTGAGTGGTACTGAACAATGTTGAGCCTTGAGAAAAGTTTGAACTTGTTCGAACTTTTCACTCAATCTTTGTTTTGTTAAGTGATCACCAGAGCTAACCTCAACATTGTTTGAACAGCACACTCAACTTTTTACTTTGCATTTGAACTATTAACGTCATATAAAGCTGCTGAGTCGAAAATCTATTGGCAAACTACCGAAGGCTGCTTGTTCAGCTTATTTTCACGGCATTTTTAGGGCAAGTTCACCAATGAGACGGTGCCATTTGTCATTTTTGGAGCTTTTGCTCTTTTGGCCGCGTTTTCTCTCTCAGTAATGCCAGAGACGATGAACACGAAACTTCCTGAGACCATAGAAGAAGTTAGCAACAATACAAAGTCAAGCTTTACTGTAGAATTTCCTCTCACTTCAACATCCCAGACAGTAAACATAAAACTTCATAAAACTATCAAAGAAGCATGCAACAAGACAAACTCAAGCAATACAGCAGTAAAAGTACAAGAAGATGAATAAGTTGCTGCGTCGACCATTTTTATTGAACTATTTATATGTACTCAGGACTCGATGGTCGCTTGGGTACATTTGGGGATTTTTATGTATCCATGGAAAATTGAAGAACGTACTGAATTTGATGATGATGATGAGATGAAATGACTGGAATCATGGAGAGAATATTTCGGTGTTGACAAAAGATGTTTTTCTCATTTTAAATAGAATACGATGGATGAATAATTAATCTCGTGTATGTTTACTTGAAACAAACGTAAAACTGTACAGTTATATAGGCGCAGGACGTCAATTAGTGCCATATATGTGAAATTGTAGGGCTTAAATCCTTAAAAGATTGACAAGTTTTATCGAAAATATTTTTTAACGCTACAGTTTCCCATAAGCGCACGGTAATTTTGTCAAAAAATGACAAAACGAAGCACGCAAGTGCATTTATTTTGCAATCTGAAAAACATGTAAAACCTACAGCATATTTTTATTTGCTTTTACATTGCTATCGTATGTTAAACACAGTTGGTTAAACACTTATAGGCCTGTACACGATCTATTCTTAAAAACTCCCAACGCTACCTGCACAGAAGCTTCTGCCAGTGAGTAATACATTGCCTTGATGTGGAACTTTGCTTTTGGATTTTAAAATACAGTTAATCTTCAATGAGGCGTTAAATGATTTCGACGCATTGAAAGGGGGCAAAACTTCAAGCTTAAAGCCTGTTTTCCACAAGCCACGTATCGTAAAGTATCGTAGAAAAACGTAACATGGCGCATGCGTGCTTGTGAATTTGATGGTCAATAGGCACAATCACGCATGCGCCATGTTACGTTTTGCTTCGATACGTTACGATAGGTGGCTAGTGGAAAGCAAGCTTTAAACTACAACTTACTGTTTGTTAAGCGCCACAAGTCATTTCGGTTGAAATTCTCAAGTTAAGCCAAACTGGTTGTTTCAATTTTAAATGTTTTGCGTAGTTATTATATCAGAATATTGTGAAGTTACTGAAGAAGATTCATCTGATAAACAGCCATTAAGAAACTGCTTAAAGAACGTAAGAATTACATCTACTGCATTTTATACATCCTGCGCATAAACTTTATTTCAATTGTGTTTACGCTTCCTCTGCTACAAATTGCTACTGAATTTATGCAAAATCTAAACGTCGAGTTATTTCAAGAGGGCTGTAATTTCTTTGATAGACACGCGTAGTTATCGTCTTTACGTTACTAAACTTTCAAACGGTTTATCGTTTCGTTTATTTCTGAAACATATATTAGCCAAAATCTGAATCCTTTCTACATACAATTAATAATTACTTAAGTTATGCAGATGATTCAAGTCATTGGTTTTTAACAAAAGTTCACCGTTGTCGGTATATATGACAGCCTTAAGATCGTTTTGATCAATCGTCACTCTGGATCCTTAATATTCCTTTTGATCACCATTGAACGTTTACTATAAAATCTTAGACACAAAGTTTGGTGAGTGTTTCGTTTGCTTCAAAAGGAAATCTTCCCATACCGTGTTAAAATTTTGTCAATATATAATTACTCAAGGCCATACAAAATACGTCTATTGAATTGTCTAAAATAGTTTTTACCTTTTATAATCTTTTAGTTTACAGTAACAAGTCATCGAGAGAGGTGGTTTTCAGGTTAAAGGATGGCAACAGCGGATGATTTGGCTATCGCTATAGGATCGCCTGGACGATTTCAAATTGTGTTATGTTTAATGGTGTCTGTTTCGTCTTTCTTCGTCAGCTGGGGGTATCTTGGAATGGCTTTTTATGCTGCGGAGACTGATCATCACTGTCTTCTTCCAAACTCCTCGACGAACATTGATGATTTCATACCGACTGTAAGTAAGAACTAAGAAGTTTTTTTTCGTCAATGTGTTGGTGAAAACGATTCTCAAATTATACTCATTTGGTGTTGATTAGTGCAAAAATATTTTACCAAAATCCTGTCATAGCAAAAATTTAAAACGGGTTAAAGTGATTGCAAATCTGGTCATCTAAAGATTTGTTTAAGATTTATGCGACAGCCGATAAAACAGGGCAATTTGGCGGGTCTGCCTCAGGTCTATGATAAGATCTGAAAATGCTGAGTCAGCATCATGGTAAAAAACATTCGTCGATACATCATAAACGATTGACTGAAAGTAAACGGTGTAATATACTTTTTTACTCATCTTTTACAAGTCTATATAATGGTACTGAGAATTTTTATCAAATTCGCAAAATTTTTCGATTAGATAACTATTGATGACGTCATCGTAGATAAAACGTAAATTTCTGCTTATTGTGCACACTTATCGCATGGGGCCCCATTGATTACTTCATTTTGCGTTATTCCTTATAATATTATGAAAGAAGTTAGTTGTGAGAAGTGTGCAGCAAAAGTTATTTTTGAACACATTGGCCATGGCCTTATATTTATTATTATGTAGATTTGTCGTGTGATTATTCACCTCAAAAAATGAATTGTCTTTTTGATATTTTTATTGAATGCCGACATCAGCTACTGTGCATAGCTATTGCTGCGAAAACTAGATACTAATAGCCCGATTTATACAGGAGACGGATCATCCGTGTGGACGAACTTGGGCAAGCAAAACATAGTTCTTCTTCAAGTTCGTCTGCGTGTAAATACTGGCACACTGAAAAATCATCTTTCAAGACGAATTATCTGAATAGTTCGTCTGTATAGAGGAATTTGCATGGAGAGTTAGGTCTTGAAGCATTATCCAACTGTAAATGTAAATAAGGACTGTGGACGACATTGTTAAGTTCTTCGATGTGTAGTTCTTGTAGATCGCTCGTTTTGTGTTTATACTTACAAAGATGATCCTTCTCCAGTACGAAAATCGCGATTATTTTTCATACATTGCAATTGAGCCTCTGAAATGTTGTTTTTCTGGTTGTGCGTGAGCAAAGAAGTACAACAAATCATGACAGTGATTTAAGATGCGTTATGTTATATGAAAGTCTTGTCTTACAATTAGGTAAAAGAAAACGGCAAAGAAGTCTTAGATCGCTGTCATCTTTATTCCGACGTCAATAAAACTACGAAAATATCCTGTACTCATGGTTGGACATATAATCTTTCTGACGGGGAGACAACAATTATTTCAGAGGTAAGGTTACTTTATATGGAAATAATTATGAACGTTTTATGTCTATCTCATATGTTTACGTTAAGTTCGTTTGTTTCTGTAGTGGGATCTTGTCTGTAATGACGTTTACAAAAGTAACATTGCCACTGTACTATATAGTTGTGGAATGATGTTAGGAATACTTTTTGGTCAGCTGTCAGATAAATTTGGAAGGAAACCTGTGTTTCTGTTTACAACTTTCTCACCTTTCATTGTGGGCATTGTCATTTTCTTCACTAATAACTACATCGTTTTTGTATTTTGTCGTTTTGTCCTTGGCTTTCTCTTGGAGGTTTGTTGATAATGATTTGATTAACTTAATGATATGAGTATTTTAAAAATCTCATTGTATGTAATTTGCCTTGTAGACTTTAATTGTGCCATGGGACGTTTCAAGTTTTCTGTATTTGACTTTCTTTTGCAATTCTTACTTTTTAGGGTTTACAATCAGTATCGTACGTCATACCAATTGAACTTTTCGCCAGTAAATATCGAACGACATTCACGCTATTTAATGCATTATTCTGGGGTATTGGTGTTATGATTCTTGCTCTTATATCCTTTGTGTTGCAAGATTGGAGAAAGATCCATCTATTTACAACTGCCTGTGTGGTGGTACAGTTGCCTTTGATCTGGTTAGTATTGGTGTAATGAATTTTCGCCCTTTGCCTTTTTTGACGTCACGAACGTCGATAATAAAGCCAAGTTTACTAATAGTTGTGCTTGCTGTACTTCTTTCGGCGATGAAGATCCACAAATTGCAATTATATCTGAATGCACTCCGTCATTGTTGTAATTTTGTCACAGACATGCAAATTGGAAACGTTTGTTAAAGTTGAATCATGTTTAATTGTTCAATTTCACAAAAAGACAACATCAACTTCACAGAAGTTAGATGCTGACATAAAAAGGTTCACAAAACCACAACAATTACGACTATATGTGAACGCTTGATGTTGCAATAGTTTTAGGTTTGTATCATCATTTGTAGAAGACAGATACACTTATTTATAAACTTGACTAAAGGCAATGAAAGTGTTTTTAAAGAAATTTCTAAACATGGCGAAAGGTAGAATGGATGTCATCAACCTAATATGCAAAATTTCCGCAGTAAAATGTTTCATGGCTCATTGACTTATGCGTTATTTGGCTTAAGCTTACGAAATAAGGAAATTAATGAGTTTTGCTATGAATTCATGCACGGCAATAAAGAAAAATAACTAGAAAAGTCGTCAGGTCACTTAACTAGCTAATCACATTGCACCTTTTCCTGTGTACGTGGGTACTGGGTAACGTCACCAACTTAACATTCGTCGACATTTTTTTCTATAGGTTTTTACCGGAGTCCTTTCGTTGGTTGTTTACACAAAATAAAGTTGACGATGCAAGGGCTGTAGTTGAAAGGATAACAAAGTTTAACAAGTTGCGTTTTCCTCGTGAGATATTTGACGACGTCGCTCATTTCGTGAATGACAAGGATGACTTGCGTTCCAAGAGAGTTTACACGTTTTTTGATCTGTTGAAGTCACGTGAACTAAGAAAGCGATTGGTGATAGCAGCTTTTGTTTGGTAAGTGTAAAACATTGATGTATGGATGTAGTTTCACCAGAAGCGAGCAGAGGTGGCGAATATCACTGTTATATTTATGTATGTTTTGATAAGCCAGAAAAAAAGAGATTTTCCTATAATTTTTCATTGTCATTTAGGAATTCAATCGTGCTTACTTATGTTGGCCTGACACTCGAAAATTCAAAACTTGCTGGCAATAAATATCTTAATTTCTTTATTGGTGGCGTTTTAGAGGTCGTCATCGTCGTTATAATAATGTTCATCCTTCACAGGTATCGTTGTAATACTTTATGTAATCAGGATGTAATGGAGGAGTTTCGGGAGATTCTATGAAGGGGACACATTGGCTTCCTTGAAGGATATAGGTCTTTCGACGACAGATGCTACGAAAAATACAGTACTGACTCTTCCTTAAAAATATAGGTTTAAAAAATTGTTTTCATAATCTTTAAATGTCCTAACAATCATGTAATATACAAATGGCAACAAGAAACCTTGTTGGACTTTGTTGATTTTTTGAAAAGAAAACATTTAATGGTAGCCGTTTGGATATCTTTTCAATAGACTCACTTGGACTTTATCTATCAATTATGAAAGATCCACTTTTTATTAGTTTCGTTTTTTTTCGTCATGCAGGTGTGGTCGCAGGAAACTTGCTGGTCTTTTTTTGATACTCAAGATAAATTTGTGTTATCATTTTTCATCGTGTAGGTGTGGTCGTAAAAACATTGCAAGCCCTTTATTGCTTTTTGCTGGTATAGCGTGTTTCGTTTCTGTCGCTCTACGAAATAACAATGGTAAATATTTTGTCCAAGTTAACTTACACCGCATTCTTAATTTGTTATTATCCCAAGAATTATCTCCCTTTAAGAATCTCTTGATCCCCTGCGAACATCCCTATCTCTGTTTGGACGGATGTGTTTAGCTGGAGACGTAGCTGTTATGTTCATTTACACGGCCGAGTTGTTTCCAACAGTTGTAAGGTATGATTTCGAACATTTTTCTGTATATGTGTATTGTATTGACATTTCATTGCTTCATAGATTACTTTTTTTAAAATCTTTTCAGAAGTGTTGGTCTCGGTTTTTCTATGTTTGGTGCAAGGGTTGGCTATATTTTAGCTCCACAAATCAACCTGATTGTTAGTATAACCTTTATCCTTTCAGATTATGTGTTTATTAAAATGTTTTGTATTGACGATTCAAACCACCAAAGATTGCTGTTACATATTATGCATAGAACTACATACTTTTATTCCTTGATGATTTCTATATTTTTGTCCATTTTCATGATGTTTTTAGGGCAGCTACACGTATGAGTCGGTGCCGTATGTTATTTTTGGAAGTTTTGCTCTCCTTGCTGGGCTGTCCCTGAGAGCAATGCCTGAGACACTGAATGTTAAACTTCCTGAAACTATTGAAGGAGTACACAAAAAGACAGAGTCAAACAAAGTAGCAGGATCTTCCCTTACAATAATGTCAAAGACAGAAAATGTTGAACTTCCCGACTCTACTGAAAGCGAGGTCAAGACAAACTCAAGAAATGTGGCAGGATCTTCTCTCACAGTGATGCCAGAGACAGTGAATGTTGAAATTCCTGACTCTACTGAAAGAGAGGTCAAGACAAACTCAAGAAATGTAGCAGGATCTTCTCTCACAGTGATGCCAGAGGCAGTAAATGTTGAACTTCCTGACTCTACTGAAAGAGAGATCAAGACAAACTCAAGAAATATGGCAGGATCTTCTCTCACAGTGATGTCAAAGACAGAAAATGTTGAACTTCCTGACTCTACTGATAGAGAGGTCAAGACAAACTCAAGAAATGTGGCAGGATCTTCTTTAACAGTGATGTCAGAGACAGGGAATGTTGAACTTCCTGAAACTATTAAAGAAAAGGACAAGACAAACTCAAGCAATGTAGCATGACGACAAGAGGAAGGCAAACAATATAAAGCAATAAAACCATAAAAATATAAACAAGTTTCGTCAAAGACTATTTACCAGGATTTGATGATCGCTGGGGTGAAGTTGGGGATTTTTGTGTATCCATGGAAATAATCGCTGGAATTCTATTCAAGATAATCGTATGATAGGAATATAGGAATAATAGGATGCATTGGATTTAGAAGGAATCTCGCGTATGATTGCTTGACATGAACGTAGAACGTTTACACACGAACGTGAAACGTTGAAATACCAACACAAAAATTGATTGAATTCAAATATTTAGGTTCATGATGTACATATGATGTACAGAGTGATTTAAAAAACTTCAACTGTATGTGTAGTTTGCATAGGAGACAATTCAAATTTGCATCCCATTTTTTTTAGTAATGTATTTTTGTATTTTTCATTTTTTATCAAATAATATTTAAGTATAATATGATATTTCATTCTCATGTTCTGAAATTCGTACATTTTAATGTTACATGGTTTGGTTTTCATACCACTTTCACAGCTGAGTCGAATCGCTTTGGGAAAAAGATGCAAATTGTATCTGATGATGCGAGAACCGAATGAACGCAAGGCCAATCTGGAATAAAAATTAATCATGTATAAGTCGTATAGATGTAGTCTCGTGTGTGAACATTTGAAATTTATGCCATATACTCTCAAATTGATTCAGTGTTGGTTTTAAACGGAAGCTTACTGTTGTTGGTGAACGTATCAACGTTATGATGTTATTTTAATCATTAGTCACTGTTTTTTCATGAACGATAGATTGCTGTTGCATCATGTACGTGTATTGTATTGATTTGCTTGCTTCGTTAATTATTTTTTTAATATTATTTCAGAAGGGTCGGTTTCGGTTTTGCTCTGTTTGATACAAGGGTTGGCTATGTTTTAGCTCCAGAAATAAATCTGATAGTTAGTGTATCCTAAATTGTTTCTAGTTAATTTGATATTTCTGCGAATTTCATTAATCGTCAGACTATGTGATATGTCATGTGACTTTCACAAGCAGCATATGACCAAAACTGACGCTTGCTGGGGATATTATTTTAGTGCATTGATGTTTAGATGTTATACATAAACTGAACTTAGAACATGACCAAAGCCACTCGGCCAATCAGCATCCGGTATCTTGATGTTCTATATCTCATAGTGTCTACAATTCATAAATTGATATGGCAATTCATGAATTGATATGGGCTTTAAGGCTCTAAGAAAATGCACAGATGGAAGGAAAACAATAAGTACAATAGCTCACATCTGCCGGAGTCCTTTCGTTGGTTGATTACGCAAAATAAAGTTGACGATGCAAAGGCTGTAGTTAACAAGTTAAGTTTTCCTCGTGAGATATTCGACGACATCGCTCATTTCGTGAATGACAAGGATGACTTGCGTTCCACGAGAGTTTACACGTTTTTTGATTTGTTGAAGTCACGTGAGCTGAGAAAGCGATTGGTGATAGCAGCTTTTGTTTGGTATGTGCTACGTTGTTGTCATGTGACATTATGACGTGACTCATACGCTTGTTGTTAAGTTTTATTGTTTGAAGCCTCCGTGTCGAAATGTTACGTATCAAAACATACTTTACCAACATGTGTTGGTCTTTTTACTGAAAATGGACAGAAATAAAAGTTTTTAATAAGTTCTTCTTTAAAGTGAATGATTTGAACCCAGGAGCATCGTTACATATTTGCAGATGTAGATCGTCCAGGTTGGTATAGTCTTGAGAAGGACTGTTGTTGTTGATGTTAACAGACAATTCGACAATCGTGACTCTGAAGATCACTACTGCTAATGTTGTCGAAACGTCAGTCAACATCAAAAACAACAGTCCTTTTCAAGACTCGACCAACCTGAACAATCTACTCCTACAAACATGTAAATTCTTCTTTTTCATTTAGGAATTCCGCTATGCCTGTTTATTATGGCCTGACATTGGACAATTCAAAACTTACTGGAAATGAATATCTTAATTTCTTTGTTGGGGGCGCTTTTGAGGTCGTCATCGTCATTATAGTAGTGTTCATCCTTCACAGGTATCGTTCAAATACTTAATTTAGTAAGGGCGTAATGGAGTGTCTAGGGATGCGAGGGAGTAAATCCTGGCTTGATTGACCTCCAAGAGGCATATAGCTACATGACGGGGTAGCTAGGGACAGTGTGAAGTAGATGCATGAGGCCTTTAACGCAATAGACTATTTTGAACAAATATACTTTGTAGAAATTACTTATACCTTCATGCTTTATGTCTTTTTGTCGATCACCTCGTGTATGGTATTTATGAAAGTACAAATTGAGGTAGAAATGAGCATTTGAAACATAAATTTCTTCATTTAATTGATTTTTTAAGACATTCAATTCAAATCATGATGAGTTTCTTACTTTTCACTCGATATTTTTGTGTCAATTTTTAATTACTTTCCTTCATCATGCAGATGTGGTCGGAAAAAACTTATAGGTCTTTTTTTTATTCTTGGTGGTATGGCGTGCTTGATTTCTGCTTTTCTGCGAAATGAAAATGGTAAATATTCTTCCCTAAGTTGAAATTTTCAAATTGTGTACCCAGTATGTATTAGGTGATGCTCTACAACACACAAGCCAGAACACATTCCTTAACTTTATTTTTTTCACTAAACAAATTTCTCCCTTTAAGAGTCCCTTGACTCCTTGAGAACTTCTCTTTCTCTGATTGGACGGATGTGTTTAGCTGGAGATGTAGCTGTTATGTTCATTTATACTGCCGAGTTGTTTCCAACTGTTGTAAGGTAGGACATTGACAATTTTCTTCTATGCGTCTTTTGCCTGAACATTTTTGTGATTGTGTTATCATTCGTTAATCTTTTCAGAAGTGTTGGTTTCAGTGTTGCTGTGTTTGGTGCAAGGGTTGGCTTTCTTTTAGCTCCACAAATTAACCTCATTGTTAGTATAACCTAAATTGTTTCAAGTCAATTGAAATTCGCGCCAATTTATTTGATTGTGCAAAGCTACGTGCTGACGCTCTCAACATGTCAACTCAACATGCGCTCTACATTGTCGATTCAACATGTTTAGAGCATTTGCACACCCTGTTGAGGATTGTTGAGTGGTACTGAGGAGTATTGAGTTGCACTGAGTATTGTTGAGGAGTGTTGAGTGTTAGTGAGCGGTGTTGAGGAGTGTAGAGTTATACTGAGCGTTGTTGAGGAGTATTGAGTTATACTGAGTGTTGTTGAGGAGTGTTGAGTGGTATTGAGCGTTGTTGAGGAGTGTTGAGTTGTACTGAGTGTTGTTGAGAAGTGTTGAGTGGTACTGAGCGTTGTTGAGGAGTGTTGAGTTATACTGAGTGTTGTTGAGGAGTGTTGAGTGGTATTGAGTGGTGTTGAGGAGTGTTGAGTTATACTGAGCGTTGTTGAGAAGTGTTGAGTGGTACTGAGCGGTGTTGAGGAGTGTTGAGTTGTACTGAGTGTTGTTGAGGAGTGTTGAGTGGTGTTGAGGAGTGTTGAGTTGTACTGAGTGTTGTTGAAGAGTGTTGAGTTGTATTGAGTGTTGTCGAGTGTTGAGTTGTACTGAGCGTTGTTGAGAAGTGTTGAGTGGTACTGAGCGTTGTTGAAGAGTGTTGAGTTGTATTGAGTCTTATTGAAAAGTGTTGAGTTGTATTGAGTGTTGTTGAAGAGTGTTGAGTTGTACTGAGCTGTGTTGAGGAGTGTTGAGTTGTACTGAGTGTTGTTGAGGAGTGTTGAGTTATACTGAGTGTTGTTGAGAAGTGTTGAGTGGTACTGAGTTGTGTTGAAGAGTGTTTAATTGTACTGAGTGTTGTTAAGGAGTGTTGAGTGGTATTGAGCGGTGTTGAGCGGAGTAGAGTGGTACTGAGCGGTGTTGAGGAGTGTTGAGTTGTACTGAGTGTTGTTAAGGAGTGTTGAGTGGTACTGAGCGTTGTTGGGCGGTGTAGAGTGGTACTGAGATGTGTTGAGTGGTACTGAGCGTTGTTAAGCGGTGTAGAATGGTGCTGAGGAGTCTGAGTGGTAGTGAGCGGTGTTGAGGAGTGTTGAGTGGTACTGAACAGTGTTGAGCCTTGAGAAAAGTTTGAACTTGTTCCAACTTTTCACTCAATCTTTGCTTTGTTAAGTGATCACCAGAGCTAACCTCAACATTGTTTGAACAGCACACTCAACTTTTTACTTTGCATTTGAACTGTGAAACGTCATTTAAAGTTGCTGAGTCGAAAATCTATTGGCAAACTACCAAAGGCTGCTTGTTCAGCTTATTTTCACGGCATTTTTAGGGCAAGTTCACCAATGAGACGGTGCCATTTGTCATTTTTGGAGCTTTTGCTCTTTTGGCCGCGTTTTCTCTCTCAGTAATGCCAGAGACGATGAACACGAAACTTCCTGAGACCATAGAAGAAGTTAGCAACAATACAAAGTCAAGCTTTACTGTAGAATTTCCTCTCACTTCAACATCCCAGACAGTAAACATAAAACTTCATAAAACTATCAAAGAAGCATGCAACAAGACAAACTCAAGCAATACAGCAGTAAAAGTACAAGAAGATGAATAAGTTGCTGCGTCGACCATTTTTATTGAACTATTTATATGTACTCAGGACTCGATGGTCGCTTGGGTACATTTGGGGATTTTTATGTATCCATGGAAAATTCAAGAACGTACTGAACTTGATGATGATGATGAGATGAAATGACTGGAATCATGGAGAGAATATTTCGGTGTTGACAAAAGATGTTTTTCTCATTTTAAATAGAATACGATGGATGAATAATTAATCTCGTGTATGTTTACTTGAAACAAACGTAAAACTGTACAGTTATATAGGCGCAGGACGTCAATTAGTGCCATATATGTGAAATTGTAGGGCTTAAATCCTTAAAAGATTGACAACTTTTATCGAAAATATTTTTTAACGCTACAGTTTCCCATAAGCGCACGGTAATTTTGTCAAAAAATGACAAAACGAAGCACGCTAGTGCATTTATTTTGCAATCTGAAAAACATGTAAAAACATACAGCATAGTTTTAGATTGCTTTTTACATTGATATCGTATGTTAAACACTGTTGGTTAAACACTTATAGGCCTGTACACGGTCTATTCAAAAACTCCCAACACTACCTGCACAGAAGCTTCTGCCCAGTGAGTAATACATTGCCTTGATATGGAACTTTGCTTCTAGGATTTTAAAATACAGTTAATCTTCAATGAGGCATTAAATGATTTCGACGCATTGAAAGGGGGCAAAACTTCAAGCTTAAAACTACAACTTACTGTTTGTTAAGCGCCACAAGTCATTTCGGTTGTAATTCTCAAATTGGGCCAAACTGGTTGTTTCAATTTTAAATGTTTTGCGTAGTTATTATATCAGAATATTGTGAAGTTACTGAAGAAGATTCATCTGATAAACAGCCGTTAAGAAACTGTTTAAAGAAAGTAAGAATTACAGCTACTGCATTTTATACATCCAGCGCATAAACTTTATTTCAATTGTGTTTACGCTTCCCCTGCGACAAATTGCTACTGAATTTATGCAAAATCTTAAGGTCGAGTTATTTCAAGAGTGTTTTAATTTCTTTGATACACCCGTGTTTTAATTTCTTTAATACACCCGCGTAGTTATCGTCTTTACGTTACTAAACTTTCAAATGAAACAGTTTATCTTTTCGTTTATTTCTGAAACATATATTAGCCAAAATCTGAATCCTTTCTACATACAATTAATAATTACTTAAGTTATGCAGATGATTCAAGTCATTGGTTTTGAACAAAAGTTCGCCGTTGTTGGTCTATATGACAGCCTTAAGATCATCTTGATCAATCGTCACTCTGGATCCTTAATATTCCTTTTGATCACCATTGAACGTTTACTGTAAATCTTAGACACAAAGTTTGGTGAGTGTTTCGTTTGCTTCGAAAGGAAATCTTCCCATACCGTGTTAAAATTTTGTCAATATATAATTATTCAAGGCCATACAAAATACGTCCATTGAATGTCTAAAATACTTTTTATCTTTTATAATCTTTTTAGTTTACAGCAGCAAGTCATCGAGAGGGTTGGTTTTCAGGTTAAAAGATGGCAACAACGGATGATTTAGCTATCGCTATAGGATCGCCTGGACGATTTCAAGTTGTGTTATGTTTAATGGTGTCTGTTTCGTCTTTCTTCGTCAGCTGGGGGTATCTTGGAATGGCTTTTTATGCTGCGGAGACTGATCATCACTGTCTTCTTCCAAACTCCTCGACGAACATTAATGATTTCATACCGGCTGTAAGTAAGAACTAAGAAGTTCTTTGTTCGTCAATGTGTTGGTGAAAACCATTTTCAAATTATACTCATTTGGTGTTGATTCGTGCAAAAATATTTACAAAAATCATGTCGTAGCAAAAATTTAAAACGGGTTAAAGTGATTGCAAATCTGGTGATCTAAAGATTTGTTTGAAGATTTAGGCGACAACCGATAAAACAGGACAATTTGTCGTGCCTTCCTAAGGTATATGATAAGATCTGAAAATGCTGAGTCAGCATCATGGTAAAAACCCATTCGTCAATACATCATAAACGATTGATTGAAAGTAAACGGTGTAATATACTTTTTTACTCATCTCTTACAAGTCCATATAATGGTACTGAGAATTTTTCAAATTCGCAAAATTTTTGGATTAGATAACTATTGATGACGTCATCGTAGATAAAACGTAAATTTCTGCTTATTGTGCACACTTATCGCATGGGGCCACATTGATTACTTCATTTTGCATTATTCTTTATAATATTATGAAAGAAATTATTTGTGAGAAGTGTGCAGCAAAAGTTGTTTTTGAACACATTGGCCATGGCCTTATATTCATTATTATGTAGATTTGTCGTTTGATTATTCACCTCAAAAAATGAATTGTCTTTTTGACATCAGTTACTGTGCATGGCTATTGTTGCGAAGACTAGATACTAATGGCCCGATTTATACAGGAGACGGATCATCCGTGTGAACGAACTTGGGCAAGCAAAACATAGTCCTTCTTCAAGTTCGTCTGCGTGTAAATACTGGCACACAGACAATATCATCTGTCAAGACGAATTATCTGAATAGTTCGTCTATATAGAGGAATTTGCATGGAGAGTTCGGTCTTGACGCATTATCCCACTGTAAGTATAAATAAGGACTGTTGACGAAATTGTTAAGTTCTTCGATGTGTAGTTTTTGTAGATCGCTCGTCTTGTGTTTATACTTACACCGATGATCCTTCTCCAGTACGAAAATGGCCATTATGTTTTCATACATTGCAATTGAGCCTCTGAAATGTTGTTTTTCTGGTTGTGCGTGAGCAAAGAAGTACAACAAATCATGACAGTGATTTAAGATGCGTTATGTTATATGAAAGTCTTGTCTTAAAATTAGGTAAAGGAAAACGGCAAAGAAGTCTTAGATCGCTGTCATCTTTATTCCGACGTCAATAAAACTGCGAAAATATCCTGTACTCATGGTTGGACATATAATCTTTCTGGCGGAGAGACAACAATTATTTCAGAGGTAAGGTTACTTTGTATGGAAATAATTATGAACATGTTTATCTTATATGTTTACGTTTTTTCATTTGTTTCTATAGTGGGATCTTGTCTGTAATGACGTTTACAAAAGTAACATTGCCACTGTACTATTTAGTTGTGGAATGATGTTAGGAATACTTTTTGGTCAGCTGTCAGATAAATTTGGAAGGAAACCTGTGTTTCTGGTAACAACTTTCTCACATGTCATAGTGGGTATTGTCATTTTCTTCACCAATAACTACATCGTTTTTGTATTTTGTCGTTTTGTCCTTGGCTCTCTCGTGGAGGTTTGTTGATGATGATTTGATTAACTTAATGATATAACGAGTATTTTACAAATCTCATTGTATGCAATCTGCCTTGTAGACTTTAATTGTGCCATGGGATGTTTCAGGTTTTCTGTATTTGACTTTCTTTAGCAATTCTTACTTTTTAGGGTTTACAATCAATATCTTACGTCATACTAATTGAACTTTTCGCCAGTAAATATCGAACGACATTCACGCTAGTCAATGCGTTATGCTGGGGTATTGGTGTTATGATTCTTGCTCTTATATCCTTTGTGTTGAAAGATTGGAGAAAGATCCATCTATTTACAACTGCCTGTGTGTTGGTACAGTTGCCTTTGATTTGGTTAGTATTGGTATCATGAATTTTTGCCATTGCTTTTTCTTGACGTCACGAACGTCGATAATAAAGCCAAGTTTACTAATAGTTGTGCTTGCTGTACTTCTATGGGCGATGAAGATCCACAAATTGCAATTATATCTGAATGCACTCCGTCATTGTTGTAATTTTGTCACAGACATGCAAATTGGAAACTTTTGTTAAAGTTGAATCATGTTTAATTGTTCAATTTCACAAAAAGACAACATCATTTTCACAGAAGTTTGATGCTGACATAAAAAAGTTCACAAAACTACGACAATTACGACTATATTTGAACTTTTGATGTTGCAATAGTTTTAGGTTTGTATCATCATTTGTAGAAGACAGATACACCTATTTATAAACTTGACTAAAGGCAATGAAAGTGTTTTTAGAAAAATTTCTAACTATGGCGAAAGGTAGAATGGATGTCATCAACCTAATATGCAAAATTTCCGTAGTAAAATGTTGCGTGGCTCATTGACTTATGCGTTATATGGCTGAAGACTTACGAATTAAGGAAATTAAGGGGTTTTGCTATGAATTCATGCACGGCAATAAAGAAAAATAACTAGAAAAGTCGTCAGATCACTTAACTAGCCAATACATTGCACCTTTTCCTGTGTACGTGGGTACTGGGTAACGTCACCAACTTAACATTCGTCGACATTTTTTTCTATAGGTTTTTACCTGAGTCCTTTCGTTGGTTGTTTACACAAAATAAAGTTGACGATGCAAGGGCTGTAGTTGAAAGGATAACAAAATTTAACAAGTTACGTTTTCCTCGTAAGATATTTGACGACGTCGCTCATTTGGGGAATGACAAGGATGACTTGCGTTCCAAGAGAGTTTACACGTTTTTTGATCTGTTGAAGTCACGTGAACTAAGAAAGCGATTGTTGATAGCTGCTTTTGTTTGGTAAGTGTAAAACATTGATGTATGGATTTAGTTTCACCAGAAGCGAGCAGAGGTGGCGAATATCACTGTTATATTTATGTATGTTTTGATAAGCAAGAAAAATAGATATTTTCCTATAATTTTTCATTGTCATTTAGGAATTCAATCGTGCTTACATATGTTGGCCTGACACTCGAAAATTCAAAACTTGCTGGCAATAAATATCTTAATTTCTTTATTGGTGGCGTTTTAGAGGTCGTCATTGTCGTTATAATAATGTTCATCCTTCACAGGTATCGTTGTAATACTTTATATAATCAGGATGTAATAGAGAAGTTTCGAGAGATTCTATGAAGGGGACACATTGGCTTCCTTGAAGGATATAGGTCTTTCGACGACAGATGCTACGAAAAATACAGTACTAACTCTTCCTTAAAAATATAGGTTTAAAAAATTGTTTTCATAATCTTTAAATGTCCTAACAATCATGTAATGTACAAATGGCACCAAAAAACCTTGTTGTACTTTGTTGATTTTTTTGAAAAGAAAACATTTAATGGTAGCCGTTTGGATATCTTGATCTGTTAATAATCTTACGTTGAATTTGTTTGTCAATTATGAAAGATCCACTTTTTACCAGTATCGTTTTTTTTTTCATCATGCAGATGTGGTCGTAGGAAACTTGCTGGTCTTTTTTTGATACTTGCTGGTATAGCGTGTTTGGTTTCTGTCGCTCTACGAAATAACAATGGTAAATATTTCTCCCAAGTTAAAATTCCTAAACTGAGAAACCCACCTTACATGGCATTCTTATTTTGTTTGTTATCCAAAGAATTTTCTCCTTTTAAGAGTCTCTTGATCCCCTGCGAACATCCCTATCTCTGTTTGGACGGATGTGTCTTTCTGGGGACATGGCCGTTATGCTTATTTATACAGCCGAGTTATTTCCAACAGTTGTAAGGTATGATTTCAACATTTTTCTGTATATGTGTAGTGTATTGACATTTCACTGTTTCATTGATTACTTCTTTTAAAAATCTTTTCAGAAGTGTTGGTTTCGGTTTTTCTATGTTTGGTGCAAGGGTTGGCTATATTTTAGCTCCACAAATCAACCTGATTGTTAGTATAACCTTAATTCTTTTAGATTATGTGTTTATTAAAATGTTGTGTATTGACGATTCAAACCACCATAGATTGCTGTTACATATTATACAGAGAAATACATACTTTTATTCTTTGACGATCTCTATGTTTGTGTCCATTTTCATGATGTTTTTAGGGCAGCTACACGTATGAATGGGTGCCGTATGTTATTTTTGGAAGTTTTGCTCTCCTTGCTGGGCTGTCCTTGAAAGCAATGCCTGAGACTCTGAATGTTAAACTTCCTGAAACTATTGAAGAAGTACACAAAAAGACACAGTCAAACAACGTAGCAGGATTTTCTCTCACAATAATGTCAAAGACAGAAAATGTTGAACTTCTTGACTCTACTGAGAAAGAGAGTAATACAAACTCAAGAAATGTGGCAGGATCTTCTTTCACAGTGATGTCAGAGACAGTGAATGTTGAACTTCCTGAAACTATTAAAGAAAAGGACAAGACAAACTCAAGCAATGCAGCATGAAGACAAGAGGAAGGCAAACAATATAAAGCAATAAAACCATAAAAATATAAACAAGTTTCGGCAAAGACTATTTACCAGGATTTGATGATCACTGGGGTGTAGTTGGGGATTCTTGTGTATCCATGGAAATAATCGGTGGAACTCTATTCAAAATAATCGTATGATAGGAATATAGGATGCATTGGATTTACAAGGAATCTGGCGTATGATTGCTTGACATGAACGTAGAACGTTTACACACGAACGTGAAACGTTGAAATACCAACACAAAAATTGGATGAATTCAAATATTTAGGTTCATGATGTGCATATAATGTACAGAGTGATTTAAAAACTTCAACTGTATGTGTAGTTTGCATAGGAGACAATTCAAATTTGCATACCATTGCTTTTGGTAATGTATTTTTGTATTTTGCTGTTTTATCAACTTGTATTTAAGTATAATAAGGTATTTCAGTCTCATGTTCTGAAATTCGTATATTTTAATGTTACATGGTTTGGTTTTCATACCACTTCCACAGCTGAGTCAAATCGCTTTAGGAAAAAGATGCAAATTGTATGTGATGATGGGGGAACCGAATGAACGCAAGGCCAATCTGGAATAAAAATTAATCATGTATAAGTCTTATAGATGTAGTCTCGTGTGTCAACATTTGAAATTTATCCCATATACTCTCAAATTGATCCAATGTTGGTTTTGAACAAAAGCTTACTGTTGTTGGTGGACGTATCAACGTTATGATGTTATTTTAATCATTAGTCACTGTTTTTTCATGTACGATAGATTTCTGTTGCATCATGTACGTGTATTGTATTGATTTGTTTGCTTCGTTAATTACTTTTTTAATATTATTTCAGAAGTGTTTGTTTCGGTTTTACTCTGTTTGGTGAAAGGGATGGCTATGTTTTAGCTCCAGAAATCAATCTGATAGTTAGTGTATCCTAAATTGTTTCTAGTTAATTTGATATTTCTGCGAATTTCATCAATCGTCAGACTGTGTGATATGTCATGTGACTTTCACAAGCAGCATAGCTTTTCGCATATGACCAAAACTGACGCTTGTTGGGGACATTATTTTAGTGCATTGATGTTCAATGTTATACATAACTGAACTTAGAACATGAACAAAGCCACTTGGTCAATCAGCATCCGGTATTTTGATGTTCTATATCTCATAGTGCCTACAATTCATGAATTGATATGGGCTTTAAGGCTCTAAGAAAATGCACAGATGGAGGGAAAACAATAAGTACAATAGCTCATTAGTATTGTCTATGTAGAGAATACTAATTTGGAAATCGTTTTTTATTTTTCATTTCCTTATTAGTATTCTCTAAATAGAAATTCACGAGGGCCCTCGTGAAGTTCTATCTAATTCTCGGGACTCTTAATCCCATAGAATACACGTGATCATGCTTTAACCTTTACATAACCAGTTCGATTACGAATGACTCAACTAACCAAAGAACAACGAGTTTTTATCGTGCTAAATTTAGCGCGAACGCAAGCTCTACTAAAGTAAGAAACCTTGAAAATCGTGATTCAATGGATTTCAACTATTCAGGGGTAGGATGTACTTAATATACAAGGGTGTATTTAAAAACTGCAACTATGTATATTTAGCACAGAGCCACTTCTAAATGACATGCCATTGCATTTATCTATGTAGTTTTGTGTTTTTTTTTTCATCAAATAATATAAATACTTATAAAAGACTATTATCCTATATCACCCTATGTTTTCGTTTTTACGATACATTCAAACGAGAAACATGTTTGTGTGTATTTTTGAAGTATCTTAAATGTGATTTGATGGAAAGGAGACCTTTAAAAAAATTGGCCAATTGTTAAAAATTTCAATACTACGGGCACATTATTATTGTGCAGATTCTCCTGTGAATTTTTCCCGCGCAGATACGCGCGTGTTTTTCTGTGTGCATATTTTTCTATGTTATGTAATATTTGCACGTATCTTAGGATGTATTACCACGCACCCCCCCTGGTTTAGCATAATCATACATTGAAACTAAAACAATGGGTTAATTTTTAACAATAGTTTAATTTCGAAAGATCTCCTTTTTTATACATACCGTGCACTGCAGATATCTCGATGTTATCTATACCTGCATGTCAATTATGCAATTGATTCAGTCGTTGGTTTTAAACAAAAAAAATCACTGTAGTTGGTCAATATGACAATGTTATAGTATAAAATTATTTTAATCATCCTTCAAAGTACAATAGATTGCTACTGGATATTTACTGTAAATATTTCAACGCAGACTTTGGTGAGTGTTTTTTTTTTTCTTACATGGAAAATCGAGATGAAATCTTTCCATGATGTGTTATCATTTTGTTTATTCGAATTACTCAACTTCCTGGAATATACATGCGTTGCATGCATTATAACTTCTAAGTCTCTTGTCTTTATTGACGTTTGTCTTCATGATTCTTTTTAATTTAACACAGGGAATTATCGAGAGATTTGGTTTTATTAAGTTAAAAGATGGCAACAACGGATGATTTAGCTAACTTAGCAGTAGTCATCTTCAGAGTCAAATTAATCAAAGAGAAGATAACTACCACTAAGATTGTCGAAACGTCAGTCAACAACAAAAAAGACAGTCTTTCTCAGGACTCTACTAACATGGATGACCTACATTTACAAACATGTAACGACACTCCGGATTCAAACTATTTACTTTAAGTCATTACATAATTGGTCAACTTTATGTGTACTGTGTTATTGTAATATCATTTCATATGTCTTTAAAAACTTGTATCATGCAGATATCAGTTACTGCATATATTTATTGTGCCGATTTTGCGCTTAAAAGGCTGATTTTGATTTGATATAATTCGTCATAGCTCATTTCTCGTCATCGATAACTGAAACGTTGTTGTATTGTGGTAGAATTGTCTCGAATTCAAATTTCCATACGACTTCCATAGCATAATCGTAATTGTCGTGGTAAAGAAAAGAAATATTTCAATTATGATTTTGGCTTTTGTATTTCGGATTATGCAATATTATGCAATATTACGCAATGTTACGACAATCAATTTTATGTGATATGAAAACCAGCCTTAAAGTCTTGTCTTACAATTAGATAAAAGAAAACGGCAAAGAAGTCTTAGATCGCTGTCATCTTTATTCCGACGTCAATAAAACTACGAAAATATCCTGTACTCATGGTTGGACCTATAATCTTTCTGGTAAAGAAACAACAATTATTTCAGAGGTAAAGTTATTTTATATGGAAATATTTATGAACGTTTTATGTTTATCTTATATGTTTACGTTAAGTTCATTTGTTTCTGTAGTGGGATCTTGTCTGTAATGACGTTTACAAAAGTAACATTGCCACTGTACTATATAGTTGTGGAATGATGCTAGGAGTACTATTTGGTCAGCTGTCAGATAAATTTGGAAGAAAACCTGTGTTTCTGTTTACAACTTTCTCACCTTTCATTGTGGGCATTGTCATTTTCTTCACCAATAACTACATCGTTTTTGTATTTTGTCGTTTTGTCCTTGGCTCTCTCGTGGAGGTTTGTTGATGATGATTTGATTAACTTAATGATATAACAAGTATTTTACAAATCTCATTGTACATAATTTGCTTTAAAAATTGTGTTGATTTTAACTGTTCCATTACATATTTAATTTTTTGCTTTTTTTAGGGATTACAATCAATATCATACATCATATCAATTGAACTTTTTGCCAGTGAATATCGAACGACATTTACGCTAGTCAATGCGTTATTCTGGAGTATTGGTGTTATGATTCTTCCTCTTATATCTTTTGTGTTGCAAGATTGGAGAAAGATCCATCTATTTACAACTGCCTGTGTGTTGGTACAGTTGCCTTTGATCTGGTTAGTATTGGTATCATAAATTTTCGCCCATTGTAACGTAATAGTTGAGTGTTCCGATGTTGTATTTTTGAACTGATGGAATACAAGGAATTTCCTTTTTTATTAACGAAACAATTTTCAACAAGACGATGTAAAACATGGAGTAAAACATCTAAATCGAATGTATCGGAATAATGTTGCCCGTGTCTTGTGATGTTTTGTGAAATAAACACGAGCAAATCCTTTCGTCCTGCTATGTAAATTCTGTACCGCTATTATTGTCATTATTTATTTCTTTGGAAATGTACTGTATTTACAATTTGTAAACTCGAAAAACTAAAGCAATTAAACTCATGGGCTATCTAGTGTCTGCGCTTCTGGGAACACAGCTATCATATACAGGTTGCAATGCTGTAGCTCTTGCCAATTATAATATAAAATAACAGCCTTTTTTTTTCCACACTTAATGTCCATGCATGAGTTGAAGAATTTAAGGAGTTGAATAAGTATTTCATGGATTCACTCGCAGTGCATTGCTCTATATACGATCGATGGGGGCTTTGTCACCCAATAAGTTTTTTTCTTTAAATTGTTGGAATTGTTTTAAGCCGAGTGATTAATGTTTGGATCAAGACTAATGGTCAATATGGACAATGTCACCAACTTAAAAACGGCCATATGTATTTTTCTATAGGTTTTTGCCGGAGTCCTTTCGTTGGTTGATTACGCAAAATAAAGTTGACGATGCAAGGGCTGTAGTTGAAAAGATAACAAAGTTTAACAAATTGAGTTTTCCTCGTGAGATATTCGACAACATCGTTCATTCCATGAATATTAAAAAAGATGACTCGTGTTCCAAGAAAGTTTACACGTTTTTTGACTTGTTGAAATCACGTGAGCTGAGAAAGCGATTGGTGATAGCAGCTTTTGTTTGGTAAGTGCTGCCTTGTTGTCATGTGACATTATCACGTGACTCATACGCTTGTTGTTAAGTTTTTTTGTTTGAAGCCTCCGTGTGGAAATTTTACGTATCAAAACATACTTTACCAACATGTGTTGGTCTTTTTACTGAAAATGCACAGAAATAGAATTTTCCATAAATTCTTCTTTAAAGTGAATGATTTGAAACCAGGAGTATCGCTACATGTTTGTAAATGTAGATCGTCTAGGTTGGTAGAGTCTTGAGAAGGACTGTTGGTGTTGTTGTTGACTGACGTTTCGACAATCTTGACTCTGAAGATGACTACTGCTAATGTTGTCGAAACGTCAGTCAACAACAACAACAGTCCTTCTCAAGACTCGACTAAGCTGAACAATCTACTCCTACAAACATGTAAATTCTTTTTTTCTCATTTAGGAATTCCGCTATGCTTGTTTATTATGGCCTGACATTGGACAATTCAAAACTTGCCGGAAATAAATATCTTAATTTCTTTATTGGAGGCGCTTTGGAGGTCGTCATCGTCGTTATGGTAATGTTCATCCTTCACAGGTATCGTTCAAATACTTAATGTAGTAAGGGCGTAATGGAGTGTCTAGGGATGCGAGAGAGTAAATCCTGGCTTGATTGACCTCCAAGAGGCATATAGCTACATGACGGGTTAGCTAGGGACAGTGTGAAGTAGATGCATGGGACCTTTTACGCAATAGACTATTTTGAACAAATATACTTCGTAGAAATTACTTATACCTTCAAGTTTTATGTCTTTTTGTCGATCACCTCGTGTATGGTATTTATGAAAGTACAAATTGAGGTAGAAATGAGCATTTGAAACATCAATTTTGTCATTTAATTGATTTTTTAAGACATTCAATGCAAATCATGATGAGTTTCTTACTTTTCCCTCGATATTTTTGTATCAATTTTTAATTTCTCTTCTTCTTCGTCATGCAGATGTGGTCGGAAAAAACTTATAGGTCTTTTTTTTATTCTTGGTGGTATGGCGTGCTTGATTTCTGCTTTTCTGCGAAATGACAATGGTAAATATTCTTCCCTAAGTTGAAATTTTCAAATTGTGTACCCAGTTTGTATTAGGTGATGCTCTACAGCACACAAGCCAGAACACATTCCTTAACTTTATTTTTTTCACTAAACAAATTTCTCCTTTTCTAAGAGTCTCTTGACTCCTTGAGAACTTCTCTTTCTCTGTTTGGACGGATGTGTTTAGCTGGAGATGTAGCTGTTATGTTCATTTATACTGCCGAGTTGTTTCCAACTGTTGTAAGGTAGGACATTGATAATTTTCTTCTATACGTCTTTCTCCTGAGCATTTTTGTGATTGTGTTATCATTCGTTAATCTTTTCAGAAGTGTTGGTTTCAGTGTTGCTGTGTTTGGTGCAAGGGTTGGCTTTCTTTTAGCTCCACAAATTAACCTCATTGTTAGTATAACCTAAATTGTTTCAAGTCAATTTGAAATTCGCGCGAATTTATTTGATCGTGCAAAACTACGTGCTGACGCTCTCTACATGTTAACTCAACATGCGCTCTACATTGTAGATTCAACATGTTTAGAGCATATTCACACCCTGTTGAGGATTGTTGAGTGGTACTGAGGAGTGTTGAGGAGTGTTGAGCTGTACTGAGCGTTATTGAGAAGTTTTGAGTGGTATTGAGCGGTGTTGAGGAGTGTTGAGTTATACTGAGGGTTGTTGAGGACTGTTGAGTAGTGCTGAGCGTTGTTGAGCTTTTTTAGAGTGGTACTGAACGTTGTTGAGGAATGTTGAGTTATACTGAGCGTTGTTGAGAAGTGTTGAGTGGTATTGAGTGGTGTTGAGCGGTGTTGAGTTGTACTGAGCGTTGTTGAGAAGGGTTGGGTGGTACTGAGGAGTGTTGAGTTGTGCTTAGCGTTGTTGAGGAGTGTTGAGTGGTATTGAGCGGTGTTGAGGAGTGTTGAGTGGTACTGAGCTGTGCTGAGGAGTGTTGAGCTATACTGAGTGTTGTTGAGGAGTGTTGAGTGGTATTGAGGGTTGTTGAGGAGTGTTGAGTTGTACTGAGTGTTGTTGAGGAGTGTTGAGTTGTACTGAGCGTTGTTGAGAAGTGTTGAGCTGTACTGAGTGGTGTTGAGGAGTGTTGAGTTGTACTGAGTGTTGTTGAGGAGTGTTGAGTGGTATTGAGCGGTGTTGAGCGGTGTAGAGTGGTACTGAGCGCTGTTGAGAAGTGTTGAGCTGTACTGAGTGTTGTTGAGGAGTGTTGAGTGGTATTGAGCGGTGTTGAGCGGTGTAGAGTGGTACTGAGCGGTGTTGAGGAGTGTTGAGTTGTACTGAATGTTGTTGAGGAGTGTTGAGTGGTACTGAGCGTTGTTGGGCGGTGTAGAGTGGTACTGAGGAGTGTTGAGTGGTACTGAGCGTTGTTAAGTGGTGTGGAATGGTGCTGAGAAGTCTGAGTGGTACTGAGCGGTGTTGAGGAGTGTTGAGTGTTACTGAACAGTGTTGAGCCTTGAGAAAAGTTTGAACTTGTTCGTACTTATTATATCAGACCATTGTGAAGTTACTGAAGAAGATTCATCTGATAAACAGCCCTTAAGAAACTGCTTAAAGAAAGTAAGAATTATAGCTACTGCATTTTATACATCCAGCGCATAAAATTTATTTCAATCGTGTTTACGCTTCCCCTGCTACAAATTGCCACTGAATTTATGCAAAATCTAAACGTCTAGTTATTTCAAGAGGGCTATAATTTCTTTTATACACCTGCGTAGTTATCGTCTTTACGTTACTAAACTTTCAAATGAGACAGTTTATCTTTTCGTTTATTTCTGAAACGTATATTAGCCAAAATCTGAATCCTTTCTACATACAATTGATAATTACTTAAGTTATGCAGATGATTCAAGTCATTGGTTTTGAACAAAAGTTCGCCGTTGTCGGTCTATATGACAGTCTCAAGATCGTTTTTATCAATCGTCACTCTGGAACTTTAATGTTCTTTTGATCACCATTGAATATTTACTATAAAATCTTAGACACGCAATTTGGTGAGTGTTTCGTTTGCTTCGAAAAGAAATCTTCCCATACCGTGTTGAAATTTTGTCAATGTATAATTACTCAAGGCCATACAAAATACGTCTATTGAATGTCTAAAATACTTTTTATCTTTTATAATCTTTTTAGTTTACAGCAGCAAGTCATCGAGAGCGTTGGTTTTCAGGTTAAAAGATGGCGACAGCGGATGATTTAGCTATCGCTATAGGATCGCCTGGACGATTTCAAGTTGTGTTATGTTTAATGGTGTCTGTTTCGTCTTTCTTCGTCAGCTGGGGGTATCTTGGAATGGCTTTTTATGCTGCGGAGACTGATCATCACTGTCTTCTTCCAAACTCCTCGACGAACATTGATGATTTCATACCGACTGTAAGTAAGAACTAAGAAGTTTTTTTCCGTCAATGTGTTGGTGAAAACGATTCTCAAATTATACTCATTTGATGTTGATTCGTGCAAAAATATTTTACCAAAATCATGTCGTAGCAAAATTTAAAACGGGTTAAAGTGATTGCAAATCTGGTCATCTAAAGATTTGTTTGAAGATTTAGGCGACAGCCGAGAAAAAACAGGACAATTTGGCGGGTCTGGCTAAGGTATATAATAAGATCTGAAAATGCTGAGTCAGCATCATGGTAAAAAACATTCGTCGATACATCATAAACGATTGACTGAAAGTAAACGGTGTAATATACTTTTTTACTCATCTTTTACAAGTCTATATAATGGTACTGAGAATTTTTATCAAATTCGCAAAATTTTTCGATTAGATAACTATTGATGACGTCATCGTAGATAAAACGTAAATTTCTGCTTATTGTACACACTTATCGTATGGGGCCACATTGATTACTTCATTTTGCATTATTCTTTATAATATTATGAAAGAAGTTAGTTGTGAGAAGTGTGCAGCAAAAGTTATTTTTGAACACATTGGCCCATGGCCTTATATTCATTATTATGTAGATATGTCGTTTGATTATTCACCTCAAAAAATGAATTGTCTTTTTAATATTTTAATTGAATGCCGACATCAGTTACTGTGCATAGCTATTGTTGCGAAAACTAGATACTAATGGCTCGATTTAGACAGGAGACGGATCATCCGTGTGAACGAACTTGGGCAAGCAAAACATAGTTCTTCTTCTAGTTCGTCTGCGTGTAAATACTGGCACACTGACGAATCATCTGTCAAGACGAATTATCTGAATAGTTCGTCTATATAGAGGAATTTGCATGGATAGTTCGGTCTTGACGCATTATCTAACTGTAAGTATAAAGAAGGACTGTGGACGACATTGTTAAGTTCTTCGATGTGTAGTTCTTGTAGATCGCTCGTCTTGTGTTTATACTTAGACCGATGATCCTTCTCCAGTACGAAAATGGCCATTATTTTTCATACATTGCAATTGAGCCTCTGAAATGTTGTTTTTCTGGTTGTGCATGGGCAAAGAAGTACAGCAAATCATGACAGTGATTTAAGATGCGTTATGTTATATGAAAGTCTTGTCTTACATTTAGATAAAGGAAAACGGCAAAGAAGTCTTAGATCGCTGTCATCTTTATTCCGACGTCAATAAAACTACGAAAATATCCTGTACTCATGGTTGGACCTATAATCTTTCTGACGGAGAGACAACAATTATTTCAGAGGTAAGGTTACTTTATATGGAAATAATTATGAACGTTTTATGTCTATCTTATATGTTTACGTTAAGTTCATTTGTTTTTCTAGTGGGATCTTGTCTGTGATGACGTTTACAAAAGTAACATTGTCACTGTACTATTTAGTTGTGGAATGATGTTAGGAATACTATTTGGTCAGCTGTCAGATAAATTTGGAAGAAAACCTGTATTTCTGTTTACAACTTTCTCACATGTCATAGTGGGCATTGTCATTTTCTTCACTAATAACTACATCGTTTTTGTATTTTGTCGTTTTGTCCTTGGCTCTCTCGTGGAGGTTTGTTGATGATGATATGATTAACTTAATGATATAACGAGTATTTTACAAATCTCATTGTATGTAATTTGCCTTGTAGACTTTAATTGTGCCATGGGACGTTTCAAGTTTTCTGTATTTGACTTTCTTTTGAAATTCTTACTTTTTAGGGTTTACAATCAATGTCGTACGTCATACCAATTGAACTTTTTGCCAGTAAATATCGAACGACATTCACGCTATTTAATGCGTTATTCTGGGGTATTGGTGTTATGATTCTTGCTCTTATATCCTTTGTGTTGCAAGATTGGAGAAAGATCCATCTATTTACAACTGCCTGTGTGTTGGTACAAGTGCCTTTGATCTGGTTAGTATTGGTATAATGAATTCTCGCCCATTGCCTTTTCTTACGTCACGAACGTCGATAATAAAGCCGAGTTTACTAATAGTTGCGCTTGCTGTACTTCTATGGGCGATGAAGATCTACAAATTGCAATTATATCTGAATGCACTCCGTCATTGTTGTAATTTTGTCACAAACATGCAAATTGGAAACTTTTGTTAAAGTTGAATCATGTTTAATTGTTCAATTTCACAAAAAGGCAACATCAACTTCACAGAAGTTAGATGCTGACATAAAAAAGTTCACAAAACCACAACAATTACGACTATATGTGAACGCTTGATGTTGCAATAGTTTTAGGTTTGTATCATCATTTGTAGAAGACAGATACACCTATTTATAAACTTGACTAAAGGCAATGAAAGTGTTTTTAAAGAAATTTCTAACCATGGCGAAAGGTAGAATGGATGTCATCAACCTAATATGCAAAATTTCCGCAGTAAAATGTTGCATGGCTCATTGACCTATGCGTTATATGGCTTAAGACTTACGAATTAAGGAAATTAAGGAGTTTTGCTATGAATTCATGCACGGCAATAAAGAAAAATAACTAAAAAAGTCGTCAGATCACTTAACTAGCCAATCACATTGCACCTTTTCCTGTGTAACGTGGGTACTGGGTAACGTCACCAACTTAAAATTCGTCGACATTTTTTTCTATAGGTTTTTACCGGAGTCCTTTCGTTGGTTGTTTACACAAAATAAAGTTGACGATGCAAGGGCTGTAGTTGAAAGGATAACAAAGTTTAACAAGTTGCGTTTTCCTCGTGAGATATTTGACGACGTCGCTCATTCGGTGAATGACAAGGATGACTTGCGTTCCAAGAGAGTTTACACGTTTTTTGATCTGTTGAAGTCACGTGAACTAAGAAAGCGATTGTTGATAGCAGCTTTTGTTTGGTAAGTGTAAAACATTGATGTATGGATGTAGTTTCACCAGAAGCGAGCAGAGGTGGCGAATATCACTGTTATATTTATGTATGTTTTGATAAGCAAGAAAAATAGATATTTTCCTATAATTTTTCATTGTCATTTAGGAATTCAATCGTGCTTACATATGTTGGCCTGACACTCGAAAATTCAAAACTTGCTGGCAATAAATATCTTAATTTCTTTATTGGTGGCGTTTTAGAGGTCGTCATCGTCGTTATAATAATGTTCATCTTTCACAGGTATCGTTGTAATACTTTATATAATCAGGAAGTAATAGAGAAGTTTCGAGAGATTCTATGAAGGGGACACATTGGCTTCCTTGAAGGATATAGGTCGTTTGACGACAGATGCTACGAAAAATACAGTACTGACTCTTCCTTAAAAATATAGGTTTAAAAAATTGTTTTCATAATCTTTAAATGTCTTGACAATCATGTAATGTAGAAATGGCAACAAAAAACCTTGTTGGACTTTTTTGAAAAGAAAACATTTAATGGTAGCCGTTTGGATATCTTGATCTGTTAAAAATCTCACGTGGACTTTGTCTATCAATTATGAAAGATCCACTTTTTATCAGTCTCGTTTTTTTCCATCATGCAGATGTGGTCGCAGGAAACTTGCTGGTCTTTTTTTGATACTTGCTGGTATAGCGTGTTTGGTTTCTGTCGCTCTACGAAATAACAATGGTAAATATTTCTCCCAAGTAAAAATTCTTAAACAGAGAAACCCACCTTGCATGGCATTCTTATTTTGTTTGTTATCCAAAGAATTTTCTCCTTTAAGAGTCTCTTGATCCCCTGCGAACATCCCTATCTCTGTTTGGACGGATGTGTCTTTCTGGGGACATGGCCGTCATGCTCATTTATACAGCCGAGTTATTTCCAACAGTTGTAAGGTAGGGTTTCGAACATTTTTCTGTATATGTGTATTGTATTGACATTTCATTGTTTCATTGATTACTTTTTTTAAAAATCTTTTCAGAAGTGTTGGTCTCGGTTTTTCTATGTTTGGTGCAAGGGTTGGCTATATTTTAGCTCCACAAATCAACCTGATTGTTAGTATAACCTTTATCCTTTCAGATTATGTGTTTATTGAATTGTTGTGTATTGAAACCACCATAGATTGCTGTTACATATTATACAGAGAAATACATACTTTTATTCCTTGACAATCTTTATATTTGTGTCCATTTTCATGATGTTTTTAGGGCAGCTACACGTATGAGTCGGTGCCTTATGTTATTTTTGGAAGTTTTGCTCTCCTTGCTGGGCTGTCCCTGAGAGCAATGCCAGAGACTCTGAATGTTAAACTTCCTGAAACTATTGAAGAAGTACACAAAAAGACAGAGTCAAACAAAGTAGCAGGATCTTCTCTCACAATAATGTCAAAGACAGAAAATGTTGAACTTCCTGACTCTACTGAAAGAGAGGTCAAGACAAACTCAAGAAATGTGGCAGGATCTTCTCTCACAGTGATGCCAGAGACAGTGAATGTTGAAATTCCTGACTCTACTGAAAGAGAGGTCAAGAGAAACTCAAGAAATGTGGCAGGATCTTCTCTTACAGTGATGCCAGGGACAGTGAATGTTGAAATTCCTGACTCTACTGAAAGAGAGGTCAAGACAAACTCAAGAAATGTGGCAGGATCTTCTCTCACAGTGATGCCAGAGACAGTGAATGTTGAACTTCCTGACTCTACTGAAAGAGAGGTCAAGACAAACTCAAGAAATGTAGCATGAAGACAAGAGGAAGACAAACAATATAAAGCAATAAAACCATAAAAATATAAATAAGTTTCTGCAAAGACTATTCACCAGGACTTGATGATCGCTGGGGTGTAGTTGTTGATTCTTGTGTATCCATGGAAATAATCGCTGGAACTCTATTCAAAATAATCAATTGATAGGAATATAGGATGCATTAGATTTAAAGGAATCTCGCGTATGATTGCTTGACATGAACGTAGAACGTTTACACACGAACGTGAAACGTTGAAATACCAACACAAAAATTGGATGAATTCAAATATTTAGGTTCATGATGTACATATGATGTACAGAGTGATTTAAAAAACTTCAACTGTATGTGTAGTTTGCCTAGGAGACAATTCAAATTTGCATACCATTGCTTTTGGTAATGTATTTTTGTATTTTGCTTTTTTTATCAAACAGTATTTAAATATAATATGATATTTCATTCTCATGTTCTGAAATTCGTGTATTTTAATGTTACATGGTTTGGTTTTCATACCACTTTCACAGCTGAGTCGAATCGCTTTGGAAAAAAGATGCAAATTGTATGTGATGATGGGGGAACCGAATGAACGCAAGGCCGATCTGGAATAAAAATTAATCATGTATAAGTCGTATAGATGTAGTCACGTGTGTCAACATTTGAAATTTATCCCATATACTCTCAAATTGTTCCAGTGTTGGTTTTAAACAATAGCATACTGTTGTTGGTGAACGTATCAACGTTATGATGTTATTTTAATCATTAGTCACTGTTTTTCATGTACGATAGATTGCTGTTGCATCATGTACGTGTATTGTATTGATTTGTTTGCTTCGTTAATTACTTTTTAATGTTATTTCAGAAGGGTTGGTTTCGGTTTTGCTCTGTTTGGTACAAGGGTTGGCTATGTTTTAGCTCCAGAAATCAATCTGATAGTTAGTGTATCCTAAATTGTTTCTAGTTAATTTGATATTTCTGCGAATTTCATCAATCGTCAGACTATGTGATATGTCATGTGACTTTCACAAGCAGCATAGCTTTTCGCATATGACCAAAACTGACGCTTGTTGGGGATATTGTTTTAGTGCATTGATGTTTAGATGTTATACATAAACTGAACTTAGAACATGACCAAAGCCACTTGGTCAATCAGCATCCGGTATTTTGATGTTCTAAATCTCAAAGTGCCTACAATTCATGAATTGATATGGGCTTTAAGGCTCTTAGAAAATCCCCAGATGGAGGGAAAACAATAAGTACAATAGCTCATTAGTATTCTCTATGTAGAGAATACTAATTTAGAAATTGTTTTTTATTTTTCATTTCCTTATTAGTATTCTCTAAATAGAAATTCACGAGGGCCCTCGTGAAGTTCTATCTAATTCTCGGGACTCTTAATCCCATAGAACACACGTGATCATGCTCTAACCTTTACATAACCAGTTCGATTACGAATGACTCAACTAACTACAGAACAACGAGTTTTTATCGTGCTAAATTTAGCGCGAACGCAAGCTCTACTAAAGTAAGAAACCTTGAAAATCGTGATTCAATGGATTTCAACTATTCAGGGGTAGGATATACTTAATATACAAGGGTGTATTTAAAAACTGCAACTCTATGTGTAGTTAGCACTTCTAACTGGCGTGCCATTGCATTTATCTATGTATTTTTGTGTTGTTTTTTTTTCATCAAATAATATAAATACTTATGAAAGACTATTGTCCTATATCACCCTATGTTTTCGTTTTTACGATACATTCAAACGAGAAACATGTTTGTGTGTATTTTTGAAGTATCTTAAATGTGATTTGATGGAAAGGAGACCTTTAAAAAAATTGGCCAATTGTTAAAAATTTCAATACAACGGACACATTATTATTGTGCAGATTCTCCTGTGAATTTCTCACGCGCAGATACGCGCGTGTTTTTCTGTGTGCATATTTTTCTATGTTATGTAATATTTGCACGTATCTTAGGATGTATTGCCACGCACCCCCCCTGGTTTAGCATAATCATACATTGAAACTAAAACAATGGGTTAATTTTTAACAATAGTTTAATTTCGAAAGATCTCCTTTTTTATACATACCGTGCACTGCAGATATCTCGATGTTATCTATACCTGCATGTCAATTATGCAATTGATTCAGTCGTTGGTTTTAAACAAAAAAATCACTGTAGTTGGTCAATATGACAATGTTATAGTATAAAATTATTTTAATCATCCTTCAAAGTACAATAGATTGCTACTGGATATTTACTGTAAATATTTCAACGCAGACTTTGGTGAGTGTTTTTTTCTTTCTTTCTTACATGGAAAATCGAGATGAAATCTTTCCATGATGTGTTATCATTTTGTTTATTCGAATTACTCAACTTCCTGGAATATACATGCGTTGCATGCATTATAACTTCTAAGTCTCTTGTCTTTATTGACGTTTGTCTTCATGATTCTTTTTACTTTAACACAGGGAATTATCGAGAGATTTGGTTTTATTAAGTTAAAAGATGGCAACAACGGAAGATTTAGCTATCGCTATAGGATCACCTGGACGATTTCAAGTTGTGTTATGTTTAATGGTGTCTGTCTCGTCTTTCTTCGTCAGCTGGGGTCATCTTGGAATGGCTTTTTATGCTGCGGAAACTGATCATCACTGTCTTCTTCAAACTCCTCAACGAACATTAATGATTTCATACCGACAGTAAGTAAGAAGTCATTACTTACGTGTTTGTAGATGTAGATTGTCCAGGTTAGTAGAGTTCTGAGAAGGTCTGTTTTTGTTGTTGTTGACTGACGTTTCGACAAACTTAGCAGTAGTCATCTTCAGAGTCAAATTAATCAAAGATAAGATAACTACCGCTAAGGTTGTCGAAACGTCAGTCAACAAAAAAACAGTCCTTCTCAGGACTCTACTAACCTGGACGATCTACATCTACAAACATGTAACGACACTCCGGGTTCAAACTATTTACTTTAAGTCATTACTTAATTGGTCAACTTTATGTGTACTGTGTTGTTGTAATATCATTTCATATGTCTTTAAAAACTTGTATCATGCAGATATCAGTTACTGCATGTATTTATTTTTCCGATTTTGCGCTTAAAAGGCTGATTTTGATTTGATATAATTCGTCATAGCTCATTTCTCGTCATCGATAACTGAAACGTTGTTGTATTGTGGTAGAATTGTCTCGAATTCAAATTTCCATATGACTTCCATAGCATAATCGTAATTGTCGTGGTAAAGAAAAGAAATATTTCAATTATGATTTTGGCTTTTGTATTTCGGATTATGCAATATTACGCAATATTACGCAATGTTATGATAGTCAATTTTAAGTAATATGAAAACCAGCCTTTAAGTCTTGTCTTATAATTAGATAAAAGAAAACGGCAAAGAAGTCTTAGATCGCTGTCATCTTTATTCCGACGTCAATAAAACTACGAAAATATCCTGTACTCATGGTTGGACATATAATCTTTCTGGTAGAGAAACAACAATTATTTCAGAGGTAAGGTTGCTTTATATGGAAATAATTATGAACGTTTTATGTCTATCTTATATGTTTACGTTAAGTTCGTTTGTTTTTCTAGTGGGATCTTGTCTGTGATGACGTTTACAAAAGTAACATTGCCACTGTACTATATAGTTGTGGAATGATGTTAGGAGTACTATTTGGTCAGCTGTCAGATAAATTTGGAAGAAACCTGTGTTTCTGGTAACAACTTTTTCACCTTTCATTGTGGGCATTGTCATTTTCTTCACCAATAACTACATCGTTTTTGTACTTTGTCGTTTTGCCCTTGGGTTTCTCATGGAGGTTTGTTGATGATGATTTGATTAACTTAATGATATAACGAATATTTTACAAATCTCATTGTATGTAATTTGCCTTACAAATTGTGTTGATTTTAACTGTTCCATTAGATATTTAATTTTTTGCTTTTTTAGGGATTACAATCAATATCATACATCATATCAATTGAGCTTTTCGCCTGTAAATATCGAACGACATTTACGCTAGTCAATGCATTATTCTGGGGTATTGGTGTTATGATTCTTGCTCTTATATCCTTTGTGTTGCAAGATTGGAGAAATATCCATTTATTTACAACTGCCTGTGTGTTGGTACAATTACCTTTGATCTGGTTAGTATTGGTGTAGTAAATGTTTGCCCATTGCTTTTTTTTGACGTCATAAACATGGGGATAATACGATAATGAAGTTTTCAAACACGTGACGAAACCAATTTAACTCATAGTGAGTTTTAAGGTCATCAAACAGTTTGCAGTTTTATGCAACTTGCAAAGGAAAATTTCATTGAATTAAAAATGCACGATTTTAATGACATGTATGCTACATGGCTTAAGATCAGCCACATCGTAATTCGTACACACGATGTCTGTGGGGATTTACTGGGAACCTTGCATACACACGATGTCTGTGTGGATTTACTGGGAACCTTGCATACACACGATGTCTGTGTGGATTTACTGGGAACCTTGCATACTCGTTGTGTTCTTACAACCTTTTGCAACTATAATCTTTGTATTGCTAACTGCAAGAAAAAATTTAGAGAAAAATTATCGTCATAATACTTTACCAAGCAATTACAACGCACGGTTTGCAATGCAAACGAACGATCCTCCGACATAAAACCGCGATAATTTTTTCTATAGGTTTTTACCGGAGTCCTTTCGTTGGTTGCTTACACAAAATAAAGTTGACGATGCAAAGGCTGTTGTTGAAAGGATAACAAAGTTTAACAAATTGAGTTTTCCTCGTGAGTTATTCGACGACATCGCTCATTCCATAAATATTAACAAAGATGACTTGTGTTCCAAGAAAGCTTACACGTTTTTTGATCTGTTGAAATCACGTGAGCTGAGAAAGCGATTGGCGATAGCAGTTTTTGTCTGGTAGGTTTTCTGAGACAAGTCTTCCATTTATCTATATACAGTTCGGTGGTATCACCATATCACTTTATCTAGTGACGTCAGAGAAAAATAACGCGGGCACAAAAATAACCCCAGTCTCCATCTTTATACCATATGGTGGTTTTGATGACATGTAGTCATCTTGATGAGGATAAAGACATCTCCTTAAATTTTTTTATGTCGTTTAGGAATTCCATTATGCTTGCTTATTATGGCCTGACACTTGAGAATTCAAAACTTGCTGGAAATAAATATCTTAATTTCTTTATTGGAGGCGCTTTGGAGGTCGTCATTTTCGTTATAATAATGCTCATCCTTGACAGGTATCTATGAAATACTTAGTATAGTCAGGATGTAATGGAGTATCGAGAATTTGTGTGGAGGAGGACACAGTGGGTAATGGGTGGTTTTCATGGGCATGTAAAGAAATTTATTACCGTTTTAACTCTGTGAAAATAGCGTTCTTTAAAGATCATGGGGCACAAACAAATGGAAAACTTTATTTGTTAAAAAGGCAACGCGAAGTCTGATTGGGACTTTTTACTCAAGATAAATTTGTGTTATTATTTTTCATCGTGTAGATGGGGTCGTAAAAACATTGCAAGCCCTTTATTGGTTTTTGCTGGTATAGCGTGTTTGGCTTCTGCCGTTCTACGAAATAACAATGGTAAATATTTTGTCCAAGTTAACTTACACCGCATTCTTATTTTGTTTCTTATCCGAAGAATTTTCTCCCTTTAAGAGTCTCTTGATTCCCTGCGAACATCCCTATCTCTGTTTGGACGGATGTGTTTAGCTGGAGACGTAGCTGTCATGCTTATTTATACAGCCGAGCTGTTTCCAACAGTTGTAAGGTATAATTTCGAACATTGTTTTGTATATGTGTATTGACATTTCATTGCTTTATTAATTACTTTTTTTAAAAATCTTTTCAGAAGTGTTGGTTTCGGTTTTTGTATGTTTGGTGCAAGGGTTGGCTATATTTTAGCTCCACAAATCAACCTGATTGTTAGTATAACCTGCATATAATACATAGAACTAAATACTTTTATTCCTTGACGATATCTTTATTTGTGTCCATTTTCATGATGTTTTTAGGGCAGCTACACGTATGAATCGGTGCCTTATGTTATTTTTGGAAGTTTTGCTCTCCTTGCTGGGCTGTCCCTGAGAGCAATGCCAGAGACTCTGAATGTTAAACTTCCTGAAACTATTGAAGAAGTACACAAAAAGACAGAGTCAAACAAAGTAGCAGGATCTTCTCTCACAATAATGTCGAAGACAGAAAATGTTGAACTTCCTGACTCTACTGAAAGAGAGGTCAAGACAAACTCAAGAAATGTGGCAGGATCTTCTCTTACAGTGATGCCAGGGACAGTGAATGTTGAACTTCCTGACTCTACTGAAAGAGAGGTCAAGACAAACTCAAGAAATGTGGCAGGATCTTCTCTCACAGTGATGCCAGGGACAGTGAATGTTGAACTTCCTGACTCTACTGAAAGAGAGGTCAAGACAAACTCAAGAAATGTGACAGGATCTTCTTTAACAGTGATATCAGAGACAGTGAATGTTGAACTTCCTGAAACTATTAAAGAAAAGGACAAGACAAACTCAAGCAATGTAGCATGAAGACTAGAGGAAGACAAACAATACAAAGCAATAAAACCATAAAGATATAAATAAGTTTCTGCAAAGACTATTCACCAGGATTTGATGATCGCTGGAGTGTAGTTGGGGATTCTTGCGTATTCATGGAAATAATCGGAGGAACTCTATTCAAAATAATCGTATGATAGGAATATAGGATGCATTAGATTTACAAGGAATCTCGCGTATGATTGCTTGACATGAACGTAGAACGTTTACACACGAACGTGAAACGTTGAAATACCAACACAAAAATTGATTGAATTCAAATATTTAGGATCATGATGTGCATATGATGTACAAAGTGATTTAAAAAACTTTAACTGTATGTGTAGTTTGCATAGGAGACAATTCAAATTTGCATACCATTGCTTTTGGTAATGTATTTTTTTTTTGCTTTTTTTAACAAATAGTATTTAAATATAATCATATTTTATTGTAACATGGTTTGATTTTCATACCGTGCATGCATTTATTATACATGAAACAGTCGACGAACGAGTTATGTGATTATGATGAATATTCTAGTTTATTTCACGAGTAGAACTCTTTATAAACAAATAGATAAATTTCGAAAGCCAAAGATCCCGTTTACGGTCCAACGTTCCGATGGGAGAAGACGCCCCCCCTCTAAAACGAAGCGCCACTTAATAGGGGAGGTAGATGTCAATAGCAAGCTTCCGTCCATCAGACACCTGAGAAAGACGAAGGGCTAAACTCACTGCACGCTGGAAGAGAGCCGTCTGCGACTAAATCTGGGATCCTAGAGCACTACTATGGCACGCCAAACAGACACCCGGCCATTGAGTTCTAATAAATTACCTGGTGGAGAAACGGGGGCCTGGAACCAGTTGTCAAAAACATGGATGCCACCAGGTTAGCACTATTTTCCACCCAGCAAACCGCCCTTTACTTTACACAATCGGAAATAAATTAAAGATGGCGGCTAATGGGAAAGAACCAAAAGCTAAAAGGAAACCATGCATGCACTGGTGCTAGGTCGTTTTGAGATGGCGAGTAATTTTATCTTTTTATAATACAGTTTTTAATATCAACATATGAAAATATTTAGAGATAAATGTTGCAGTATAAATTTTCATGCAACCACCTTAAGTTATAAACTTATAATCCAGGCTGGAAAATGTCGTTTTTCGACGATTGTGTAAAATATTATATAAAATATTATATTGTGTAAAATATTAGATTGCGTAAAATATTATATTGTGTAAAATATTATATTTCAAAGTAAAGGGCGGTTTGCTGGGTGGAAAATAGTGCTAACCATGCCACCAGGAAATGCTCAATGTTAAATCCATAACGTATTTGATTGAAAAGTATACTTTCGCGTTTTGTGGAATGCATATATATTAATGAAAAGAAAATCTACGGTGAAGAAACCTTTGCTGTTGTAATACAAATTCTATTTTAATCAAAAATATCACAGAGCATGCAGACGACATACACGACGGGTGTATGTCTTCAAGCTTATTACAAGTTTACAACTATCTTCATTAATTAAATTGACGTAAACTTAAGGCATAAGAAAGCATTGGCTTGGTCCTACGGCAATTCAGTGCACCTCACAATGAATTGACAAACATATCGTCCTTTTTCATGATAAAAGATTTTTGTTTAAAGATGAATTTGTGCTTATGGCGGTATAAATATTGATAGGTTTCCAAACATTTAAACCATTAAACTTACAACTTTTTGTTTTGACTTAGGCAAAGATTTTTTTTTAAAAAGTCAACTAATGTCGAGGGAAAAGAGTTTGGCCTTTGGATAAATTTAAAATCTCGTTTTGGACTTCTAAGTTCCTTTTCATTAAATTGCAGTGTCATAAAGAATAATGATAGCTATGCTTGAAAACTTCCACTCTAAGCTTCCACTTGAAAAAACTAAGATCATGAGGAAAAACAAGCATTAAAGTGACGAAGAATTTATAGCTACTTTCTTTTAATGTCATATACTTTGTATAGATATCTATATTCGGAGAACGGTAACCAATGCCTAGCACAGCAGCTTCTTGGACATCCTTTTATCTCTCCAAATCCCATGTCGCACGGTTTAAGCAGTGACATCACTTCAGATGAGGTTGACGCTGAAAACGATCACTGGAGAAATCAAATTTGCTGTGATGATGGAGATGAGTTTCCTAATTTGATGACTATTTCTTTTGGCTACGCTGCGAGAAATTCAAGAGTTTGGAATGAATTTGAGGTGTTGCAAATGCTTGGGAAAAGGAGGATTTGTTTCAGTTGTGAAGGTAACTTTTTATTACATACATCGTTTAAATAGACGATATTTTGGTCATGTGAAAGAAATTTTGTACATTATTCGGAAATGTTTTATATACGCTTAGGTACGTAATAAATTGGACGGCCTCTATGCAATCAAAAGAATTCCTTTGAATCCCAAAAATGTGCTGTTAATCGCTAAATTACTTGAGAAGTTAAGTTACTTTGTAAACGGAATCGCGAAATATTGTGATGTTAAAAGAACTTCATTATCCTTAATGAATTAAAACTTTATAACACAAGTGTTGAAAATACTTATTATATTAATCCTAACACGGTTTTTAAATATGCACATGAAAAACATGTGACTTGGACGAGATTTGAACTCGCACCTTCGGGATACCAGTCCGCACATGTTTTTCATGAGCATATTTAAAAACCGTTTTAGGATTAATATATTATATATATACTCTGATGATAGCTTTGGAACAAGTGTTGAAAACGGAGTGCAATTTGGACGATACAAATGGCTTGGCTTGTTAAATGTCATCATGGTAAAACTTTATTTATTTTAACATTAAATATGACGATAGGAGAGTATTTAATCCGGAACAAACCATGGAAGAAACAGTTGGGTGATTCTATCGTGTATCTTATCGTACATGGCAAAATAAAACCAATCAATTACATTTTCTGACCAATAGCAACCCCAAGCCGGTAGATCACGTTATTGCGAAGTGGCCCTGCCGTTTTTTGTTTATATGGCTACGTGATGTTATCCAATATGATGCTGTTTTGCTGACGCAAGAAAATACACGTAATTGCAATTTTCCTGATTTTTTCATCGAGCTAAGGTTACCCGTGCAAGTCAGGCGAGTCGACTTTATCGAGATATAAATTTCACGAGTACTTTTCATCGATATATCCTGAAAAGAAGCATCGTTTTGGATCTTTTCATTTTGGCAACTTTTCTTCATTTCCTTAGATCAAGTCACTGGATCAAATCACTCGAAACAGACGTCCATATAAAGGCAGTGACAAAGTTTCTTGGCTGTGCTGTTCACAGCAGGCTAGGTATGTATTCAGAAATCTTTCTGTCTGATTTTGCACTAAGCTAAACGAATAGTTATAGCTGAAAAATTATTAAAGTTTTTACAGTAACACTAATAGCGGGAGTATGCATATAAAAGTTTAGTATGTGTATGTATAACATGTATACTCTTTGTATGTAAGAATTTTAATAGAGAAATTGCCACGATTAAACTTTGATCTATTTAAAAAATTCTTTTCAAATAAGCATGAACGTTTCCAGTCTGTTTATTTACATATGTGATGAAAAGATTTTGGTTTTCATTCACTGTGAAATGAATAGACTTCTAAAGAAATAAAGAATGCTACATTGATCTGAAATTGGAAAAATCTTCATCAATCTGGCTACGTCACTGCACTCTAGATTTTGCCTCTACTGGATGCATGCAGTATTTGATGCATATAAGTGGAAAAAGGCATATGACAACTATGTTTCTGCAAACAAAAAGTAATTCTCGCTAACGAAAGTTAAAAAACTCGTTTCATTAAACTCTTCATCATTGAACACATCCGCTTGGTTAGATATTTTCTCTTCAATGGTTAAATTTTGTGACTGATGTTTACCATGATCATTGAAGTTTACTTGTAGTTTACTAAAGTTTAGGTCTTTTGTTATTCAATGCGTACAAAATATTGACTGTCTGCTTAATGCACAAGTTTTTTGATGTTAAGCTGTTATGAATGTATGTTTGCTATTGTGAAATACGCTTTTCAAGGCAATTTACAGATTTGGAACTACTGCTAGGTCTTTTGGGCCGGTTGCACGAAGCCTGGATAGCAATATCCACTTAATTGTATTTTTTCAAACTTGTATAAAAAAAGGGTTATATTTTCTTTAAGATAGTGTAATTCTAGAAGCAATATTGTATTTCATTGATTGTTCAGATCAAATCGTAGATTTACCCCTTTCAGTTTGAAGGGCTCATAAATATTGTAATCATTGGATAGCGCTATTCGGCCTTCGTGAAACTTGCCCCAGATCAGTGAATAAACCATCGTATTTCGCACTATTTGCAAACACGTCTTTTCATGCGCACTTTCCTTACGCGATAATTAGAGCCACTTTTTGTACATTTTGTCGGATCTCAAAAAAAGGATCGTGTGAACGCTTTTAATGTGAGCATCCGACAGGTTGGATCCGTCAGTCTCAAAAATCGGATAGAAATAGAACTTGCTTTATTTTCATCCGACAACGTCAAAGGAAGCCGACTAGGCTAAAGCTTTTTACCCTTTATACTTCCCAAATTTGAGCTAAAGCGAGAAATAAGATTTGAAAAAGACTTGAAAACAAGTATAAAAATACGCAAATATATCGATAAATGTTCTAAATAGAATAAATGACTGCTTTCATGACTATAATTTTCTAAAAGAATATAATCGTCAACAAAACTATCGAAACGTCTGAACAAGCAACCTAAACAATCGTATCGTTGAACAGGACTTTAAACTGTTGAGTGCGAAATAAATGATGAAAAAGTTCCAGTCTTAGGTAAATTTTTGTTTCACAATTTCTCGAATTAAGATGTTTCAAAATAGTGTAAATGGTCCAAGTTGGTCCGTATTTTTAACCCGTATTCTTGGTATCGTCAGCTGTTGTTATATCTTTAAATTTTGCACATGGCAATGATGCGGCCTCGAGGTTAGGGTTTCTTCCGAAGATTGGATTACGGTCAGTGACTGAGTGACGTATTGAATTAAACCATGACGCTCAAGTGATCTCCAGATGCCTTAGGTTACTGATTTGATTTTATTAAAGTCTTAACCGGTTTTTGCTGCTGACGAACAAAAGGAGAAATATAATCTTTCAAGTTTTATTATGGTGAGGCAATGCGCTAGACTGTTGACTATTTAAATATATCGAAATTGATTTGACTTGTTTCAGTTGTTGAATTTACACGCTCTTATTGTATGAAATTCAAACGGATAATGTGTTCAATTATCTCATATATCTTTGTATTTCTAACGACTCTGATTATACTCTAGTAGAAAGTGTTAGACGCGCTCAGACGTTGAATTCACAATTGACGCATTCAATTCAAAAGTTAATGACTTCGGAGTTTTTATTGATTCATATTTTTAATGATTTCGATTCTTTCCCTCTTAGCATCAATGACATTGTATTGGCTTACATGCCAGGATATAATTTGATAATCACCATCAATTTTACTTTGTTTCGATGTTTCGATTACTGGTTGATTACAATACATATAGTTTTGATGACAATATCACCGTAGTCAAACTGTGTCTCTTTAGCGCTACCTGTTGAATTGATAAGAAGTTACTTGACGTTGTCTTTGTCAAACGATTTCACGTTGTAAAGGTTTTGCATATGTAAACGATTACTTTAGTGTAAATGCTTTCAAAATGCAAGAATAACATGATGTATATAAGTAAGTAACACTAAAATTTAACACATTTTCATCAACATATATGTTTATTCCATCAAGGACACTGTTAGAAGACTCTCTGGATAGGATCTACCTTTGAACAACATAATGAAAACCGTTGAAGATTTAACAAATGCCATTGGATCACCGGGACGTTTTCAGATCATGCTGTGTGCTATACTCTCGTGTTCCTATCTATTCACTTGCTTCGGTCATCTGGGAATGGCTTTTTATGCCGCCAAAACTGATCATCACTGTTTTCTCCCAAACTCCTCGACGACAAGCATCAAATACTCCATACCAAATGTAAGTTATGAATTTATTTTCCTGTTTTATGGAAACGCCCATCACAACCAGTTTGCGGTGTGTATTTTCACAACGTTCAATTAGTTTATAATTAGTGGTTTAGAAAATACTTTTAAAAAAGCGTCCCACAAAAAGATCTTTGGCTTAATTTCAAACGAATATTAGATTCAGTTTAGTCGCGGCGATTGAAAACATCTTATATACGTATTTAACAGATGAGATGATAAAACAGTAGTTGATCTTACTGCTTGGAAATATCGTTATTACTTTAATTTTTCTGCCTAAGGACAGATTGAAGACTGGATCAACACATATATTTAACGGTGATGTGAGGATTTGTTTGAATTATACAAACGTTTATCTCTATTAAAACCCTCATATCTATTAGCTTTCCCTTAGAGCCACTAAAATCTAGTGAAAGAAGAATTTATTGATTGTTTACGGTATAATTTGCGCGGAGCTATTTTGCACCTATGGCAAGCTTGTTAATTAACTATACACTTTGCTATATTTTATGTATATGTTGTGATAAGGATGGTAAAAATGGCAAAGATCAATGTCATCTTTCATATGGGTTAATAAAACCAAGAAAACATCCTGTCTTTTTGGTTGGACGTATAATCTTCATGGGAAAGAAAAACCATCATTTCAGAGGTAATTTATAGCTTCTTCCGTCTGAAAATGCAGATCATTAAATAAGTTTAGTCGATGTAAATTAATCCTTCCGGAGAAAGGCGAAGATGGTTGTCCTTCCTTCAACAAGCAATTGCCTTCATTAACTCAATACTTCATGAAATACCTTTTATGTTTGCATTTTTTTTAGTGGAATCTTGTTTGCGACAACATGTACAAAAGCAACGTTGCCACTGTGCTGTATTTTTGTGGAGTGATGTTGGGAACAATTGTCATCGTATCAATTATTTCCATATATCAATATTCACAAGCATGCGCAGTACATGAACGACACGTGCAGCATATTGTAATCAGTTTCATTCTTTAAGGGATTACAACTGACTGCGTACACGATGATTGTAGAGCTGTTATCAAGTAAATATCGTTCATCCTTGATACTTCCAACGACATCCATATCTTGGGGTGTTGGCGTCATGATACTAGCTTTGATTTCATACATCTTACAAGATTGGAAGGCCATTCAATTGTTTACAACGCTGTGTACCTTGGTGCATTTACCACTCATTTGGTTGGTCCTTTTTAAACTTTTGCTAAATTATGAGAAAGAACGTTTTGGATGAAATCCCAAAGTTTCTCTTCCAATATGATTCAAAACCTAATGTTCCATCCTGGAAGTCTTTTTTTTCATTCTCCAAATCGAAAATTCGGCACTTTCCAACAGTGGCGAAGACTGCCCAATTATTTACTCATGCTATGTAAATTTTTATGTTTTTCCTCACTCTATAAACAATAGATTTCTTAAAGAATTGAATAATGATAATGACCTAAAATTTCCATTGTTTCACCAAAACTTGCTGGCTGGCTTCGCTAGCGATGTCCAAATCTATTGCTCGTGGTTTAAAACTTTTGTTCTATGATCCAATGCCTTTTTGCTGATGTCCAATATCAATTTTCACTTTATAAAGTGCTCAACAAATCGTTACATTTACACTGTTTAGGTTTATGCCTGAGTCGTTTCGTTGGCTTCTTGTTCGAAGGCGTTTTGACGAAGCCAACGGTGTGGTGGAAAAAATCTGTGAATTCAACAAGTTAGAGTTTCCAAGTAAAACATTTGATAATGTACTGCAATCAAGCTGCAAAAAAATCAATGATCTTGAAGAAGAGCCCAGCAAAAGAATATACACAATCATGGACATATTTAAATCACCTGAACTCAGAAAACGTTGGGGAATTAGTCTGTTTGTTTGGTATGTTTATTGTAATTTGTCAAAAAACATCTTTGTCTTTATACTATTATCTGTTTGATATTACTTCAATCACACGGCTGAACTCAGTTATCCAAGTCCGGGCTTTAAAAATTATCCTCAAATTTTACCTAGGATCTCCATGTCATTGTCATATTATGGTTTGATTCTGAACAGTTCAAAACTTGCTGGAAATAAATATCTTAATTTCTTCATTGGAGGTATTTTTGAAGTCATCATTGGCGTCATGACGATCTTTGCGATTAACAGGTAAATAGTCATCTTAAGATGTGATTCCTTACGCCAGTTTGAAACTCTTTTTTAATCAATTCTTCCTTTAAGCTGCCTTCGCTTTGCTTAGTAGTGGAGACTTTGTCTCTTTCCTGTGATTTGACGTAGTATTTTTCTTTGAAGTTGATCAAACATTTTTTTAAAAAATTCGTCTGTCTATTTCCCCATTTCATGTGAGGGATTGTACTTTCTTCCTTAAGAAAAAGTTGAATCATGATAATGTATTTCAATGGTCGGTTTGTTTTACATTAGAATTAAGCGTTTAGGCAAAAAATGATTAACTTTTCGAATCGAGTATTTTTACCAGCCATAACTACGTTAATCAAATACAAACCTTGCTTGATTAGGTCGGTATTGTTTCTTTTATTTTTGTTTATTATGGGACGAAAGACTTCATTTGAAACTAACAAAAATAGCGTCACGAGTTGATTTTTAATAGCGCAGCGTTATCTCCACAGGTTCGGTCGTAAAAAGCCTGCGTTCTTGTATTTTATCATTGGTGGAATAACCTGCATTACTGCCTCTGTTTTACCGAAGAACGATGGTAAAAATTGGCAAATTGCTTCATTCATTCGTGAAAATATTCTTCAGCAATCTTTTGTATTTCAGAATCTTTAGATGCAGTGAAGACATTTTGTCGTTGTTTGGAAGAACGTGTTTAGGTGGTGATTTTGCCATTATGTTTATTTACACGTCAGAGTTGTTTCCCACCGTCATCAGGTATGAAAATTGATGAATTTTTGTACAACTGACCCAATAGACGGCACGAGGTTAACTAGTTGTTGTAAAGAAAACATTCAGTCAATAATGATGAATTGTTTGCATCGTTATTGTGATGTTATTAGCAATGATGTTGCATTGACGTCACAATGATGTTGTCTTGACGTCACAATGATGTTGTCTTGACGTCACAATGATGGTGTCTTGACGTCACAATGATGTTCTATTGATGATGCAATAATGTTACCGGGCTGTTATGATGAAGTTACGATGTTGTAGTGACGTCACAATGATGTCATGTTGATGTCACCATGCTATTACCATGATGATGATGTTGTATGTTTTCATGATGATGTCATGTTGATGTCACCATGATCTTACACCGTTATTTCTCTTTATCGTAGAAATATTGGTCTTGGCGCAGGAGTATTTGGTGCTAGGATTGGTAATATTTTAGCACCGCAAATCACTCTTCTGGTAAATATTTTGTACTTTGTCAAAATTTTTATTTTTTTACAAAAGAATTTTCAAAGCGATTATTTTTTAGTTCTGAGTACGTTTCGTTACGCAATCTTATTTTTAGGGAATGTACACCAACGATTCTGTGATTTTAGTTATATTTGGAGTGACGACACTTATTTCTGCTGGTTTGCTCATGATGTTACCTGAAACATTAAACAAGAAAATCCCCGAGACGATTGAAGAAGTGTCTTTGAGCAAGGCACGTACCGACCAAAATGTCCGTCGAGGAGACATCAAGATTGAAGCATAAAGAACTATGAACGCAAATGATTTAATGTTACAACTTTAAACTTGTTGGTGGGATGTTGATTTTTTAATAATAAAACAATCGATGATTGATCAGAGAAGAGTCTATGTTGTTTCATAAATTAATTGAACTAAATTAGAGCTTTTGTTTGTCTTTCGCACTATTTGGGGAAAATTATGTCGATATGGCCAATCTGGGAAACACTTGCATTACTTCAGAGATTTCATATGTAAGACCACACAGTCAGACACAGAAAGAAAGACGTTCTTTTGACGTCGTAGCTTAGAATTGGAGAAATGACAACACCGTTGTTTTTGCTACACTTAGCCTGAAGTGCAGCAGACTTTTCCTCTATAGGCACATGAAGCAATGGCAGGTCGAAACCAAGTTGTTGGCGGTCCTTTTCACGTAATTAAAGTGGTGTAAATTTGCGCTGTGTGTATGTGTCCAACGTTCACTTTACCGCGCTGTGTCATCTTTGAACTTTTTCACAATTCTTTTCACCAAGAAATGTCCAATAGTCCCATTCGCGGGTAAAATACAATGAAACGGGGGGTGTTAGACCTTAGATGTGACATTTGGCAATGAATACCACACGTGTGTTAAATTTTGTTGGCTAAATACGGTTTTTAACTTTAAATTCGTTTTATTAACTATTCGTAAAGCAATGTCGTGGACTGCTAATAGCGAATGGGAGAGATGGGATCCGGAAAAGCTTGTCGTCTGTCCTTATGACCCTTCGCACAGAATAGCCGTCAAAAGATTTCAAAGGCATCTTGTCAAGTGCAGAAAGGTAAATTATTTTATTAGAAGCTCATGTTGACACAGAAGTACGTTGTCTGGGGAATGTGTTAGTAATGCGATGAAGGTTTCTTAACGCTAAATATGTTTAAAAATGAGGTATAGCTAAAAACTGCAAGTTGATTAAATCACTCCTCCCCCCCGTTTTCCTTCTCAACGCACAAATTATTACATTCGGCAATATCTTACCAGGTCACTGTTTGCTGAAAATGGTTATTGGTTGCCAGACATAAAATCAGTTTTGTAAGTGCTTATAATTTTTATAATTTTATAAATTTGCTTGATTTCTCATTTTCAGAATCATCCTGACAAGGATTTTGTTAGCTGCCCATTCAATGCATCGCACAAGGTGTTGAGATTGGATTTATATAATCACATCTGTAAATGTCCAGATAAGGTTGGTGAACAATGTTTGTCCAGAGCTGTTGTAGAAATTGAACTCTAGCGTTAATTGTTGTTTTTTTCTTCCTTTTTTAGAATTTTGTGGAGGCATATCCTACTGGTGAGTTTACTTTTTATGAAATCTTACTCTTTGACATGTATAGAAAATAATCAAAAGCACAGAATAGTGTAGTTTCAGTGATTTTTCTCTAAGGATGACATGTTGATAATTTTATTCGGTCAAGCTTGTATTAAGGGACCATGCATTAAAGCGGACATCTTTTATTAAACAGACACTTTGTGAAGTCCCAAATTTGATCTCATAAGCCTGGTCCTCACTTGCAACATAAGTTTAAACATAAGCACAAGGTTATCAAAACTTTCTGTTCTTCTTCTGCATAATTCTGCTTGTGCTTATGCTTATTGCAGCTTTTTGCAAGTGAGGAAACCTATGTTTGTGTTTATGATTATGTCGCAAATTAGGACCAGGCTTTATGGCTTATTTGTAATAATATAACCTCAATGAAGCTAACATCTCCTTTGTGTGGACCCTGATCTTTTCAAGTAAATGGTTTGAACCTGGGAGTATTGTTACATGTTTGTAAATGTAGATCGTCCAGGTTGGTATAGTCTTGAGAAGGACTGGTTTTGTTGTTGTTGACTGACGTTTCGACAACCTTAGCAGTAGTCATCTTCAGAGTCAAATGGAACAAGGAGAAGATGACTACCGCTAAGGTTGTTGAAACATCAGTTAACATCAACAACAAAAGAAACAGTTCTTCTCAGGACTTTACTAACCTGGACAATCTACATTTACAAACATGTAACAATCTTTTCCTCGTGAGTTTCTACTTAATCCATGTTTCAAACTGTATTCAAACTTTCCAGTTTTACTCTTCATGATAGAATTTCATTAGAAAATTTGGTTGATCATTTTGAGAATACCCAGGGGGGAGGCTCGCCTCTCTTTCCTACACTTGCTGAGTGTGGGAATGGATGATATAGTTGTCTGTATGTTAGTGTTCAGTGATAAACCAAGAAATTTGACTTTAAATCAATTCAATGAAAATATATTTATTATTTCTGGTCATTTATTGCATTATTATAGAAAAGTGAGCAGATATCTGAAGCGGTATTTCCAGTTTAGTAATTGAGGGTTGTAGTGTATGTTCATACACAGTATGATTGATTTGCTGTGTAAAGTTTCTTCCCCCCAGAAAAAAATCTTTTCGGCCCCCTCCTCATTAACAATCTGGAGGTGTCACTAGATTTCTGTGTGTTTTGATATTATTTCTATTGTTATTGCCATCAACAGACTTTGAAGCTGATGGAAAACTAAAGGGAAACACCTCATTGCCCGATTATAAGACCTCAGTATTGTCGGATCGTGATGATGAAGATTGGGACGCTGGTTTGTATTTTAAAATATGTATTATTAAGAATATGAATCACTGTAAACTTTAGGTAAGCAAATTATGTTGGTTAGTCTATGTTTTGACCGGTTCTATAATGGTTTCTAAAGAGAAGGACTTGTTTCATTTGCTATTTTGGAAGTCATCCATATGCACATTAACCCTAGAATAAATGTTTGCATAAATGCGTGCAGAAATGTTCATTTCCATTTTGGTGTTTTTGGGAACATTGTTTATAACAATTTAAGAATGGCAGAAGCTTGTTAATTGGAGGAAAGGATGTTTTGATAGTCATACTCTATAATCAGTAATCACAATTGATTTCAATAGAAACTGATACATTGAAATATTCATACGTATATGAATGCACCCCTTTTCCCTCATTGAAATATTTATACGTATATGAATGCACCCCTTTTCCCTCATTGAAATATTTATACGTATATGAATGCACCCCTTTTCCCTCATTGAAATATTCATACGTATATGAATGCACCCTTTTCCTCATTGAAATATTCATACATATGAATGCACCCTTTTCCCTCATTGAAATATTTATACGTATATGAATGCACCCTTTTCCTCATTGAAATATTCATACGTATATGAATGCACCCTTTCCCTCATTGAAATATTCATACATATGAATGCACCTTTTCCCTCATTGAAATATTTATACGTATATGAATGCACCCTTTTCCTCATTGAAATATTCATACGTATATGAATGCCCTTTTCCCTCATTGAAATATTCATACATATATGAATGCACCCTTTTCCTCATTGAAATATTTATACGTATATGAATGCCTTTTCCTCATTGAAATATTCATACGTATATGAATGCACCCTTTTCCCTCATTGAAATATTCATACGTATATGAATGCACCCTTTTCCTCATTGAAATATTTATACGTATATGAATGCACCCTTTCCCTCATTGAAATATTTATACGTATATGAATGCACCCTTTTCCCTCATTGAAATATTCATACGTATATGAATGCACCCCTTTTCCCTCATTGAAATATTTATACGTATATGAATGCACCCCTTTTCCCTCATTGAAATATTCATACGTATATGAATGCACCCTTTTCCCTCATTGAAATATTTATACGTATATGAATGCACCCTTTTCCTCATTGAAATATTCATACGTATATGAATGCACCTTTTCCCTCATTGAAATATTCATACGTATATGAATGCACCCTTTTCCTCATTGAAATATTATACGTATATGAATGCACCGTTTTCCCTCATTGAAATATTCATACGTATATGAATGCACCCTTTTCCTCATTGAAATATTCATACGTATATGAATGCACCCCTTTTCCTCATTGAAATATTCATACGTATATGAATGCACTCCTTTTCCCTCATTGAAATATTCATACGTATATGAATGCACCCTTTTCCCCATTGAAATATTCATACGTATATGAATGCACCCTTTTCCATCATTGAAATATTCATACGTATATGAATGCACCTTTTCACTCATTGAAATATTCATACGTATATGAATGCACCCTTTTCCCTCATTGAAATATTATACGTATATGAATGCACCCTTTTCCCCATTGAAATATTCATACGTATATGAATGCACCTTTTCCCTCATTGAAATATTCATACGTATATGAATGCACCCTTTTCCCTCATTGAAATATTCATACGTATATGAATGCACGTTTTCCCTCATTGAAATATTCATACGTATATGAATGCACCCTTTTCCCCATTGAAATATTTATACGTATATGAATGCACCCTTTTCCTCATTGAAATATTCATACGTATATGAATGCACCCTTTTCCCTCATTGAAATATTTATACGTATATGAATGCACCCGTTTTCCCTCATTGAAATATTTATACGTATATGAATGCACCCCTTTTCCCTCATTGAAATATTCATACGTATATGAATGCACCCTTTTCCCTCATTGAAATATTTATACGTATATGAATGCACCCTTTTCCCTCATTGAAATATTCATACGTATATGAATGCACCCCTTTTCCCTCATTGAAATATTCATACATATATGAATGCACCCCTTTTCCCTCGATTATTGATCTTCTGCCTCCACTGTGATGCGTTCTTCTTTGTGTTTTAGAAATAGCCGCAAGTCAGCAGGAAATGTTTCCTGCCAAACAACTGGATCTTGTTAGTACAACTAAAAATGTCTCAAGGTTTGGTCGTACAATGCATAGATGAAGTTGTGGGAATGTGTAGACTTTGTTCTCGATCAAGTAAGATTAAAGTTCTTAGAAAGAGATTTTAAAAAAACACTGTATTATTTACAAATTTGTTGCCAAGCTCAAATAGCTCATTATGAGACAATTATAAGATAACAATACCGGTTTTCTTATAATAACTCTTAACGATAACAATTCCCGTTGGTTCAACATGGAATGTTCACCTTTGAACTTGGCAAACGAAAAACCCAGAAAATTTGGTATAATACAATAGAGAACTTGTCAGTCGTTCGCTATTGAAATACTCGTGTACATAAGGAAATAAAGCGAATACATTTTAATATCAGCCTTTTAAGCTGGTGTAAGTTTTAAAAGTAGTTTTTCGTGTACATGTGATGTAATAATACAGAAATGCAACGCGCGCATACAGCTTACTAGACCGGTAACTGCTCATAATTGTTTCGAATTTGAACTCAGATTACTATTATGCTAGCGGCGTCTCTGTTTCTGCGTTAAACGGCAGTGTGTTTTTTTCATGCGAATTTTATGTTTAACGTCAATCCGAGGTGTTAACTATAAAAAAGGCCACCGACAGCTCGTTGAAATTCACTTGAATTTTTCATGTCGGAAAAAACTTTTAAAAGCCTATGAAGGACTTGTGCCGTTTTATGGCGAGGATGTTCACGAAAGAAATCTTTATGCAAGAGAGCCTTCTCATTTGGTTTTTGGAAAATGTTGCCAAAAAAATTAGAAAAATTTACTACAAAGCTTTTCTTCAATAATCGCTATCAATCTCCCAAGTATACTAACACGCTCTAACCTATCGTGGATAAACCATGGAAAATTTACTGAAATTTCGAACTCAATAAACTTCCACAAGGGATGTGGTAATTTTGTTCAAATTACACCTCGAAAACAAATGGGGCGGAGATTAGGCGGAGAGATGCTTATCTCCAGTCATGGGAACATACAATAACCATATCAAATGAAGATCCACTGGTGACTGTCTGGCGATGGCTGATCCAAATTTTCAAAACCCACTTATCATGTATTTTTTCTGACTTAAGCATGTTGAGTGAGATGATAAGCCTGGAAGAAGTTGACCATCTTCATATCTCGAATATAAATGAAAACTGAAGTTAAATGCAAGTGTAGTCGGCTGAAATTATTTAAGCAAATAAAGTTGTTTTTAAGTGAATGGTTTGAACACAGGAGACTGTTGGTGTTTGTGTGTACTGGCGTTGTTTTGACATTCCTAGCGGTTGTCATCACCTTTAGACTTCAGAGTCGAAAACTATGCGACGGTTTGCGCAAAATTTTGTCAGCTACGTGCATGTAGTAGATAACTTTATTATAAACGCTCATGCTTTTCTGCTCCCGGGAATTTAACACAACTTCTTACCACAAAGTATGCACAATGATTCAATTTTTCAATTTGGAAAAGGTTTTTATATAAATCCTGTATACGACGTATTGTTGAAATTCGATTTTATTTTTATTCATCGCGCCTTAAGGGAAATACCAGATCTTCGGAGACGTATAACTTTGTTTATAGTAGAGGTATCAAAAGCCACGTTAAATATTCAATATTTGCAAGAGTTGTATGGCTTATAAATTGTGTAGATGGTAAATAGACAAATTACAGATCAACTCTATGGTTGAAATGAAGTCTTCAGATTAAGATTTCTATTTTAACTTAATTTGGAATGTTTGGGGTCAAAAGTCAACCTGCATTTACAGTTCCCTTGAGAGCTTATCTGAACGTCTATATTGATGCTCTTCACTACATTGTCGTCTGGTTTTGTCTGTTTGAGACTTATCTTGCCCGTCTGGAATCAAGAATCCTGGAGACAATGTTTATAAATGTGCAACGTTGGCACTTTTATTTTTTTTTGGTTTGTGTGTTGTAAAGGAATTTAACAATCGACACGATTATTTTGTAGTATTATTTAAAGTCTTCGTCAATTGCTCGAAGTGTTAGAAATGTTGTGACAGTCTTGCGGGCAGAATTGATGTGTTTAACTTTATTCTTTATTGGATGAAATGAACACTGCATACTTGGCAGTAATTGTACACTAATGTAGAGAAAACGGACTTCCCTTTCAACATCTTGATAACGCAAAATAAAATACGTATGACTTGTTCATTATTGTTTATCTATTGGAATCTCTTTCTTATATTCCATCGTCTCTGTTTCTGCGTTCAACTGCAATGATGTATTTTTTCATCCGTGTTTTATGTTCATTGTCAATACTGGCTGTTAACTCTCAAAAGGCCCAAAGTCTGCGTGTTGATATTAATTCCTTAAAAGCGTTAGAAAAAACGTTAAAAGCCTCTGAACGATTAGTATCTTTCTTTGAAGAGGATGTTGATAAAGTAAATCTTGATGCTATATACGGATTGCGAGTTGCCGAAGGAGCGTGGGCATTATGTTTGAAAAATATCTAAATTCCACCATGGCAGGTGGGGAAATGCGCCGCGTTGCCTACAGAATAAGAAAAATTCACCAAAAAGCTTCGTCAATCAATGATCGTGCTCAGGTATTCATTAAACATCAATCTCCTAAGTATTATGCCATGTTCAGGGCTATCGTTGATAAACCATGGAAATTTTACAGAGATTTTCAATTTAATAAACTTCCAGCATGGAATGTAATGAAGGCATATGACGACAAAAACGAATGGAGCGATGAAGAAAAGTCGGACAAATGCATGTCAGAAGTCATAGGGACTAACCTCAACAACACCAAATGCACAGTCACCAAAGACTGTATGAAGATGATGACCAATAAAAATTTTATCGATTATGGTCCTACTCATCAAGTACTATTTCTGACTTTAGCCATAATATTTCGATGTGAGACGAAGTATTCTCCAGTACTCAAACAACTATCTGGTTATGATGTCCACGGGCTCATACAGAATCGTTGTGGCCGCGTTATGAGTGAGATGTTAAGACTGGAACGGTTGGGGATTCCTGTGGGTTCACGTGATCTTTACATTGAGCAAGTCATGGTATGTGGGATGCACGGATTTGCAGAGTTTTTGACATTTAAAAGACTTTACAATGTCTTAAGTTGGCAGAGAAAAGTCGGGTGTTTTGGGAAGCTGTCAAACCGAAATGATGACGTCAATATTCAAGATCCTGGTACAGCATTATATAATGAGGAGGAAGTAGATGAGTTAGGGAGAGATGGTCAATCTTACCGAAGCATGCGCAAACTGTTGGTGGATGTAATTGTCGATTACCGTTGTTCCGCGCACGAGTCAGGAGTTGCTGCTGGATTATTGGGATTGTATACAAAATGGCTCGTGGAGAAGATGTATGTTTTTGAGATTAGTCAATCGGATGGGCTGTTAATGGCATAAAGATTACGTCAAACAAATATGACGTCACGTTAACGAATAGCAACACAAACCACCAATGGTACAACATTTCTCTGTCCGGAAACGTAATTGGCGGGAAAAAATTCGGCTATAACAATAAAGAGATTTACATGAAGTCGATGATCATATCGTTTGTGACGTCATTTCTAACATTAGCAGTCATTTTGACGTTGTATAAATATTACATTTCAAAAAATCACCGATACCGACCCCTTGTTGATGCCGGAGAAAACCATTCTTGTGAAAGATAATTGATTTTTGGGTTTTAATTTTATAACTGCAGATAAAACTTTCATGTACTTTTGTTTTGTTATTTTTGTTGAATCAATTATTGCTTGTTTCATTTCTGAACAATCTTTTCATTCGGTCAATTCTGTGGAAGGAGGGGAGGAGAGGGGGGTTAGGTAGAAGACATAGTGCGGTTTTAAGGCTGATTTCCATTCAGTGCAAATTGTCGCGCGATCGACTTTTCGCGATCACTTTCTTTTGAATTGTATGCAGCAGTGTGAAACTGTTCCGATCGAGAGCTTGCAATTGAAAAGAAAGTGATCGGAAAAAGTCGATCGCGCGACAATTTGCCCTGAATGGAAATCAGCCTTTATGAATTAGTCAGTAGCCATTGCCCGTGCAAAGATCGGGCTCAGTATTCATCTATCTTTATAAAACAAATGTTATACAGTTCAAACAAGAAGCCTAAATGGTGACCGCATGTCACCTATTATGTCTTTTGCGATCAATATGAAGGTTTTGCACGTCATTACCAGCACGAAATGATCACGAAGAAGAGTTCAGATAGCAATGTGAACATCGATCAGTTTTATTGTAATATAAACGAAAGGCAAACACACTTTCTACGTATCTGTTCGGTTGAAACGCTTCATTTTCCGTCAATTTTTATATTCGAAACATGTCTATTTTCAAAAATTTATCGTTTATATTAAATGTGTATTGGCAATAGTGCTTTTACGAAATTATATTCTAAAGCCTGTGAAGTAGAATATTGAAAAAGCTCTTAGTTGTATTTATTCAAACATTGTTCATGGCTGTAAGCTGGAGCCATGAATAATGTTTGAATAAATTTCCATTTGAATCTGGAAAATTTTTTCCTGTATAATGTCTGTTCAGCACTTTCTGATGTCAATATGTTCTTAGTTGTATTTATTCAAACATTGTTCATGGCTGTAAGTTGTAGCCATAAATAATGTTTGAATAAATTGCCATTTGAATCTGGAAAATCTTTTCCTATATAATGTCTGTTCAGCACTTTCTGACGTCAATATGTCCAGATAATGACTTTTCTATACAGATGTGTATTACCTTCTGTGCTCGCAATGAAACATAAATGAAATCAAATAAACGTTCTCTTGCGATTATTTATCGAAACACAAGTTTTAAAAGGTAAGCTTAATGTATTGTTAGCAAAAAGTACTTTACCACTAACTGTTATATTAATCACTTGCTGTTTATTCCTTTTAAACCTGCACACTCTATTATCATTGAGCCCATCATTGAAGTAGCTGGAAGCTTCTTATTATGCAATTATTAGGCAGAGAACGTCTATTTGATTTTAGAAAATGTCTCTATTTTGCGTTTAAGCCGTAGCGTTGCTTGGATACGTGTTTACACCTGCCGCCGCAAAAGTTTCAGAACATCATCAAATGGGCAAATTTAAATTGCTTGGTTTTGAAATTTCGGCTAAATTATTTGAAAGTGGCGAGAAAACGTTTAGAGATTTTTAAGACGAACGGAAAATTTAAATTGTTAAATTGGTGAAGTACATTGACAAGTCGATAATTACGTTCGTAAGATCGTAATCATATTTAATTTTAATTTTAGAATTTCTATTCAGTCATTGTCATGTAAAGTTCTTTTTGTTTTGTGTATAACGTTGATACTGTTTGTACATTAAACATTAGAGATGTTCATCTTTGTCCGGGGTTTTTATTTCACGTTCATTGTAACATATTACTGTCAAGTCTGTTTAAGTGGACGCGTTAAAATGAATTCCATGAAAGCCTTAGAAAGGACTTTAGAAGCATCTGAACGATTATTATCTTTCTACGAAGAGGAGGTTGATAAAATAAATCTTGATGCTATATTGGGATTGCGAGTTGCCGAAGGAGCGTGGGCATTATGTTTGAAAAACTATCTAAAGTATACAATGGCAGATAGGAAAATGTTCTCAGTTGCCAACAGAATAAAAAATTCACCAGAAAGCTTCGTCAATCAATGATCGTGCTCAGGTATTTATCAAACATCAATCTCCGAGTATTATGCCATGTTCAAGCCTGTCGTTGATAAACCATGGAAATTTTACCGAGATTTTCAATTTAATAAGCTTCCAGCTTGGAATGTGATGAATGTAACGATATTTTACCACGGAAACGATCGGACGGAAAATCTATCAAAGAGGTGCATGTCAGAAGTCATTGGAACAAACACCAACCACACCAAATGTACAGTCACTGAAGAATGTCTTGAAGCAATAACTAATCGAAATTTTGTCCAATATGGACCCACTCATCAGATACTGTTGTTGACTTTGGTCATAATCTTTGGATGTGAGATGAAGTTTTCTCCATCACTAAAACAATTATCTGGTTATGACTTGGAAGGCCTCATAAAGAATCGTTGTGCTCGCGTAATGAGTGAAATGTTATTACTGGAACAGTTGGGGATTCCTGTGTATTGGCAAGATCTTTACATTGAGCAAGGAGCGGTATGTGGGATGCACGGGTTTGCGGAGTTCATGACATTTAAAAGACTTTACAATGTCTTAAGTTGGCAAAGGAAATATGGATGTTTTGGAAAGTCGAACAATGATGTTCGTAATAGTCAGGAAACCGATGTAAATTTAAATCATGACCACAATGTTGGTGAAGGAAATCATCTTGATTATTTAAAGTTGATGGGCTCTTCTGACGATAGAAAGCACAAAGACGGTACTCCTAGCAATGATGAACATTCTGATACACTGAAGGAAAAAGATGGATCAAGAGGTACCTCTGATTATAAGGATGAATCAAGCACTTTTCGGTGTAACGAAAGCTACATGGGCTTATTAGGAATACGTCATGACATATCCATGAACAGAAGAGAGAGTCGATCTTTCCGAAGCATGCGCAAACTGTTGATGGATGTAACAGTTGATCATGGTTGTTCTTCTCACGAGTCAGGAGTTGCTGCTGGATTACTGGGATTGTATACAAAATGGATTTTACAAAATATGTATACTACAGAGAATAGTTGAATTAAACTTATAGTTACGATTTATGATATTTTATTGACTTTCGGGCACAATGCTCTTGGAACTAAATTTAATTTAGTAAATACATGGAATATAGTTTTCTTCTATAAGATTCTATCTGAAGGTTCATATTATTTTGAATGTTTTAATGGTAAATTATAATGCTGAATACATTTTATCATTAACACTCTTACATTGCCACATTCAAGGCGAATTTTTGTTTGGTTTTGTTGCATATTTTATCAACTTAAATTCTACTATGTATTTTTGTTTGATTAAGTCTTAAACATACAAATATTTATTATACGTAGTTAAGAAAATACGTAAAAGCGTGGTCAGGTTGAAAATCAAATAAAAGCTCTCGAAACATTATTTATGTAAACACAACTTTCAAACACCTAGTGTATCGTTGGAGAAATTGTTATCGCATACTGTTATAATATATTGACATTAACTTGCAGTTACACATTTCTTTTAAACCTGCACATATTACTACATAATTATTATTCAAACCCATCAAAGACTCTACAGTTAGATAGCAAATAATGTGTTTGTTTTTGTCGCGCTAAATTTTTGTCGCGCTAAGTCGTGAATAACTAACAAACAATGTCCTTTGGTCACGCTCAAATCATTTTAGGAATTTTATACACTCATTACCATATGTAATAACTGGATTGTAAGTTCCTTTTCAGCAAAAATCATCTATATTATTGTCATTTAAAACATGTTACTTCCTTACGTCGACTCGGTTTCTACATCAAACTTTAGCGATGTTTTATTTTATTCGTGTTTTATACTTCACGTTTATGCTAACATTTTACCATCAAAGATGTATAAGTGAACGCGTTGAAATGAATTTCATGAAAGCGTTAGAAAGGACTTTAGAAGCTTCTGAACGATTAGTCTCTTTCTTTGAAGAGGATGTTGATAAAGTAAATCTTGATGCTATATACGGATTGCGAGTTGCCGAAGGAGCGTGGGCATTATGTTTGAAAAAATATCTAAATTCCACCATGGCAGATGGGAAAATGCGCCGTATTTCCAACAGAATAAGAAAAATTCACCAGAAAGCGTCGTCAATCAGTAATCTTGCTCAGATATTTATCAAACATCGATCTCCCAAGTATTACGCGACGTTCAAGTTCGTCGTTGATAAACCATGGAAATTTTACCGAGATTTTCAATTTAATAAAATACCTACTAGCAATGTGACGAATACATCGGCTTTTAAGCACAGAGATGATTTTAGCGAAGGTACATCAGACAGATGCATGTCTGAAGTCATGGGAACCAACATAAATCGTACAAAATGTACAGTCACTCGGGACTGTTTTAAGACTATAACCAATCAAAATTCCTTCGGATATGGTCCCACTCATCAAGTACTATTTCTCACTTTAGCCATAATGTTTCGATGTGAGACAAAGTATTCTCCGATACTCAAACAACTATCTGGTTATGACGTCCACGGGCTCATACAGAATCGTTGTGCTCGCGTAATGAGTGAGTTGTTAAGACTGGAACGGTTGGAGATTCCTGTGGGCTCACGTGATCTTTACATTGAGCAAGGTGTGGTATGTGGAATGCACGGGTTTGCAGAGTTCATGACATTTAAAAGACTTTACAATGTCTTAAGTTGGCAAAGGAAATATGGATGTTTTGGAAAGTCGAACAATGATGTTCATAATAGTCAGGAAACCGATGCAGATTTAAATCATGACCACAAAGTTGGTGAAGGAAATCATCTTGATTATTTAAAGTTGATGGGCTCTTCTGACGATAGAAAGAACAAAGACGGTACTCCTAGCAATGATGAACATTCTGATACACTGAAGGAAAGAGATGGATCAAGAGATACCTCTGATTATAAGGATGAATCAAACACAGTCAGTGGTAACGAAAGCTACATGGGCTTATTAGGAATACGTCATGATATATCCATGAACAGGAGAGAGAGTCGATCTTTCCGAAGCATGCGCAAACTGTTGATGGATGTAACTGTTGATCATGGTTGTTCTTCTCATGAGTCAGGAGTTGCTGCTGGATTACTGGGATTGTATACAAAATGGATTTTACAAAATATTTATACTGAGGAAAATAGCTAAATTAAGTTTATATTACATTTATAATATTATATACTGGCTCTCAAGCACAATGGTCTTGAATCTAAATTTAATTTCTAAACTTACATTACGTTTTACACACATGTTCTTCTTGGAAGTTCATATGAAATTTTAATATTTCAATGGTAAGTCATATTGGCATGGCCGATAGTGAATTCTTCATTTTTTTTCTGTTTAGCACAGCCTTAACGAGACCTTTCTAAACTGTCAAAATGCTGAATACATTTCATCTCTGACATTATTGAACTGCCACATTCAAGGCGTCTTTTGTTGTTTTTGTTGCATGTTTGATAAATTTAAATTTATTGTCGATTTCAGTTAACTTTTCAAATGGCGGTTGCCAAGTTACTTTCTAATGTTGCCAATTACATTTCCAAATATGGAATATTCGATATGAACTTGTCAACTTGAGTTGACAAGTTGTGTACTTGAGTACTGAAGTTGGTACTTGAGTACTGAAGTTGTGAACTAAAGTTGCGAAGTACTGGCAAACGCGAAAGGTCTTTGTACCCTGTAGACATTTGGCAATGAATCTGTTCAGTAAGCATGGAAAAGCTTTACCAATAGAAGTAAGAAATGAAATACTTGAAAGGTGGTTAAATAACGAGCGTTTGGCAAACATTTCGAAACAACTAAACCTACCGTATAAGACTATATCGAATATAGTAGATCTATGGGTAGACACTGGTTCTATTGCACCTCGCCAGAGCGAACGTGATGTTCGAACCACGCGTACAGATGACGTTATTGCATACACTGAATATCTAAAAATTAATAAACCATCTATTTACGCAAAAGAGATTCAACAACACCTAGAAAATAACAAAGTTTGCCTTCCAGCAAACATACCTAGCAGGTCATCCATTAGTAGAATTTTGAATAAAGATCTTGGTTACACTTACAAGATAATAAGTCAAATTATTCGAGAGACAGAACGGCCAGACGTTATGGAGAAGTTAGAAGCTTACGTAGCAAATATTTCATTGATTGATTGCAACCGAATGCATTTCTTTTATGAGTCGTCTGTAGTTGTTACGAGTGGCAACAGACGTCGAGGGCACAGTATGCAGGGTGCTCCTGCATTAAAAATGCAACGATACTCTTCTAGTGCAACATTTACTGTAAATTTATTACATAATGTAAACGGCGTATCGCATTATAACACTCTTAGAGGGCCGTCAAACGGATTAGAATTGCTAAAGCTTTTCCTTGCTTACTTAACGGATTCATTGCCAAATGTCTACAGGGTACAAAGATCTTTCGCGTTTGTTAGTACTTCGCAACTTTACTTCACAACTTCAGTACTCAAGTACACAATTTCAGTACTCAAGTACACAACTTGTCAACTCAAGTTGACAAGTTCATATCGAATATTCCATATTTGGAAATGTACCTGGCAACATTAGAAAGTAACTTGGCAACCGCCATTTGAAAAGTTAACTGAAATCGACAATAAAAATGTGTCTTTGTTTTAATAAGTCTTCTGAAAGAAACAAAGTTTCTTTTAGTTGTATACGAACCAGCAGTGCAACATTTTAGCTTAATTTTAGCACTTTTGGATTTATATTGACATGTCAATATTGCACAATTTCATTTTTTAAAAGTATACTTTTTCCAATTAACAGTTTACAATTTATATCCAAATCTGCACACTAAAATATTTTCTAGTATAGAAGGTTTGTTGCTGAAATATATTCAGTAATTGACAATTGCAGTACTGTTTCTACATAATTATTAATAGACAAACAGTCTTTGTTTTAGAAAATATTTAGTGACGTGTCAGGTTGAAACATGTCGAAAATCAAGCAAAGGTTCTAGAAATATTTTTCATTTAAACACATGCAAGTTTCAAATGCCAAGTACATAGTTACAACTTTTATACTGTTATATTATTAACATTAATTTGAAGTTACATATTTCTCTTAAACCTTCACATTTTACTACATAATTACTATTCAAACCCATCAGAGACCATGCTGTTAGATAGCTAATAATGTGTTTTTTGTAGTCTGTAGCGTTGTGAACCTACAAACTTACAAATGTTGTAAAGTTTTCTTGACGAACATCATGTGACGACGTTGCCTTGATTTGAAGTTTCGATTCACCAATATTTCAAAGTAGCGAGAGACTTTCAATGATTTAAAGGGCTTGCACGAAACTTTAAGTCGTGAATAACTAACAAACAATGTCCTTTGGTCACGCTCGGTGTAGGAATTTTATACACTCATTACCATATGTAATAATTAGATTGTAAGTACCTTTTCAGCAAAAATCATTTGTATTATTGTCATGTAAAACTCTTTTTGTTTACTACGATCCGTCGACTCTGTTTCTACATCAAACTTTAGCGATGTTCTATTTTATTCGTGTTTTATACCTCACGTTTATGCTAACATTTCACCATCAAAGATGTATAAGTGAACGCGTTGACATGAATTTCATGAAAGCGTTAGAAAGGACTTTAGAAGCTTCTGAACGATTAGTATCTTTCTTTGAAGAGGATGTTGATAAAGTAAATCTTGATGCTATATTGGGATTGCGAATTGCCGAAGGAGCGTGGTCATTATGTTTGAACAAATATCTAAATTCCACCATGGCAGATGGGAAAAAGAGTCGTATTGCCAAGATAATAGGAAAAATTCACCGGAAAGCTTCGTCAATCAATAATCTTGCTCAGGTGTTCATTAAACATCAATCTCCCGACTATTATGCCATGTTCAAACCTATGGTTGATAAACCATGGAAATTTTACCGAGCTTTTCAATTTAATAAACTTCCTGCATGGAATGTGGTGAATGTATCGACGTTCATACACGAAGACGATGATTGGAGCAAAACTTTATCAAACAGATGCATAACAGAAGTCATGGGAACGAATATCAATCGTACAAAATGCAAGGCCTCTGCAGACTGTTTCAAGGCGATAACCAATCAAAATTCGTTCGGATATGGCACCACTCATCAAGTATTATTTCTGTCTTTAGCCATAATGTTTGGATGTGAGACAAAGTATTCTCCAATACTCAAACAACACTATGGTTATGACGTCAAGGGCCTCGTACAGAATCGTTGTGCTGGTGTGATGAGAGAGATGATGTTGCTGGAAAAATTTGGGTTTCCTTTAAATACGCGTGATCTTTATATTGAGCAAGGAGCATTATGTGGGATGCACGGATTTGCAGAGTTCATGACATTTAAAAGACTTTACAATGTCTTAAGTTGGCAAAGGAAATTTGGATGTTTTGGAAAATCGAACAATGATGATGATCATGGTCGGGAAACCGATACAGATTTAAATCATGACCGGGATTCTGGTCAAGGAAATAATCTTGATTATTTAAAGTTGATGGATTCCCCTGACGATAGATACAACCAGGACGGTACTCCTAGCAATGATGAACATTCTGATACACTGAAGGAAAGAGATGGATCGAGAGATACCTCTGATTATAAGGATGAATCAAACACAGTCAGTGGTAACAAAAATTACATTGGTTCATTTGTTATACGTCATGATATATCCATGAACAGGAGAGAGAGTCGATCTTTCCGAAGCATGCGCAAACTGTTAAGTGATGTAATAGTTGATCATGGTTGTTCTTCTCACGAGTCGGGAGTTGCTGCTGGATTACTGGGATTGTATACAAAATGGCTCGTGGAGAAGATGTAGCTGTAATGGAAAGATTGAGTTAAATTAAATTTATAGTTTTTATGATAGTATTGACTCTCTTGAAGAAAAGTTTTAGAACTAAGTGTATTATAGTAAATACATTTTAAAATAGATTTAGCCACAGATTCCGTGTTGAGATTCATATTATTTTTGAATGTTTCAATGGTAAATTATTCTTGCCAATGGAAAATGTCTCGATTTTTTCCAGTTCAATACAGTTTAACGACTCTTTTCTAAAATGTGTTAATGCTGAATACACTTCATCTTCAATATTCGCGCTCTGCCCCATTGCATATTCGATGAATTTAACTTTAATAAAATGAATCTTTGTTTGACTAAAAGCTCAAAGAAACAAAGTTTAAAAGGTACAAAGTATTTTAATACTCAGTACATGCCTTCACGAAAATACGTGCTCTGCAAGATCTTTTCTGATCAAGATGAGGTTAATTCCCAACGTTCATCATAAACTGAATTTTGTTTGGATGATATTGAATGAACAAATGTTTGTTTTATTCATTTATCTTTTTGTCGAATGCGACATTGTGCAATCACTTTCAACCTCTTACCTCAGTCATTTTTTTTTTGGCATTTTCGTTGTTTTTAATTCGTGTTTTACTATTGCACAATTATTATTTTTTAAAATACTTTTCCATCTAACAATTTATCTACAATATAGGCAATTCTGGACGCTAAAATACATTCTAGTGTTGCATGTATGTAAACGCGTTTGCAGAAATATGTTTTAGAAAACGCACAACTGACTTCGAGAAAGATTTTTCATTTGGACGACTAAGACTAGATGAAGGTAATTTCAAAATGCTTTATTGATCAAGAAATAACTTCAACATGCAATATGTGGCAATATATGATAGTCCTTGACATTACAATGGCCTGTCCATTGAATACGTTTAAGTTTACTTTTAAAGTTAGTCGCCTGATTATTTGCATGTGAGAATTGTTCCGGATACCGAGTCAAAGAAGTTGCTTTTTCCAGTTTATCCGGCATAGAGTGAACGAGTCGATTATTTCAAATAAATTGCAATATCTCTAGCTACGATGTTATTAGTTTCTTAAGAACTCTGCAGGTGATCATTATCGTGACAACGAAACCTCACCTGGCATTCTCGAATCACGAATTCTGATTAAAAATTACTTGTAAATCAATCATGTTTATGTGAACTCCCGATGAGTCGGCTTGTTAAGCTGATTTGAAACCATTGTTCTGCAACAGTATGTTTTTTACTAAACATTCTTCCTACCACATTTCTTTGATAGTCATTTATAGTTGTCTGTCATTAGAACATTCACAGTTCACCTTCATTTTTCATACAATTTTATTAAATCACATCGCTGAAGTTTTAATGATGAAGGTTTTCACAAGAAAACAGCACATTTGTCATCGCCATGAAGAGACAGAAACAAAAAGAGGTTAGGTACATCTTGAAATATTTTTGTGTCCTTGTAGCTTGATGGAGGCTAGATATACAGATGTCTGCATGTGTGAGATTAAAAGACAGTCGATCAAAAGCTTGTGTTCTCCAAATTAAATTATTAACTCGAGAATTAAATTTACATGACGCTTTAGAAAAAGCTTGTGTTCACCAAAAATGTGTGACAAGAACTTGTGCTCTTTTTCTAATCGCGAATATACCAACACTTCAAAGACTTACTCACACATTTAATCCATGCAAAAGCTTTAAACTTTAAGCAAATTCGTTAACTCCAAAACAATATCGAAAGCTGCATTTTTTCCATGCCAAACGTTTTTACAAAATTTAATTTAAGGGTTCTATAAACGTCACATATCTTGTAATCTGGGTTTGCTTTGCTGTATTATCTTTATGGTTCAAACCATACCGACAACATCGCACATTTCTGTAACGAAATGAGTATTTGCCCGCATTGCAGACGTGAAATGTCAAATGACAATTTACCAATAACACATCATTCATTGCATCATTACTGAATATCTTTATATTCTCTTGAGAAATACAGTGGCATAATATTCGGTTGTTTTAAAGTCGGTGAACCTTTGTTTTTAATGAGATTAGATGAAACTTGACATGCTTACCGAAAGGCAGCAAATATAGAACTTTCATATCAGAGCAAAAGTTATGTTCGTTGCTTATTTTGGAGTTTTTATCGATGTAGAATGTGCACTCGTTGTAATTGATGCACGACTGTCGATTTAATGAAAAAGATGGGAAACAGAAGGGCCACAAGGCATGACGTAGGAAGTTAAAACGTTGATTATATTGTGAAAACTTAAAGAAGAAAAACGTATTTTTCAAAATGCCGTGGATATCGTTAACAAACTGCATTCTTTTGGAAAGTCTTTTGTGTGAAAGAGATATTAAATAGATTTCAATTTTGGAAGGAATTCTGGAATTTTAAAAATTAGGACTTGTCCATCGAAGATGACAACATGTATAAGCTGTTATTTTCCCTATCTGTGTCTCGTCAAGATTGATTCATGATGATGAAATTTGGATCGCGAGGAAAAATAACACGTAAAATGGGGAAGACTTGACAATTATATTCATGATATAGGCTGTCTGTAATAGAGCCTTTCATGGAAATTCAATCCCTAATTTACTTGAAATTTATACGATGTCATAGGGAATATATTAACTCTGGGGGCTCACGCCTTGTTAAACGAGATTACCAAGTCAAACAAGGCATTGCCTGCCAGAATGCAGCGTTGTCTTTCGTATCATTGTCGTTTGCATCAAACTACCCAACTTGTATCTGCTCTGTGATAACATGCTAATTTTTTTTATCAAAGGTAATTTTTAGGTATGTTTGTTTTAGACTACTGATGTTGATGTTCAATAATGTCTTCAAAAAGTGAGCAAGTGTGTCGTTTTGTCACTTTTGCTATTTCTCTCTCATTATTCTCTTATTCTCAAGGTATGCTTTTATGTAGAAACCTGTCCTTGTTTTTGTAGTATCTTTTATTTTTGAGCAGCACAATTCATGCAACCATCCACTCGTTGCGTTGCATTGATATTATTCTATTTTCCATCAGCCAGAAGAACAATTTGCGTACGCCAACCTTCGAGAACTGGTGTCACTTTGATAGACGACATCGAGGCCGGGAATTTTAAACACGTCGGAGAAGCAGAAAGCATTGTGGAATGTCTGAATTTAGCCTGCAACCGCCAGACAGGAAATATAGCATTTTTATGGGGGAATACATGTTACATGGTTACTTGCAAACAAAAAAATCGCTGTGGTTTGCTGTCACATGCCAGTATGAAGAGAAAAGGAGCACTTTATAGGATCTTATGTAAGTTAGAATCTAATGTGAATATAGTTAGCAATAATTGTACTTTGCCATTAATATGATCTTGATGTTTATAGATGCTGCAAATTGAAACATTTTAGGAGTGTGGGTTTTTATCGCCCCTGTTAATGAATCTCCCTTGCTTGTTGCTTCAAACAAATGTAAAAACAAGGGAAAATAATGAACATTTAGGTTTAAAGGTGTTTGGTCTCATGTTTTGCATGAATGTGCGCTGGAACAAAAATTAACTGCGTTTTCAACATTGCATCACTTTCAAACCTCATCAGGCTGAAATTAGGAAAATTTGTTTTTCCTTTCATAAGTTCGTTGCTCAAGAAGATAGCTGAGTACTGCTGACTGGAAGATAGAAATCTCATAAATGTAGATTTTGGAGTGGAAAATAGAAAGAATATATTGTCTCGGAGATTTATCGTTCTATGATACATTCAGAAGTATTTTCTTTCGCTGATTTTCTTTTGGAAGTATTTGTAAAAACAATGTTTTATATTAGTATCCATAGTAATGCTTGTGTTATTTTTTTGTTGGTCAGTTGCTTATCCTGAATTTGAGAGTACGAATCAAGTTTTGAGTCTGTCTGAAGATGTACTTTCATCGCAAATGTTCATTCCAGTTAAAACGCTAAAAGCGACGGCGGAAAGTAGAGAGAGAGATAAAGAAAGGATGACTTTTGAAATTGTTAAAGGTTTGTAAAAATTCGTCATATAAAGTCTTAAAAAACTCTGAACTGTACATCTTACATTGAATTCTGCTTGTATAAACTGACTGATCATTTACCATGTAATTTCAAGGTAACATTCACGATACATTCCGCCTACATCCGAAAGCCTCAAACTGGGGCACGAACATATTTTTAACAAAAAGGTTGGACAGAGAATCCGTTTCACATTATGTGTTGCAACTGAGAGCTGTGACTCGTGTGGAAAACGTCAGTAGCGACCTCAATGTGTCCATAAATGTCCTTGATGTTAACGACAATCCTCCAAGTTTCGTACAAACACCGATTGTCTTCAGTGTGCTTTGTAACATAACAGTGGGTTCTGTGATTGGCCAAATGGCTGCCATTGACAATGACACTGGTCCACATTCGAAACTGGAGTATTATATCAAGAATCCTAACGAACTTATAACATACGTCAAAGATACAGGGGAGGTTTACCTTAAAAAAAAACTTCAACTAGACTCGATTACAAGCTATGAGTTTTCCATTAATGTCACTGATGGTAGATATACAACCGGGGGAAGACTGAGGATAGATGTTCATCCAATCAACATGAACCGTCCCACGCTCGAGAAAACGTCAATTGTTGTTCGGCTCAACGGCCAAGTACCGTCAAATACCACAGTCGCTGAATTATTGGCGTATGATCCCGATTACGGAAAACTTGGCGAGCTGACGTATGTGATTACGAATGGCAATGATGATGACATTTTTATGGTAGATAAAAAAGGATTCATCAGAACTAACAAAGAGATAACATCGAAAGCTAATGTCTTTAATCTAACGATTTGTGTCCACGATAAAGGAGAGCCGGAACTCTTCGCATTCAGACCTGCAAATGTCGTCATTTTAGTGCAGTGGTTAAGATTTAATGAGGTTGTTTTTAATATAACTGTAGGAGAAAATTTTGGATTGCGCGAGACTGCATCGTTGTGGATCGGTGGTCGTAAAGTCGTTGATAGTCGACAGACGAAATGTGAAATAAATTATCATCTCTTGACGGAAAAGAAGCAGTTTCAGATTGATGAAACTCGTGGTGTTGTCACGTTAAATAAATCACTGGACTACGAAATCAAGAGATTTCATATGTAAGTTTTATCGCGCTATTTAGTTTATAATGTTGTATTTTGGTAGACTTTCTCACTCAGATGATTTAGGGGACGATTACATGGAGCAATTTCAGCCCGGGCCTGTTATAATATCCTATCAAAATGATTACACGTGATTACACCGGCCTAAACACCGGGCTGAAATTGACCATGTAATCCACAAAATTTCAGCCCAGGCTGAAACTGCTCCATGTAATCGGCCCCTTATATTGATTCTGATGTGTACTATGATTCAATTCAAACATATAGCTCTCTACTCTACCAAGACACTTGACTCTCATTAATCGTATCGTAAGTTCAGGACGATTTAATCCATAGATGTCAGTGGATATTTTTTATTTCTTTTGTAAGAGTAACTATTGAAGCTGACTGCGAATGTAATGATTCAACGTTGGTTCCCTCTGCCTTATCAGGTATTTTTTTATTCATAACTAAATTCAACGTATCCAGTACATGTTTTACTCGTTCTCTGGAGGGGCACTAGTGGAGGTTTCGGCTTGTGGTGTGGAGAAATTGACTTTGTTGACCCACAGTGCTATGACACAAAATATATGATGTAAATGGGGCAAATGCGTGAGCGCTTTCAATAAATTAACATTATCTTTCAGAACACGAGTGTACACTTGAGCTGGCGTTTTGTTTTTTACCTAAAATCGACATCTGCTCTGATTTTAATGCAAAGTTTCCATGAAAACTTTGAGTGGCGAAAATTCAAACGAGTCACGCATATATTGTAAACTTTCCGAGGGGTGAATGCGATTTATATTTGTGGTGATTTAATGCTAGTCAGTGCATCGAAGATTGTTTTATTCAATGTTGTTATAGTGAAAGTTTCACAGTATTCGATTGGTGCATCGAAGATTGTTTTATTTAATGTTGTTATAGTGAAAGTTTCACAGTATTCGATTGGTGCATCGAAGATTGTTTTATTTAATGTTGTTATAGTGAAAGTTTCACAGTATTCGATTGGATAATCACGTGATAAAAAACGGGAGTTACATAAAGAAGAAATGAACTAAATCATTATATGAAACTGTAAATTGGATTTTAGATATTTTCAACCAGTGAAGTAGTCAGACGAGGTTTTTTACGCGCGCTATATGAATATTTCTGCGTTTACCCTCTGGAAAAATAGTCAATTTCTAAAGACACTAAATGACAATATATTTGACAATTGAAACCGCATAAACGAACTTGCTAGATGTCCTGTTACTGTTTTTAACCTTTATTTAGCCAAAGCCATTCTTAATGTGTCCGTGTGGATATTCGCCGAATAGGTATCGTTAAGTTCTTTGTTTCTATGCAATGCGGTGAAGTACCATAGTTAAATTAGATATTTCTCTCTTAGATGTTAAAAAGAGAGAGGGATTTCGTACCAAGCTTTCGGACATCATTGTCATTGTGCTTGGTGTCGTTGTTGGAGTCATTATTCTGCTCGTTGTTTTGAGAGCATTATTTTTGTATCGACGGGCAAAATTGTTGAGGTAATCATATCGGTTGAATATTTGCTATATTTTCATTTAACTAGACCTATGCGCTACTTCGTGTAAGTAAAAGATATAGTATTGCATTACAGGCAATTCTAACCTAGATCATACTCCCAAGAATCATTTACTGTTAATCTGACTTTTCTTTTTTTTCGGAAAGACGATGGCTGCATCTGCCGTATTCTCCCTCCCCCCCCCCTCCCCTCCGCCATTTGTTTCGCATGCTTACACTGATCACTGCATTTGTTTTCATCTTTTATTCTCTAATTAGATTGAAATGGGACAAAGAAAAACAAAACGTATCTACTTCTTTGAGTCATCCAAGTTCTCAAAGATCGGCAGAACGAACTCCTCATAGTTCAAGATCAACAATTTCTTTTACAGACTTGAGGTTTTGCGAGATAGTTGCATTGCAAAGTGTAAACTCACACGCCATTCATTTGTCGTCATTCTTTCTAGCACACCAAAAAGACTTGTTCCAAAACTGGACAAGATGGATCCTTGTGGTGACGCAGGTTTGTTAAAAGGAATCCGGTGATCTTCCTTTCAATGTACCCGTGTATGCGATGTATTTATGTACAGCTAACACCAAATTTTCAAATTTATTTTATAACTCAGAAAGAATTCGAGACGCAGAACGGGAAGGTATGTCACAATACTCTGGCTGTGGGGGTTCTGCGAGGTCTTCTAATTCGGATGTTCATCTTCGGGGAAGAAATACCGTACGAAAGGCGTTTATTTCTTGTGAAAAGACCGCTAAAACAGGTGCAGCTTGAACAGAATATTGAATTCATCGTGAGAAGGGAATAAATCTTGTCTAAATATTGCATCAGAAGCTAAATTATTATATCTCTGTGCTTCTTAAAATAAGCACATATATCTTTCTCATTGAAAATACCCACATTACTTGATTTATAATTTAATGACCAAAATATATATATGCAGCGTGTGATACTGAAATCATATTTGTTATGCTCTCTTGTAGTTTAATTTTCCCTTGCTTTTTCGAACAATGTTTAAGATGGGCTTGGAATGCTGAAATTTTCTTCAATTAAAGGGAAAATTTTTTATTGCATGCAGTAATTTCTGTTTTAACTGCAGATGACGAAGAACGTAATGAAATAGACGAAAATGGTTCCGAAGAAGAAATGGCTACTGAATTGAACACTGAATTATATTAACTTTATTGATGAGTACTTTATTTTTCTTTGGAAAAGCGTGCCAAACAACAGTAATGGAAACGAGAGGACAATTCTTCATTTGGCCATTCAACCAAATCTTTATGGAAATATATGCTGCAAAACGAACCAATTTCTCGTGCTGTGTTTTATGTATTTTACGCTTTTTGCAGTGATTGTAGCTATAAATTGTGTTGTTGTATAGTTCAGCAGATTTTTTTCTGTGCTAAAGGCACGCAACAATAAACTTACAAAGTATATTTTTGATGTTTTGATCGTAAATATATGCTTAAAGTTGCTGGATAAATACTTCGTTATATTTTTGCGGTTGTATTCTATATCATCATTCGTATCTTGAGTCAAGTTATGAAACAGTCAATTACATTTTATGAACTAAATAATATATGAATTTTCGACCTTCATCTAAATGTTGTTTTGCATGCACTTCCAAAGAAACAAGACACCGATTACAGAACCCAATTATCGACATTTCATTGTCGCCCCTGTATAAAATTGGGTGAATTATAAAAAAGCAGATAAGCTTGTAAATATAATTAGTGAAAGTAGAAAAATTTTAATTCGTTGAATTTTTCATTTCAGCACTTATGTGTATGGTAATAATTTATGGTATGAAAGTGCTGAAACTGACTATGTCCTTTTGACTGATCTAATATAGTAAATGATGAAAGTAGTACTGTTTATCAAGGTTATTGTCAATGGTTGTTCTGTTATTGAAATTTTTGTCGATTGCATCTTGTTGAGTTTTAAAAATGCCTGTTTCAGACAAGATTTTGAATACTCTTCGTTTAAATGCGAAGCAAGCTGAGGCTACTATCGCTTTACTACGAAAACAGCTTTCTGCGTTGGAAAACGAAGCCAGTAAGTTACATTTGGGGCTAATTTACATTGACAGTTTTAATAGATGAGAGATATTCACTTAAAATCAGATGAAAGAGATTTGTTTGGGTCAAATTGTCTCTTAATCAACGATTTTTTTTCTAGATAGCGACAGAATTGAATCATCTTACGTGGTATGTCCTAAGCTACAAATATGTACATTCTTATAATTAAATAGAGTTAATAGACGAATTCTGACCACGATAATTTACTCACTTAGTATAAATATAATTGCCCAACATAAAACTTTTAATATAGCCATGGATGTAAAATTTTATTAACAATAACATATAATTTTATTAATACAATTATATATCCATGGCCATATTAAAAGTTTTATGTTGGGCAATTATATTTATACTAAGAATTCGCTTTCCGCCTGGCAAATCCATTGTCACAAAATTAACTCTCTGATTACATTGCTCATTTGAGAAACAAAAAGAGAAGTTGCAAGCAGAAAATCAAGAATTGAGAAAAAAGGCGAAACAACTGAAGCTTGAACTAGAAAAGGTTCAACGTCAAAATGGAAGTAAGTTTTAATTAAAGTCATTGGGGCATGCATAATATGAAATGGTATAGTGGTAGCATCAAGTAAATATTTTCTGTTCGTCAAAATGTAACACCTCATTTTCGAAAAGGGATATTAAATTTCATATTTTAAAAAACTTTTTTTAAGTAAAGATTTTCACCTTACCACATGATAAACAAGAGGATGCAACAGTTGAAGAGGATGGTAGTAAAAGAACATTGACTGAAGTAGAACCACCTGTTGTTGAAGAGAAACCAGTTGCAAAGGAGAAAAAACCATCCAAGAAGGAAAAACCTGCCAAACCCAAAACTTCATGTTAGTATGAATGTATGGCCTCCTAATGTTTATTGCACATTGCTAAATAGTCACATATCTAAGCTCTGTGTACAACAGCTCTAACTATTTTGTTGGATTGTGTTGTAGCAAGTACGACTGAAGAAAATGTTGATGTCTCTCGGCTTGATCTTCGAGTAGGAAAGATTGTCAAAGTACAAAAACACCCTGATGCGGACACACTCTACTTAGAAGAAAGTAAGAATGGTTTTCTACTCAAAGTGAATACAATGACATAGTCTTTAGTCAGTGTAAACTAATACAGTGATGATTACAAAACAAATATGTTTAATCAATGAAGTATGATATATTTGAAGTTCCTTGCCACTGTGTGAGCAAATCAGTAAATAACTGTTATCAAAATAACACTGCTTCAACTTACTTTGTTTTAGTTGATGTTGGAGAGGAGAAACCAAGAACTGTTGTTTCTGGCCTTGTGAAACATATTCCCATAGAGAAAATGCAGGTTTTTACATGAACATATTGACTTAGATCAAAAGATCAAAGATATTATAAAAGTGCTCAGGTTTTTATAAAGTATCAACCCAAAGAGGGCTACAATAAATGTTACAATAAATGTTTAGAACAGGGCGGATTTAGGGGGGCAAAGCAGCTGTGCCCCCCCCCCTTTTGCCAGAAAAAACCAACAAATTGAATAATAATAAAAAATGACAGCCAGTTTCAGTTTTCAAACTAATTCAAAGAGTTTGGCCCCTCTTTCATAATCTCCAGGATCTGCCCCTATAGAAAGCCCACAGAATACAGTGTTTCTATAGTTATAAAGTAAATAGTTTAAACCCGGGAGTATCATTACATGTTTGTATTGTTTCACTGATGTTTCAACAACCTTAGCAGTAGTCATCTTCAGAGTCAAAAAAAAATGTAAAAAAATCAAATACCGCTAAGGCAGTATGCGAATTAGTTGAGAAAAAACGATGTGCAAATTTTTTGACAAAAGTGTTTCTTTAGAGGCATAATCAAATCTATATTACGTTAATTATTGTATAGCGCTAATGGCTAAATTAATATTTTTGAACGTGAACAGATTCATATGATTTACGACAGTGTTTTTCGTTAAAACCGCTGATTTTTGCACATCGTTTGAAAAAGTGATGTGCAATTGTTTTCATTTTAGCTAAAACGATGTGCAAATTGCACATTACACACCGTTAATTCGCACACTGCGCAAAGGTTGTCAAAACGTCAGTCAACAACAACAACAACAGTCTTTCTCAGGACTCTACTAACCTACTACATCTACGTATGATGTAGACGATTTACATCGACAAACATTTATGTATAGTTAGTTAATTGTTATTTTTGTTGGCGTGAAGAAAAATATTGGTACTTGTAAGATATATTATAAGCAATTCATATTAAGTATTTTTCCATGACAGGATCGTATGGTGATGGTACTTTGCAATCTTAAACCAGCCAAGTAAGGCTTTCTTCAAATCCAATTGACATTGCTCTACAAATGCTACGGTTCATACCAAGCGTGGAGAGGTCATGTGGGACTTTCATACTAACCAGGCGAATTTTTGTTAGAGGCTAAGGGCATGGGAACACAAACTATATCTTGAAAATCAGTTTTTGATGGTTTGGGCTTTTTTTGTACTTCAAGACCCAGTATTTATACGTTACGTGTTTTCCATCTGTCTGTAGGATGAGAGGTATACTCTCGCATGCAATGGTAATGTGCGCATCTTCACCAGAACTGTGTGAATTATTGGATCCACCTTCAACATCTGTACCTGGGGATAAAGTGATCTGTGAGGGATACTTGGGGACTCCTGATGAACAACTAAATCCTAAGAAGAAGGTTCGCCATAGTTCAAGTAGCGCTCTTATTAGGTCACATTCAAGTTATCGAAAGATGTTGAGAATTTTACCGCCGTTGAAATTTTAATTACAGATATTTGAAAAGATCCAACCTGACTTACACACTGACGAAGAAGGAATAGCAAAATATAAAGGATCTCCGTTCCTTGTTGTAGGAAAAGAAGGATATTTTTTCTCACAAACGATGAAAAACTCTAGCATAAAGTAGAAACAGAATAATGTTTGTCGCTCGTTTCAAAAAAGTTAAACATTTAAGTTTGTAGCAAATTGACTGTTTTCAGTTTTCTATGGGCCCCAGAAGAATCCAAATCAAATGACTCGTGTCGAAGAAAAAAAGAACATCAGATCACTCTTGATGAAGACTCTAAAATGGTGTGTGTAAGAACTCAAGTTTCAACATCAGATCACTCCTGATGAAGACACTAGACTGGAGTATATAAGAACTCAAGTTTCAACATCAGATCACTCCTGATGAAGACACTAGACTGGAGTATATAAGAACTCAAGTTTTAACATCAGATCACTCCTGATGAAGACACTAGACTGGAGTATATAAGAACTCAAGTTTCAACATCAGATCACTCCTGATGAAGACACTATACTGATGTGTATATAAGAACTCAAGTTTTAACATCAGATCAATCCTGATGAAGACATTAGACTGGAGTATATAAGAACTCGAGTTTCAACATCAGATCACTCCTGATGAAGACACTATACTGATGTGTATAGGAACTCAAGTTTTAAAGTCAGGTCACTTCAGATGAAGACAATAGACTGGAGTACAAGGAACTCGAGTTTCAACATAAGATTACTCTTGAAGGAACAAGATAAGACGAGTCCTTCCTGTGGTAGCCATGAACGACTTTACTTCACATTAAACAAGGTAATCTCAGAAATCTTGATTCTCTTCCATATTAGGATTGAATATTCAATTTGAATAAATCTTATTTTTGTTGAAACATGAAAGTCTAATAAGATTTGGCCGTTGACTGACTGTTGGCAACATGGCAGGTGGCACATATGGATACCATGGTAATCTCGGGTTTTTAAAAATTATGTGCGTTCTTACAGTTCACTTTGTCAGCGGTCGCTCATTCTGAGCATGCTCAATCTGACGTGGCAAAAAGTCTAAATTTCGTACACAACAATATTTTCTTTGGAAAAATATAAGATCTAGTCTACGAAAGTCATTCTTTGGGTTGAATGTTAGATTCCATGCTTAGTATCGGTTTGAAATCAGCATTTATCATTTTGCTTCCCGACACGTGCGATTCAGGAAGTTAGAGTTCTTGTATAGAAATTTCAATTTCGTTTTACTCTCTCGACTACTGTCTATCTTGTTTTGGTCATGTGGGGAAATGGTAAGTTTATACTTGAATTGACTTTTTATATATAAATTTATGTATATAAGTTTCTTTCATAAGCCTTTGATGAAAATACGGAAGGTGGAAGGGTATCATTGCTAATGTTACGTTATAAACTCATTGGACACTACCATACAAAGCGAAATGTTCAAAAAACGTTCATCATTTCTTTAATGATTTATCGTCATCTTCCTCATCATTTCGAACCTTATTTTTAACATTTTCATCAAAACATGATAAGAATGCTCGAGTTTTACTGCATTGTGTTAAAGGTCAAAAGAATTGGTACCAGACTGTGTTGGGGGGTGTTGAGAAATAAAGCTTTTACATCGTTTTATATGCAACTTACGTAATCACTAGATCAATTTTTTATAGTTTTAATGATTAACACACCAACAACATATTTGTAGCTCTTGAAGGAAATAGGCATGCTGTTTTTAAATGTTATAATGACTGTAAAAAACAATCAAAATAGTCCCGTATTAGGTTAGCATGGTGAAGGATACGTACATAACTAGTTCCATGTTGCTTTGCATTTGTGGCCAACTGTTCCAACATTTTCCTTTCTGTTATTCCCATAGGAAACGATTGGATTTACCTTTAAATGGTTGGAAAGTTTTTGATTAATGATGTCCAGTAATCAGTTCCAATCTACAGACTCCAGTCATGAGTTTTTTGATAATATTGGCATGTCAGGGTCAAATACTGGACATTCACAAAACTATGGTGGAGTTACTGAGAACTCAGGTTTCAACAACCAGTTACAGTTCCATCAACTAGACTCAACTGGATCTCAACAAATGGTGGCAAGTTCTACCGCTAAATATTTTCAGCCCAGACCAAGCCAAGGATATAGTTCACCTAACCAAAACATGGTACCAAGTAGTACTCTATCCTTATCCAGCAGGATTGAGCAACAAGGTGCAGTATCAACGGCTCAACTTTTCCAGCCATATCCTTCCACGGCTTCTGCATTCTTTAATGACAATGGTGTTCAACAGGATGCAACACATACAAATGATATTATTTTGAAAAAGTCACCACAACATGAGAACAATGATACTGCACAGCTTTTCCCATCTGATCAGAAAACTAAATATGGTGGACCTAAGTTTGATCGACATGGTCATCAAACTTTCAATCCGTCTGAACAAGCTACGCAGATTTTTCAACCTCAGCTTACTACCAATGATAACTTAAAATTACCTGGTTCTGCTACACAAGAGTTTCAAGGATCTGTTGATTCAGCAACAAGCATCATTCAGCAGCCATCAGTTCATTCAAAAATCCCATTTTATGAGGTGCCAAAATCTGATGCTGCTAACCATTTTGGTTTTCATGACCATTCAACGATTAATGGGAATTCTGCTCAAGAATCATATCCTTCAATGAATGCATTTGAACAACATGGACATCAAGGAGACTTACCAACTCATGTAGTAAATGGGCCTGCACAGTATTTCCAACCTCAAACTAACATGAACCAATTTGCAGAGCAGCTACAGTACCACAAACAAAACTTTGCTTTCAATGATGAAGGTCAGACCAAGGAAGAAGTGCCGAATGTTTCAACTCAAACAGCGACTTTATTTTCATCAAATTCGCATGGTAATGCTTTTGATGAACTTGGGCCAAATCAGTATGATTTATCAACAAATAGCTCACTAACGAACCCCCCTCAAAGTGTGGGAAACAAGGATCATTTACAACCAAGTTTTTCTTACTCTAGTTACAATCCTAGTCATCATATATCTAATACATCTGTTAGTGGTTTTTCTCATCCCAGCGATGGACAAGTATTAACTAGTGGTGTATTTGAACAGACAAATGTCCCACAAGTAACGCAGAACTCAAGCGACCATGCTGATTATTATTCGTCAGAAAGATATAGACTGTCGGGGGATGTCGAGGGCAAAAACCAGTCAGTCACAGATGAAAATGCCTATGTGGGTTCAACCTCAGCTTCTAATACACCTGTGTCCCAGGCCCCCTATGACAATGTGCAGGGCTTGGACATTGTGAGGACAACTGAACGATCTTCTACCGAAACACGCAAAGATAATGAAGGTTATAGACATACAGCTTCAAATCTCTACCCTCCATCATTAGGTCCAGAAAGTGAACCACAATTTGAATCATCTACATCACTATACCCTCCAGGATTGAACTCAGCTATTCCTATGAATCACGGCGAGTCCCTTTACCCGCCAGGAATGGATTTAACTGAGTCAACCCTACCCCCGGCACAAGACATGTATCCAGATCACACTTCATCATCAAGTATGGTCAGTGCGTCAAACTCCGGTACAGATCTACAATCGAACTCAAAGTTTAATCAAAATCACGAGGCAGAACCCGATTCAAAAGATTCTCAGGCTGAAGAGCAGAGATCATTAAGTCAAGATGTTTTAGAGCGTCCTGATACATCCACCTCTAACATTTCTGGTATTTCAACCGTACATGAAAATTTATCTTCCACTGAACAAAATCTTTTATCGCCGAGTACATTTATGCAACAAACACAAAATCCAAAACAGTCCTTGGATGTCCATGCTGAACCCCGTACAACCCAAACAGGCAGTTCACCTGTTATTAGTCAACCGGCAGAATCCAAATCAATGATAAATGACGTGGCTTTAGATAATCGAGGTGTGACCCACCACCAAATCCCACCACATTCTCACCTGTTGTCCTTAGTTCCGAGCAGCCTACAACAGAACGAAGCACGCTTCTAGCCAAAGATAATAGACCAAATTCATCAGCATTCACCCCAATACATACAAACCTTCCCTTGCACCATGCAGTACGATCAAATCTCGAATCTCCATTGCGTTCTCCCGTAGAAAAGGAGAAGAAAGAAGCTTTAAATTCCCGTGCTGCTATTCAGACGTCGTCTTTATGGGATAGTGAACCTCAACTGACCATGCCCGGTTTGATCGTACCAACTGTAGCTCATGGGAATCACTTTCAACCTGTTAATCAAAATCTAGCAATGGCAGGATACGGGGCTACGGTTCCCGTTGTTTCTGGCTACAGTCAAACGAACTATATGTTCCCTATGCAATCAAGTAATTCCTTACCAATCGCTACTAGTGTTCGCGGAAATTTACCCAATCCCGAGGGGGTAGGGCAACCAGAGCGGCCAGTTCCGCCACTCGACAAACCGACGTATAAAAATATCTCACCACGAAATTCTGAGGAAAGGTAAGATTTCATCAATGACACGTAGCCAAGTCGTTTATTTTTTGGGGGGGAGGCATAATTCATAAGTTGATGATCTGCTGTTATTAAGTTCCTTTGAAATCGATTGTTTTCTGCAAATTGCAAATTGCAACGTGTACATATGAATATTCCCCTCCCCTCCCCCCTAATTATCGAGGTTAGCAACGCCAATGGATTGTACTCAGTGTTGTTAACCATTCCATCATTATATTTGGATACAGATTGGGCAACATACATCAAGTTAGAGTGACTTTACGCGGGAAAACCTTACCTAAAGAAATACAAATAAATTTTGCAACATGTAGATTTTCAAAAACTGCGTATCTTTTTTCAATTTTTTTAGAACGAGTAAGATTTCAAAAGATACGGCTACAAATAGTCCAGAAAACGCGAGCGATCAGCGTTCTTCCAGTGAACTGGACCGTAAATCACTGCCGTCACAAGGACTGTCATCCCAGCAACAGCATGCGATGCAAGACAGACAGTTCTTGCAGCAGGAGAAGTTTTATGGCCAACACAATGTCGAACAAGGACAACAGATTGTATCCCCGCAATTTTCACAGCAACGACAGTCTCTACTACCATCACAACGTCAGCAACAAGAGTCACAATCACCCCATCAACAGCAACAACCTTTACAACAAAGACAATCTGAACAACAATGGCAACAAGAGTCACAATTCCCACATCCTCAACAGCAAGTACTCCTGCAAAAACAGCTTCATCAACAACCAAAACAAAGACAACAGGGACGTCAAACGTCACAAGAAAAACAATCTCAGCGGAATTCGCCACATCAGCGACTAGAGTCTCAGCAGAAGTTGCATCAGGAAAATCGACATCACTTTATGGAAGAAAATTCGCATCAGCCGCAACTACAACAGCAACAACAAGTACAACAACAACAACAACAGCTACAACAACAGCAACAGCTACAGCAACAACAACAGCTACAACAACAACAACAGCTACAACAACAACAACAGCTACAACAACAGCAACAACAACAGCTACAGCAGCAACAACAGCAACTACAGCAACAACAACAGCTAGAGTATCAACAATTTCTCGCTTATCAACAAGCCTTGCAAAGGTGTGAAACCATAATTCTTTTTCTAGAAGTTAATGTTTGATATATTCGGTAGAATCTTTGACTATACGTTGTTTTTGTTATTGCTGTTTTTGTAAAAGGTTATACGAAAAAATCAGTGACTTTTTCAAAAGAAATGCATGTGCTATATACAGCAAATTAAGGTTTTCTTCAAATTGCTCTAGTTCTTGGGAATTAATATTTTTTTGGTAGCATTTAAAATGTAAGATACCGTATGTTCTTACGACAGATATTTAAATACATAAAACTTCATCGCCAAACAAAAGTTACACTAAAGTTTCATATCGTTCCTCCCTCCCCTATTTCGCTAGTTAACCAATTTTTTCCAGGGGGTCACTGACTAAAGCATATTTTACTCATTTCGACGTAGACAAACGAGTGGACAATATGGGCAGTACCAACAAATGAACAGCGGTCAATTTGTTGGAGATTATGACTCTGAAGAAGAGTGCAATCGATATTACGATGACAGTAGAAAATGGTTTTGGTCGTTCAAGAGAAATAGGTGGATTCGAGCCGATAGGTTAGTAGAAAGAAAATCCGTTTTTAGCTACGGTTTTATTTATCATTTTCATTGATTGTATGACCAAGATATAAGAACTTTAGAATGGTAAAGCTTCTCTATGTACTTGGCAATGCTTTATGACCAAGATATAAGAACTTTACTGTGGTAAAGCTTTTTTATATGTAGTTGCAATGTTTTATGACCAAGATATAAGAACTTTACTGTGGTAAAGCTTTTTTATATGTAGTTGCAATGTTTTATGACCAAGATATAAGAACTTTACTGTGGTAAAGCTTTTTTATATGTAGTTGCAATGTTTTATGACCAAGATATAAGAACTTTACTGTGGTAAAGCTTTTTTATATGTAGTTGCAATGTTTTATGACCAAGATATAAGAACTTTACTGTGGTAAAGCTTTTTATATGTAGTTGCAATGTTTTATGACCAAGATATTAGAACTTTACTGTGGTAAAGCTTTTATATGTAGTTGCAATGTTTTATGACCAAGATATAAGAACTTTACTGTGGTAAAGCTTTTTTATATGCAGTTGCAATGTTTTATGACCAAGATATAAGAACTTTACTGTGGTAAAGCTTTTTTATATGTAGTTGCAATGTTTTATGACCAAGATATTAGAACTTTACTGTGGTAAAGCTTTTTATATGTAGTTGCAATGTTTTATGACCAAGATATTAGAACTTTACTGTGGTAAAGCTTTTTTATATGTAGTTGCAATGTTTTATGACCAAGATATAAGAACTTTACTGTGGTAAAGCTTCTCTATGTAGTTGCAATGTTTTATGACCAATATATAAGAACTTTATTGTGGTAAAGCTTCTCTATACACTTTTCAATGTTATAGGAACAAACGTGATCCAAATTATCACAACGACGATCGTTATCAGCAATCGAGACGAAGTCAATATGATGAACGCGAATATAGGAGACGTGACGGAAGACATTCTAGACAAGATTACGAACAACTCCGTGGACATCGTTTCGATAAATACTCTTCTCGCAGAGATTCTTTCTCGAGTAATTCGAGTGAAGACAGTCAAAGACTTGGTGGACGTTCTGGTCGATCTTCTCGTTCTCAGTCTCCTACACATTCTGTTTCCTCTCGTACCAGTTCCCGCGCTCGTAGAAGTAAACACGGACATTCGAAACAACAAGATTATGACCGTGATAGGTAGGTGAATCATCACAATGTTAAAGTGTATTTTACTTTTGGTTAATGATGGCCGAGTGAGAGATTTGGAAATTCTTTAATATTTGTTCGTTCCTTGATATGGTGAAGCTTGATAAACTCGACTTGTGTTGCAGCTTTCGTTTCATCTACGAGATTTCGAATGGATCAACTAGCTTCTGACCAGTCAATTCACAACAAAGGCTGTGCATTTGTAAAGATTATGAATTAAGTTTCTCGATTTGGTGCATGAAAATTATACTTCATAAAGTGTTAAAAGTCATTAAACGCCGTGACTCTTTATCCATTATGATGTGTCTCATAAACACTCTTGGACGCATCGCGAGCGGCGTAGCCAGCCCACAAATTCGGTCGTGCTATGTAAATTTTTCTGTGTTCACTCACTGTAAAAACACTTGATTTCTAAAGAAATGAATAATGTTTGTAAATGTAGATCGTCCAGGTTGGTATAGTCCTGAGAAGGACTGTTTCTGACATTTGACTCTGAAGATGACTACCGCTAAGGTTGTCGAAACGTCAGTCAACAACAACAAAAACATTCCTTCTCAGGACTATACTAACCTGGACGATCTACATTTACAATCATGTAACGATACTGCCGGCTTCAAACCATTTACTTTGATATAAATAATGTTAATGATCTGAAATTTACATAGCACGACCAAATTTGCCGGCTGGCTACGTCACTGCGCATGACAAATGGTGTTTAACATACATTTTATTCAGATATTACGGTGAAGACGTGAATCGTCGCACTCGGCAGCCATCCCGTAACTCAAGACAACTTAGTTCGGACAATGGCACCTCTTCATCGTCACCAAACTCTTTAAGTGACAACATCAAATGGAACGATAAGCCAAGTCAACAATCTGTTGATCGGGTTGCTGCAGATTACCATGTGGAAAAAGGTGAGGGCTGTGTAGGGAAAGGAAGGAAAAATATTTGATTATGGAGAACGTTTAGAATGCGTATTTGAGACAAATAATATGGGAATAGAGCAAAATCGTCTTAGTTTAGTGATGAACCAAGAACCAAAGTTTTATCAAATTGTTCATTTCCTCTGAGATAAATTGATCTTTATCTTTTGTTATAGCTTCGACGCCAGAGCGCCTGACACCAAAACAACATAGCGCCCCTCATATTTTGGGAAAATTTTGCGGTATATCACGAATGATCTATGCCCCACCAAGGCGTATTCTTGATGGTGAAATTAGCGAAATATATCTTACAGATGTTGTGGTATACGATATTCTATAAAATAACACTATTATGTAATGTTTTGGATTATTCATGTATATTTGTTTGGATTTGTATCTTTATAGTGTGATGCTCGAAACAATCATGCTCACACTTTTCCTGGACCTCTTTCCAGGTGTGTACAGTAGATAACTTTGTGGATAATGGTTGATATGTTCATATACAAAGGGAACAATGTGGGTATAGTTGGCGTGTGAAGTTACACAGTAAACATTATGGACATAGTTGACTTGTGGATATCTAGGGTAAACATTATGGATATAGTTGACTTGTGGATATCTAGGGTAAACATTATGGATATAGTTGACTTGTGGATATCTAGGGTAAACATTATGGACATAGTTGACTTGTGGATATCTAGGGTAAACATTATGGATATAGTTGACTTGTGGATATCTAGGGTAAACATTATGGACATAGTTGACTTGTGGATATCTAGGGTAAACATTATGGATATAGTTGACATGAGGATATAGATCATCATTGAGAATGTCGTTCAAAAATATTGCTTTGGATTATGCACTTCAATTAAAGTTATTTTGAATGTATTTTTACAGATCAAAAACTCACAAGAGTGACGTTGTAAAGTTTGCAAGGCATCAGGCGTTGATCGCTTTTAACAACTTGAAGAGATCGTTTGAAGAGCGCGAAGGCAGCTACATATTGTGGCAAGTTTTGGCTGTTATGGTGCAGCAAAATGGGGTATGCATTACAATATCTTACATCTGGCCGACATCATAACATCACCTTTGTAAACTGTTGTTTTGTACAGTTTTTTGTTGGTCATTATTTGTATAACAAAATGTTGCTTGTGGTCACAACCTTAAATATATTGATCTGAATAGCGTATTTGTCATATGAATGACAATTGAGTAGTTGTTAAAAACTGTAAGATCAAATGAAACGATGCATTTTGGCATACTTCGCAGACGTGAAAAGGGTTATGTCTTTAACTTGTCTCTGTTTTAAACGTCACCTCCCCGTTTGGCGGTGATGTCATTCTTCCTTGTCTTCATCTTAAACATTAGCAAATTGTTGTTTTCATTTAAGCAGTATATTTCTTTAACTCTGTTTTAAACGTCACGTTTGGCGGTGATGTCATTCTTCCTTGTCTTCGCAGACGTCACACCTGATCACGTGACTTCTGATGAGACGTCTGCCGAAATGCATTGCGTCATTTGATTTTATAGCTATGGTCATCGTTTGTCTTTCCATTTTCACCTGTTTACGGTATTTGTACTGTATCATCAAGATCGTTGAATGAAGGACGTCCCGTACAATCTAAAATTTATCAATGCATTCCGAATGTTAGAGAATTTAAGTAGCCTGATGTTTGGAATAATGTTCTAGTACTTTCTCTGTTATTTCATTATTTGTGTGTTTTCAAGGTTTACCTAAACACAGACATTGCAGAAGTACTGACGTCAGATCTTCCAGGTGTGCACCCTGAGCAAGAGTCTAGTCCCAAGTTTCCTCAAGAACAGTCGTCTGGCTCTGAAGCTCGATTTAGGGAGCTTCTGTTATGCGGCAAATCTCGAGTACGTCATGTGACATTTACATGTTACTTTTTGTTGTTGGTCATGTGAAATTTTGGAAATGTTTAAGGGTTTGTTTTCACATTTTAGGAAGCGTTGGAGTTTGCTGTAAACTACAAAATGTGGGGACACGCATTCACACTCTCCTATAAAATGGACAGGAATCTTTTTCTTAATATCATGAAGAGGTTAGATTTGGTTTATAAAAGAATTTTACTCTCTTCACATGGAGGATTGTACTTTAACAATCTCACTTGGATTATCTCATTTGGTTGATCTCACTTGGATTATCTCATTTGGTTGATCTCACTTGGATTATCTCATTTGGTTGATCTTACTAGGATAATCTCACTTGGGTTATTTTACTTGAATACTCGTGTCTTTAGGTTCACATCAACTTTACGCGAAGACGACTCCTTGTTGTGTTTATATCAACATCTTTCGCAAGAACGACCTTCCATCATTGAGGTATGTGTACGCTCGGAGAAGATCTTCGAGAATTCAAAATATTTTGAGAAAGGGTTACGTGTGTAAACTCCTTGTTTGTTACTGAATTATTGATGTAAGGTTTTGCGTTCTGGATCTATGGATAACCTGTCATGGACTTTTCAATGTTTTGGGAGTGATGTTAGGTTCATTTGCCTCATTTTAACTCGTTCTGTGCTCGCTCGTGTTTGACGATCATTTACTGGAAAGACAATGAATAGAATAGATATTTCAAAGAATTAAGTTGTGGCTTACGAAAAACATGCATCGTAAATGTGAAAATTTAGCCAGTGGCTTAAAAATACTTCTTGAAAATGAAGGTTTGAACTTTGACGTACAGTCTCACCGGATCACCATCCCTTTCTCTCCAACCTCTTTTTTTCCTATGTCCTCCCTTACGTACGTATCTGATGTGAAATGACTATGTTACCTTGCGTGTTGCTGTATCTCGTGTGAAATGTCTATGTTACCTTGCGTGTTGCTGTATCTCGTGTGAAATGACTATGTTACCTTGCGTGTTGCTGTATCTCTTGTGAAATGTCTATGTTACCTTGCGTGTTGCTGTATCTCGTGTGAAATGACTATGTTACCTTGCGTGTTGCTGTATCTCATGTGAAATGTCTATGTTACCTTGCGTGTTGCTGTATCTCGTGTGAAATGTCTATGTTACCTTGCGTGTTGCTGAAAGATTGGAATCATTTGTGATTTTACATAAATAATGCAAATCGATCGTTATCGTATAAACCGAGGACGAGATATTCCCCGTTAACTTGCGGTGAATGTTTTTCATAGAAAAAGTTCAAACGTTGGCGAAATCATTTAGCAGTTATGATTGCAAATCCAACCAAATCGCCGGAGCAAGATCAGAAAAATATACAAGCTCTAGGAAAGAAATTGGGTAAGAGACAGATTTTTCCTTCGCCTTGATTGGTCAACATTAGCACCTTTACATGTTTGTGGATGTAGATCGTCCAGGTTAGTAGAGTCCTGAGAAGGACTGTTGTTGTTGATGTTAACTGACGTTTTGACAACCTTAGCAGTAGTCATCTGTTTTTGACTCTAAAGATGACTACCGCTAAGGTTGTTGAAACGTCAGTCAACATGAACAACAACATTCTTTATCATGTTGACTCTGAAGATGACTACCGCTAAGGTTGTTGAAACGTCAGTCAACATGAACAACAGCATTCTTTCTCATGTTGACTCTGAAGATGACTACCACTAAGGTTGTTGAAACGTCAGTCAACATGAACAACAACAGTCCTTCTCATGTTGACTCTGAAGATGACTACCACTAAGGTTGTCGAAACGTCAGTCAACATGAACAACAACATTCTTTCTCATGTTGACTCTGAAGATGACTACGGCTAAAGTTGTCGAAACGTCAGTCAACATGAACAACAACATTCTTTCTCATGTTGACTCTGAAGATGACTACCGCTAAAGTTGTCGAAACGTCAGTCAACATGAACAACAACATTCTTTCTCATGTTGACTCTGAAGATGACTACCACTAAGGTTGTCGAAACGTCAGTCAACATGAACAACAACATTCTCTCTCATGTTGACTCTGAAGATGACTACCGCTAAAGTTGTCGAAACGTCAGTCAACATGAACAACAACATTCTTTCTCATGTTGACTCTGAAGATGACTACCTCTAAGGTTGTTGAAACGTCAGTCAACATGAACAACAACAGTCCTTCTCCTGTTGACTCTGAAGATGACTACCACTAAGGTTGTTGAAACGTCAGTCAACATGAACAACAACATTCTTTCTCATGTTGACTCTGAAGATGACTACCACTAAGGTTGTTGAAACGTCAGTCAACATGAACAACAACATTCTTTCTCATGTTGACTCTGAAGATGACTACCACTGAGGTTGTTGAAACGTCAGTCAACATGAACAACAACATTCTTTCTCATGTTGACTCTGAAGATGACTACCACTAAGGTTATTGAAACGTCAGTCAACATGAACAACAACATTCTTTCTCATGTTGACTCTGAAGATGACTACCACTAAGGTTGTTGAAACGTCAGTCAACATGAACAACAACAGTCTTTCTCATGTTGACTCTGAAGATGACTACCACTAAGGTTGTTGAAACGTCAGTCAACATGAACAACAACTGTCTTTCTCATGTTGACTCTGAAGATGACTACCTCTAAGGTTGTTGAAACGTCAGTCAACATGAACAACAACATTCTTTCTCAGGACTCGACTTACCAGGACGATCTACATCTACAAACATGTAAAGAAACTCCCGGATTCAAACCATTTACTGTATTAGCAACTTCATGCACAATTGTTATATATAAAGCACTTAAGATGAGAACCACTACGTTCATTAAAATTTGTAGGTCAAGTCTTCGACATTTTCGATACATCTCCCTTTGTTGATCTTTGTTATTTTTGCTCGTTTCACAGAGTCACGTGGCTTGTTTGAAGCAGCTCATCTTTGTTTTCTATTGGCTGGAAATACTGTTAGTGATGCAAATGGAACAACTTTACTTGGCTATTCAGCATAGTAAGTTTCTTCCTGGGGTAGTGGAGCAGGGGGGGAATTTACATATCACGATACACTATACTTAAGAATAGTAAAACTTGTGGGGTGATCTCTCTCAATGATGTTAGTTTTATGTAAGTTTCTTCCAGGGGGACAATTTACATATCACGTTACACTATACTTAAGAATGGCAAAACTTGTTGAGTGATCTCTCTAAATTATGTTAATTTTATGTCTTAGTATTTAATATGAAGAAAACAGTCACGTGTTTCCGTAATTTAAACTTCTGACCTTCAATAATGATAGCCAAAACCGTTACAGAAGGAAACCAAAATTTTGATGTATTGTTCGTTTTACTCGTACCAATGATTTTATATTTCTCATACAGCGGTGTTCGACATGAATTCATTGATGTTCTGGCTCTTCAACGCTCTGAGGTAAGGAACCCTTGAAATTGTTGCACAACTTAAAACCTAGGTTCCATACTACTAGTTCCTATTTCATGCATTAAACTATAGATGTACTTGTAGCAAGGTCGTATTTTGTTTTTCTTAGATATACGAGTATGCAATGAGTTTGAAGGACGAGAACTTCATCGTTAAAGACCTACAGGTTTGATATTTAGCTTGCAGTTTTATTGCAATTCTTGGCTTTCATTATTACATGTTACCTTATCCCAAAGAAAATTCGCACGAGTTGCGTAAAAGTAAAACTTATAGTATTTTATCCCGGACCAAACGCCACAGACAATCTTTTATTGCTAGATCTTGTAAATATATATAATAAAGTTAACATGTAATTCTTAGTATAGTATGATAAATATATAGAAAATCAATGTAAATTCTTCGTACTTTTTAATCTGAAGATGAATAACGAAAACCTTTCAATTCAATTCATTAAGCCTTAAAATGAAAATCTCAACTCTTTCTTTACTAGCCTTGGAAAATAATGCACGCTCATTCTGTTGCTGAGGAAGGGATGATCATCAAGGTAGTTTATTCGAGGTTTTTATGATCTCATGTTTTCATAATTTCGTTGCCTTCATTTACCACACTTAACGGGCAACTTGATAATAGTGTTGGGGGACAACCTTGAATTTAGTTTGGATTAAAATTAGGTTTAAGTTTGGATTAGAATCAGGTTTAAGTTTGGATTAGAATTATGTTTAAGTTTGGATTAGAATGAAGTTAATATACATGTAATGTAATCATGATTGTTGATATTGTTGTTTTTAACTTTTAGGCATTCCATTATTGTGAATCAATGATTGACTTGATGTTGAATCATCCTACAATGTACACCAACAGCTCCATCGTGATGATATATGCTGTATGTTACTTTTTGTTTCTTGTACTATATCATAAAGGTTAAATTACATTTTAAATGCTCGAAACTAATATGTATAGGTTTTATACACTAGAAGTCTCGTTAAAGTTATCACGTAGTCAATTTTAGATGTGTAAAACGTTCGCTTGCAATTTGAAATTGATCTTACAATTTGAAATTGATCTTAATTGAAAGAAGTTAGTGAGTAAAACTTTACTGTACACAAACTTCCGTTTAGCTGACCGTCCGTCTCACTCAAGACGACAAAGTTGCCCCTTTGTGGGATACGAATGAAAAGCTAAATCAACTTCTCGCCCTGTCCAAGGTACTGTGATGAAATGGCTTTGTCCTCTAAACTCTGCCGTGTCGTACGCCGACTGCCATAACTAGTCAAATTATTTGAAAGTTATCTGAAACAATTTGTTATATATACGAGAAAGATTATTATCCTTATGTATCCCTATAACGTTTTCTTTAATTTCCTTCAGGGATCCAATGTGAACTGGCAGTCACCTACTCAACAGCAGCCAATCGACGAATCAAACATTCGGACTGGATCACATGACTACACAACAGACAGTCATACCTTTCCAACATCTCAGTATAATAATAACGCGGCTCTAGATGAACCCGAGAGCCTGGACAATACTAATGTTAGCGACCAAAGTTATAGTCAACCATTTTACCAGGACAGCAACCAAGCCGCTACACAAAGTCAATTTAACATGACCGATGGTCAAAATGAGCCTTATGGCACTATCTATAATCAAGACCCTATAACTCAGGAAGAATTGAATTCGTACGAAGGTGGAACTCAGTCTGAAGGATATTTGCTGGATAATTACTCGCTCGAAAATAACTCTGCCGTACCAAATCACGTGGGTTATTACTCGGCTGGTGCCACTTTCAATCCTGGACAAACGTATGATATGAGTGGGTCGAATATTGAACTTACTGAAAGCAATACCGTGTCCGCTTCAAACACCACTTTTGACTACTATGATGAAGCAAATTTCAAGGTGAGAATGCAATCAATTTGGTTTGGTAAAAACCTCGCTTCCTTTAAGAGCTTTGCCCTCACAAACAATAAATTTTTTGCCCTCTCTTTTTAAACATGCTCCCTCCTAATTTGTTCATTTATCAGTCGAATAATGAGGGTATCCCTGCGGAAAGCAATAACAAAGAAGATATTCCAAACGTGGAAAGCAAAGAATCCGAAAAGGAGGAAAAAGAGAATGACAAAACGGACAAGAAAAGCAGTGTAAAATTTCGTGCAAATATCATCAACGAAAGCGAGGTTCTCATGTTTCGTCTCAATTTTTTCCCAGGGTTGGTCAATTGGTGGGTTTTTCAAGAAGCTTATACCAAAAGGTCAAAATGAAATAAAACTACCTGACGATAAAAAGAAAACGGTAAAGATGGCAAAATTTTCATCCTCGACATCTATCATATTTTTGTTTGCTTGTTTTCAGTTGAGATTATCAATGTAGCGATAGACCAATGAACGTCGTACGTCAAATAAACGTTTTTTTTTCATTCAGATTTATTGGGATGAAAAAGTAGGAAAATGGATTAACACTGAGGAAAGTGAAAAGGTATGTCCGTATCATCTGATGTCCTGTCCTGTGTAATCATTAATCTGATTAACGTTGTGTTGTTTATGAAAAAGGAGAAGGTCGACCTACCTCCGCCTCCGATCGATACTTCTTTGATCAGCGGTGCTCCCTCATTGCCTGTAAGCACAACAGCAGAACCGGCGTCGAGCTCAGGTAAGAGTTTACCACATTAGAAATGGTTATCTTTTGAAGTCACGTTATTGACTTAAATTTATATTAGTATTGTACTCAATGTCAAGCTGATAGGTATTCGGTTGACACTTGATTTTTCATCAACGAGTAAGTCTGCTATACTCAAACTGAACAAACACGAGCGATGATAAAGTTGCAGTATTAAAACAATCTCTTTCATTACTGAGTGCAACTTGAATAAAGTCATTTTTAAGGATATCGATGTTTGAAAGTTTAGCTTTCCAAAATGACGTCGAGTTGACTTTGTTTCATTCCGTTTTATCATCTAGTATCGACTGTGAATCAATTCAACTCTCCCCATGATCTTTCTTCTCAATCAAATACATCTTTACCCCATGGCTACCCACCTTTATTAAATACTACTGCCTTTACTCCCGATCAACCTGAGGTGTCCCTGGTAAACACACCATTGACAACACCAAGTCGTTTCTCGCGTCGAGCACAAGGTGGAAAAGGTAAAACCACATCTATGTCAGACTTCACCATTTTCTTTCGACTTTTCATTGTGATTTGTTTTGATTAATTTACTACAGGAAGAAAATCAAACTGGGTAGATGTTTTGGGCGCATCTGGTTCGACAACTAAAATAGATCAGGGAGCTTCGCCAATGTTGTTTCAGCCTCTTTCTGCTGGAAGTCAAACGCAAATGGGAACAAGTAAGGATGACTGGAAATCTTTTCAAAGAAGTAAATATCAAATTGAGTTCCCTGAACTGGGTCGGTTGCAAAGTTTGTTTAAAATTCCAATAGATGTTCATTATCATCCCATGAAGACCAGTAAAGTACCTTGAGTTTTCGATTTGATTGAAGGATATACAAACTTTAAAACAAACATGACGTGGATAGTTAATGTGAAAATTAACTGTAAGTTTTAAATTTCGTTTTCAATACTCGTTCATAGATTCGGCCAGTCAAGGAGCAGATGGAGCACAGCCATCAATCTTTAGGTAGATGCCATTACTGTTTCTAGCGTTCGCTTTAACGTGAGCCGTTAGCAAAATCCTCCCGCATCCAAATCTTTTTTTTATTTTTGTTTTATAGTCCGAGCAATTCTGTAAATGGTATGACAAAGCAACAAGGAAACAATTCACAGGTAATTCCGCCAAAAGAGTAAGAAATTAAATGGTGACATTTGGTGACATTTGGCAACTTGTATATGAATGTGCATATGTGCTATACATTTTCTAAAAACTGGTTCATTGGTTCAATGAAGTACATTATTGAAAGATCTTTTTACAAAACACTCGTGTGAATGAAATAGACTTGAAGCATTGAAGTATTGAAGTCCTTACTATAGGCATCAAAGACAATTGCTTGTTGTTTGGAAAGCAATGCATATGTTGTAGCAATACAAGGCTCTCAGTTGATGCTTCGTACTTTTAATACTTCTTATTAAATGTTATACATAAATCATGCACTGATTTTTATAGGTTACGCAGCCAGCATCTGCCGGTGTGCCCTTCTTTAATCCTGCAAGCTTTAGTCAGTCGGCGTCGTCATCTAATCGAGGTCTATCGTATCCGCGTACGAACAAATAATTATATTTTAAAATGCGAGAAATTATCGATGAAGAATTATGAATAAATAAAAATGCAAATAACTGTACCCTGTTGTCTGAACTTATCGTTTAAAGCATTGGAAGTATGTTTAAAAAATACCCATATGCTCGTAGTGTCCGAGATCATATATTATTAACATCGCACGTAAGAAGCAGCATAACTGTTTAAATCATCGTTGAAAACCGCAAATTTTTGGAGAGCCTTAACAAGTATGCTGTTATGTCTACAATTGTAAACGTCATTAATTTTTTTGAGCACTGGCTTTTTACGGTTCAATTCGCATTACTTTTCGTTTGGAAAGGAACATTTATCAGCAAAAACATTATTGTAGTAGTATTATAATTTTGGATGTGGTTAAAAAGATACGTATGCATATTTATGATCAATTAAAACTCCTTGTTTACTTATCTTTTTAGCTAGATAAATATTTTAGACATTGGTTTGTGAAACAAAGTGAAACAAATGTATGAAGTGTATGTTCGTATGTTTGTTTTTTTCTTTGTTTGTTGTGTCCCTTTTCTCGTGTATGTAGGCTAATATAGCTTGACATATTTTGTAAGAATGGACTACACAAATAATAACGCTCGCTATTTTCGTTTCATGTAAATCAAGTATTAATCAAATTTATTTCAAGTTGGTACTTAAAAATGTATAATATTGTGAGAACATTTGTCTTCCCACTTATAATTTAAATTAATGAAACAGCGTGGGAGCAATACGTCAAACTTAGCTCAAATTTTGCTCCGCCTACTCATGCACATCAAAAATATACATTCTGACAATTAATGGCTTTTCTAATTTCTATGGCGTTAGTTGGCAATGTTTTGTAGGTTTTTAATGTGGTCGCCATGATAACCAATGCTGCGTTTATGTAGACGAAAATTGACCAATCACGTAAAAGAGCGGACGAAAACATGACTTGCTTAGTATAATTTCCCTTCCGCATTGGTCGTCTTTTTGCCAACTGCTCATAAATGACGTTCGTGTCAATATTTTAAAAGTTCAAAGAAGATTGTGTAGCCTTAACAAAAGGTTTCCCAGGCGGAAAGTTTCGAAAACGAATTGAGTCATTTTGTTGAATTGAATACGCTTAAAGCACCCCCAGTTGAAGTGAAGTAAAGCTTGATTGAATACTTGCGACGAATATTTTTGTTCAAAATATCCAGGATGGGTTGTTGTGGCAATAAAACCGAGAATACAAGCGATATTGACATGGGAAAAAGCGACGGTGGTGGTAGTGGAAAATATGGTATGTATTGACAGTTTACGATGTGAAATATGATTAAACAATGAGTTTTAGTGCGGTGTGACTTGATATCCTTCGTATTTATAGTTTTTAAATTCGTCACGTCTGTATAATCTTATCATTCCTTCGTCAAGTGGATAAAAAATAGTTTGATACCAAGTGTTCTTTTAACAACCCGAGAAAGAACCGTTTTCATCAAATGAAAGCCATAATTGTTAGGAATGTTGGAGAAAGACTATCTCATAATAAGTTGCACTGTTGCATGACTTATAAGCTCACATGCCATAAAGCGCGACCTGCACTACGCAGTATTTAAACGATTCAAAAAATGAACAACTTGATACATTACTGCTGCACTCTCTCAACGTTGTCAAGTGTGTTTACTTTTAAGGTAAAGCCAGGAAACATGATCCAGAGTTTCATGGACCCATAAAAGACAGGTGCAGACCAACAGAATTGAATGCAAAGAGATGTATGTAGTGGATACGTATTTATTTTGTAAATTTATTTTTTAGGAGTTGCACTGATATTCCATGCTGTATACTATTCATTGTATACCTCATTGGCATGGTCATTGTTGGTGGAATTGGTAAGTATTATAGATGGTAGTTTCATCTAAAACTTTTATTTTGGTAATGTCAAAGAACAGCTTGACAACTTGCAAGGTATACAAAATGTTATATCATTTGTCAATGTCATTAGGTATTATTATATTCATGAAACATTATCAATGTCAACAATATTTATCCCTGTGTATTTAGAGTGAATAAGACATTTGTCATTTTTTTCTTTCTTAAGCTTTTGCTTTGGGAGATCCTTCTCGTCTCATCCATCCTGTGAACTCTGAGGGTAATGTTCCTCACTATAGCTTAATTTTCACAATATATTACAAAGAAAATGATGTAGGTCTGATATATGTACGTGATGTTCTATTTTAGGCAAAACATGCGGACGTGGGGAACTTTCGTAAGTGCACAAATCACACACCATTAAAGTCTATATTTAGAAATGGATGTTCACCTATGATAGTTTAGGCTTTATAGAAGGATTTTTGGTATTTTTGATGAATGACTCTGAAGATGACTACCATTTAGGTTGTCAAATTGTCAATCAATGTAAACACCAACAGTCTTTTTCAGAAATACACTAAACTTGGATGAACATAACTTGTAATAGTAGTTTCCAGCTATTGAGTCAGGTTCGAACCTTTCACTTTTAAAGTATAGTTTGTATAAGTTGTTTAAACCGTTTATAGGGATAAACCGAATTTGTTGTTCTTTGATTTGACGGATTGTATTAGCTTATCCAGTGCAACATCTTTGATAAGTGGATTGAATTTTGCCTGTCCTACAACTCAGGTCAGTAGAACTTTTCTTTCCATATGTATCATGTTGATGAATGTAAATCACAAATTAAAGGAAAATGCTTCATTGTCTAAGTTTAGTGTTAAATTTTTCAGGTCTGTGTTAAAAGTTGCCCAAAAGAAAACGAACTTGGATATAGTCGAAAATTTTGCATGATGGAATGCAGACCTGATATTGTTAAAACTTCATGTGATGAGGAGGATGTAAGACATTATTTATTGAATTACTTTATAAATGTATGATGCCTTTGTTCTCCGTATATGAGGATACTGGTATAACTTTCATAGTACAACTTTCAGATACTGTACAGATACTTGTATAACTTTCAACAGTACTAGTTCTAGTCAATATTATTAAATAAAAACAATGAATCACTCCTGAGTTTGCATAGGTCTGGGCAAACCAATCTGAGCTCAACCAAATAGATCAATCAAAGAGAATTTGCAATCAATCATAAATACATGTTAGAGACAAAATTAAAAAGTATATTTTATAATGATCTCTTTTGCATTATTGTTTTAAAATGAAATGAAATGAAAGATTCCTATTTGCTCAGGCATTGGTGAGAACTCTTGAGAAGGTAGAACCCTTAACTTTTAGTCTTGGGCTTGCACTTATCTTTCTCTCAAGTTTTCTCAAAGCTCTCCTTTGTTTGCATAAACCTCTGAAAACACTGTAAACATTTTTTCTTAAATGAAGACATTGAAAGGCACTGACAATAGTTTAAAACTTTTATATTCTTTATGTGATTAAGTTGTTGCACAGTTTATTTAAGTCTGACAAATTCAACCTTTTAAATATATTAACTTTCCATAACAATTAACATTCTTTTATAGTTGAACTTAGACGTGAAAAAGAACTTGTTTCCAATGGTTCGTGTGCTCCGTATTACTTGAAAAGTGAAGACAGTATGTATTTTTATTTGTCTGCAGTGTATGTAAATTAGTTAGATGTATATGGTATTTATCACCATCTATGTTTTGTAATTGTCATGGTATATTAACCAACTTTGTGAACCAATTTTACTACCCTAAGAAAATGAGGCTGTGTTAAAATATTGGCAAAATGCATGTTGTATTTTTAAACCACCATGCATTTGGCTGTGTGATGTGCAATGATCATGCTATGTTTAACTAGTGAAAAGAGGGATCCCTAGGGGTAAGAGGATGATTGTCTTGGATTGGGAGTAGTATATGATCTATGCACTTTTTCTCACTATTCATGGGGTGGGGGAAGGGAGGCTTTTATAATAGTAATGTGCCTTTTTTAACTACCAATTGATGTGGGCCATCATCAGAAATTATACATAATATAAATTATAAATCCTAACACGGTTTTTACATGCACATGAAAAACATGTGACTTGGACAAGATTTGAACTCACACCTTTGGGATACTAGTCCATCGCTCTACCTGTAGAGCTACCAAGCCCACAGGGATTGGAGACATGTCAAAGCCCACAGGGATTGGAGAGTGATTTGACTTGTCTCCAATCTCTGTGAGCTTGGTAGCTCAACAGGTAGAGCGGTGGACTAGTATCCCAAAGGTGTGAGTTCAAATCTTGTCCAAGTCACATGTTTTTCATGCGCATGTAAAAACCGTGTTAGGATTAATATTATGTATAATTGATGGGGGTAGGAGGAGGATACGTGGTAGTGCTTCTCTTGACTGTACATAGTTTTAACAATTAGAACACAGAGCTATAGATCACTTATGTTAGCTTGTTTACTAAAACTCTCAAAATCTTCATCGTACCCAACTTTTTATTTCTTCAATTCTTGTCATTTTTCCTAGTCTTAAATCGCTGCATTCCTACCGTGTTTGGTGAAACGACCAGCACTCTAACCAACGCGAACAACACATTTCTCAGAAATACAAACAATGAAACTTTCAATGAAACTAGTGTGGAAAGAGGTTCAAAGTAAGTCTTTCTTAAAATCATACGTAAATAACACAAGGGAATAGCCTTCAATATTAAATTATCTAATTGTCCATTTATAAGTATAAACTCGATGTTCTTTGAAAATACTCGTGACATCTGACATTTCATGTTCCGGAGTTAAAGCACTTTACCTTATGCAAGAAATTTTTGTTGGTTGATTGGAAGCGTTTTACTATCATTATCCTTTTACTGCTTGTTTATTTTTCCGTCGTTGTTCTGTATTTTAGGTACGTTCAAGCTTTGATTAACGTGCAGAATGTTGGTTTCAAGGTACGTAGTTCCCGATCCGGGACATATCTTGTTTTCTTTCAGGGATGTTTGAAGTAAATGACGATTGGGGTGAGGGAAGGGGGGCTGGGCTGAGCTGAAAACCAAGATACATAGCGACGTCACTAGGGATACGGTGAGGAATTTCATCGTTTACAATTCTCCTAAACATCTACGTGATTTATTCTTGACCAACCGCTCAGATTCCGACAGGCCTGTTTTTTTCATGTTTGTGGGTAGTTGTTTTAGTGCAGAAATCTCCTGTACAATCTAGTAAGAAAAAGCACGATAAGCTTCGTATTGAGTTTTGCCCGTGTATTCTTGTTAAAGTGTTGATGAGAATTTGACAATGTCATGTGAAAGCGATACTTCCAAAACAGGACAATACCGTTCGCAAGCTTTACTCTTATCATATAACTTATAACCACTGATCGTTAACGATGATTCAAAGTCTTTTATGAAACCTGCTAATGTTATTTTATACATGATGCAGTTTTATTCATTTTACTTGTATTTTTCAGGTGTTGGAAGATGTCAGTAATTCTTGGTGGTGGATATTAGCGTACGTACAATTTTAGCTGCCCGCATTGCTTCTGACACCTGCCTCGTATCTCGTTTTATGGCATTCAGTTCTTTGACCCAAATTAACGGGAGGATTTTTGTATGCAATAGTTTTGTTGAGCATGTTGTCGTACATTTTTTAAAGCCGATTTAACACTAAGTATGAAAAGTTTGTTGTATGGCAGAATTTAGCTTGTTAATTGTTCATTCAATTTTGAAGCTTTGAAAATGTGTTCTGTCTCTAACTTGTTTTTCATAACATTTCCAAGCTAAGAATTCCCCACTGTGTCGTACCAGAATTGTTAATTGGGGGGAGGAGGAGGAGGCAGCTTAATCCGTTGAAAACAATGGATCTCAAAGGAATTTAATGTGGCAGAACATGAATACATGAATATGTGCCCTCCCCCCCCCCCAATTAACTAGTCTGCTACGTCACTGATTCCCCAGAGCTGCAAACATGAATTTCTAAAGTTGTTTTTTTTCACATCTCAATTCCAGCGGTTTTGGCATAGCAGTCGGCAGTTGTTTTCTCTACATCGTACTCATGAGGTATTGCAACTTTGTATAAATCTCTTATTGTTTTGTTGCCAAATGGATATGGTATTTAGCTGTTTAAAATCTATGATAGCATTTGTTTGAAAACAAAGACATGCGTATTTTCACATTACATTCCTCAATGTTACAAAAATTACCTACATTATTGAATATTGGATTGTATTAGGTTTTGAAACCTGGTTTTTTTAATTTGCCCACGTTTTCATCAGAAACTTAAAATTTCTATGTGAAATATTGTGTTTTTCTGTACGTTTTAAGGTGGATTGCTGGATTGATGGTGTGGGTAACATTGTATGCTGTGTTCACACTGTTGGGATATGGTAAGCTGACCCTATATGTAGCTAAGCATACCTCGTAAATCATTAGCTTACATCATATATCTTGTTGTCTGAAAGTGGCGTAGCCAGTTTCATGATTTCGGGGAGAGATTGTTTCATTGGGAGTGATGTGTGCATGTTCTGTTTAATTAAGTTTATCCTAAAACCAAATGTTTTCTATGCATTAAATCCCCCCCTTAGAAAAAGCGACTTGTGAGTTGTGTTTGACTTTAAAGAATCCATTCAGCCTGTAGATTTATGTACTCACTGGTATGATTTTTAAATCATTGTCGTGAATGAAAAAGGTCAAAATGAGTTCGTAGCTCTTCTGTACTTCACTAATTGATTGAGATTTCCAACTATGTTTAGGCATTTATTATTGTTACACGAAGTATCACGACTTAGACAAGAAGGAAGATCATCTACTTTCTCGTTCACGACTGATCTTTCCGTGTATACGGATAACAAGAATACTTGGCTGGCATTCAGTAAGTCTATGAAACTTTTGCCAAACTTAAATTTTCGTAAGTGTTTTGAACTTAATGAAATATATTTATTTATAGCTATTATCCTTGCCTTGTTTTCTTTCGTTCTACTGCTTGTGCTGCTCGCACTACGAAAGAGAATACAAATTGCTATCGCATTGATCAAGGAAGGCAGCCGGTAGGATGGACTGTGTCTTTTTCACAAAGATTCATCAAAGAAGGCAGTGTCTTTCTGACATGTGTAGATTGTGTCTTTGTGACTTGTGTTGGTTGTGTCTTTCTGACATGTGTAGATTGTGTCTTTGTGACATGCGTTGGTTGTGTCTTTCTGACATGTGTAGATTGTGTCTTTCTGACATGTGTAGATTGTGTCTTTGTGACATGCGTTGGTTGTGTCTTTCTGACATGTGTAGATTGTGTCTTTCTGACATGTGTAGATTGTGTCTTTGTGACATGTGTAGATTGTGTCTTTGTGACATGCGTAGATTGTGTCTTTCTGACATGTGTAGATTGTGTCTTTGTGACTTGTGTAGATTGTGTCTTTGTGACATGCGTAGATTGTGTCTTTCTGACATGTGTAGATTGTGTCTTTCTGACATGTATAGATTGTGTCTTTTTGACGTGCGTAGATTATCTCATGTGACATGCGTAGGTTGTGTCTTTTTGACATGCGTAGATTATCTCATGTGACATGTGTAGATTGTGTCTTTGTGACATGCGTAGATTGTGTCTTTCTGACATGCGTAGATTATCTCATGTGACATGGGTAAATATATGTGGATTTCTTTGTGCATTAAACAGACGTGAGCAAATTTGACTCCTGTTATCCATTTGGTTTGACTTTCTGTAATCCACTCAAGTTGCGAGTGAACGCAGGATCGTATTTCCACCCGACCCCTTTATAATTCGTTAGAGCTACAAGTTTTTGCATGAGAATGTATGCATGCAATGTACACCAATAAAATATGTATATGATGTGATGTTCATGTGACCTGTTCATTTTTCTTATTATTATAGAGCCATTTCATCAATGTTGTTTACTTTATTATTTCCAATCATACCTTGGTTGTTACAGTTGATAGTTTTCTCTTGGTTTGTGGGTGTTGGAGTGTATCCTTTCATGAATACAGCAATAGTGCAAAACAAATATAAAATTTGTCTAACTAAGAAGTAAGGGATGATTACTAATGAGACTTTGGGGAGAACTCGAAAGCAGATCAGTAAAAGCTCAAAACCGAAAGTCAAGGGTTGCACATGCTCGAGAGTTCTCACACGCGTCTTGAGGTTTGCATATGCCAGTGGAAACACAAAATACATCGTTTGTTTCTTTTATAAAATTACAGACAAATGTGAAAACAGGCAAACGCTTTGATTTTTCCTTTAACATGTATTCATGATGATTTGTTCTGACGTGAGAGAGGGAGGGGGGGGGGACATCCATTGTGTTACAAGAGTTGGCTTGCTTTTATTTGTCTGGTTTTCAATATCTCTAATTATTCAAAATGAAATTAACCAAAATATTACAAATTGTATCTCATTGATTGGGGATTAAAATGATCATCGAAGGATCGTTTGAGGGTCATATTGCTAACTCGCAAGATAGTGTGAGGCATAGGTTTTTTGGTTCGTCTGCTTAGCAGCTCCTTGACTCTTGGCTCCCTTTGCCTTGGCATCTGAATATTATCCTTAATGTAGTTGATTAAAGTTACCTCGTTACAACTGGAGATGCCGAGTTTCAACAAGTTGTCAATGAAAACGGGACAAAAACAGTCACGGGACAGCTTTGTCAGGTGAATAATATTACCAGACTCTCGTTTAAAATGCGAATACCAGTGTGTCATATGTCTTCAATATACTGCTGTGTGGACTGTGTGTCATTTTTTTCTGCAGACTGATGTGTAGACTGTGTGTCATATGTCTTCAATATACTGCTGTGTGGACTGTGTGTCATTTTTTTCTGCAGACTGATGTGTAGACTGTGTGTCATATGTCTTCAATATACTGCTGTGTGGACTGTGTGTCATTTTTTCTGCAGACTGATGTGTAGACTGTGTGTCATATGTCTTCAATATACTGCTGTGTGGAATGTGTGTCATTTTTTTTCTGCAGACTGATGTGGGGACTGTGTGTCAATTGTCTTCAATATACTGCTGTGTAGACTGTGTGTCATATGTCTTCAATATACTGCTGTGTGGACTGTGTGTCATTTGTCTTCAATATACTGCTGTGGGGACTGTGTGTCATTTTTTCGGCAGACTGATGTGTAGATTAATTTTTCCTACTTGTTTTGCAGAGTTTTAAGACCTCCGCAAATGAAACCTGCCAATTTCTCAAGTACTCGGAAGAAGTGTATGTTGGAAATGCGATAGAAGAGTAAAACTAATTTCTTTTGCAGCTTGGAAACACTTTGTTTCGCATGTATTTTTAGAACCATATTACGGCTTCAAATCTATCACTTGTTTGGTTGGTTTTGGTTGCTGAATTTCGTGATAGCGCTTGGTCAATGTGTCTTGGCTGGAGCTTTTGCTTCTTATTATTGGGCATGGGATAAAAAGACGGTAAATTTTAATGAGCATGCCAATTTACTTATCTATAATATCTGAGCCCGCTGTACATAATGGCAATGGTGTAAACGGCTAAAAACTTTGAGCCTGCAGTATATCAGGATTGAAAGTGTCACGGCCAGGATTGTTGGCATTGTTACATTCGAAGAGGCTTGACAACTGTTTCAATAGTTAATTTTTTTTCTTACTAAGCTGTAGTTACGATGACAAAACGTTCTTTAATGCTTTATTAAGTATTGTCACCATTTCTTTATATTTATGTCCTCCGTCATCACAGGATATTCCCACATTTCCAGTCATGTCATCTTTCTGGCGTACCTTACGGTAATTATCATTATTATTCACTTTGTAAGCAATGTTGGCTGTGATTGGTCAACTACCTACAGATAATAGCTCCTACTCAAATGCAGCAACGCATTTCACCCCATCCAATCACATTAATCCACCCGCTAATCCAATTAGACGCTCTAAGCGTTTGCAAGCTAAAAGCAAGTGTAAATAGATAATTTCCTCATTCTGATGAAGGCTCGAAGCAACGAGTCGAAAGCTCAATAAAATTATTTATAAATCCGGAGAAACTTTTATTTTTAAACAAGATAATAGTTTCTACAAATATTAACGCCACTAAAAGCCGGTTTTGAAAAAAATAAAAGCGATGTTTACCACAGTTTCTAAACACGATAAGCGAAAACTTTCGGGCAAAAGGGATGTGAAAAACACTAAAAAAAGCAACTAAGCTGGTTTTGAACATATTTACAGCATATTTTAACAAGGACTTGAAAAAACGGGGGTTTTTTCAACGATAAATTAACGAAGGTTTGAAAATGTTTTACATTTATCAGTTTTAATAATTTTTCAGTTAGTTGAGGTTAATAATAAAACAATTATTGAATTCGTTTTCCGCATGATATCAAGAATTATTCAAACCTCTGCTTAGCTTCGGTGATAACATAGACTTCGGTCTGAATAATTCTTGATATCATGCTCAACCTTATCCAATAAATGTTGATTACCGTATGATTCAGAAGAAAAGACAATTTTAGTAAGATAACTTGATAGATGAAACCACTCAACACAGGCAACACTTTAAAAAGAAATTATTCGTAATTTCTTCTGAATACGGTGAAAAAAAATTTCAAATAAACCCAGGGATGTGCTGACTCAAGTTTAAACCGAAGTATATAAAACTATGCAGATTTTATTTCCCAACCAGAACCTGGTATCATTTCATTTTTTAAAGTTACCGCACTGGTTCTCTTGCGTTTGAATCTTTGATCACCAGATTTTATTTCCCAAATAAAAATTTAATATCTTTTCATTTTTAAGTTACCACACTGGTTCTCTTGCGTTTGAATCTTTGATCACCAGATTTTATTTCCCAAATAAAAATTTAATATCTTTTCATTTTTAAGTTACCACACTGGTTCTCTTGCGTTTGGATCTTTGATCATTGCAATTGTGCAACTGATTCGAACTGTTCTTGAATACATCGAATATAAACTCAAAGGTAGAAATCAAAACTGATATAATTTAAAATTGTCGCGATGTGCTTTTTAAAAAGGATATTTTCCGTGAGAAATGTTTCACATTCATTTAAATGTTACTCGCTCTTTATTCATTTAAATGTTACTGCTCTTTATTCATTTAAATGTTACTCGCTCTTTATTCATTTAAATGTTACTCACTCTTTATTCATTTAAATGTTACTCACTCTTTATTCATTTAAATGTTACTCACTCTTTATTCATTTAAATGTTACTCACTCTTTATTCATTTAAATGTTACTTACTCTTTATTCATTTAAATGTTACTCACTCTTTATTCATTTAGAAAGCGGACAGAACTATCAAATTGTAAAGTTCATTTTAAAGTGAGTGTTTTTAGAAATATATTAGGCGTCGTTTGCACGAAGCCTAGATAGCGTTATTTGTTAGATAGTAAAATTTTCAAACTTGTAAAAAATGTGTTCGTACTTTCTTTACGACGAATAAATTTTGTAATCTTGGAAATGATATTTTATATCTGTGATTTCTCAGTTCAAATCTTATATTTTTCTCTTTTAAGACTTTTTTCGACGTTCAAAAAAATTAGGCTGTCCATTGGATAGCGCCATTCGGCCTTCTTTCAACCGGGCCCTGTGTTACTTTCTACATTGGCGACAGCTGTCGTCGGTTTACGACTACGTTAACGTCGTTATTTTTCTGTGTTACTTTCTACATTGGCGACAGCTGTCGTCGGTTTACGACTACGTTAACGTCGTTATTTTCTGTGTTACTTTCTACATTGGCGACAGCTGTCGTCGGTTTACGACTACGTTAACGTCGTTATTTTTCTGTGTTACTTTCTACATTGACGACAACTGTCGTCGGTTTACGACAACGTTAACGTCGTTATTTTTCTGTGTTACTTTCTACATTGGCGACAGCTGTCGTCGGTTTACCACTACGTTAACGTCGTTATTTTTCTGTGTTACTTTCTACATTGGCGACAGCTGTCGTCGGTTTACGACAACGTTAACGTCGTTATTTTTCTGTGTTACTTTCTACATTGACGACAGCTGTCGTCGGTTTACGACAACGTTAACGTCGTTATTTTCTGTGTTACTTTCTACATTGGCGACAGCTGTCGTCGGTTTACCACTACGTTAACGTCGTTATTTTCTGTGTTACTTTCTACATTGACGACAACTGTCGTCGGTTTACGACAACGTTAACGTCGTTATTTTTCTGTGTTACTTTCTACATTGGCGACAGCTGTCGTCGGTTTACCACTACGTTAACGTCGTTATTTTTCTGTGTTACTTTCTACATTGACGACAGCTGTCGTCGGTTTACGACTACGTTAACGTCGTTATTTTTCTGTGTTACTTTCTACATTGGCGACAGCTGTCGTCGGTTTACCACTACGTTAACGTCGTTATTTTTCTGTGTTACTTTCTACATTGGCGACAGCTGTCGTCGGTTTACGACTACGTTAACGTCGTTATTTTTCTGTGTTACTTTCTACATTGACGACAGCTGTCGTCGGTTTACGACTACGTTAACGTCGTTATTTTTCTGTGTTACTTTCTACATTGACGACAGCTGTCGTCGGTTTACGACTACGTTAACGTCGTTATTTTACTGTGTTACTTTCTACATTGACGACAGCTGTCGTCGGTTTACGACTACGTTAACGTCGTTATTTTTCTGTGTTACTTTCTACATTGGCGACAGCTGTCGTCGGTTTACGACAACGTTAACGTCGTTATTTTTCTGTGTTACTTTCTACATTGACGACAGCTGTCGTCGGTTTACGACTACGTTAACGTCGTTATTTTTCTGTGTTACTTTCTACATTGACGACAGCTGTCGTCGGTTTACGACTACGTTAACGTCGTTATTTTTCTGTGTTACTTTCTACATTGACGACAACTGTCGTCGGTTTACGACTACGTTAACGTCGTTATTTTTCTGTGTTACTTTCTACATTGACGACAGCTGTCGTCGGTTTACGACAACGTTAACGTCGTTATTTTTCTGTGTTACTTTCTACATTGACGACAGCTGTCGTCGGTTTACGACTACGTTAACGTCGTTATTTTTCTGTGTTACTTTCTACATTGACGACAACTGTCGTCGGTTTACGACTACGTTAACGTCGTTATTTTTCTGTGTTACTTTCTACATTGACGACAGCTGTCGTCGGTTTACGACTACGTTAACGTCGTTATTTTTCTGTGTTACTTTCTACATTGACGACAACTGTCGTCGGTTTACGACTACGTTAACGTCGTTATTTTTCTGTGTTACTTTCTACATTGACGACAGCTGTCGTCGGTTTACGACTACGTTAACGTCGTTATTTTTCTGTGTTACTTTCTACATTGACGACAACTGTCGTCGGTTTACGACTACGTTAACGTCGTTATTTTTCTGTGTTACTTTCTACATTGACGACAGCTGTCGTCGGTTTACGACTACGTTAACGTCGTTATTTTTCTGTGTTACTTTCTACATTGACGACAACTGTCGTCGGTTTACGACTACGTTAACGTCGTTATTTTTCTGTGTTACTTTCTACATTGATGACAGCTGTCGTCGGTTTACGACTACGTTAACGTCGTTATTTTTCTGTGTTACTTTCTACATTGACGACAGCTGTCGTCGGTTTACGACTACGTTAACGTCGTTATTTTTCACAAGCTTCGTAGTTCATAAATATTCATGCAGTGTGTTATTTCTCAATGGTACGTTCCTTGTGCTAGGTGTTTAAAATGCTGTTTTTGGTGCTTGGAAAAGTTCTTGAAGTTCCTGAACAAGAACGCTTACATTGAGGTGTGTGTCGTTTGTACGTTTAAAACCTGTATTTTTAATCTTCAACTTTATTATATATATAAATATAAACAAAAAGAATGATAGAAGGTTAATTTCTCAAATGTTGTTAGATAAGGTCGTTATTTTCTATAGTTGTTGGTTAAAGCATTATGCTATCATTCTTTTTGTTTAATAACATTCCAACTATTTATCCTTGTAAACATATAAATATATTATGCACTTTATGTCTTACAAACTTCACATCGTGTGTTGTATTTTAGATCGCTGTTTACGGTAAGAACTTTTGCGTGTCCGCAAAGAACGCGTTTCTGTTATTGATGAGGAACATCCTAAGGTATTGTATACAAACGTCCTATGATACTTCATGTAATTGGCGTTCACCATGTTCGTCCATGGTGACCATCTTATCACTGTTCAATTCTTTATGTCTTCACGATGTCCTTTGTAGGGTGGCCGTCTTGGACAAAGTCACAGACTTCTTGTTGTTCATTGGAAAACTGACCATCACACTGGGAATGGGTTGGTTGTACTTTTTGATTTCTTCATGATCATGATGATATTAAGAAGAAGTCTTGTTTTTACATAAACTTTCATCATATTTAGCCGTGGGAAGTTTTTATTGGTTCGAAAGAGAGAAAAACTTAAACTATTATTTGGCACCTGTCATTGTAAGTGTTTACTTTATTGCATGAAGAAGGTTTTCCTTGTGTGAGAACTGTGTTGTTTTCTTTCATATATATCTGAACTTTTTATTTTCGTTTTAGATCGTTACGGTGGCAACATACGTTATCGCCTCGGCGTTTTTTGGCGTTTATGAAATGGCCATTGATACTTTGTTTTTGTGCTTCTGTAAGTTTACTTTGATCATTTTTGGCGTTTATGAAATGGCCATTGATACTTTGTTTTTGTGCTTCTGTAAGTTTACTTTGATCATTTTGGCGTTTATGAAATGGCCATTGATACTTTGTTTTTGTGCTTCTGTAAGTTTACTTTGATCATTTTGGCGTTTATGAAATGGCCATTGATACTTTGTTTTTGTGCTTCTGTAAGTTTACTTTGATCATTTTTGGCGTTTATGAAATGGCCATTGATACTTTGTTTTGTGCTTCTGTAAGTTTACTTTGATCATTTTGGCGTTTATGAAATGGCCATTGATACTTTGTTTTGTGCTTCTGTAAGTTTACTTTGATCATTTTGGCGTTTATGAAATGGCCATTGATACTTTGTTTTGTGCTTCTGTAAGTTTACTTTGATCATTTTTGGTGTTTGTAAAATGGCCATTGATACTTTGTTTTTGTGCTTCTGTAAGTTTACTTTGATCATTTTATGTTTATGAAATGGCCATTGATACTTTGTTTTGTGCTTCTGTAAGTTTACTTTGATCATTTTGGTGTTTATGAAATGGCCATTGATACTTGTTTTTGTGCTTCTGTAAGTTTACTTTGATCATTTTGGCGTTTATGAAATGGCCATTGATACTTTGTTTTTGTGCTTCTGTAAGTTTACTTTGATCATTTTTGGTGTTTATGAAATGGCCATTGATACTTTGTTTTTGTGCTTCTGTAAGTTTACTTTGATCATTTTTGGTGTTTGTAAAATGGCCATTGATACTTTGTTTTTGTGCTTCTGTAAGTTTACTTTGATCATTTTTGGCGTTTATGAAATGGCCATTGATACTTTGTTTTGTGCTTCTGTAAGTTTACTTTGATCATTTTTGGTGTTTATGAAATGGCCATTGATACTTTGTTTTTGTGCTTCTGTAAGTTTACTTTGATCATTTTTGGTGTTTGTAAAATGGCCATTGATACTTTGTTTTTGTGCTTCTGTAAGTTTACTTTGATCATTTGGGCTCGACTGTTGTTTGATTGACCGTGTCTTGTGAAGCGAGGCCAGCAACTTCATTTAGCTACTCTTGCTATGCTAAATTTTCTTTGTTCAACGCATTGAGAAAACATTAGATTTTTAATGAAATTAATAATGTTATTTTAAAATCGGATAAAGCAGAAACCTGCTGGCAGATATGTCACGGATGTTCTTTGCAACGCGTCGTGAGATGCTTTAGGGATAATATAGATCTTAGGGATCACGATGAGTATCATAAAACATATAATAAATTCCTTATTTAAGGCTACCATTGACATAGTGGTACCAACACTATTTGTTTCCAAACACTAGGTTTATAACATGTTCTTTCACAAAAAGTGTAATCATAGGAAAAACGATGTAACAAGTATAATATTATTGGAAACATGAAAACTAGTTATATAGCTAATTGGCTTTTCAGAGCCCTATGACAACATTGGTTGTCTAGGCACATCTAGAAGATATAGGGTGCAGAACGAAAAAAATTATGTATTTCAAAATATTTAAATCTTCTTACCATTTAAAATACACAATGGAGAGTATTTTATCGTGGAAACCTAATGACGACTAAATTCACGCAAGATTTTTCATTTTATTTTTAACACAGTGGAAGATTTGGAGCGTAATGATGGCTCCGAAACTAAACCTTACTACATGTCAAAAAGATTGAAGAAAATTCTTGGCAAAAAGAACAAGAAAAATTCTGACAGCGAATGATTTAATGGAAGGTTTATTTACAGGTATTTCGACTACTTTCAAAACTCTGTAAACAGGTTTTAGATTGACTCTCAAAGCACAGAAGAGTTTTAGTTTTCTTGTAACTTCGTTGTGATTTTTTAAAAATAACTTACACTAGCGCTGCAATGCAATGAAAGTTTTCATTAGTTTTTATTTGCAATTATTGAAGTGATTTGAATTGTTTACATCGAGCGTCTATCCACAGCCATTATGAACAAGGTGTTTGTGAAAAGACATTGGTGAGGCTTGGGAGTGTGAACAATATCTAATGCATCTTGGTAGATACTGTTCATACTTCGATCATTTAGCAAATTTCTCAAACACCCCAAATCTTATTGATTGATCATTAGTTGCTATGCTAATCATCTAAGTTTTGTACGAGTTGGATTTATGGAAAAGATTTGTGGAAACGATTTATGGAAGACTCAAAACGTGGCCACTGTATCAGGCAGCTTTCTTTGTGTGAATACAGAATAGTAAAGTAAACTAATGCGACAAAAAAGATTATTTTGTATACTGGGTGTTATTATTTTAACAACCCATCCCAATATATTTACAAGTAGGTTGGCATTTTCACTCAATTGCAACGCAAAACGATTTAAACAATTCATACGCTAAACATGTTAACAGTTTTACTTAATTGTTGTAAGTTATTGCTTTTGGGTTTCTGTTTAATTTAATGTAATTATTACGTATAATTTATCTTCATGAAATGTCCGTCATCCGCGCGCGCATGCGTTCATTTTTATAAATGTAAACATTGTTTATAGTGATCAGTATTAAATATTAGCACACACACGGTTTGTTAGGAAGAACATTTTGATGCTACATGTATATCAATGACAATCATTACTGAGAGCTACAGTTTGTAAATTACTCACGTTTTGACTTAAAATATAATAATATTTTATAACTATATGTCTTATTTATTTATTATTAACGTTTGCTTAAATCTAACTAGCAAATTTTTACTACTTTCTTGTACGTTCTCTATACTATCTAAAACGAAATCTACTGATGCTAACTAAAAAAAGGCATTTTATACCTTAGCAATTCAAAAAAGCAGCTTTCGGCTTAATATTAAATACTATAAAATGTGATCTAATTTTTACTGTTTTAAAAACATCATAAGAGAGGGTTTATTTCAAAGGCAAATGTCGGATGTTTAACAAGTACGTCGTTGTTTTTCATGAGAGTATTCTGATATTCGGAAAATACTCGGTCAAAGATCGTGAGATGATTCAGAATATTCGCCGTACACTACGTACATCACACTTCGCTGTTATTTTTGATGAGAGTATTCTGATATTCGGAAAATACTCGGTCAAAGATCGTGAAATGGTTCAGAATATTCGCCGTACACTACGTACATCACACTTCGCTGTTATTTTTGATGAGAGTATTCTGATATTCGGAAAACAATCGGTCAAAGATCGTGAGATGATTCAGAATATTCGCCGTACCGAAAGTGTGCGAAGCAACCTCAAATGTTTTCATACATTGATTATCTTTGTTTTCGACAGTAAGGTCGTAGATTTCCTTTAACATCGTCCTAATGCAAAAAAAATATTTATGTCAGCCTTGGGGTAGCTATACGTTAACATTTTTTACGATATGTCATCACTGCTCTTTCTACTACATTGCAGTATATTCAAAATATTTACATAAAACAATTTACTTTGCTAACCTTGTATTCTGAATTGCCCTCAACTTTTGCTGTACTTTCTCTTCCACATCTTTTCCCTCAGTTACTTTGTTTGATGCAATCTTCGCCAACGTTTTCCACGGAAAGTACTCGTCATTCATTCGGCAAATGCCGTCACCCAGCACCCTGGCTTCATTTTCGCACATCTTGCTAAGTATAGTCGGTCGGGATTTTGACCAGCTGTAGAGATATTGTATTTGTCCAACAAGGCCCGACCGGCACTTTTTGACTGTCGTACGTAGGCAATCAAATCGACTCTTGTCAGGTATTCTGGATAACCAGTTCTGCGCTTAAGTTCACCCAAGGTGATACCGTATCTTGTTTCTCGCGTGGCCGGTAGCGACATAACGCCATTGATGTGGGTAACTTGATGATCATTAGGGATATTACAGTATGGTCTTTGGATATCAGAAATATACTGCTCTCTGTTGGCCATTGAAATGTGGCGGTTTCCTTCAATGCAGTCGATTTGTGGCACGATGGTTCTGCTTCCATTTATGTCTCCTGTGGAATTATGATTATTGTAATATATCTTCAAACTACTTATACAAAGAGATGTCAGACAATGAAGGTAAGATGTCAGACAATGATGAAGATGTCAGACAATGATGAAGAAGGTAAGATGTCAGACAATGATGAGGTAAGATGTCAGACAATGAAGGGAAGATGACAGACAATGATGAAGAAGGTAAGATGTCAGACAATGAAGGGAAGATGTCAGACAATGATGAAGAAGGTAAGATGTCAGACAATGAAGGGAAGATGACAGACAATGATGAAGAAGGTAAGATGTCAGACAATGAAGGAAGATGTCAGACAATGATGAAGAAGGTAAGATGTCAGACAATGAAGGGAAGATGTCAGACAATGATGAAGAAGGTAAGATGTCAGACAATGAAGGGAAGATGTCAGACAATGATGAAGAAGGTAAGATGTCAGACAATGATGAAGAAGGTAAGATGTCAGACAATGAAGGGAAGATGTCAGACAATGATGAAGAAGATGTCAGACAATGAAGGGAAGATGTCAGACAATGATGAAGAAGGTAAGATGTCAGACAATGAAGGAAGATGACAGACAATGATGAAGAAGGTAAGATCAGACAATGAGACAATGATGAAGAAGGTAAGATGTCAGACAATGATGAAGAAGGTAAGATGTCAGACAATGATGAAGAAGGGAAGATGGACAATGAAGGAAGATGTCAGACAATGATGGAAGATGTCAGACAATGAAGGGAAGATGACAGACAATGATGAAGAAGGTAAGATGTCAGACAATGAAGGGAAGATGACAGACAATGATGAAGAAGGTAAGATGTCAGACAATGATGAAGAAGGTAAGATGTCAGACAATGATGAAGAAGGTAAGATGTCAGACAATGAAGGTAAGATGTCAGACAATGATGAAGAAGGTAAGATGTCAGACAATGAAGGGAAGATATCAGACAATGATGAAGATGTCAGACAATGATGACAATGATGAAGAAGATGTCAGACAATGATGAAGAAGGTAAGAGACAATGAAGGAAGATGACAGACAATGATAAGATGTCAGACAATGAAGGGAAGATGACAGACAATGATGAAGAAGGGAAAATATCAGACAATGATGAAGAAGGGAAGATGTCAGACAATGATGAAGAAGGGAAGATATCAGACTATAAAAAGATGTCAAACAATGAAGACAAGATATCAGACAATAAAAAGAAGGTATCAGAAAATAAAAAAATATCAGAACAGCTTGGCTAAATACCTGTCGTAAATTCGTCGTCATAATCGTCGTTATCCGTACTATTTTCCAAAGAAGCGCTATTGGCTCTACTTCGATTGCTGTTTGCTCTGCTTCGATTACTCATAGATATTGTTGTGCTATCGCAACTGTCATTTTCTGTTCTTTCAAGAACATTTGAACCAAAACTATGGTGACGTAGTTTCCTTTTATCGCTGTTCATTGACGCGTCCTCCAAAGCTGTGCTGCTGACAAATGGCAAAGGTACACGTTGGTGTTTTTCTCCTATCTCAGTTATATAATCTTGAGGTACGACTCCAGGACTGGTAAGTACAATGGGCATAGTAGTTGGACATACAGTGGTTTGCTGGTCTTCAGTTGTCGTAGCAACCAAACTGGGACCTCCTTGAAATTGGACCCTACCATCTGTTTGTTCTGTGTTTGGGGTGCTATGCGTTAACAAATATCGAAGGTAGTTAAATTTTTTATTTCCTATCATTTTGCCTTCTTCTAAACCTGGGTATGACAAACTTTCCCGCGTCCTGTTAATATGACCAGGTGGAGACATCATTCGATGGTCACTGGTGATCACGTGGCCTGGTGGTGATATCACGTGATGTTCGCTCGCTATAGTCGGGACAACGTGTTCTCTATGTGAGAAGCGTGGTGGCATAAGTTGTGCACGTGGCAAGGGTGGCACATGTGGTGATGCATGTGTAAGTCCACGGTCGAATGTGGATAAATCAGCTTCTGTTGGTTCATGGTTAATTTCGTGGTCTTCGTTAATAAATCTTTGATTGAACGCTCGAACAACGGGTGATTTCCCGAGGCGCTTCTCTTTCCACACACGAATCTTTTTACTCAGCGGTTCTTCACCACCTTGTTCGAACACCCGTATCTGCCGGCGTCGATGTAGCGAGAGTGACTCAGCACCAGTACTCCTCTCATCGTTGAACACACATTGCTTACAGTTCTCGTTAAACTGACGACATTCATCGGCAGTAAAACTTGCTAGACCCATCTCGAATACGGGTGACATAGAAACTTGTGGATCGACTTGTTTCCATTGCTCAGAAGTCGCAGCCGTGTTTGGTGGCTCGGCCGTGTACACTTGTGTCGGAGATGAATCACAACTTGTTCCGTCGAACTTTTCCTGCTCTTCGGCTAGTTCGTAGTCGTCCTTTGGTTCCTTCTTTATTTTCCTATGAAGATGAACTGACTCTGTTTGATTCCTCTCGCATGACTCTGGAGTGAAAAACATTACTTTAAAATCAAGATATGAATACATTCCTATGAGATTTCGTTTGGCTATGTTGATGTTAATCTTATCTAGTTCCAAGTTCAATGAACTTATAGCAGTTCACGATAGGTTCTTAATAAATGCAAAAAATACAAGCACCACTGCAAGTTATATTTTCCTCAATCTAACTATAATTATTACAAGCGTGAATGCATAATAGACGTAAGTGGCGAAACGCTTCTAGTGGTTTTCAGTTAACAAACATAAACAGAAAAAAATGCGACAATTTTTTCTGTAAATGGTACACAAACAAATGCACTTTTATCATCGACAACACGTATTTGCTGTTTCTACTTACAGTTTCCGGCATCTGGCCGTGGGAAATATCATTCAAAATTTTATATGTACATTCGTTGCCTTAAGACCTAACTGCATGCTGATGTTTTAATGATGGGAAATTTTTGTGTGCGAACCCGCGCCATATTTGGTTGGAAAATTGAAGGTTTTGACTTACAGTATGATCAGTTTAAAATGTTTTTCATTCTGAACTATCTGCAGTGTGACTGTGATTCTACTACCTGCAGTGTGACTGTGATCCTACTTGCTTAAAACTTTTTCATTCTGAACTATCTGCAGTGTGACTGTGATGCTACTATCTGCAGTGTGACTGTGATGCTACTATCTGCAGTGTGACTGTGATTCTACTATCTGCAGTGTGACTGTGATTCTACTATCTGAAGTGTGACTGTGATTCTACTATCTGAAGTGTGACTGTGATTCTACTATCTGCAGTGTGACTGTGATTCTACTATCTGCAGTGTGACTGTGATTCTACTATCTGCAGTGTGACTGTGATTCTACTATCTGCAGTGTGACTGTGATTCTACTATCTGCAGTGTGACTGTGATTCTACTATCTGCAGTGTGACTGTGATTCTACTATCTGAAGTGTGACTGTGATGCTACTATCTGCAGTGTGACTGTGATGCTACTATCTGAAGTGTGACTGTGATGCTACTATCTGCAGTGTGACTGTGATTCTACTATCTGCAGTGTGACTGTGATGCTACTATCTGCAGTGTGACTGTGATTCTACTATCTGCAGTGTGACTATGATTCTACTATCTGCAGTGTGACTATGATTCTACTATCTGCAGTGTGACTGTGATGCTACTATCTGCAGTGTGACTGTGATGCTACTATCTGCAGTGTGACTGTGATTCTACTATCTGAAGTGTGACTGTGATGCTACTATCTGCAGTGTGACTGTGATTCTACTATCTGCAGTGTGACTGTGATTCTACTATCTGCAGTGTGACTGTGATGCTACTATCTGCAGTGTGACTGTGATTCTACTATCTGCAGTGTGACTGTGATGCTACTATCTGCAGTGTGACTGTGATTCTACTATCTGCAGTGTGACTGTGATGCTACTATCTGCAGTGTGACTGTGATTCTACTATCTGCAGTGTGATTGTGATGCTACTATCTGCAGTGTGACTGTGATTCTACTATCTGCAGTGTGACTGTGATGCTACTATCTGCAGTGTGACTGTGATTCTACTATCTGCAGTGTGACTGTGATGCTACTATCTGCAGTGTGACTGTGATTCTACTATCTGCAGTGTGACTGTGATGCTACTATCTGCAGTGTGACTGTGATGCTACTATCTGAAGTGTGACTGTGATTCTACTATCTGCAGTGTGACTGTGATTCTACTATCTGCAGTGTGACTGTGATTCTACTATCTGCAGTGTGACTGTGATTCTACTATCTGCAGTGTGACTGTGATGCTACTATCTGCAGTGTGACTGTGATGCTACTATCTGAAGTGTGACTGTGATTCTACTATCTGCAGTGTGACTGTGATGCTACTATCTGCAGTGTGACTGTGATTCTACTATCTGCAGTGTGACTGTGATGCTACTATCTGCAGTGTGACTGTGATTCTACTATCTGCAGTGTGATTGTGATGCTACTATCTGCAGTGTGACTGTGATTCTACTATCTGCAGTGTGACTGTGATGCTACTATCTGCAGTGTGACTGTGATTCTACTATCTGCAGTGTGACTGTGATGCTACTATCTGCAGTGTGACTGTGATTCTACTATCTGCAGTGTGACTGTGATGCTACTATCTGCAGTGTGACTGTGATGCTACTATCTGAAGTGTGACTGTGATTCTACTATCTGCAGTGTGACTGTGATTCTACTATCTGCAGTGTGACTGTGATTCTACTATCTGCAGTGTGACTGTGATTCTACTATCTGCAGTGTGACTGTGATGCTACTATCTGCAGTGTGACTGTGATGCTACTATCTGAAGTGTGACTGTGATGCTACTATCTGCAGTGTGACTGTGATTCTACTATCTGAAGTGTGACTGTGATGCTACTATCTGCAGTGTGACTGTGATGCTACTATCTGCAGTGTGACTATGATTCTACTATCTGCAGTGTGACTGTGATTCTACTATCTGCAGTGTGACTGTGATGCTACTGTCTGCAGTGTGACTGTGATGCTACTATCTGCAGTGTGACTGTGATGCTACTATCTGCAGTGTGACTGTGATGCTACTATCTGCAGTGTGACTGTGATGCTACTATCTGCAGTGTGACTGTGATTCTACTATCTGAAGTGTGACTGTGATTCTACTATCTGAAGTGTGACTGTGATGCTACTATCTGCAGTGTGACTGTGATTCTACTATCTGCAGTGTGACTGTGATGCTACTATCTGAAGTGTGATTGTGATTCTACTATCTGCAGTGTGACTGTGATTCTACTATCTGCAGTGTGACTGTGATTCTACTATCTGCAGTGTGACTGTGATGCTACTATCTGCAGTGTGACTGTGATGCTACTTGCTTAAAATGTTTTTCATTCTGAACTATCTGCAGTGTGACTGTGATGCTACTATCTGCAGTGTGACTGAGATTCTACTATCTGCAGTGTGACTGTGATGCTACTATCTGCAGTGTGACTGTGATTCTACTATCTGCAGTGTGACTGTGATTCTACTATCTGCAGTGTGACTGTGATTCTTTTATCTGCAGTGTGACTGTGATGCTACTATCTGCAGTGTGACTGTGATGCTACTATCTGCAGTGTGACTGTGATGCTACTATCTGCAGTGTGACTGTGATTCTACTATCTGCAGTGTGACTGTGATGCTACTATCTGCAGTGTGACTGTGATTCTACTATCTGCAGTGTGACTGTGATGCTACTATCTGCAGTGTGACTGTGATTCTACTATCTGCAGTGTGACTGTGATTCTACTATCTGCAGTGTGACTGTGATGCTACTATCTGCAGTGTGACTGTGATTCTACTATCTGCAGTGTGACTGTGATTCTACTATCTGCAGTGTGACTGTGATTCTACTATGTGCAGTGTGACTGTGATTCTACTATCTGAAGTGTGACTGTGATTCTACTATGTGCAGTGTGACTGTGATTCTACTATCTGCAGTGTGACTGTGATTCTACTATGTGCAGTGTGACTGTGATTCTACTATCTGCAGTGTGACTGTGATTCTACTATCTGCAGTGTGACTGTGATTCTACTATCTGCAGTGTGACTGTGATTCTACTATCTGCAGTGTGACTGTGATTCTACTATCTGCAGTGTGACTGTGATTCTACTATCTGCAGTGTGACTGTGATTCTACTATCTGCAGTGTGACTGTGATTCTACTATCTGCAGTGTGACTGTGATGCTACTATCTGCAGTGTGACTGTGATGCTACTATCTGCAGTGTGACTGTGATTCTACTATCTGCAGTGTGACTGTGATTCTACTATCTGCAGTGTGACTGTGATTCTACTATCTGCAGTGTGACTGTGATTCTACTATCTGCAGTGTGACTGAGATTCTACTATCTGCAGTGTGACTGTGATTCTACTATCTGCAGTGTGACTGTGATGCTACTATCTGCAGTGTGACTGTGATTCTACTATCTGCAGTGTGACTGTGATTCTACTATCTGCAGTGTGACTGTGATTCTACTATCTGCAGTGTGACTGTGATGCTACTATCTGCAGTGTGACTGTGATTCTACTATCTGCAGTGTGACTGTGATGCTACTATCTGCAGTGTGACTGTGATGCTACTATCTGCAGTGTGACTGTGATTCTACTATCTGCAGTGTGACTGTGATGCTAGTATCTGCAGTGTGACTGTGATTCTACTATCTGCAGTGTGACTGTGATGCTACTATCTGCAGTGTGACTGTGATGCTACTATCTGCAGTGTGACTGTGATTCTACTATCTGCAGTGTGACTGTGATGCTACTATCTGCAGTGTGACTGTGATGCTACTATCTGCAGTGTGACTGTGATTCTACTATCTGCAGTGTGACTGTGATGCTACTATCTGCAGTGTGACTGTGATGCTACTATCTGCAGTGTGACTGTGATTCTACTATCTGAAGTGTGACTGTGATTCTACTATGTGCAGTGTGACTGTGATTCTACTATCTGCAGTGTGGCTGTGATTCTACTATCTGCAGTGTGGCTGTGATTCTACTACCTGCAGTGTGGCTGTGATGCTACTGTCTGCAGTGTGGCTGTGATGCTACTATCTGCAGTGTGACTGTGATGCTACTATCTGCAGTGTGACTGTGATGCTACTATCTGCAGTGTGACTGTGATGCTACTATCTGCAGTGTGACTGTGATGCTACTTGCTTAAAACTTTTGCAGGTTTATCGTTCTTTACTGTCCACGTTCACGAAACAAAATGAAACTCCATCGAAAAAAAACACATCCATTAAATGGTTAAAATTACAAAACTTTAACAGCGTTAATCATTCATAAAATGAAATGTATGGCAAGAACAGATTTAGCTTCATTTTAGCTATGAACAACCATTGTTTCTAGAGTAATCAACTGAACTTTGAGTAGATGTGACATTAAAAATCGGAAGAAACCGACATAAAAAAACCTTCACTCCTATAACAAGCATAAATAATTTGTTTTTAATGCCTAAGGTTGATATGTCTTAGCACACTTTTACTTGCAAATAAAAAACGCCTTTCAAGCACTTTCATTGGTTGTTTAATGTTAATTTACTGTAAATATGTACACCATTACTGTTATTTACCTTGGTGTCGGTAATTATGGGTAAATATTAACCTTTACTTTGTCTTTGCGTGTACATGGTCATAATCATTAATCACGTCAACTTTGGTGATTTATTGTCGAAATAAAGTTGAGATGGTTCTTCTCGTGCAAATTAGGTGAAGACAGCAGATGTATATGGAAGGTGTTGTACATTGCACCTTATGCTTTTCTTCAAGAGATCATTTGAGACAATCTGATTAACAATAGTTCATGGGGCTAGATATCTATCGACATATTTGTAATTCCAAAAAGTTATGCAATGCCGTTAAATAAAAATGATATTACCGTATGGCGAGAGGCGAAGATGGGTTGTCATTGACGATTAATTGTTTCTTACTGTTCATTTCGGTGCATTTGACCTTTATGGTTTTAATTTAAAAATTATCTATTGAGTCCCTTGAAGACTAATGGTCTTGCATTTTCAAAACAGTCAAAATTTCTTGTGCAACAACGTAATATATTCTCGAGTATTTAGTATTTTTCTTATTGCAATGCACATTTATGCTAATGCATGTCTGGGTGAAGGCAAGCCCAAAATATCAGTCGAGGCCTGTTTCAAACATCGAACTTTACATGCACCGAACACATTAAAGACAAAAGAAAATGAGATTAGTTTCCTCATTATTTTTTTGTTTTAAATGCGTTCGGTTCATGTTAAGTTCGACCTTTGAACTAGGCCTTAATAACCGACTTACATTCACATAAATTTTCGAAATAACAAAATGCGATTTTTTCAAATCTTTAGTTTCGTTTTACCTGCTTCTCGCGATAAGGTTCAGTAGTTTTTCCCGGAAGAAACATTCAAATTTTATTCTATTTTGCCAGGAACCGCCAAAGAGATTGTCAATCAACCACTGCCAAATATGCCGCGATCAATACTTTCAAGATTTTGTAAATTGTGAAAAGGAGTACTGTTTAGCATGTCAAAACATGCAAGCAAAACAAGTGTACAAAGTCGTTCGTTCAATTACCTTTAAAAGGTAAATTTCACACCGCACGATAAACACTATAGTCACTAGCGTCTCACCCGCTATTTTTAATATGCACACAATTTCACAAGCAGTTTGCAAATTGCATGTTTGTTGAGCAACATACATCTTGAATTTAGAAAGATTATGTTGGCCCTCGGATGTAAATTAAAGCAACTCGCGGCAACGCACAAACTCACGATATTGGACCGCCAATTTTATCGAGCGCTGCAGTATGAGCCGTATGCTTGACTTGTCGCGATAATGTGTCGGGTTTAACAGAAAATTTAACGAAAAGTTCGTTTAACCCATGAAAGTAGCGCATCGAGCGGTCTTAGACCATTTGTAGGTATTCTCGTTAATTCGGGAACAAACAGACCCAACATATTTTAATTAATTTTTGACTTCAATTATACATATATGTCTAGTGTTCTTCACCCTTGCGTGTTCCTTTGTGACATTATTTATCATCGCGTTAGCGTTCTGCGAACTGACGGTGTTTAGTTTCGATTTTTAGAAATAGCGTGAGTTGCACACAGGTAAATCGCGTGCAGCTTAAATGGATCATAAGACTTTTACCCGATTGACGCACGTTGCCGACAAGTATTTGTTTTAGAATAAGTAAGCTTTAGTTATGGCATCGAAGTCACTTAGCCGCAGGCTAAATTGCAGATGCTAAATTTTGTCCTTAACATCTATACGTCTTCAAAGAGCTAAGTAATAGATCTGCACAAATTTGTGCCATATTTTACTTACGCATGCCGTGAACACGCGAGTCGAGGTAGTATTTGATATTTATCTGATGCGAAAGTGTAAGTGGCGGCGAGCTAAATTGTTATTGGAATTCCATAAATCTCGGAATCATTTATAACGCGTTCAAATGGCTTGTTTATCACACGAATAAGCGATTGAATGTATTCATAATTCGAGAACACGCGTACTTGTTACATAAACGTCTTCATCGGTGACGAAATGCAACCAAGGCACATTGATAGTTTAATCGCTATAACCCCAAGGCATGCATATAAACACCAGCGGTCTATGATTCAAACACTATTTCCTTTTGAAACATTCGCAAGAGTTCTTTTATATAAAAGTTATGCTTTGCTACAGTTTGTATATTACAAACAAATAAATGGTGCAAGCATAGTTTCATCGTATCGTACAAACGCACCGGTTTATTGTTATCGGAATGTCTAACAAGACAGACGACAAAGGCGAAACGTGGCTCCTATATCCTTCAACCAACCTACTGCTTTTGTATTATACGTAATTGTTGATAACTGGATAGCATTATAACGTTGGGTCTTTAAAATTGCCCATAATCACGCGATATGTTTGAGCAGCACCGCGTCATTATAACGAGCATCGAACGGTTCATGGAAAAGTACAAAGCATATCGCGTACTGAACACATTTGATAGAAATACGTCAATCCCGTAGCAAACATATGTGGCAATGTTTCTGAGAATCGTAAAACTTGTGTCTCGGTCTTACCGTTCGACATTGGTCGCTTGTATGTATTGCTAACTGGATCGTCCATGCCCCAAGCAGACGCTTGTGTTGAACAACTCTGTGTGGCAGGGCCATGCTCTTGCTTCAAAATCCCGACGTGTGATGATTCTGAGTTCAATTCAGGTTCCATAACTCCAGAAGCTAGTACGGCAAGCATCGGTAATACCTAGGCCGTCAATCGGTTTTCCTAGCACTGCCTGGGGACTTGCAAATGCTTGTCTATTTCACTCTGTCCCTTTAGACTGGAACACGTCGCCAGAAATTCACTGACATCTAGAAATGCTTGTTGTGAGACGTCACCATTCGCCGCCCTCAGGGCAATCGCTGTCATCAAATACAATTGTTGACCCCGCGAGCAGAGCTGAAAACACCGGAAGACTGGAATAATTTATTTTGGAAGCGTATCGTTTCCTTTGACACAATCACCCGGGGGGGGTGTGATTCAGGGTATCAGTTAACGCGTACAAGTACAATTCACGCGTATTGCATGCGTCAAGCATGTGTTTTTGTGAAATGCTACGTGACCGTACTTTTAAGCGATGATATTTAATTTAACACAATGCTTTTTGTAATAATTTTAAAGTACATTTAAATGAAAAACGAGGATTTTTTAAGAGCGAACATGTTTCGACATTAACAAAATGCCATCTTAAAAAAATCGTCGTTTTTATTAAATTTATTTTACGCTTGCTGCTACTTAGAAAAAGAATAATCTTACAAATCGTTTCCATATACAATCGTAATAACAAACAAAGAATTGCAACACATTTACTACGATATTTTTTTATTCTAGTCATTGCTGTCTGTGATTATCATTTGAATACTCGTAGAATAATCACCATTAATCCTAAGTACAAAACATTGAGCTTCATTTGCAATTATTTAACGTTGCTCGACGTGCATGTGTGTTTCCCCGTGCATCTTCAGGCTCGTTTTATGTAAGCACACGGGAAATATAAATATGGTGGAAACCATGTTTTAGAAGGGATTTAGGAATGCGGTATAAACGATAATTATTGTTTTAAGTCTAGAGCAACAGGAAATATGTTTGGGAGAATTGAACACCCGCCAAGCAAAAGCATAAGACATATTTCCGCACAACGCTTTATGAAGGCGCAAATATGTATCTCGAAAATATCACATTAACTTTTACTTAAGATTTAATTGAATTATCTCATGCAATTGGAATGTTCTTGCTCGCTATAGAACTTTTAAGACCGGCACAAAACCCGTACCAATAGAATCATTTACATTTAAAACATCCTTAATCTCGGTGAGGCGGATCATAAATATAAATGTAATTTCTATTCTTTCGTATGGGTTAATTGTGAAGGTTAGCAGCGCGCCCCATACATTGTATCGTACCAAAACGCGTGACTTTCATAGGTTACATTCAAACTATGGTACCTTTATTGGGCAACAACTGAAGAAGTCTTTTGAACAACGTGAAAGCCTAAATGTATATATTTGCTGTGTACAATCAGCGAATGTTAGTAATTCTTGAAAATTCGATATCTTTGTTTTTTGAAATTCAATCCAATAAAAGTAGCCCCCCGTAACATTTCACATCAGTATAAAGGCCATTTTTAGTGGTGTTTTAAGCTATCAGGACAGTTCATTACAAACAATGGTCGTATTTTGTATGGGTTTTGCTGATGAGACCATACGAATGCTTAATAACATTTTCAAATATCAAGCGCGTCGCCATAGGTCATTGTAAAATTATTGGCCGCAGGGTCCGATAAAACAAAGTTCCCTTAACGTACCTTATAAAAGTCTGTGAAAGATCCTCGGGAAACAGTTCACCCAACTGTTGTGGCAATTTCTACTGATATTGTGACATTACGTGCGTTCGAATTACTTTCAAGGTCATCACGTTTGTTTAAGAACGCGTAACTGGAACGGCAAACAAATCATACGCCATAGGAATTCCTGAGACGTGCGCTCAAGATTTCTGGTGACGTACAGCCAAATGCTTGCAGCGGAATGTTATTAATTTCAAGATAATGATGATGTAAGAGATTCTCACAAGGACGACGACATGCCACTTGCACTAAGGTTTGAATCGCTCGTTCACTCCATCACATAGTCATGAGACATGCAAACTTTTTATAGCAGAATTTTTGTGTTTGCACTAACTCTCGAAGTCCCAAAATTCTACTAGCAAGCTCGGGATTTTTCATACATTTGTGCCCAAAGCATCAAGGTATATGTCTTTACTCGTCATGTAAAACGTTCCAGCTATGTTCCGGTTTGTTATTGTAATGTGTGTTGTAATCGATGCGATCGAGGTCACGAGATTGTCTTCAAATGGGTGAATTTTGCGTTCAATTCTTAGCTCTTATCACTTGTGTACGTGTTTTAATAAAAAAATATAGCATGCATTCGTGTATGTCCATGAAGAGACACAGCAAACCTCCAAGTATAGATTGTATGGTGTGAAATACATTGCAATGGTTCTGATGTATCAAAGCAGTCATTGTGCCGGTGTTCCTCTCCGTGGCACAGCGCTTGAGCCTAATGTGAAATATACCACATGTAAGGTACTTTGCTTTAAACCACACAATTTAAACGGCTACGATCAGTTTCCTGTTAATTTTTTTTTATAAAGTCACAAAGTTCAGAACAAAGTTCAAACTTTACAATCAACATTAATTCTGGAATCCATGTTTCATGTCATCCAATCAAATATACGATGGAACCTCCATTAGGGAACTTTGGCGTCAAACTTTTCCATACAAATTCGAAAATGCATGAACACGAGAACAGTGAATGAAACCTTTTCCAAAATAATGACTTAGATTGGAATTTTAAACGAAATGTTAACTTCCTCTCGAAAGAAATAAAGTCAATGACTCAAAACTTCACTGATGAGGAAGAAGATATTGAAACAGGCAAGGTTGGCAGTACTTTACCGTACTTCTATAGATAAAATGTGTTTGCATAGTTTGCTTGACGATCATACTGAAGTTTAGATAGAAAGTGAACTCTTTATATACAGGTTTTATATACAGGAAAAGTTTCCGCTTGACAATTATGTGTTTTACTTGATTGCTATTAAACTATGTCTTGTTAATCACCAATCCAACAAACATTGGCTTCAAAAGATAACACGAGCATGGATGACTAGTCTTTAGATAAGCATGAAATTTAGCATCCACATGCCACGTGTGAGTCATGTGACTTATTACCTAGTCATTGGGATTTTTAGAATTGTTTGATCTGACTAACCTCACTCACACAAACAAACACACACCCTGCGATAACAGAATTTTAATTATACGCGATCATTTAAAAGCGTTCGCATTATCTTAATTATTACAGAAGATAAATTCCATTACATTTTTTTTCACTGACACGAAGCTGGTTTTTCCTCAACTTTGAAAGTGGCTGTGTGAAGCATGGCTGTTATAGGTAACGTTAGCTGTACTATTGGTCTTACTAGATGGATGGATTTAAATAGTGAGATGTTGTGAGGGAGAGTATTGTAATAAGTTGCTTTGTTGTATGAATGGCCTTTGAAAGCTTTCTAAAAGACACTTGATTGTGAAGAGCTTATTGTTGATTTTGCTGCAAAATGAACGCAAGAAACCTATTTAAATCATACTTTTTACTAAATTGTTTTGTCAAGTTTAATGGCAGTTTGTTGTATTCATGAAGTCTCTCATTTGTTCAGTGCCGGAAAACTAATCATTTGTGTGGGAATTGGGAGGAAGCTAAAGGGGCCAAACCAGAAAATATGGCCCAGGTCCTCGAGAAAGGTTCAATCCGCCACCGAGACAAAATGATTTTCGTAGGAGAAGGATAACTGACGTTAAAACGAAATTCATTTCTCGATTCTCTTCGCAGCAAAGGAAATCGGTACGGTTTCATGTCACTATTTCAAGGTTTATGCGTAGCATTAGAAAATCTGAAATATACGCGAATATCAAGCTGTCTAATCTTCGCTCAACATGATAATCAACGCCACATCATCACCTCAGTAACAACGTTGACTTTATGAACAACGCCAAAAGTTAAAAATTCATAGACATGCAGCTGTTTGTTGTCCTTCGATTCACTTGACTGATTTGCCATTGCTAGACGCCACAAGGGTGGTTTGGTAAACTTTGCAATGAAACGTTCGTGACGATTGTGGCTGTGTAACTGCAAAAATCCTTCAGAAGAAATGAAACGTTTCAATGGCAAGGTACGGTAACATGTTGTTAAGTTGTAGTGAGTCTTTCGTTTCAATGCCGTGGAAATTAAACGACGGAGTGATAGATTATATTATCAAATGAAATTTCATAGACTTGTATGCCCTACATATTTGTGGTTATGAATGAATAAACGAGAGTATTTGCTTAAATAACACGTCAGTCTAGCAGCAGACTAATGGACGAAGATTCTTGGACGTTTGAATCTTCTTCCGTTGCTGTTCTCATGCTCAAAGTGAAAGTTCGTTGCGAGGAGACTTTACGAAACTCAAATTTACCATATTCCTTTTGTCTCTTGATTATAATGACATAACGGAAGTAATTATATAGCGGCTGAAATTTTGTCTTAATTTTGTGTTTTGAAAGTCTCGGATTGTTTTACACGAACACCAATCTGCGCTCGTGAAAATAGTTTGTTTGCTGGTGGCAATATAGGTAATTTGTGTGTTGACATTGAATTATACTGTTGAAACTTATACGAGTTCATCTTCTTTACTTGGCACAGTCTAATACAAGTGAACCGCGATTTGTGGTTAATCTTCACAAACACAGCTGGTCACAACGTCAGAAAGCGAAGAAAGAGTTAATTAAACAACGAACTCTGGAATGGAAGGAGAAACAACTACAGCATCAATTGACTAGAAGCAATTCTTTATCTCAACACGCACCCCTATCCAAAAAATCCGGGCAAAGGCTGGAATACCTGCACAAATCCCCTCGCGGAAGTGGCAGTTTGTCGAATTCTGTTGTTCCACATACACAAAAGGATACAAGCGATAAAAGTGGGTCTGTCGAACATTCAACATTTGGATCATTTCCCCCAACTTTCTCTTCCAGTAGCTCAAATACTATTCCGTTGGCAAAACGTCGTCGCACTGATGAATTTGACTTTCCCCTAGTCAGTGCAATTGGATCGCTTAGATCAGTGGGAAACGAGTTGGTCAGTTACAGCGAGCCGATTATAACAGACGTGACCTCATTGAATGATCAAAATTCGCGTGGTGAATGCACTCTAAGAAAAAAAGCGAAACATATAGACAAAGGTATTGTGAAATGATCTGAAGTGATATGAACAGCTCTTGTTATAAGTGTGTGCCAGCATACTTTATATCTTTTTAAGGTGATCATTTACACCAGCTCGAGTTTGTGAACAGCAGTAGCACAGCAACAAAAGAGTTTCCTTTAGGATCGGAAAGGTATATATCGGACGTTGTGGGATCACTGCCATACACCGCGATCACTGATGATCATCAAGTCGCCCAAATTAATGGTCTTCTGAGCCTGCCGTCTAACCAGGACACGCATCACAGTATTACTTATGGTGAGCTGAAGAGACGATGTGGCTACCCCGAGTATTTGACTCGTACAGACATGGTTGCATACATTCGACAATCAAAAAGTTCGGCTCGTTCTCTCCTGGACAAATACCGCATTAAGACCGGAAGCAAGACCTCCCATCCGAACATCATGTCGAAAATGTGCGAGAAAGAGGTTCAAGTCTTAAGTAAGGGTATTCTTAAAATGAACATTGATTATTTTCCTATCGACGTTTTATCGCGCATTGCTACTCAGAAGATGAATCGAATATCGAGTGAAAATGACGATTTTCAACAACATTTAACGAGATGTAGGCATCAGGTGAACGAAAAGCTAGCAAGTATTGACTCAACAAGGTAAGAAGGCCTACTTTTCTTACGTTATGTCACTTGAATAATTTGCAATCATGATTTTTTGTACAATCTACAACAAAGACCATTTTTGGACTACCGCAACTTGCCACAAATGTAGCCTTACCCAAATATCGAGGATGATTTTTTTTAAAAAAGTAAGATCTTGCAAGGGATATCGTTATTAAAATATGAGAGAACTCTACAGTACTACAGTTTGTCATCTAGGTATTTAGGCCTACGATTATTAATAGGGCCCCTAACGACAACATTGCTGGAAAACATAATCTTGCCATGATTTGACTTGTGTACATAAAATTTCCAATGTACCCAGTCAAACTGGATGCACAAATATGAACGAGACAAGTTAATCAACGACTATTATTGGTCAACTTGAAATGCTTCTGTACCGTCATTTCATTGCTTTCATGGTTTGTGGCTTTCATGATTTGAGCTTTCGTTTACCTGTTACATCGATAATCATAACAATTCGAACAGTATCACTTGTTGGTGTGTATCAGTGAAACATGATTTGCTGACGCCGATAGAAAAGATTTTCATATTTACGCAACGACCGGATATTTTCATTTTCTAGGACAATGCTGAAAGAAGTATTCGATCTTCTTCAATCTGAGAGTGATTTGGATGAGATGAAAACCTTTGAGTTGGCCAGCCATACCTTTGGTATTTCAAATGCCCAAAATCATCTGTTGTTTTTTGACCGCTTTCTTCACGAGTATCAAAACAATCTCACGATGTTCATGAAAGATTTGGAATTTAAGTCTGAAAACCATAAAAATAGATGACGGTGATTAAGTTAATGTATATCTTTCGTTTAATTCAATATACAAATGTTTCTTTCTTACGTAAATTGACTTACCATTTCCTCAAAGGATTTTTGTTTGGTAAAATTATTGCTGTTTTTATCACTTGTATAACAAGGAAATTGTTTTTTTTTGAATGTTCGTTTTGAAATAAAATGCAATTCTACTGTGTAAGACAGGAGATAATTTAAAAGTCTTCATTTCCAAGCGCAAATATTTGGTGATATACACATATCTTAACGTAACTGGTGATATTAAAGTTATGATAGAATAATGTGTGGTTGTGTCTATGGAAGCTGGTTTTAGAAAGACGATTTTACAGTTGTAATTTTGATGTTCGATCTGTATCTATGATACAATGGTATCAATCTTACGTCATGGATTGTGGATTTCTATTGCCGAATGGTATAACAATATAATATCAGGAATTGTGGGTTGGTTTGAAATGTGCTATTATGTATATGATAAATCTATAGAAAGAATAATTTATGTTTATGTACCATTATTGTCTTTTTTACACTATCAGGAAAGCTGTTCATGTTACGTAGGCTTGGTGTTCTTAGGATGGTTATCAAGGTTATACTGAATACCATCCATTAAAAGGACGATTGTGAAAACAACCAATGACCATCAAGAATTTCTTCATCACGAGTGTGAACTGTGAAGGTACCTTGCCAGGAGCCAGAGTCAAGACTTGGAGAAGACACGATTCGAAGAATTTGGGCTTTGAAACGTACTTTCTGGTGAGATTTTTATTCATATTACAATGCTCATGTGTCGTATGAAAATAGCGGAAACGGGAAGCGTTTATTTGATAATTAATTTAGTTATTTATTTAGTGAAAATGCCGATGTTTATGGTTTATTTTGCTGTTTGATGATCAATTAACACTTATTTAATCACGTTTGAAAGTATTGTTCCTTTTATACTCGAGATTTTTGACGAAATACGTATTTAATATTGGAAAGCTGTTCTCTTCTTTCGATGAAAATGAAGCATGGTGTTAGAAAACTAACAAGTCTTTAATTAAGAAATCAATTTTTGCATCACGAAGTTTATTTGTTAGTAAATAGCTGCTTTTACCAGACATCGTAAAAAGAAAGGCTTTGGTCAGGTTTTTTAAAATGTTAATCTACTAATCAAACAACATAATAATTAAATATATTACCCACAAACACATTATTTATAATTTAATCTATTATTCATTATATCTTTATGAAAATGGCATTAATGTACCTAGTAAAGGTAGAAAAATATTTTGATAAATCAAGTATAGAAGTTATTGCAATCAATAACCACTTAATAAACATTCCATTGACAACCATTCCATTGACAACCATTCCATTGACAACCATTCCATTGACAACCATTCCATTGACAACCATTCCATTGACAACCATTCCTTTGACAACCATTCCATTGACAACCATTCCATTGACAACCATTCCATTGACAACCATTCCATTGACAACCATTCCATTGACAACCATTCCATTGACAACCATTCCATTGACAACCATTCCATTGACAACCATTCCATTGACAACCATTCCATTGACAACCATTCCATTGACAACCATTCCATTGACAACCATTCCATTGACAACCATTCCATTGACAACCATTCCATTGACAACCATTCCATTAAAACCATTCCATTGACAACCATTCCATTGACAACCATTCCATTGACAACCATTCCATTGACAACCATTCCATTGACAACCATTCCATTGACAACCATTCCATTGACAACCATTCCATTGACAACCATTCCATTGACAACCATTCCATTGACAACCATTCCATTGACAACCATTCCATTGACAACCATTCCATTGACAACCATTCCATTGACAACCATTCCCACCATTCCATTGACAACCATTCCATTGACAACCATTCCATTGACAACCATTCCATTGACAACCATTCCATTGACAACCATTCCATTGACAACCATTCCATTGACAACCATTCCATTGACAACCATTCCATTGACAACCATTCCATTGACAACCATTCCATTGACAACCATTCCATTGACAACCATTCCATTGACAACCATTCCATTGACAACCATTCCATTGACAACCATTCCATTGACAACCATTCCATTGACAACCATTCCATTGACAACCATTCCATTGACAACCATTCCATTGACAACCATTCCATTGACAACCATTCCATTGACAACCATTCCATTGACAACCATTCCATTGACAACCATTCCATTGACAACCATTCCATTGACAACCATTCCATTGACAACCATTCCATTGACAACCATTCCATTGACAACCATTCCATTGACAACCATTCCATTGACAACCATTCCATTGACAACCATTCCATTGACAACCATTCCATTGACAACCATTCCATTGACAACCATTCCATTGACAACCATTCCATTGACAACCATTCCTTTGACAACCATTCCATTGACAACCATTCCATTGACAACCATTCCATTGACAACCATTCCATTGACAACCATTCCATTGACAACCATTCCATTGACAACCATTCCATTGATGACCATTCCATTGACAACCATTCCATTGATGACCATTCCATTGACAACCATTCCATTGATGACCATTCCATTGACAACCATTCCATTGACAACCATTCCATTGACAACCATTCCATTGACAACCATTCCATTGACAACCATTCCATTGACAACCATTCCATTGACAACCATTCCATTGACAACCATTCCATTGACAACCATTCCATTGACAACCATTCCATTGACAACCATTCCATTGACAACCATTCCATTGACAACCATTCCATTGACAACCATTCCATTGACAACCATTCCATTGACAACCATTCCATTGACAACCATTCCATTGACAACCATTCCATTGACAACCATTCCATTGACAACCATTCCATTGACAACCATTCCATTGACAACCATTCCATTGACAACCATTCCATTGACAACCATTCTATTGACAACCATTCCATTGACAACCATTCCTTTGACAACCATTCCATTGACAACCATTCCATTGACAACCATTCCATTGACAACCATTCCATTGACAACCATTCCATTGACAACCATTCCATTGACAACCATTCCATTGACAACCATTCCATTGACAACCATTCCATTGACAACCATTCCATTGACAACCATTCCATTGACAACCATTCCTTTGACAACCATTCCATTGACAACCATTCCATTGACAACCATTCCATTGACAACCATTCCATTGACAACCATTCCATTGACAACCATTCCATTGACAACCATTCCATTGACAACCATTCCATTGACAACCATTCCATTGACAACCATTCCATTGACAACCATTCCATTGACAACCATTCCATTGACAACCATTCCATTGACAACCATTCCATTGACAACCATTCCATTGACAACCATTCCATTGACAACCATTCCATTGACAACCATTCCATTGACAACCATTCCATTGACAACCATTCCATTGACAACCATTCCATTGACAACCATTCCATTGACGACCATTACATTGACAACCATTACACAGACAACCATTCCATTAAAAACCATTCCATTGATGAGTAGTCATATGACAACCATTCTATTGACAAATGACAATCACTCCATTGATTATAATCATTTTATTCAAAACAACTCCTTTTGAAGCAACATTTTAAATAACTACTTTTCACATATCAAAAACAAACCTTTTTCCACAAGCACATTAACAATCAGTACCTTGGCATCATTCATAATGATATTTTACCGTTAAAACTGAGCTCACTGGTAATGTTCTTACTTTTAACCTAGATTTTCCTTGTAAGCCAAATGTGATTCAGTCTCCACAACTCATATTCATTCAAGATTGTTGTTTAAAACTCTCAAGTGGATAATTGACCTGCAATATTTTACCATGTAAAACATCTTCTTTTTGAATACAGTTATGCTGTCAGATGATTTATTGAGTTTTACGATGACAATAAAAATGTATTTTGAAATTTACCAAAAATGACTAAACTTAGATGTGGGCCATGCTCATTTGGCGAGTGTTTCAACCCAACATAAAAAGCAGTTAAAATGTTTTCGGAATAATTTTGCGAGCTCTTAGAAACAAAACGTAAACAAAGCAGTAAAATTTTTACATATGAATTTTATTTACATATTTGTCTGTATATATATGTACACAATACATCTTTTCTTTCATTATGTTTTAATTGTATTTAATTAAGAAAAGAACTAAAAAGGCAGTATTGTTGGCATTGAATAACATTGTTTCCATATCAGGCGATTCCCACGCTCCACCAAATGCCGCGATTTGAACGCCTAGCTTGCCCCTGTGAGCGTAGCGATGTCACGTGTTTAACTAGATATGTCAGTGCCACTTGACTGCTGAATACCAAAAGAGCTAACGATTGTTGACCGCTAGCTATAATGGTCAAATTAAATTATTAAATTACTTGCTTGCATATTTTGCTGTCGTTATCTCACCGCAAGTGTAAAATTGAATCTACGTCGTCGGCATGTGATAACACAACAAGACGCGAAGCATACGAAAAAATTTTGGTGATGAACGAAGTTCCTACAGAAGATTGGCTCGATGTTCTAAGTATGTGTTTATATAATATCACGACACATACTTAACCGTGTATACAAACGAATCAGTGAGAAGTCATAGCGACGCATAAAACGGTTTTTGTCGACTAAGAAATGTTCCTTTTGTAGCCTTCATAATGAGCGTGTTTTGCAGAAGTTTTACTAACTTCAAGTTTTGTCGTTAAAGTCTGCTGGATGCTGGTCAAGCATATCAACTCTTCATTGAAAAGATTGTAAAATGCTCTTTAGAGTTCAAACATGTAGTTGTCTTTACGGCTATAAGAAGCTTGCTCGGGCCATTGAATCGCACAGTGTTTATAAATACGCAAGCCTTGCTTCAAATAAGTCGGTGGACAGACACATTTCAACACTACTAGATGGCTTACTGCGGTCGCACCAGGCGGCCAATTTCAATTGTCCTGTGACTGCGTGGCTGATGTTTCATTAACATTACGCGTTTCTTTTCAGTTGTGGATTTAAAGGAGGACGGTGGAACAAGACAGTACAGCGAAGGAGATTGGAAGGAATATTTTTGCGTGTTAGAACGTCATCCTCCAGCTTTGAGAATCTTTCTCGATGAACAGGTAATAATATTCTACGCCTTTGCCTTGCAGCACACATAAGTTATTAGTTGAATATGCGTCGTAATTTACAGAGAAAACGCATGAAAAGCTAATATGGGGTTTAGCTACTTTATTACATTTCCGAACGTTTGTTATTTTTCTGTCTGCGCGTTATTTATTCATTATCGAATTTTGTTTCATCATATCAGATCGAAGCTATCGAGAAAGTCCATTTGAAACCGTATTGCATTTTAACCTTCAAAACGGGAAAAGTTTATGTGCGTAAAAAATTTATAGCCTTTCGTGAATTTGCGCACGAGAATTGACGATTTTCCTCCCTATGAAAAATCGAGTAAATTATTGTGAAATTTTTTCGTATTCTTTACAACATGATGGATCATTTTGCACGGAAATCGGTCCGCAGGGCGGAGTTATGCATTTTGTCTACTCTATTTCCATTGATGGTTTGTTGACTTGTCAATGTTAAAAGAATGAGTAAAGTCATGAATTTGTCTGCGGCATCTCAATCAACATTTAAAGGTGCGAACATCTTGATGCTACCACCTTTAATCCATTTGTATTTTTTCACACGTTATTGAACTCGATGTCAATTTTAAACGCGCATCTCGCTGGAAGTTCAACCGTTATTCCACCCTGGACGTCGCGGTTATCTCTATTTATTTTCTTATTTATTTATACCTGGAAATGGTGCCAGGCGCTTATTTATGTTTCTCGAGTAAAATAAATTTAAAAGCAAGTTGTTCACTGCGCACGTCGTTTTGTGTAATTTAATACCTCATGAGAAGTGGCATGTTTTCGATTGATTACAAGCTCTCGCGATGGCAGTCATTATGAAAGCTGTCGTTTCTAGTTTCTTACAGAAACAAGATCACCGTGATGTTTTGTTTTTTCTGTCAAACGAACCAACCTATATCATCCCACGTAACGTTTTCCTTATATAGGAAGCATTGATAGTTTCCTGATCTCGAGTTTATTTTTACAGTCTTCGTACTTGATGTGGCCGCGCTCATATATATTCAAGGCAAAACGACACGCGAATTCCTCAAAAGCACAATATTTGCCAATTTTTCTCGTTCATCTAAAGCACTGCCAAAAACGCATCTAACGTGTCAGTTAGGCTTATGATCTCTTATCGAGATTAGACATGTTTGCAATGGATGAATTTGTAATTGTTTTTTTGCATCATACTTCTTTTGATCATACCCTACTTTCATCGTGTTATAAACTCAAATTTCCAACGTCTATTCGTTGATGATTTTTTAAATTTTAAGCCGTTTCTAGCACAAGAATTTCTAGTACTTTCCCATTTAAAATGGCCTGTATGGATTTCTTTCTTTGGGAGAATTTTGTGTTCGTTGCCTGAACAACTACATTCACAAAACGCTTGAAAAGTTGCGGCGGAAAAAGAGCAATATAATAATATTCGATTTACTGTTTTAGTCGCATGAACTTTGAAACATGCGGGTTTTATAAAGATAGCTCGCGTGTACAAAATCAATTTCAAGGTGTGAAGAAGACATGCTTTCGCACTTGCTTTTGCTTCTTTGGCATAGAGTTGCTCTCATGAATTCATATAATCCGTTTTAGATTTTGAAAGTGTTATGTCTGTCAGCCGATCTGTAAATTAGCTAAATTGGAAGAAAAATATTAGGGAAAAATTTAAAGATTTAAAGTAATTTCATGTCGGCTTCAACAGCTGTTATTCAAAATTTAATTGTTTTTTACAAGTTCATCTAAATGAGAATTTCTTCTGCGGAAGACTGAATCCAATCAACTCAACTTCATGAAGATTTTTTTTATCAAATTGTCTCCTTAATACTGAGATTTCTCCTTTTGTTAATTTTCCCAAACTTCGAACTCTTTTTCATTGACTTGCTGAATTGCAATAATGTTGTTTAAAGTAATACCGTTTTTCTTTCCTGTTGATTGTGAAATGTAAACGATGAAATATTTCAAGGATTACTTATCGGTATTTTTAAATTTTCATTTGTACCAACAGGAATACGATGACTACCAAAATTATCCCAGTCAATTACGTTCTCCTCAGGGTCGACGACAGTCATTTGGGGATATCATAGGACAAGGTGAGGCATCTGAGAATCTAGGCCGAATAGCTTCTAGTCGAAAGTTTTGTACTTTTAATCGCGAAGATACATTTACTTGGCTTGCTTTAACGAAAGATTTAGGTTTCCAGTTTTCGGAATTTATAAATTTTCGGCATTCCAAAATAATGTTTTGTCATTTTCCGATTAGTGATCAGTTTTTGAGCTTGAGGAAAAAAATAATTAAATCTGTCATTTGGAACTTTTTCGTAACCATATATCATGCTTTTTAATGTACATTAAATTATTATGTTTTATTGTTTTTGAGTTTTTGTTAAACAGATGTGAATCTTTATGTAAACATTTTCGCTTGTCTATTGTGTGTTAGAAGCCTGTCGGCAATCTCGTTGCATTAAAAGCTCTTTCATCGACTTTTCATGACATTAATTTTTGTACTTATCGCAAATATCTGGTCCAATCTCTGGTTTTTTCATGATTAGCGCTGTATGTTCGAGGAAGGTCTTATGAAGTTTTGCAATTTCAAAAGGAATTTTGCAAACGACCCCTCCCCCCTCAAAAAATGTGCGCAGTGCAGTCAAAGCTTAATGTATGCGTAATTCTTTTTTTAAGGTTCGCAATCCATTCGTAAGTGGTCGAGTGTTGGAGATTTATTGTCGACAGTAGATCGTCCATCTATTTCTGGATCGGTATGTACTTTTTTTTGATTATCTGAAAAATTAATGATTCAGTTTCCCATCCGCCCACCTATTGTAAATTGTTTTTTCTATGTACTGAAGATGCCGGCTTCCCTCATGAGCGATAGTCATACTTTTTCCATAGTCAATTGTGTGTCATCATAATGGCGTCTGTATGGCTGAGATAATGACTGTTTTGATACCGGTCAGCGTAAGATAAATCTGTTTAAAAAGTTCATTGAACAAGTGTCAAAACGTATAAATATCTTTGGAAGAGGCTATTTAAAAATTTTGAAAAAAAGTGAAAGGAATTTTTTTTCGGATGTCAAAAAAACGCTGCCTTTTTTTAATTACGTATGAATAAAATTTTCGCCTGTCAATCCTTGGGGTTCATCTTGTGTGACCGCGCTATGACTGCTGGGATCAATCAAGTTTGATTTAGGCACCCGAATTCATTGTGACAAGGTGTTATAAACCAGATCATAAGAATTATTTAATGCGTGCACTGTTTACGTGTTGGGAAATCCTGCTTCACGCTTCTTTACGAGTTTCCTTTACGACAAAACGTCTATCTGTCTACTGTTATATGTTCTTCTATGTCAGCATGACTTGAACGTAAGGAAGTTTTTCTTCATCAGTACTTCATGTAAAATTTTCGATACCAATATATTATATATAATCCCTTTGAGGATAATATCAGACAAAGGCGGTCAAGTCAGGAAATATGTTAACATAAGAAAAGAAAAAATATTCTTTTATATTTTTTTCAAAGGAAGATGTGTTATGTTTAGTATTCCTACGTATGGAATATTTCGTACTTTTCTAAGCTTACTATAATAATTTGTAAGCTTGCGAAACTGTTAAACAGTTGATTTATGGACAGATGTTTTCTCTTTAACACGAGTGGTATCACACATGGGTTGTGAATCGTGTATTTGAAACGTTAAGAACATCAATAGAGTTGTTGTAGTTTGTGTCATGTCGAAGGAAAACTTTATCGATTTCATTGTGGATACGGTAACTATATTGCTTTAAGTATCAGATTAATAATTTAGTGGACCAAGCTTTAGCTTATTTCGAATAATGTTTTTAGTGAAACACCTTAATCATGTTTTTCATTTCTCAACTTAATAAGCATATCATATAAATCAATATCTGTAAACCTTCTACTCACTCTCTTCCTATACCGGTCACAACCCCGCGACTGCATGATTCTCTTTGACGTTTGCTGCTCATGGCAGGCTCATTGCTGCTTGTTGATTTGACCGTGGTTAAACGACACTGAAATTTTAATGCGTGTGAAAGTTTGTGTGAAATGTAAATTCGACCGTAGTTAAACTTCACTGAAATTTAAAGCGTGTGAAACTTTGTGTGAAATGTAAATTCGACCGTAGTTAAGCGACACTGAAATATTAAAGCGTGACCTGACCTAATTAATCTTAGAAAGTTGTCGCTCCGAGTTTGAGAACGAAAATAATGCAGGTCTCCTAGCAGGTCTTGTCTGGTATCGCTATCATAGATATGTATAATAAACTAATCGGGTGCCTTGTTGTTATCACCCGATTACTAGGTCCCACTCGAGGATCGAAAACAAACTATAACACACGACAGAGCTTTAATGACGACTTTTATGTTATTTTTGGAACTTAAAGCCATGTATAAACTTTCAGATCAGTGATCGTTGTTCATGGAACACAAGTTCATGCGCATGAACATCACATGTTCATTTTTGTTTCCACTTTCATTTTCAGCTTTTCCGACGACGGTTGTCATCTGGTTTAGGAAATCTCCTTGCGTTGGGACGACTTGAGAAAGTGATAGAAGAAAGAACAGCGAAAGCTCCAAAGAGATGGAAAATCAATAAAAGGTATAAATTATTGCACGGGTTCATTTCTTTGGTCCGATTTAAAAGTTGAAAATTTTCCTAACGCATTATAAACAAAAGAAAATTAGTGATCTAAACTCATTATCTTATATATATATAATGCATTAGCGGCATACAAAGTTAAACATTTAAAACTGACCATATGTGCAACACAGATTGTTTAATTACACCTATGTGCACAATATGAATAGTTATAACACATCATCAGAAACTCAGAACAAATATTCTTCGGTTGCTCTTGTCATGATTCTTCATATTTGTGTCTGCGTTAAGATCAGTAACATTATCGTCATTGAAGAAAATCTTCAGCCTCCCGATGTGATCGTGTTTTTGTGTCAACAAGCAAAGCAACATTGTCTTCACTTTCCTAAATTTAGCGTTCAATTAGTGTCGTGTCACTGCTGTTAGCAGGCAACATTTAATATCGGCTTGAATACGGAGATTTAACGAAAGGGAAATTTAGGAGAATAGGTTTTATATATTTCATTATTGCATTGTTTATGACTATTTCCTGTTTCTTCTCTCCCCGGCTAGATCCATTTCCATCGCTTTCGCATTATCGCGAGCATGAATTATAATAATTAAGTTAATCCATGTCGGAAAATAATTTGCATAAAAGCAATTTCCATCATTTCTTCTCCACGACAGCGACGCCATTGTGCTGAAATTAAACATTAATCCCACTTATACAAGACAACACTGGATGTTGATTTCTTTTTGTTGAAGAACGATTTATCAATTTATCATCTCGACATAACTTTATGTGCGAATGTTGAAGAGTTACTGCCATTTGTTACAACATGGAACATTCAATATGTTATTGACAGACCTTTCATACTGCTGTTGCAAATTAGCAGCGTCTTAATTTTAAACTTGCGATCGTCTGACGTGGTTATAACGGCTATATTCGACTATGTCGTCGTTTCTTCGAAGGTTTGTTATTCTATCATGCTAAAGAACGGATGCCCGGGAAGTTTTAAAACGTTTTTGTAAATTTTAGTGCTCTTTGTTCGAACTTTATGTCCTTCTTTTGCCGTGACTGTGTTTTGCAAATAGTTTTGTCCCTCAGGTGCATCGAAAACATTTTCGTATTATTTGAATGGAACGTCCCATAGTAAATAGTATTTGAAAAAAAGGTCGTCGTTTTCTGTTTTGCTCAGGTTTATTCTGTTCATTATTTGTTATTTGATGTTGAAACTTGAATCAAAATTCGGTCTATTGTCTTCATGAAGACTAATCTGTTGTTGAAACTTGAGTCCCGAAATTCTTCAGTCTACCTACATTCGTCATCATTGGTCATCTAATGTTTAAATTAGCTGAAACGATACAAATCTATATCTTCATCAAGAGTTATCTGATGTCGAACTTGCGTCCCTTTATGCACAGTCTAATGTTTTCATCGGGAATGTTCTGATTTCATGCGCTCTGTCTATTGCTTTATGAAACTTGATTCTTTATAGATATTACATACGAATAATTCTCATAATGAGTGGTTCAAGTTGAAACTTGACTCCTCGTGTGTTAACAAGTGTTCTTGTATCGTATAATGACACGCCATGTGTTGTCATTTAAATGTTTCTGTGCAATTCAACATGGGACAATTCACGATCTGTGACTTTAGAACCTGTTAATGTCAAATTTAGTGGCATTCAAATTAGTTTGATTGCAAAAATGGCCAAATAACGAATTACGGCTAATTACTTTAAAATTGCGTGAAACACGAGGCGATTCTTTGTTCTTTCTAGTTATTAAATCTAGGATTCAAACACCTTTTGACTTTTTCACGTGTCTTAAAATTATGAATGTTGAAAAACACTTTACAAGATAAGTGTCTTGTGCATCATGACTTTCAAGGAGAGAAGGCAACAAATTAGGGAAATTTCGAATTTGTTAAGAGATAAATTTGAAATAAATTTTAAATATCACTAACTTATTGCGTCCTCTTTTTTACCTCAAATGTTGTGTAAAGATGAACATCATGTTTTAGTCGTAGTATGTTTTATTTTATACTTTATAAAATTGTCGGCTGGTATTGCATTTTGACATCAAGCCATCATTGTCTACTTTATCATAAAATGCCTTTTTTTGTTTCATAGAAACGAGAAAGCAAAGCCTGGACAATCTGGACGACGAAATACAGCATTTTCATTGCAACAACGCGAATCATCGGACATAACGGTTTGAGTGATTTTTCATTCTTTCATTGTTGTCCGTTCGATGTTCAATTTATCGCCATTTGATTCGGTTTTCTTTTAAATCGCGTCATCTTGTTTTACCGTGAAAGTCTCAGCTGTGTAAACATAGTAGAATTACATTTAATGCTTTTTTCATGAGCGGATTATGACCTTATTTCATTTAATCGTCAAGGGAGTGCGTGTACGAAAAGTCATCAATTGCTTTGACATAAATACCTGAAGACTGGTACACAGTTTTAGCCTACAGTTTAAATATGTTTTTGTTCGATGCTTTTGGATTGGTCCAGCCGAATTGCCTGCCTTAACAGGTTTTGACCACCGCCTATCTCTTTATATGGAGCGGCATCCGTTTTATCTTCAGAATTGTCTGGAAATCGTCATGTTTTATTGTCATGTTTTGCTCAAAGAATTATAATCTTGTTGAAGACATCGATCAGGTCGACCGACTATACCTTAATTGTTCTTTTAAATAATTATCTTAGTGTCAAAATTAGGTGCTATGAGAATGGCATTTTGTTTTTATTTTTATAACTATTTTCTTTTGCCATTTAAACGATAGAACATCCGCAACGTGTAGAAATTTCCAACTTTTCATCTGCAATTTAGATATTGGTCTACACTTATTAGATAGTTGGGACTTTTGGTTTATAGTATTCATACCTTTAAAACCACCCGTGAATTGTGTTTCTTTGTTCATCAATTACTGCATGGGAAAACGAAAAATTTGAGAATTTGTTAACCAACTTTTCGAGCAATGTGTATCAAGTATTTTTATCAAATATAAATGGTAATAATTGGGTGAGTTTTGCGGAGAAAAGTATGAAATTTCGATACTTTCGTCTTTGGAGAAATTATACAAATCCTTAATGTATTCCACCTACTCTCTATTCTTATCCCTTCTTTCGTCGTGATTACTATTATTTTATTCCTTGGTTTACCATCAAGTAGAAATATTTGATTGTAAAATCATGACACCAAGGGCGTAGGACGCGTGAATCGACAATTTACACCAAAGACTTCCTTTTCACGCGAGGTTTCGACAAATTCCGATGTTGAAAGTGAACATTTTTACCATTTCGAGTATAAAGAATCCCCGGTTTCAACCGCGAGAAAAATGTAAACATTCATGTTTTATGAATTTTTATACAAGGACTTACTGGAACAAAATCACTCATGTATTACTAACACAATAAATGACGGAACGTTGAAGTTAGTTGTCGGTTAGTTCGTCCGCTGTTCTTGTTTGAGAAAATATTTTGAAGTACGATTTCTTCCTAAAGGTTTGTGTATTGAGAAATGCCTATTTTTTCGTTATAAACGCTTTGATTGTTCGCTTGTAGTGACAGAAAGTTAAAGAATATATTTTCAAATAACAGCAAGGAATTTTGTCATAGAATTCGATGTTTCGCTATTTCACTTTGAGTTTTACGGTTTTTCTCGCGATATTTTCTCACAATGTTACCTACCTTCCTTTTCATTTCATGCTCGTAGTTGAGAGTTTAATTAGTGACCGCACGAATACTCGAGTATGATGGTTTAGTTCATTGTGCTCTAATCGACTATTTGTTTGAAGTTGGGTTAATCGACAAAATCGCATCGTATCATCTCAAGATATTGAGTATAGAATAGGTTGCTAATTATTAAACCCTTTTTACTTTAATCTACTTCATTGTTTGTTGAAATCAACGAACAATACTTGTGTGGATACCAATGAGAATACACCAATATCCTTCGATAAAGCTGTTTATTTCGATATCTAAGCGTGTCTGCGCAAGAACTCCGCATATTCCATCAAAATGGATTATTCTTATACAAATAGATCAACACGATTTACTGATTTTCTTCCCGATATTTGTCTCTTACTGTAATTATAAATACAAAATGTTTTGTTTATAAAGGATTCTGTTGATCTCGCCGTTGATGAGCAAGTTGAAGTACGAGCGATACATCCAAGTGTCATAGGACAACAATATTGTTTTGTCATCTCGAATTCGCTGGAAACAAAGTATTTTGCGTGTCAATCGAGCGAAGAAATGAGTAAATGGATTGGAAGGTAAATTCAAATGGACACTTATGAATCGTGTTGCTAATTTTCTAATGACCTTGACAACTCATTAATTTCTTTATGATATGGAGAACTCTGTAAGTTAAAACGGTATCGCGTGTCCATTTTTAGATCTAAAGAGGGGGTGTTCGTCACCTAGAACTGTAAACTTCTTTGTAGGAAATTGTTGAATATTCTTGCGCAATTCAGAGATTTATATAGGCTTATATCGTTTCCATCGTTTGTTTGTTCTTTTGCTTTGCACAGTCTACAAATTTTAAAAGTTGTTTTGTTAATTATAGTGTTAAAACGGCCCTGGATCCCTCACGCGATCTGGATTGTCGAATCGATGTGTCTATTGCATTATGGATTGTTGAAGCTAAAGGATTGACGAATAAGAAAAGGTACTTTTCAAATATATTGCTGTAAAAATACAAGCAGCATTTGGTTAGAACGATTAGTTAGTCATCTCAGTTAATTTAGATGTGGAAGTCGTTCATTAAGCTATATACTGTAGTGTAATCCATTTATATCACATCATGAAGAGTTTACATTCTTTATATATGAATTTTATAATGGTGATTAAAAAAAGTCCGGTTGATTCTAGATATTTCTGCGAACTGCTTCTTGATAATGTTACCTACGCAAAGTCTTCTGGGAAGCAGCAGAAAAATGACGCATTATTTTGGGGAGAACAGTTTATTTTCGAGTAAGTGGATAAGTCCATCTAACAATAATGTTATGACGAATATATTATGTTCTGGTCGCTAATTTAATTACTGCTTTTAGTTATTATGTCATTTTAATTCTTTCGCTGTTAACATTACCATAATAAAACACGGGATTATTTACTTCCGTGCATAGGGATTTGAAGGAAGTGACGGTACTTCAAATTCAAATTCACAAGGATCAGGAGAAAAAGAAGAAGAAAGACAAATCGTCTTTGATTGGTAGGTACTGGAGTTAAGGACGAACCGACATTTTGGAATTCACAATTTTGATTTGAAGCATTCTTCCGTGTATTTTTCAAATTGGATCTCAAATGCAAGATTTCCCAATTAGGAACGATCGATATTCCCACTAACTCGTTGGCCTTGAACCAGGAAGTAGAGAACTGGTACCCAATCTCGCCTTCACCAACCAGTCATAATGAGGGGGCTATGTTGAAGATGCGCGTAAAGTTTCATAAGAACCTAATACTTCCTCTTGGGTTATACAATGAACTCCTGGAGGTAAACATCATTGAAATTGTTATATGACAAACTTGAAATAACTCAAAGTTTTATTTTTGCATTTCTTGACAGTTTCTCAAGAACAACTACAGCAGTCTATGTCTTTTTCTTGAACCTGTCTTGAGTGCAAAGTCTAAAGATGAGATGGCGAGGATTTTAGTGCGCATTTTGCAATCGTGTGGAAAAGCCAAGGAATTTCTTATCGACCTGGTGATTACTGAAATGCAAAGATCAGGTTTGTAAATCAAAATTATTTATCCGTACCAACTCGTATAGCAATAGTATTCACAGTGGTATTTGAAATTTTTACGAAGTCTTTTTGAATGACAATATTGTTTGAGAGATCCTTCCTTGGGTAAAATCATGTCCAGTCAATGCCCAGTTACATGAAGTAATTCACAATAATTTAACACGAGCTTGTGTTTGTTTTAAGGTGAAGAGAATATAATGTTTCGTGGCAATTCTTTCGCGACAAAAGCCATGGATTATTACATGAAAATGGTTGGAGAAGAGGTTAGTTTCAATACATATCTGAATCATCATAGGCATCACGTGCTAAATAGACCAGAGTCTTTTAAAGACTTTGAATATGGCTAGTGTTTCATGCTCTACATGTGATTACGTATTATAGTTAATCTCGTAAAGAAAACTGCTTCATTTTGGTTGTTTTTATTCATTTTCTTCTTCTAACGTTTTACTCATGTCTGAGCGAAAGATTATTTCATTCATTTGAAAGATTGTCAACGTGTAAAAACATCTCCTTTCTAGTATTTAGAGCGAACTCTTGGAGAATTTGTCAAGTCTGTGTACATGTTTGAAGAGGATTGCGAGGTACATGACAAATATATCCATTGGGAGCTTTAGATTCGAGCCCGCGCGCGATGTGTTTGCGTGAAAACTTTCCCATGTTCTGATTTGAGGGGTTCGCGTAATAACTTCATGTAAGTCCTAATGTTTTCCTCCGATCTTTTAGGTCGACCCTAGTAAGGTAGCAACAGGTCAACTGGAAGCAAATCAAGAGAACATGAAAGCTTTCGTTGAGAAAGCTTGGAATCGCATTGTTAGCTCAGTTGTAGAATTTCCAGGGTAAGAACGACATGGATTAATTACATGACATTAAGATGAGTAAGATTAATCCTTGAGTAAGATCAATGTGCCATGTTAACATGATTACATAAAGTACTGTAATTTACCCACTATTTCTTTCAGTGAACTTCTGGACGTCTTTAGTGAAGTACGGAGTACATTCCCAACAGCTGATAGCAAACCTTTATGTTTCAAATTGATATCGTAAGTATTGTTACTACTTCATGTAAGTGTTCGATTCCGGTTCAACAATTGTTACCGATGGCAGCTTGTTAATACCGTCAATGCCTGGTATTGTGAAGGGGCATAATTTTTAAGGTTTCAGAGGCGATTTCTTATTGGATCAAGCATTTATGTTCTTGTTCTCATTCTCTTTTTTCTCCCTGTTTTGTAGAGGAACGGTTTTTTTGCGCTTTCTGGTGCCTGCAATTCTTTCTCCGAGTCTTTTTGGTCTTGCGCAAGGTGAAGTTTATTAGAAGTTTTGTTCATGGTTTTTATAAGCAAACTTCATGTAGGTACATATATAACTGAACTTCATGTAGGTACATATATATCTGAACTTCATGTAGGTACATATATATTTGAACTTCATGTAAGTACATATATATCTGATAGTAGTCACCGGTCAAAGGTTGCCCGAAGTCCGTTCAACAATTGTAAAATTTTCAAACTTTCAAACAGGGTGTTCATATTTCCTTTATAGCAAAGAAATTTTGTGATCTTAGGAGCAATATTTTATTTAAGTGATTGCTCAGTTCAAATGGAATATTTTCTTTTTTAAGAGATTATTTAAATGTTCTAAACGACATGCTATATTTTTGCAGCCCCAGAGGCCTTTAATTTACTTTCAACTCACACTCACGAGCCTACATTTGCCAGCATTTGAGTGAAATTCAGAATAAAATTTTGAGTTATATAGCGTACGGATTTACGAGAAACCCACTCGAGGATGTTTTAAAGAGTTTGATATTTTTGTTTTGCAGAATATCCTGACGAACAGACATCGAGAACACTGACACTTGTTGCAAAAGTTATTCAGAATCTAGCCAACGGCTTAAGGTGAATGTTTACAGTTATATCAACACTCGTGGGAATAGTGAAAACGACAAATTTTCAAAAACACAACACTCAAACTGCTGGCTAATGCGGTTTTGCAATTAAACATGGCGAATCAGCTTTCAGTATCGACAAATTCTATTGTAAATAATATACAATACATTATAAGCATCAAATATAAGCATTAATACAATAATTCAGCATCTGACTATATGAATTCTTATTGCTTCAGATTCGATCAATCCAAAGAAGGTTATTTAGAATTCATGAATGATTTTATTGACGAGGAAAAGCGGAGTATGCGGGAATTTCTGCAGAATATTTCGGTAAGAGAACTTCACAACGGCAAGTTATTGAGAAAAAAAAATGCCGAACTTCCTCAACAAACAAGACTGTTGCAATCATGGCTATGTTTTTAGACGAAAAATGAGATCATTGAACCTGATTATAACGGTTGCGTGGATCTAGGAAAGGAGTTATCTGCAATGCAAAGTTCTTTAAATGAACAGATTGGTAAACTTAGCAAGGTATATAGAGTACTTAACTTTTCTTGTGTATGCTTGTCGATTTAGATATCCACCCACCTGAATCTATAGATATTTCATTTAAACCAGGGGGGCGACCAACGTAGCGACGCATTACCAAGGGTTTTTCATCATGAAATGTGAACCTAGCTTTTTATGCTGGTAAACAAATCTTTATGAAAGAAGACGTTTGAAAAAGTAACTCAAATGACGTTTTTTATTTGCCTTCCTTGCTTCTCTCGGTTTGTGAACACGAGCACAATTCTCTCCCGGATTTCAGTAATATTTCTCTTATTTTCCGGGAGGTTCGTCTTAATGATGCTCCTTTCTTTATTTAGGAAGCTATAAGTCAACTCAGTCCTTTAAAGTTCGTTTTGGATACTTTAAATGATGCTTGTCAAAATCCAAACGTCTCATTCAATCCCAATCCATCCATTTTATCCAAACATGCCCTATCGAACAACTTGTACAAGAAACTTTCGACAAAAACATCAAATGAGGCTAATTCAAAGAAACCGACGGTTTTACGAATAAGACCGGATACGACCGAGAACGAAGATTATACGCGGCATATTATGATAAGAGAAACGAAAAAAAGAAATCAACGATACTACGATATGCGTTCGGTTGGTGGAAAGAGTCGAGAGACTTCTGATTATAGTTCTGAAAGTCATAGAAGTAGGCATAGACAAGATTTTAATGCAAATAAGACAAATACACAACATTCAGCAAGAAGGAAAACCAATTTGCGTAGTAATACGGACAAAGATGAAACAGACATGCGCAGTCGATCTAAAACTAATCGTCGTTTGCGCTCTCCGCCTCCTTACTCAAAAAGAGAGTTTCCTACGAGTGATTTAGGAGAAGAATGTTTATCTTCCGGTGAGGGAAACTCTACTGCCGTACCATCTTTACAAAGACGGTATGCAGATCATTCCAGTTCTGCTAAGTCGACGGGGAGCAGTGGGGGCTCTAAATGGACTGGTAGCGACTATGGTTCGCTACCAAGGAACTTAAGTCGTTCGGATCAGGAAATCGAACAGAACTATGTGGAAACACATGCTTATGAGCCGAATGTACAAGAAGCGCGAAAAACACCTGTATCGGATGTGGAAGAAAGACTATTTTCTAGACCCCATGACTTTGCAAATATACATCACAGTCGGTCGTTAGAGAATATTGTACATATGCCCGAGGACCAAGTAAAAACGCGGGCTCAACTACGGCAACGACCTCGATCTTTTGTAGCTCGCGAGAGAGTGGAAATGTATGATGGTGAAAATGCAGGGAATGGAAGGAACTGGGTTCCAGTGCGACCAACAATTCTGCGAAGAACTGGCGGGCTTCAAACTCGATCCATTTCTAGTAGCTCTAGCGGTGGAAGTTTTGGCGTAAAAACAAATTCACACGAAATGATCGACAGAGACTCTCACGCATATCAAAATTACAAGTACGACTTGCAAATCTGAATGACCTTTGTGAATGATATCAAATTTTTACAGTTTTAAACATGTTTTGTGCTATAGGAATGATGTTTTGACGAATCACGACGGAAATCTAGCGACAAAATATGACGATCATGTATACAACAATCATTTACATGTAAGGATTTATCAATTCTTTTGTACTTGTAAACATACGGGTTTGTTTGGGAAACGTATTGGTTCATCGTACTTGTCAATATTTGTCTTGTTTACTCTTGAATGAGAGAAGAAAGTCGTTATGTCTTCGAGATATTTGTTCAAGGGAAAAAAGCGAAACGAATTTTTACTGTCTTTGCTTTATAAAGTAAATGGTTTGAACCCGGGAGTATCGTTACATGTTTGTAGATGTAGATCGTCCAGGTTAGTAGAGTCCTGAGAAGGACTGTTGTTGTTGATGTTGACTGACGTTTCGACAACCTTAGCGGTAGTCATCTTCAGAGTCAAAAAAAATTGTCTTTACTTTATGTTGGTTACAAGTTTCTGTTTTACTCGTGTGTATGTTGTGCATGACACTGTCAAACATACCGCATGCGTACCTTAATTCAAAAATATTTCATTAGCAGATGTATTCAACCGACTTGTCCGATGCGAGACAAGAGTTGGAAGAAACAAAAAGTCTACTTTATCAGAAGCAAAAAGAGTTAAACGAGGAAAGGGTGAATATGAGACGACGCGAAGTTGAAATTGAAGAAAAACTAAGAAGAGAACAGGAGTCGAAGAATAAGGAATTGAGCAACGCATACCAGAGACTTAGTTTTCTAGAACAGCAGCTTAGAGAGCAGCGAAAAGAAATGAATGATACTTTGAAGGCAAAGGATGTCATTATTCAAGCACAAGAAAGGAGAATCATCTCCCTAAACACGGACTATAATAAATTATTGGAAGCCTTGAATCATCTCCAGAAAAAGCCATCTGTGAAAAATATGAATATGAGAATTACGGAAAATCTGTAATAGCTGTGTACGTATGGAGCATGTGTTGATTGTGTCGGATAGAAATGGATAAGGAATTTAATAGTGTCCTTTTTTGACGTTTTTTATGTTAACACGAAACCTACGGAGACAATTATTTAGGTTAAAACAATCATCTTTTCAAACCCACAAGTAAGATTTGCACATTCATATCGTGTTCTGTTAATTTAATACGTTGCACATTTGAAACAACATTTTTTGCAGATTGTATACAAAAAAATTATTGTTGTATCTTGTATTCCCACGTCAAAACTCTGCGGTATTTATGTACATATATAGACAGACTGTAGAAATTGTTTAAAATTGAATATATTTTTCATTACGAGTCTATTGTTTTTAGTAAGTCGTTTAGGCAACGATCGTCATGTAATAGAAATTCATGAAAATACGTGACGACTTAGGGATGGTCAAAAATAGCCCTCCTTGACTCTTAAAATGCATTGTTTTTCATTGAAAGCTATGTATATTTATCATTTTTGCAAGTTATCTTGTCAGCTGTGCATTACCACTTGCCTTTGTAAACATCTGTTTCTTTTAAAGTTTCACATATTTCTTTTTAATATGCATTCATGCTTCAGGGAATAAATTGTGTCTTCATCACCTGTTTTCGATTAATTGAAGGACAGTCTACTTGCTCCGTAATTCTTATTGCTTTGCTTGCTTCCCTGAAAGCCTTCGTCATGTGTTATCTAAATAGTGTTACTGGACATCTCATTGTTCCTATCACTATCTCGTTGATCTCATTCATCCACTATCTTCCTACGGTATTCCTATATCTATCCCGTTGATCTCATTCATCCGCTATCTTCCTACGTTATTCCTATAACTATTTTGTTGATCTCATTCATCCAATAACTTCCTACGGTATTCCTATATCAATCTCTTTGATCTCATTCATCCACTATCTTCCTACGGTATTATAGGATGAATGTTGAAAGTTATACCAAATTTTCAACGTTCTCTTATTACCTTAATGTCTACCTTTATGTCTACCTTTATGTTTACCTTTATGTTTAAATTGATGACTACCTTTATGTTTAAATTGATGTCTACCTTTATGTTTACCTTTATGTTTAAATTGATGTCTACCTTTATGTTTAAATTGATGTCTACCTTTTTGTTTACGTTTAAGTCTACCTTCATGTCTACCTTTGTGTTTTGGTAAACATTTGTGTAAACATTTACGTCTGACTTCATGTTGAGCTTCGTTAATGGTCGGTTTTTTGGGTTGTTGACAGTAATTATACGACTAATAATTACCCCTCCACCCCAGAATATTGAAATTTGATAGAGAGGACATGAACAACATTTCCAAAATACGACAAAAACTGCATTTCACCTTAATTGCAACTTGCACAAATTAAGTTAAGTTGTATTGTGATTTGTCACATATAATCATGAACGAAAAAAACAACGCGTCGGTGTGCGTTTTGAGTCTCATAAGATTTCAGCCAGTAAGATCACGAGTAAAAAAGACTCTTCCACAAAATAGAGTACATTATTTCCCACCTCTTATGAACATCTGTCATTGTTGCTGAACTTGCTGCTTTTTATGACATGGCATATCAATCACTTCCGGTTACAAGTTCCGAAATCGTTTCCGGTTAAAAGTTATAAGCCCCAAAGGTCTCTGGGATTTATAAGCAGTTTCGAAACTGAACATATTTCAAAACAAAGCACAGAAGGAAGTATGTGCTGTTCAAATTCCGCTGTAGCTCAAGTATTTTGGGCAAAATGAAAAAGAAAAAGTTTAAGTTTGACGTTGTCTTTGAACTGAGAGAGCTAACAAACGTTTCTCTCGCCAGTGGTCTCCTATTTTCGAAACTCAGACTTCTAGATGGCGGTAAATTTACGGAAACCTGTTACAGGTATGTCTAAAAGTTAAAACTACGCTCATGTAATTTTTAGTTTAAACTGCGGGTCAAGACCTTTTTTAACATAATTTCACCTTTGAAATTTTGTTCTGTTGAGTTTAGTTGATAAAGTCGCTTTATCTTTGTATGTCTGCAGGGTCGACGTCTCGAATAATCGTGTCAAATGGCAACAGACCTTTAATTTCTCCTGTAAAATGACAGCCAATACAAACACTGGCGTTCTTGATCCATGTTTTTGTCGTATTTCAGTTCGTAAGGTTTGTATTTCCCTAACTTTTTTAGCTTGAGGAAACACTCGTTTTAGGATGCGTCATCGAAATCTAACCAGCCGTTTTCCTCAATCAAACAAAGGCTATTCATAAATCATAAGTAGCGAATAAGTCCCCGAAGACTCTTAGATTATATAACACCTCGTGGAAGAGATTGAAAATTCATGTTATCTAATCATAAAGCCCTTCCCAGAAGAAACTTAATTTATAAATAAAAACTGACGAACATCAAATGATACAACTCACAGTCACAGCAAAATTATACTGCTTCATAATACTAAATTTATCATAAATATTTAGTGCATTTTTCAATAGCGCACAATAGCAGTAAATGAGTTGTGTTTTGCTGCATTGAGCGACAACAACAGGCTATGACAGTAGGGGGGCGAAATCCCAGCGCGTTTTTTAATGAAATTTTTGGAGTTCGCGGAATGTGAGGCGTTTTTTAGTGGAATTTTTCATCATTTTTTTTGTGCAATACTCGATATCAAGTGCGTTAACTGACCGTGCCAAGACTTTCCCCTCTACGTTTTCAACTATTTTTTGGATATTTCATGATATGCCACTGTGTTTTATTGCTATCTCGATCATGAACAAGAGTCTCGTTCATATTGTTTTGATCAATTTGTGCATTTTATTTCTCTGCTTGTAAACATTTTGTGTATTTAAAAAGTCACACTGTCAGCCACTTACTCTTTCGCACTTGATGCTAAAAATGCCAAGAATTCAAATGGATGGCCAGCTTAATGTCGTTCAATAAAAAAGTTTGGGATGATAAAGTACAGATCTGTTTACTAGTAAACTCATTTCATACATTAACCATCAAAGCATTTTGCAAAGGAAGCAGAAAATAATAGCAGTATATTTGTTGGTTTGACTCGTTTTAAACATTTTCTTTATTTATTTCATGAACTTTCTATGATCTTTAAAATCATTAAAAATGAACAGTGCGAAACATTGTATGAGCTTCTCTATAATAACCTATTGTAATGTTAAACATTAATGCATAATACATGAAACACATCAATGATATTGCTTTGGAATGTATTTTTTACACCCCCTGAGAAGCTAAGTGTTTTCATTCGTTTTCATTCCAAAAAAACAAAGGGATTTGTTGTCAAGCATAGTGACTATGGTATTTTTTCAGTAAATATTTTGATGATAAATGAGTTTTGTCTGATTGATGGACGACGAATGTGTGTTTGCTAACCCAAATCCTATAAACTTAATCACTTTGTAATTTATTTTGAATTTGGCCTATTTTGTTTCTCCTTTAAAGTAATTTATTGATTGGATTGTAATGTTATTGCTGTATTTTAAATAACATAAGTCATGTTTCTGTTTGTTGTGACCTACAAGAGGAAAATAATGCATATATCTTACACATATTTAATATGTTGATAGATGTATTACTTCTTAGACTTAGAGGTAATATGTTGATAGATGTATTACTTCTTAGACTTAGAGGTAATATGTTGATACATGTATTACTTCTTAGACTTAGAGGTAATATGTTGATAGATGTATTACTTCTTAGACTTAGAGGTAATATGCGAAGTTCTTTTATGCAAACATGGACTTAAAGTTTAATCCAAATTGTCAAAATTTAAGTGTATGAAGATTTTGGTTAGCTGCAAATTATCTTCAGACTATTATTTATCTTGAGCAAAGTTCACATTTTATGTAACTGTGCATCCTATGTCCCAAGTGTAGAGTCACCATTGCACTATGGGAGGATACATTGTTATACATGTTGTACATATGTGTATTAAACATCTTTTATATTCTGAAATATGCATCATTATTCAACTTAAAATACTGCGAGTATCAAAAAACTGCTTCCCTTTGAAATAAGCTAATGTTTAGAATTAGCATGATTCAGCAGTAATTGATCCACAATAATCCCTTGTTTTTTTATATGCCTACATTATTTAGCATGCTGTATGCATTCATTAGTTGCAAAAATATATTCAACATTAGCTGCCATAATTTATGATATTTATGTTTATGCAACAATCAATTATGTCATTTAGGAAACCAAGGGTGGAAAATCTTATGAGAAACTTGGTTTTGTTGACATAAACATGGCAGAGTTTGCCGGGCAAAATAAAAGAACGAGAAAATATTTATTGGAAGGACACGATGAAAAATTAAATCGTCAAGACAACTCCATTTTAGAAGTAAGATATATTGTAGTGTTGTTTTGAGTGTTTTTATCATTGATGAAGCAAAATTTTGATTAGTTTACCCAAATGAATTTCATTTGACTGTGGTGTTGTTACTTAAAGGTCAGAATCTCGATGATTTTAAGACAAGGCGATCCATTGTTCAAACTGTAAGTACTGATGTGTTTGAATTGTTTTGATGTACAATAAATTTCATGAATTGAAGTGGCTTTATTGAAGGAAAAGTAGTTTTTTAATACTATCAACATGGATACATAGTCCATTTTTGAATTTTTTAGTAAATAGCTGCTTTCATTTCCACACAAGTTTGAAGAATATAATTACTTACACCTTTCATCTTTTCAGGCCAACTGTTCAAAATCCTCACAGCACACTTGAGTTACCTAGTTCCAAAGGTGAGCCATCTTGTGGGCAAGAGGATGGCCGTGGTCTTCCTTCAAATAACCCTGATGAACATGGTGCTGGTGCTGTAACATCAGGGAGTGGTACACCAAGCTCACAAAGTTCACATGCTTCTACATCTCTTGATGGTGATGACCAAACTATAACCAAGCTGGCCTTGGCTGAAGGGTCCAACATTGTTACCGGGAAGGCCCTCGGTCATCACCGTAGTGCTAGTGAGCCACCACTTACTAAGGATGTTCTTCAAACTGGACAACTGTCTGAAGGATATGGTAGCATGACCACACAATCAACATCATCCTCTAGTGATGCAGGAAGAAGGTGGGATCTCAAATGATAGATAAGGATCACTTGAATGATTACCATGCAAATACAGCAGCTAATGTGTATCTACATGAGCAATACGTATGAAATGAATGCAGTTTATTCAAATCCCATGATTTTTCACTCCAGATTCAATTCAATTGAAAGAACTCCAAGTAAATACCAACGTAGCAGAGTGGATCCTGGGAATGTTGTTGAGCAAATTATCAACAGTCAGGAAGATGAGTCATCACGGAGCAACAATCATGGTATGTCAAAATTGCCTCTCCCTCCCCTCCCCAATAAACATCCTACTAAAATGCTAAAATTACTGTTATTGATACAAGTCAGTGACACTTTCAAAACACAATCATGTCTCAGCTCTTGTGTGTGCTTACCCCTCGTGACCACAGTTGAAATTTTACAATTTTTGGTCGTTTCCTGTAGATCAAAATAACGTTGCCACTTTTGGCTTTGCTCAAGATGGTATGTCTGGACTCATGATTAGCGACTTTGGGTGAGTATTGATGGCATTTTGGTGCGTTTTTAAACATACTAGAAAATGCAGCATTTTGTGTGCAGAGTTTTACTGTTTTAGCGAGATGTGAAATCAGCGTTCATTTTTTTTTTAGTTTGGAGTCAGAGGACAAGTACAGAACATTGTGAATGGTAAAGGCGATCTTTTTTTTGCTATTTATGAAAGGTGAAACAGAACTTATATATACGTTTATATGGCGGGTTTTTTAGTGCATGTGTAATTTAATAACATTATACGAAAGGACTAATTTTATTCATATTCAAGTATAAGTATATTTTGCATGCTGTTATTTTGAAGTACTTACGTACGACATAACTGTCATTGATTAAGGAACTTGTCCGCTTGATTACGGTGAGAAAAACCAACTTGATGACGGCGAACCTTTAAAGGTGAAACTTTTCTTTTTGAAGTCAACTTTTTATGTTGGCGGGTACCCCCATGTTGCTGTTTGGTTTGGATGTAAGGTTGTTTTTTCGCCCTAAAGGGTGGGTTGGTTTGAAAAGTAAATAATTCTTTATTCGTCATTTGGTTTTTTTACGTTTTGTGTGAACGGACAAGTTGCCTGCGATTCTTCTACTCGAGCCCACTCGGTGAACACGTGACTGATCAGCTGGCCTGACGTCATCGTTACTATTCTCTTGATATCGCCGCGCGATTCAAGAGGTACCGGGTGAAAACATCGTCAGAAGTTTCAATGAGTGATAGTATTGACGGGAGTGTGTGATTTAGTTTGTTTTATAGTATAAGTAATGTGATATAGTAGCATTATTTTCTCTACATGATCAAGAAATTTGATTTTTAATGATATAAACGATAAAATCCCTAAAGTTAAAGTATAATCACATGGTAAAACTTATTCTAACAATCAGTCTTTTTTTGTTGTTACTGCAGTGTATTTTTTTATCCTCAGTCACCATCATCTTGTTATTACATCAAAATTATTTGAAACAAGTTGATTTAGAGCTCCGTTTTTTCCGAAGAGACAATTCAGTTTTTCTCCTAGAGACTATCCAGTCCCCCCCTAGAAACTACCCAGTTGCCCTTAGAGACTATTCAGTTACCTACCTCCCCCTAGAGACTATTCAGTTTTCTCTCTAGAGTACCTTGGGAGAGCAATATTTACTAGGGCAAGTGGATGATATTGATACTTGAGCTGGATGGGAATTGCAGTTATGTTAGCCATCCATTACATTTATATTTTAATCGGATAAACCGTTTTCTCATTTACAACTTTACCGATTATACTAAGTTAGCTATTAACCCAATTTTTCTTCAAAAATGCCAGCATTTCGGCATCTAGCTTTTCCTTTTTTTAACGTTACTGCTGCTACTGACCGAGATGGGTTTAGCAATGGATAAATGAGCACTGCGATAAGTCATTGGTAATATTTGTCTGGAGTTTTTCTGAGGTGCAGTCTAAGGCCTCGTCTGTTTCCCATTGATAAGACACATTGACGAAGACAATCTTGTTGCCTTAGTGAATTCGTTACTTAAAGGTTAAAGGTTGCCTCTTAATAAAGAAATATGTTAAGACTTAAACATTCAAACGACACCTGACGATTACAGGAGTTTACATCAAAAATCTCGGAAGGCGGTCGACACCCGGCTTCTTTTCTTGTATTCACTAACTATGGAGGGAAGATTCGTGTTGGCAAGCTATCCGTTCTGTAAGTATATATGTCAGTTCTGGCGAACCTCTTTATTACACTATATGTATAGTTGTATCTAGGTAGATACAAAACGATAAAGAGTGTCTGGTCCGTGCTGCAAGCCTTTCGTCTGACAAATAGATGTTTAGATAGGCGCTTTTACCTGCGTTCAAATGAATAACTGCATGGTTCTTCTCAAAACGTATTTCTTAGTACAAGCTTGTATTGTTTTTTTCTGTCTTGAAAAATTTATCACCGAATATTTATACTTTCCAACTATTTTTGCGATATAACTCTAAGCAACCTCTAAGGGTAGAATTTGTTGCCAAACAAATAGCGCTAAACAGTTTTTAACGATATGTAATGATCGCGACCAATTATAGGTAATCATCCCCACGTTTTTTTGTGACATACAGGTTAAACGGTACGGTCAAGCTGACGAACGATTGTCGAAACAAATTGTGTTTAGTCTCCCAGACGCCCATTACACTGCCGTAGAATGTGAACTTCTGACTGTTCCAACTGCTCCCGTGAAAAAAAATCACACGAAGTTAACGCAGTTACCCTTGACCAGATGTGCGCAAGTACAAATCACAATTCGGCGCGGATTTCGGGACAGACAAAAGCAGTTTTATTAAACTTGAGAATTGCTATTGCTAAACGATTGAAACTAGGTCGTTTTCTTTCTAAAAGTGATCGCGCGTTTGTGTCTTCGCATGGCGTTGCAAAATTTTCATTGCGTCAATAATTTTTCTTATCTATCACGCATGACCTGGTTTTAAACTGACATGGCTGATCACTGTTACTCTATTCATTTAGTGAAAAAATTCTGAGAACATTGACTTCGGATATTCATAGAGAAATGTAGTTAGGAAAACTAGCTTGTCTCTTCGTCACACATATTGTAAGTGCTATTTGTATAATATAAATTAAATGTCGTTATACAACAGGTCGTATTTAGGTATGTTTTCTGGGGCAATTGGACAAGTAACAATAAGTTTCCCTTTCATAGCTCCTCGATATATAACTTCGACAAGGTCAATGAAATCTTGCTTGGTCTTTAGACTGCCAATAAATTTGGTATGGTCGGGTGTCCTGTGAATAAAATTGAAATATAGACTGGGATTTATAATAAACCATAATTTTTTGGGACTCACCCATAATCCACTTTCATGTGTTGACCGTTGAAGAAGAAGACGGTGGCTGGTGTAAGGGTGATGTCAAAATATCTTTCATACATTTGCACGCAACCCATTTGAACAGTATATATTTCTGCCATGTTCGATAGCAAATGTCTTGTTTTCGCCAGCTAGAGGTCGAAAGCATTACTGTAACCAAAGCACTCTTTAGATAATATGCAAGCCTTATGAGTTAGGTTGTTCTGAATAGGTAATAATCACAATATACACTCACTATATTGTCAAGTCTCATACATTCTTGGTCATTTCTCGACCAAATCGTAGCACCAGTACTTTATCTTCTGTGGACCGAATAGCATTATCTACTTCCTTCTTTGACTCAAGTTTACCAAGTTCGACATTCATGGCTTTTTGAGACTATCACAGGGCAAATTACGTCGTTTAAGTTATTCTTAGGTGGCCATTTTGAATTACATAAGTAAATTATACGAACTTTGAACGTAAAAAAATGTCGTATGACACAAACTATTTCCTCTCCTCAAATTGAAATTTGAATTTAAAGTGTCTTAAGAGTTGATTAGTCGTTAAATTTGGGCATTTTAAATAAAAGTGTGTATTTATGATAAGACTCCTAAGATTTTTTCCGAATAAATCCTCGGAAAATGAATCCAGTAGGTTTTTGGTAAAAATCACAAGCAGTACATATGCCGGTGGTCCAAAACCCCGTGCTTAAAAATGTTGCATATTGGGTAATCATTGCGAGTTTCGATGACCTCCCTCAGTAAGAAGTTGAAGTTCGAAGGGCAGAAATTTTATATTTAAATTGCTGCACGTTTTTTGTGAAGAATATCCGCCGATATTTGGCGTATATCTCGGCTATATCTCATTTAAAGATTTCTCCAAGAATGGCCGATACTTCGGACTCACAGCCGGCAGATTTTACTGGTAAGTTCTGCTTCCATACCTGGCATTCTGTATGCAGCCCTTGGCTAGCGAACGGTCTGCTCAAAAAAACAATGTCGTGTGATTATAGATGCAATTTGGGGAACTAATTTATGATCAAGTTCCTGTTCAGTGTCTCCCTGTGGATTCACAAGAACACACTCGACACGAAAGAAACTTTCATGGTTTAGGTTATTTGCAAATAATGAGCTTCGTAGAAATGAACGTCATGTGTGGCGAAATCAAAACTTCAGCTAGTCAAAATAATTACTTCAAGCGATATTTGTAGCAAATTTACACGGTACCCTTGACCATCACGGGGGCTGAAGTATTTACCCTTAAATCCCTATTATTCGTGGTAGTTTTGAAAAAATTAAGTCTAGCGCTTGACATCTTCATGTATGAAAGTATTACGATGGAATTGGGAGTTTTGCGGCGCGAAGTTAGTTTAGTGCTTGCGTTGCTTTTTATTGTTGACTTTCATTGTTTATGCGTGACTCGAAGGAAATTCGGCGACCAGTTAAACCATTAAAGTTGAAAGATGGATTAGTACATACAGTAATTTCGTAATGAACACATTGATATTGTAATCTACTTGTTACGAAGCGCAAATCAGTTTACTTATGTTATTTATATGTTTATTGAAAACATTTTTAGGCTAATTTCACTTATTATTTTTAAGCTGTAGTAATTGTCGAGTAAGTTTGTATATGGAAATTATAGTTGCATAAAGACATCTGTAATTCAGTATTTTCTTGACAAATGGCATTACCTTGTGAAATGTTTTGCTTCAGTAATGCAGCTGGGTTTTATGAAAAAATCTAATTTAATAGAATATATTAAATGAAATAATTTCAAAGGGAATAGAGCAAATATGTCTCTTGCTGTTGGTTGGGAAACTTGTGTATTTTTTCTAGTGTGTTTTTTTCTCTTTCAGATAATTATGAGGTTGGCCATTTTTCATCATCTGCGGATGGAACATCACCGACATCTTTCACCCAGCATTGCTATCATCCTCGAACCATACTACCGCCCATTGTGCTTCCACTTAACTTTTCTGCTCAACAGGTTATATTGCCTACACCGTACTATTCAACACTTCATTATAACCCACCCATATCAACCAGTGCGTCATTAGCACCTTTGGATAAACCTATGTATTCATACCAAAACTCCGTTGGGCAAAGCATGAGCACTGATCATGGAACAAGTAATTACGAGAACGGTCCGAGTCCGCCTAAGAAGTTTATGACGCTGAAATCGGAGAACATCTCCCCAGATGATATACAGTCAATGCAAGAGAAAAGCAACAGTTTTGGTAAGCAATTCATTACCCGAGCAACATTTTAACTTTCCAGAAACTCCAGTTCAAACTAAAGTAGAGCAATCAAATGACAATTCGAATAATCTTCCACCATGTTTAGCCATGGCTAGTCACACTCGACAAATGAATGTGGTTATGTCTCCTAGCATTCAACCATCTGCTAGTTCCATTACACATACACAAAGTCAACCCGAAGACAGTTCATCTTTACAGAAGGATGATAAAAATTTGCCTATGAATTGTGAAGTACAATCAAATATTTGTGTTATTTGTGGTGACAAGGCGACGGGCAATCATTATGGTGTAACAAGTTGCGAGGGTTGCAAAGGATTTTTCAAACGGACTGTTCAAAACAAAAAGACCTACACATGTAGGAATTTGTCGAAAGATTGTCCTATTGATAAACGGCACAGGAATCGTTGTCAGTTCTGTCGATATCAGAAATGCATTTCTGCTGGAATGTTGAAGGAAGGTTTGTTAAAATTTGTGCTATTTTAGAAGAATTTAAGAAGTGTTCCAACTGTTTCTTTATTTTAAAACTGACCAAGAAAGAAACCAAAAACAGGTTTATTGTCAAAATATTAACAATGTGTAGAAATTTGTATCATAAGATTCAAATTTTTTGTCAGAAATATAATGAAAGAATTGGCTTTCTGGTTTGCTAACCCACAGAGTTTTTTGCATCCTCTGTGTCTACTCATAAGGCTAACATAAATCTGTAGAGTCGATCCTTCATTAGGAATGTTGTGTTGCTTAGCAAGTACCCTAGCAAGTAACTGTTGAAACTTAGTTCATGTTCATTTCTTTAAATCTTGAAATCCTATATTGTTCATTTGAGTAATAAATTATTTCAAAATATTGTTATGTTTTTGATTGTCTCTGTTTACAGCCGTTCGCGAAGATCGCACTCCTGGTGGTAAACACAAGAATGCAAATGTACTCAAGATCAAAATACCATCTTTGGAGGATTCTGGTCAGCTACAGGTCATGTATTGGTCATCTCCCATGATAGAAAGTTTGCTTAAGATTAGCAACTCTTCCATACCTCAGTTGAAAGTTGCTCAGGAAAACTCGGACATAAAGTTAAGCACAATTGACTATGTCATTCAGCTGGCTGACTGGCAGATTGCAGAGGTTTGGAGTTGGTTTAATAAACTTAATTTTCTCTCGGAAATCATGAACGGCGACCGACAGATCTTAATACAGAATTCTCTGATGGAAATTCTTGCATTCGGGCTTGCTCGTCGCTCCATGAAGACTGGTAATAGTCTCCTACTAGGCGAAGGAGTGTATTTGGACGTTGAGGCTGCGAGTGTGGCTGGAATTGGGGATATCACTCAAAGAATTCTTCAACTTTCTGCCAAGTTTAATGAGCTGAAATTAGGCGAAGAAGAATATGTATGTTTGAAGATAATTGTACTGCTGAATCCAGGTTTGTTCCCTTTGCCTTGATTTTACTGTCGTTGTCAGTGTTTGCAGCTGTGTATATCTGTATTCAAAAAAACATCCCTTCACGGCAAATGCTTGAAACAAGGAAATTGGTTTATAGTCTTCGTTTTCACCGGAGTTTGATATATACATCCTTAGCTGTAGTCGTCTTTAGAGTCTAGTGAACTTTATTCTTTATTTGACTTCAAAGATGACTACGGCTAGTGTTTCGACTATCAACTAAAGCACCAACATTCCCTCAAAAGTACGTTACTTGACTTCAAAGATGACTACGGCTAGTGTTTCGACTATCAACTAAAGCACCAACATTCCCTCAAAAGTACGTTACTTGACTTCAAAGATGACTACGGCTAGTGTTTCGACTATCAACTAAAGCACCAACATTCCTTCATAAGTACGTTACTCCCGCGATCAAACCATTTATTGTTAAGAGTTTAATTATCGACTTCGTTTTTTATCATTTGAAGATGTCAGAGGTCTGTGTAACCAAGAACATATCGAAAGACTCCAAGATCAGGTACACACGCATTTGCAAGACTACATTATCCATCGTTATCCCACTCGTCCCAACAGGTTTGGTAATGTTTTATTGCGTCTGCCAGAGTTGAGATCCATCAGCACGAAGATTACGGAACGATTATTTTTCCTGAATGTTACTCATGATTTGAACATAAAAACACGGCTTAACGACTTTCTTTATGCACGCGAGCGTCGTTTCTGACATATGGAGAATACGACGAAGCAATGTTGAAGTTAGTCGGTAATGGTCGCCTAATCTTTGTTTTGGTTGTTGATTTTCAAATGGTTGAATGGTACCAATAACCATCTTAACAGATGTAAGATGGAGGGAGCTGAGACTGGCTCTAACAGATAGCACAGCTATGCTGAAAGCCTGAAACTACTCGCAGATCTTTATATGTGTTGTACGAGTTGTGTAACTACTGCATACATTTCACTTTGAGTACTGCATAGAAGATTTATTACGTCACAGGCGATTACGAACGAATGACGTCGATTACTTACGAATGACGTCGAGTACTTACGAATGACGTCGATTGAAGGATGATGGTTAGATCAATGATTGCTCTACCTGAGCTTGTACCAAATTGACTTACTTTGTACTAAGGGCGCCCTTCTGTGGTGCAGCGTGGGTAAGGAGGGGGGCGCCCTTCTGTGGTGCAGCGTGGGGAAGGAGGGGCGCCCTTCTGTGGTGCAGTGTGGGGAAGGAGGGGCTTTCGTTTTTCAAAAGAATCTGAGCTTTGATAAAACGTACAAAATGGCTATTCTTATATCTAACAATTACTTTTGTATGTTTTCCATCTCTTGATTGTAATCATTATTTCCGTTGAATTTGGGAATTCCAACAAAGATACTGCTCAACAAATGAAATATTGATGAGCTTAGCTCTTTATAAGTAAACTATAGTGACTGACAGGTACAGAGAGTTTATATACGTGATAATGTTTCTATTTACGATGTTTAAAACACACAACATGCATGCGTATCTACAGCTAGAAATCTTTAAATTTTATAATTAAACCTGTGTGTGTATATATATATATATATATAACTTGTGTTCTAGAAATTATTTGAATCATAGATAAAGTATCGAGTGTAGTGTTTGGAACTTTACATGGCTTATGTATTAACAAGCTGTCGCTAGTGTTTGTTAAATGTTTTGTTTAACACAAATAAAACCAGCGTAGTGTAAATTGTTATTTTGCAGTGCAAGGTTAAAATTATGTATTGTCTTTGCTTTTCACGTTGACACTGGCAAATTCGGTACCTTAGACAACCAGTGGTGATTCAGGCTATGGTTTATTATCTATCTATTTCTGTGGTTCAAAAAGTCGGCAACCTATTAAAACCATAGCTTGGTTAACCATTCCTGTCGCTAGTTACCATTCTCTAGGTGGTTATCACGGTCGCGATGTGGAATGCAATATGGCGGATAATCTGCAGTCAGGTCCCCTTACGTCAGAGGAACTGTCTCAAAAAGACGGGATGAATCTCATAGCAAATGATACAAACCCTTTGATAAAAGACAAGAGTGAACAAGCTGATGGGGATGAAGATAGAGATGATGTATGTAATATGTGATCAAATTTATTCATCCACTGATAATTGTACCAATCTCAGTAATCTGCATCATTCGAATGCATTCTGTAACATTGGGCATGTTCTATGTTTGAAATTAAGCTTCTTCTCTATTTTACATGTAGTTTTTTAATCTGGACTTGGGCGAGCTAGATCTTACATCTCAAGACGAGTTTATCTTTGACGAAGTAAACGGTAGAAACTTTATGACAAAATACTGTTTTCACTTTTATGCTGTTGTCCTGTCTTTTTCAACATTTTAACATGCATGAAACATACTTAGAGCATATTCAAGCCAACTTAGAAGACGAATTGGTTAAAGAAGCCCTGAGAAGGTAATTTATCAAGATAAAAATAGCCAGCAGTTTGAAGGACTAATCTACACCAGAGTAGCTGATGAATGTAGTTTGTTATTTTATCTCGAAGACTCAATACTAAATGCCAACCGAATTTTTTCCACACTTTAAACCAAATGAAGCTTCTAGATATTTTTATGTATCTATGCTTTTTTTGGGAAGTCCTTTCAACTCCAATGCAAATGTGCTAAATATTTTAGAAATAAAAGTTGTTCATGGTGTCTGCCCAGGCTTATGCCAACCAAGTAGACCTTTGGGAGAACTTGAGGTGAGATCAAAACAAGCCTAAGACTGAATGCTGTGGGCTTGCACCTGCTATGGAGTTCTCACATAAACATCTTGGAGGTTTGCATGAGCCTGTGCAAAAACAAAAAAATCTTTTATTTCTTTTATAAAATGGTGTTAGTATTTTATAAATAGTGTTTTTATAGAATACTTGTACCAGCTAGTGTTTAATTGTTTATATTCTACAATAACATATATTTACCTCCGTAGGGTGTTGATTTAAGACAATATTCCAAGCAAATTGAAAATGATCTTTGGGTTGTTGAGAATTCCTCCATAGAGGATTGTATCTTTTGCCATTTGTCAAATCCATCCCAAATGCTCATTATAGCTGGAAATTGTTTTGTTGTTCTTTGTCTTGACAATTGAATATCAGACATCAAAGAAAGTGAGAACATCGCAAGTTTACATCAGCAAATTACCGCATGTGACACAATTCTTGAAGTAAGATGCATTGTCCAAATTTATGAAAAGAAGAAATCCTTTTCGACATGTTGTTTCTTTGTTTTCTCATTCTTTTAGAGGATGGAAAGTATGCTAACAAACTTTCAGGTATCCCAATTATTGAACAGTGTCATCGTGGAATTGTTTATTAATGCAAAACTTGGAAGTTTTTTTTTCCAATTTCTTTCAATTGTCATGTCTGTGCAACGAATGTGATCAAATTCTTTTGGTTAAATTAGCATGATTTGGGGAGTATAAGTTCAGAAATTCAAACTCTACAAGAACAGTCAATGTCAATGAACGTCAAACTCAAGAACAGACAGGTATAACCATTTCACTGTTAAGCAAGAGTTTTTCGTAGGTGGATGGTAATACCCTCGTTATAACATATTCATCAAAATTTATCGTTGTGAATCAGGCAGCTGCAGTGTGAAAACTTTCTTACAAATATTTCACAACTGAATGATGTTTGTATGTTGCCAATATCCAAAACCCATGTCTTCCCATAACCCGCTTTTGCCAACTATATAATTATGCTTTGTTCATGTGTAGAACAAAACGTTAATGTGTTAATGGTCTTGTTTTTCGTTTATTCAAGGCTATACGCGGTGAATTAAGCCAGTTTGTTGACGAAATGCTAGTCAGTGAGGCTATGATCAAGTTAGTGATTGCAGTTATTGAATTGCTCTGTTTTTTTGTTTCCAATTTTTCCATGGAAACTTTGCAGTATCATGGTACGGGGCGAAAATTCAAACAAGTCATTCATAGCGTAAACTTTGCTGGGAGTGAATGCTATTGATCTTCGAAATGTACTTAGTTAATACATCAAAGATTGTTCAGATACTTTTGTCGTCCCATTTTAAAATTCTCTCCTTCCCGAATGCGCGAAATTTTATAACAATCAAAATTTTAGAGTGCACATTTTCACTTTCGTGTTCACTTTGTTGTATAAATATGGCCCGCGGCAAGAATTGAATTCTCAAATGAAAATTTACACAATTGCTATGCAAGAGAATTGATAATAATTGATAATTCGATGTTTTTCTCCGTCATGATTTACATTGTTACTGTCAAAAATTATGAATGAGCAGTTGATAAGCTAATAGATTGATAAATTTATTTAAGTCTGTTTTTTATCGAAATCGAATAAAAACACCATTACATAAGTGTTGAAAGTGAGATTTACTTCAGACGATATAAAGGTTTGGCTTACTGATCCTTTTCTTGCACAGGTTACTTTTTCACATTTGATTCGCTTTCGTTAGCGTTAAATATAATCAGTGTAAAAACTTCAATGATTTTTTTCAACATTAAATGAGACAAGGAAAGCAAATAATCCTGGTTTGCCATGAAGCCCATAGATGCTTTCGTTCATGATGTATTAAACAGTAAACGAGAGAGTTCTCTCAGAACAGTAGAAGGAGATATAGTTCACGAATAAACTTCATGAGTTGGTAGAGTATACTGCGTTAGTTTTCAGTCAAAAATTACTGGCATGTTGTCTGTCATCTTCAGCTTGTTTCAACAAATACATTTTCATACTTGTTAGCTCAATGACTGTTATTGGCCTGGCGTGCCCGCACCTTGGCCTGGCATGCCCGCACCTTGCGTAAAAGCAAAGTAACCATAGACATTACACCGTGGACGTAAGGAAAGTTGCTTGCTAAAAGCGTGGACAACAAGGCAACGAGTGGTTACTAATGCTATAGCTAATTGTGATGGGTTTTATTAAACATGTTTTCATTTCCTATGAAGTGAATGGATGTTCACCCCATTTTACATGAATCAAAGTTAAATGGAGTTAATGAGGAAATGAAATAAATGCATAAAAATTGTATGCTTAATTCAATTTCCGAGTCAAAAGGCTCTGTTTTTTGTTAAACTTTGCAATATCCCTGGTTATGAACAGTTTATGATATTTATTGAATTATGAAAGATGAGGAAAGGGGTCTTGTAAGAAGAATGGGTACGAGGTGTGAGGTTACTTAGACAACTGTCTGAAAATGAGGGTTGGGTGGCAAGATATAATGGTGTTGTCATTGCGTTTCTGTGATTTCAGTGGAGGGGTGCTACCATAGGGACAGATGTGTAATCAACACAAGAGAAATGTATTGTGCACCTTTGATGAAATATTTTTAGTTTGCAATATATTTGTGTTGCGTCATTTATCCCTCTTTGTTTGTCTTCATCCCCATCAAGGCATATCACAGAGTCTCCAGTCACAGATCAATCGTTCATTGAGAATCTTCATGAGTTGGATCACAAGATCAACTTCGTCAAAGAACAATCGTTCAATGATTACAAATGTTGTAGTGATGTGAAGGATATTTTAGATAAATTGAAAGTTAAGGTCAGTTGAGACGATGAATTCTTTGGTTTTGCATTTTGAATTAAATGTTTCATTCGATGATTTCACAGCGTTCTTTTCTATCATGTTTGTATCCTCTTTGTGTGATTTCATACAATATCGTTGTCCCATCGTAAACCTGGTCATTTTCATCCAATCAGCTACTGCAGTACTCATTTATTTACTTATCTTTGCTATCAACTTGCTATAAATATGGAACATATATAACTACTAAATTTGGCAGGGAAACGTGCTACACCTTTAGCCAATTACAGCACTCCTTTAAACATGGAATCCCCATCAGTACTTATGGGACTCTTCACATGGAATCCCCATCAGTACGCATGGAATCCTTCACATGGAATCCCCATCAGTACGCATGGAATCCTTTACATGGAATCCCCATCAGTACACATGTAGTCCTTCACATGAAATCCCCATCAGTACACATGTAGTCCTTCACATGGAATCCCCATATTAAGCATAGCTTTTATTTTGTCATTTTCCAGGCAGTTCAAAAGATCCGTGATTTTATCCTACCAAAAATTTATGTGTTTCGAAAACCATTGACAAACTATCAAATTCCACAAACTGCTCTTCTCAAACACAGGTACATGGTATTGACTTAAAGAAATGGTTTTTCGACTTCATGAAATCTAGTTGGATTGATGGGGAGTGTGGCCTTCATGAAGTCTAGTTCAATTGAGAGGGGGTTGGCCTTCATGAAGTCTAGTTCGATGGGGGAGCAGATATAGGCAGATGCTTGAGCACTATAGTTCTTCTTGTTCATTTAAAGTAAGGAGGGAGGCAGTGGATTACCCAGGATTTTCTGTCAAAAGGGAAGGTGTGCCATTACTGTTGTTTAAACTTCGTAGTGTCAGCGGAATATAATTTTTAGTGGGGGGAGTTTAGCCGATGGGACTTTTCTCTTGCTACGTCACTGGAGAGGGAGAATTTGATAAATAAAAGTTAATCATGCATCTCGTCGTGTTTTGTAGATATTTCAATGAATTCTTGATGTCAAACCATCGTCATGTGGCCAGAGAAATCAAAGACGAATACGTCGACACTATCAGTAAAGTGTACTTTTCTTACTTTAAGGCCTACATCGCTAAACTAGCGAAACTTCATGTAAGTAGTCCTCAAAAGCGATTCGTCATTAATAAATACTCGTGAAGTGATTCCATTTTCTTCTTGTTTTTAATCAAGTTCATACAATACGAAAATCACTGAAAATACGCATATTAAGTTTTTTTTATATTCATTAGAATTCGTAATTTTGTAGATAAACGAAGTTAACCAATGATTATACAGTATTCGCGTCATGGCCTCGTCTAACTTCATGTTGGTAACTAACTTCATGACTCTGTTTTAGTATGAAGAAGTTCCAGACAAGGATGATTTAATGGGAGTTGAAGATAATGCACGAAAAAATATCCTTTTATGAAGCGTATACATTTTGATCACGTAACTTCTATGTATTGATACAAACATTGTGAGAATTACATGTCTGTAAATGTAGATCGTCCAGGTTGGTATAGTCCTGAGAAGGACTGTTTTTGTTATTGTTGACTGACGTTTCGACAACCTTAGCGGTAGTCATCTTCAAAGTCAAATGAGGAGTAAACGTCAGGTTAGCCGTATTTTTTATCTGGTTCTTACGTCATCTGCTGGTGCCGCTAAGGTTGTCGAAACGTCAGTCAACAACAACAAAAACAGTCCTCATGACTATACTAACCTGGAAAATCTACATTTACAAACATGTAACGATACTCCCGGGTTCAAACCATTTACTTTATTGTGAGAATTCTTTCGAGATTCTTCCTTAACACATTAAACGTCTATTTTCTTCCCGCGTGGCTCTCCGAAATCGATCGACAATTTTCACTTTGGGTAACCGTGGCAACGTGCTCACGTCAGAACTTGAAGATCCAATCATAGTACCGCACGCTGCGCAAAAGAACGAACGAAAGGTGCGCTTTGTCTATGGAGTCTTTCTACTTGTTTAGACTTAACAGCGATAATGTCGTCTTACTTGAAGTATTAGTGTAGCAATAGCATTCATGTTTATCATGTTTATACTTGTTGGCCTCGTGTAAGAACAATGGAACTTTCATTCAAATTGTTTTCGTGTAAAGAGAGTGTTCAATGTTGTTTTATTATTTAGTATCCATTCGAATCGTTGTTCCGTAGTGAGCACTATGCTTTATTGGACAACAGTTGCCGCGAGTTTCTTTTTCTTTGTGATTTTTTCAACGTCCAAGGAAATCCTGCAAAAGAATTTTTTTCCGCGGTGTTTGGAAAGAGTATTACATTACTAATGGTGAGAGCAGTGTACCTGCGGCTTTTTACTATATTTTGTCTGATAAGAGCTTAAACTCTCCCACCTGATTTATATTGTTGCAGTGTTCAGAACAGGTGGGAGTGTTTAAGTTCATCTGACCGAATCTAGTAAAGAAATTCCATATATGGTCACAGCGTGCGAGAGATTACTTTCAATAAGCACTAAACTCGACCAACATGAAGTTTCTCACAATCATTTCATTTAAAACTTTATCTTGTTTATAGAGATACTGGGATACATACCTACAGTCTTGCTACGATGCCATCGGTATATTTTTATGTATGCATATCGTTCATCGATACAGAATCCTAATGCACAAGAGAACTGTTCCTGCTCTGGATAAGTATGTAAATTAACGCACACCGCTGATTGTTGCTTATTTCTTGTCAACTTTAATGCACTCCGTCGTCATTTACATCTTTTCCACATTAAAACATACTGCTTACAGTTACATCTTTCCCACATTAAAACATACCGCCGTCATTTACATCTTTTCCACATTAAAACATACTGCTTACAGTTACATCTTTCCCACATTAAAACATACCGCCGTCATTTACATCTTTTCCACATTAAAACATACTGCTTACAGTTACATCTTTCCCACATTAAAACATACCGCCGTCATTTACATCTTTTCCACATTAAAACATACTGCTTACAGTTATATCTTTCCCGCATTGTGGTAGTTACTTTATAACTATCCTCTTGTTCAATTTACATTTGCAAACCATGTATTCATTAATTCTGAAATATATTACAGATATTGGGATACGTTATTGGAAATGTTTTGGCCTCGTTTTGAGTTCGTCGTTCAACAGAACATCCACAGCATTCGGACGATTGATCCTCAAAGGATGTCTACCATCGACGTTCAACCTCACTACGTAAGATAAAGGATGATTATTTTATTGATTTTTTAGCAGGAAAGGGTTGTCTTTTTTAACCTTATAGAAATTTATATGTATTGAATACCGTAAACCTTCACCTATAATTTCACCCCCTCATTCATAAGCCCGTCTATAAGCCCACAACGATCTTGACACTCAACTCATTCCGCAGGAAAGTCCACCAGCGTTCAAGCCCCTCCTGAATATAAACCCACAAATGTAATGATGTATTATGCATTATAATATAGTTCGTGCATCACCTCCCCCCCCCTATATAAGCCCACTATATGTATATCCCACGCCGTATATAAACTTATGAAAAAGGGCGTATGAACTAATACAAGCACAGGGCTTATCAGGCGAGGGGAAGTTTACGGAGTATTTGTTTAACTTTACTTATTGCATTTCATATTTTGCAAAGTCTTGTGACAGAAATTTGTCTGTTGTTGTGATGTAATTGATATAGTTTTAAATTTGCTCGATACATAGAAAAGTTGAACAAACATAACCAACCGCTCGCTTTATCTCCTTTTTAGATCACAAGACGCTATGCCGAATTCTCGGCTGCAATCGTGAGCTTGAACGAAAGCTTTCCGGATGAAAAGGTTTCATTAAAATCATACTGTAAAAAAAGGAAAAATGTCTTATGTTTTTGTGAAATATCGTTGTCATGACAATTTATTTATTAAGGTCAATAGACTTTTGGCATTGTTGCAAGACGAACTTCAGCAGTTTATCCTTCGAATGGCGGCAGAATTTCCTCATCGCAAAGAACAATTGGTTTTCCTTATCAACAATTACGATATGATGCTGGCTGTCTTGAAGGTAAATGACATGTTTGAACTGTTTGAATTCAATTGGTGTTTCACTACAGCAGAGTTACACTTAGTAGCCAATCTCAAACAAGAGCCTGCATGTTTCTTTTCCAACATTGAGCAGTTTGAGCGCATGCGTTAAAGTGTAAGGTACAATTTAAGCTACAAGTTATGGAGGAAGGCAGAGCAACGACAAGAACTTAGTTATCTAAATGTTTCCTTGTTAGGAAAGAACATCCGAAGATTCCCAGGAAAATGAAAGTTTTCAGCAGTTGTTGAGTTTGAGGATTCAGGAATTTATAGCAGAAGTAAGCAAAAACAATTATATTTTTTCATGTTTAGACAATACTAAGATATTCAAGTAAATGGTTTGAACCCGGGAGTATCGTTACATGTTTGTAAATGTAGATCGTCCAGGTTGGTATAGTCCCTGACTCTGAAGATGACTACCATTTGACTCTGAAGATGACTACCGCTAAGTTTGTTGAAACGTCAGTCAACTACAAACATGTAACAATACCAAGATATTGTTGGAATATTTTCATGAAATACAGAATACAATAAAACTGTATATAGATACAATATTGCAAACACTGCATTCTGATTTGGTCACTCAAAGCTGTCAATTACGATTACTGCATTCTGCTTTGGCTACTCAAAGTTGTGTATTTCAAACACTAAATTTTGCTCTCCTCTTTAGACGTGATTTGTTGCCAAAGTTTTTTCAAGTCCTGTTTTGCTTTTGTTATTCAATTGTTTTTACGTATTTCTCAAGGTTTTGTCTCCCGGGTTCGGTGGTATGATTGCATTTGTTAAAGATACAGAGCCGCTGATTGAACGACATGAAAATATTGAGGTTGAGGAGAGACGCATTGCTCAGATTGTACGTGGTTTTGCCGCAGACTGGAAACGAGGCATCGAAAGTGTTAATCACGAGATTATGAGATCCTTTCCAAATTTGAAAAACGGAACAGCAATTCTGCAAGTATGATGTCGTGTTTAGCATTTATGAAATATTTCCCCCTCCCCCCGGTGAAAGACATTACCGTTGTGTGGGACAAGTATGATGTCGTGTTTAGCATTTATGAAATATTCCCCCCTCCCCCCGGTGAAAGAAATTACTGTTGTGTGGGACAAGTATGATGTCGTGTTTAGCATTTATGAAATGTTTCCCCCTCCCCCCGGTGAAAGACATTACTGTTGTGTGGGACAAGTATGATGTCGTGTTTAGCATTTATGAAATATTTCCCCCCCCCGATGAAAGACATTACCGTTGTGTAAATAAGTATGATGTCGTGTTTAGCATTTATGAAATATTTCCCCCTCCCCCCGGTGAAAGACATTACTGTTGTGTGGGACAAGTAGTGCTCAAAGTGAAGCAAGGACTTTTTAAAACATGAAAGTTCCATAACCTTAAGTTGTCCAAGGTTGTTGCTTTTTCTTCCTTAGACTTGGAGAGGCCTCATGCTCTTAAAGGGGGAGGGCAGGATCTTGACTCGGATAAACTTTTATAAAATAAACACAACGAAACGTGTGCGCTGATTGGTCTAGAGCTGTGTTTGCATTAGCCTGTGCAAAACGCATTTGAGCTCAACCAATCAAATCAATTAAAACAATTAATCAGTCAAAGAGAATTTGCAAATCGATCATGAATATATTTTAGAGAAAAATTAAAATGTCTGTCTTTTTGCCATTATTGTTATTTTATAAAAGAAATAAAAGATGTTTTTTTTGTGTTTGCACTGGCTTATGCAAACCTTTGTGAGAACTCTCGAGCAGGTGCAACCCTCGACCTTCGGTCTCAGGCTTCCACTGATCTGCTCTCAAGTTCTCCTAAAGGTTCTCGGTTTGCATAAGCCCGTGCAAACACAGTAAACATCTTTTATTTTTTAAGTACAACATATAGAAGTGTAATAACCTATAATTGAATGTCTAAGATTTTTGTTTTTCTTAGTTAGATATTGGATAGCATTTAATAAGTTAAAGGCTATCTCTAGTCAATTGTGAGCAAGGTTCCACATTATTATATGAACAATATTTACTTTCATTTCAGGCAGCGTTGACAGAACTTATACAATACTATCATCGCTTTCAAAAAGTTCTTTCCCAAGCCCCTTTTAAAAAGCTGGCAGTTCGCAGTGAACTTATTAATATACATCATGTTATGGTTGAAGTGAAGAAACACAAGACGACATTTTGACATGTATGTTTACGATTTATGCTTTGTATAAAAATTATTCGCACAATAAGCTGTCAATATTTTTGGAAATCTGTTTAATCGAATTAGCACAAAACATTTACAATTCATTATGCTTTTTGTGAAAGCAAAATTCCACACTAGTGCATATATATTTATACTTAAGTTCTTCATTAAATTAACTCTCCTATAACGTCTCATTAAATTAACTCTTTTTAACGCTGTAACCACCAGCTTTTTTACAAACGCACCCACTCTTTTTCCAACTATTTTTACACAGCAAATATCATGAATGTCCTCAAGGATAATGTTTAGTAAGATATCATTTCCATCAATCCTGCCACAAACTTCGGCTTTAAATGGCCTCGATTTAGTAAGTTCCCTTAACTCTAACTCACTATTTCTTTAATGGCTTCCGTCTGTACGTTTTTTTGTACCATGTGAAAGATGCTTTCAAGAAACTCCAGGCTGTTAAGAATGTTCGCGACACCAGCATTATGCGAGGCAACATTGAACAACTGAAATCTTTCCTCATCCTGTAGAACGCTTACTGTCTTGCGAAGCAACTTGAAAATGTTTCTAAGAAATGTACGGAAATTTCAAGGATTTTCACACAACATTCAACACAATATTTTTGGTATTACACAATCGTACCTGGATTTTTCGATAGCGTCAATTTTCTTTTCTTTTGATGCTCCTCCACCATAAGGCACAATCTCGGTCTCCTTTTCTGCCAACTTCTTGTTTTCATTCAACATATTGTTTTCAGCCAACACATTTTTTGCCAATATCTTTGCCAGCGTATTTCGCGGAAAATACTCTTCGTTCACCTTTCTAATTCCTGTCACCAGTTCCCTCGCATCGGCTTCGCAAAGCTTCGAAAAACTGTAGCCCGAGCCGACTTATCACTAGGTTTGCAATTCCAGTAATCCAAGAATTGCCGACCTTTTGCTCTTGAATGTCTCACGTAAGCTATAAGCATTTGAAAGGAGAAATTTTCAGGATCCTGAAGTCGTCTTTTCATCTCGTGAAGGGTGACCGGATAGACGATGTCTTTGTTAATCCATAGCAAACTGCTCACTCGCGTTACCACGTGATCTACGGAAAACTGTTGAGGAATTTCCACCATTCCTTGTTTTGTTTCCTCTGCTTTCGTCACTTCGTGGTTTTCTTCAGTTATGTTTACGATTTGGGCCTTTTGATTGGGCAATATTGGTTTATTTTGTTCCGGGGATTGTGGTTTGCAAAACAGGGGGGGTTTATCACAATCACTGCTGCGAACATACACCGGAACGATTTTATCTAAAGTTTCTTCTTTTTTGTTTATGGTCTTCTTGATGGATGATTCTTTTTTCTCTAAATGTATCAGTGATGTGTTCATTTCATCTGCACTTGATCTGAATGGATGAATTCTTTCTGGCATCTTGATCATGGTTGGCAATTGATTGATGTTGGTGAATCGATTATCTTGCGGATGATGGAAATGACCTGTGGATTTTCTCCTCATTGGTAAAGAATATCTTTCATTGTTGCTCATAGCATATTCCATACTCTGTACCTCTTCATAGCTCTGTTGTCTGATGACGGAGCGTCTTGGAAAATCTTTAATCGGTGAATGCTCTCTTGATTGAATTATAAGCTGCTGTTGTTTGACCATTTCATCTTTCGTAGATTGCCTGTCTTTGCTGGACAAATCCTCAAGTGTAATAGTTGATGTTTCAGAATGCACCCGTGATCGTTGGTTTTGCTCACGTGACATTTTCAATTTTTTCTTATCTTGCGTGATTTGAAACCCGTCACATGGCATTTGAAGTTGTCCACGTGGGGCTGTGAATCGTCGAAGGATTGACAGGGGCGTTTTTAGTTCCGGAGGAGTGAGGTACTTTTGTCCTTGAGCTGTAAAGTACTTTTGTTCTTGTCGGTAATTTTCATGAAAAACACAAGTATTCGACTGATTGTATTTCTTGAAATGCAAGATAGCATCTTTTTTGTAAGGATAACTTGCTCTTGGTGTTAACAACGCGCGTTGAGCTAATGCATTTTCACTGAGACTTCTTGGACGCTTAGCGGGCACAGCGCCAGCCATTTGAGAATTGTCAAACTTCGTAAAGAACTCATATTCATTTTTTAAACTTCTTGGACGCTTAGCGGGCACAGCGCCAGCCATTTGAGAATTGTCAAACTTCGTAAAGAACTCATATTCATTTTTGACGGCGTTCATCAACTCCTGCACTTCGTTGGACGTTCTACGCTTCAAAATCGACTCCATCTATTAGTGAAAAAATACATTTTCTGTTTTAACTTTTTTGGGGCTCAATATCGTTTGTGAGTAACTGTGATATTGCTAAGGTTTCGTGTCACTTAGAGGATGAATGTTGTTGATGATGTTTCTTTTTGAAAATCATAGGTCATTTAAAAAAGTTTGCTTCAATGTAAAGTACTAATTTTTATCATTATTTTATTATTATTATTAACAATCAACTACCGAAGAAGAGAGCAGAGGCACCTTGTGAAAAAGCCTCACTCGAAGTCAATAACTAATTGATTTCATGGTTCGGAAACTTTTCACAAAAGATAAATAAACAGACGCGTTTAACGAAGGATTTTTAATGGAATCGTCTTTTGTTCGTTGAAGACATGTGATTTTATTTGTGCGCTATGAACTGCGTACAGATTTTCGCTTCGAATTGGATGTATTTCGTAACGACAATGCTAATATAATTACCTATTTGATTATAATAGAAAAGTATGAAGATTATGTACAGTTTGTATTACTACAGTAAAACATCGATTCAATCATGTATTCATCTCGTGTATGTACCACCTTCTCAACATGACGAAAGACTTAACACTTCTATCGATATTCTGTGAATTCTGTTATTTTGAAAATTCTTTATGCAACATTACCTTGGCAAGTTTCATACATAATTATTTTGGATACGTGGCATTATTGATTTCCTGTTGTATGTTATTGCAATCTTGGATGGTTGAATAACACATCAACCCTGAAGATGTTTAGCTGGTCATATACATTTCTATTTGTCACTTTCTCCCATTGCTCTTACTAATTTAGCCCGTCCAAAAGATAGCAAATTTTACTTCTTCGCGTAAAGAACTACTAAAAATGATCTTTCTGTGAATCACGCGTGAGCAATCAATATCCGGTTTGTTCATGCGTGTAAAGACAAGTGAGCTTCAGATTTGTCGTTTGCGTTCTATTTTTGACGAATACGATCTTTCGTTCAGATTTTTACTTCGTACCATCGAAAACATCTGATTACAACGAATATTAAATTTTCATTTTGCCTTTTGATCAACCTACAATCAACCGCCATCTAATATGTGCATTATCATAAGAATCGTTAACTGAATAATCGCCTAATTTATGCTGCCTTGCAACTCCTTCAATTCTCAAATTATCTATATTTTGCTATGAAATTACTCCCATCAACTTTCTGTCTTAGTTTAATGACGGAACCATGGAAAGGCATCACTTGATTTATCTGCGTAGTTTTTTCGAAGTATAGCCAGTCAAATGCATTGTGCTCACTCTAGCGAATCGGCACTTGAGTAAGTTTAAATTTTAATACAAATACTTGTGGTTTATATTGAAAGTTTAGCGATACATCCATTTTATGACAATATTACTAATCCCGAAGATTTGTATGTTCAAATCCTTTGTCTAAGATGTGTTATCTAGATACGTTAATAAGACCCTGTCTCGTCAGAATATCGCTATGGAGTTAGGATTTCTACGTTTAGATTCTTTATCGATACCAGTTAAGCCAAACTTCAACATGTGTTTAACTAAAGTCAGTTTTAGTTAGATCATTTTAGATGAATGATGAAGCTTTTATTCATATTTTCTGACAAAACCGATCAGTTGTTTAATTAGGCATTTGCCAATAGCGCAAACACATAAGTTTGCATTGAATTTGCTGAGAAATGCATTGCAATTAAGATTAACTTAATGTATTAAAGATAACATACCTAAAATGTATACTCGTGACTTTTCTCAATGAAACAAATTGGAACAAGACTGGATCTTCTTGGCGTGCCTCCGTTTGCTTTGAACGCGGACGCTGAATGACTTGATTATGTGCTACGGATGACTTAACAGTGGATAATGCTCACGATGACGTCCAGAGCAGCTGTCCTGATTGTTATTGTTAAAAAAACATTGTGTTTTTTTGTTGGTTGCATTTGACTGCCTCGTTCTAATGATGGACAGTGGTAGAACTCCTTCTTCGAAAACGTTATAATGGGTTGTAGACTTGTAGTGTTAATTTAATAAAGTAAATGGTTTGAACCCGGGAGTATCATTACATGTTTGTAAATGTATATCGTCCAGGTTGGTATAGTCCTGAGAAGGACTGTTTTTGTTTTTGTTGACTGACGTTTTGACAACCTTGTCGAAAACGTCAGTCAACAACAACAAAAACAGTCCTTCTCAGGACTATACCAACCTGGGGACGATCTACATTTACAAACATGTAGTGTCAATTTAGTTGCTTGTACAATCAATCCATTGTTTAATACCACAGTAAGTTATAGCCGAGGTAGGATCTAAGATTCGGCGTCGATAGGGAAAAAACAAGCTAGAATGCTGAGGATGGAGTTGCGTTTTGACCCTGCTGAAATAAATGAGTTCTGAGGAAATCAGAAGGGTAAAAATAACCACCAGTGGTTTAGTGAAAATCACAATTGTCGACACGTTAGTCAACACTTACACCAAAAGTCCACTCGCCTATTATGGACGATCTGCATGTACAAACATATAGTAGAAGATAGTATGTCAAGCGAGGAAAGAGATACAGTAGGCTGCTTATCTGTGTATCCCAACCATTGCTCCCAATCATTGAGTTCTATAAGACCTTAAGTTCTTATAAGTTCTTATAAGTTCTATAAGGTCTTGTAGAACTCAATGCTCCCAATCCCATCCAAGGAGAAAGAGAATGACAGATAAAAGGACTGGGCCGATCAAAATAGTGATGAGTCGGCAAATTTGTTTCACCAACATGGCGACCGGCATCAGGTAAAATTTTTTTAGCAAGATGCATTTTCTTTAAAGTATAATATGATTTTGCTGACGAAGATGGTATTGGCTGTTTGTTTTAATCATATTAATGTTTCTTTATTTTAGCAAAACAGACGTTCTATGCAAGTAAGTCCTTCAAAAGTCGCTAAAATTATCACAATATTTCCTTGCTTTACTTTCTAGAGTCTGTCATGTCAAAGTAACTGTTTTACGTGATTTGCAAAGCAGCCTATGCTATACAACTAAAATTTTGTTTGTTGCTTATGTGCTGGGGAAAGGCGTAATTATTTTCTCAGTTATTTTCTCGAATTTATTTGTTTTGGTAGGTATTTTCAAAACGGTGTATGCCAGCGAGGTGAAAACTGTAGTTTTTCTCATGATCGTTCAACTCGTCCAGACATGGTAAATGTCTCCTTGCCCATCTCATTCTCTAACTCATATTAACATTTTCAATCCCTTTATCTTGAATACACAACAGTATGGTATTATGTGTGTTTAGACCTGCAGATTTTACTTGCAAGGAACTTGCTCATATGGAGCCAATTGTAGATTTGATCACATTAAAGCAGACAGGAAAACAAGGTAAATGGTATGGCTTTTACATCGGGACTTGATTAATGAGTAGTTTTTAACAATAGCGTATCAAGTTTAACACTGCACTATATGTAAATAGCTTTTCTTATTTGTAGGCAGAACTTTGAGAAGCCAAAGACTTTGGTGTCGAATGAGAAACTGTTTCAACATTTAGTCAGTGAACGTCCTTCAAAGGTAAACATGGTTTTTGATTTTGTGTCATTTTCATAAAATGAATGAGATTCAAAGCAGTTCTTTTTTATTCTTTGCTTTGTAGCTAGTTTCTTTAAGCAAAGGATCTACTAAACAATGTGAAAATGAGAAAATCTTTAATTGGGCAGAGGCACCAACATTTGTTCCAGTAAGCACATTTTTGCAGTTAAAAATATTGCAGGTCTCTCCTAATGAGTGAACCTATGTGTACCAATGTGTATCTACAGTGTATCCATATGACTCTGTGTGTACCTATGTCTATTTGTGTGTGTACATATGTGTATCTATGTGAGTCTGTGTGTACCTATGTCTATTTGTCTGTGTACAAATGTGTACAAATGTACAGATGTGGGTGATTGTCCTTAGGTACAATTTAACATTGTTTTTTTTTACAAATTTTACCACACTTTCTAAAAATTACGACATGAACTGTTCTTATTGTAGGAGAATCCTTATACAGTACCGACCTCGAGTAACATAACTTGACTCGCGAGTATCAAATGGCGAGTGGGCGAGTGACTCGCGATGCAGTTGCGGAGAAAGAAATTTTTCCAAGTTATTTCGAGTTATTTCGATTTACTTGCAAACAGCGAAATATTTTATCCACTTGCAAACCTCTCACACTGAGTCACTTGCCCACTTGCCATTCGATACTCGCTAGTCAAGTTATGTTACTCGAGGTCGGTACTGTATGTTACAATAATAGTCATTTTTTTTCATAAACCAAACAATTTGTACAATTTTAAACGCATTGATTGTAATAAAAAGTTACAAATACACTTGATGTCCTCATTTTGAATTTCAATAAAAAACCGACAAAACATTTTGATTTTGGTTCATATCTTAAACAAATATATTATGTTGTTTTTATATTTTATCTTTCATTTTCATAATTTCACACAGAAAGTTTTGTCTCCATTCATTATTTCAATTCCTAAGGTGTTTCCTACTTTTTGTGCTGTGATCATTTTTGTTTGGCAATTAACATAATTGTTTCTTTATCACTTTGCCATTTTAGGGAACAAAATATCAATCAAGGAACAATTCTTCAGAGTTGAAAAATGTATACAAAATCATGTACACAAATTTTTTGACTTAGTTTTCTAACCAATTCTTCTATTAAGCATATTTCTCTGTTTTGATGTTTCAGTGTAACTAAAAGTAAATTCTGAAATATATGTTAATGCCTTAACTGCTTCTTTCTTCTAGAGTGCCATCAAGGAGGACTTTTCGTACTCTGATGTTGCAAGGACTGGCATTGAATTGACATGTGTTGATGAAATGACTGATGAAGAAGCCGGGACAATTGTAAGTTCATGAAAAGTAGTAATGGTAAATCTGTGGTTGACTTTGCTTTCACAAAGGTTTTGCAATGATTATTCTCAACTATTTTGTTTTAAATTTCAGTTGTGTCCATTTGCAGCTGTCGGTACATGTAGTGATGGTGACAGGTAACTTGTAAATTGTATATAAGTTTTGGGTAGGTACGTATAGTAATAGCAAGGGGTAACTTGTAAATTGTTTATAAGTTTTGGGTAGGTACGTATAGTGATAGCAAGGGTAACTTGTAAATTGTATATAAGTTTTGGGTAGGTACGTATAGTGATAGCAAGGGGTAACTTGTAAATTGTTTATAAGTTTTGGGTAGGTACGTATAGTGATAGCAAGGGGTAACTTGTAAATTGTATATAAGTTTTGGGTAGGTACGTATAGTGATAGCAAGGGGTAACTTGTAAATTGTATTTAAGTTTTGGGTAGGTACATATAGTGATAGCAAGGGGTAACCCACATCATTTCAATGAACAGTAGTTTAGTTATTATATTTGTGGATTTATTATCTTTATATTGGAATGGAATGATCTGTTGCAGTTGTCCATTTCTTCATGGGTTGCGTTGTGAAGTTTGTGATTGTTATTGTTTGGATCCAAATGATCCTGAACAACAGAAAGGTTAGATTATAACTTGTACTATAAGAAACTTCACGATCCTCCAATGATCATAAATGATCCTGACCTTTAACAGAAAGGTTAGATTATAACTTGTACTCTAAGAAACTTCACGATCCTCCAATGATCATAAATGATCCTGACTAGTAACAGAAAGGTTAGATTATAACTTGTACTATAAGAAACTTCACGATCCTCCAATGATCATAAATGATCCTGACTAGTAACAGAAAGGTTAGATTATAACTTGTACTATAAAAAACTTCACTATCCTCATATGATCATACATGATCCTGACTTGTAAAAGAAAGGTTAGATTATAACTTGTACTATAAGAAACTTCACTATCCTCGTATGATCATACATGATCCTGACTTGCAACAGAAAGTTTAGATTATAACTTGTACTATAAGAAACTTCACTATCCCCGTATGATCATTCATGATCCTGACTTGTAACAGAAAGTTTAGATTATAACTTGTACTATAGGAAACTTCACTATCCTCGTATGATCATACATGATCCTGACTTGTAAAAGAAAGTTTAGATTATAACTTGTACTATAAGAAACTTCACTATCCTTGTATGATCATACATGATCCTGAATTGTAACAGAAAGTTTAGATTATAACTTGTACTATAAGAAACTTCACTATCCTCGTATGATCATACATGATCCTGACTTGTAACAGAAAGTTTAGATTATAACTTGTACTATAAGAAACTTCACGATCCTCGTATGATCATACATGATCCTGACTTGTAACAGAAAGTTTAGATTATGACTTGTACTATAAGAAACTTCACGATCCTTTCATAACCATAAATGATCCTGAGCTACTGAAAGATAAGACTATTGCTTGTATTTTAAGAATCTTCACGATCCTCCGATGACCATTAATAATCCTAAGCACTTTCATCTAGTTGAGATTCCTCTTCAATTTTCTACTTATATGATATATATAAAATGTAAATTGTACTGTGCATGTATTGTTTAAAGGTTATCATTATTAAATTGTTGTTGAGATTATTCTACCGATAGTTACGAGTCAAACGCTCAAATTGTCACTTACGAGATAACGTTTTAATCATAGAACATCGTAGTGAATGTATGAAATGGCTTGAAGACGATATGAATTATTCATTTGCCGTGCAGAAGTGAGTAGCTAGCTGTGAAAAAAATTGAGTCTTGATCAAATTCGGGATTTTTTAGAGATTGAACCGCTTTTTGTAGAAGTGACGAAGTATGTTGCGGGATATGTTTGGATAAGATTCGGTTGAATCCAGACTCTAAGGATAAACGGTTCGGGATACTTCGTAAGTCGCCGTAGAACATTTTGGTTAAGTTAGGAACACTTCATAGATTTTTGTACAGCTTCAACATGGAAGAAATTTCTTCGTACAATAAAAACACCGACATCTAACAAAATGATGGGGAGTTTTTCATTTTTTTTTCAGCTGAGTGCAATCACCCGTTTTGTTTAACTTGCATCAGAAAATGGAGAAGTTCATCAAAAACGAAAGACAAGTTTGTAAGGTAAGTAAATTCTTAAGTGATCAGCTGAGAATCTAAGACGAAATGTCGTCAAATTTCTATTCAGAGCGTGTCCAATATGTCGGATATCATCTGGATTTGTTATACCTGTAAGTTTACATCGCTATCTTTTTACATATTTTTATCTATTGTGAACACTTGCAGTGTGAGGAATACTTCATGTAATGAATGTTTGATGATACTTATATCGTTAGAGCGAAGTCTGGATTGATGACCCTTTAGAGAAAGCGAAACTCATAAAAATGTACAAAGACGCTCTCAGGTTTGATTTTTTTGCTTTGCAAAAAAGCTATTTGTTGACGAATCAAACAGAAAAGGAACGCAAATTTTTCTATTTACTGTTTCACAAGTTTCTTAAAAGTCGAAGTTAATTATAAAAATTGAGATTTTTTATTTTACTTTTCACATCGCTTTCCAATATCCGAGCTGTGCTTTCGTCTTAATTTAGGAAAAAAATTGCCATGAAATTTGAAAGCAATTTTCAATGTTTAATTTTTCGTTTCCTTCAGCAAGAAGCCATGTAAGTACTTTGACACTGGTAAAGGAAGTTGCCCTTTTGGATCAAGCTGTTTCTATAAGCACGGTTTGTCATTGTTTTTGAGCCAACTGATGGCCGGTTCATGTCAATACGGTTTAATGTTGATGTGTTTCATATTTTCCTTTAGCCAATCCTGATGGTTCTATAGCTAAAGTGAATATACGCCGTTACAGCAACAGTAAAGGAGAAAGTTTGATTGTGAACTCCTCGAGGTAAAGTTATTATTTCAAATAATACACAGTTGCATCATGGGATGGATGGTATCATGTATTTGTTGACGAATTTCACGTAATGCATATTTTTGTGCCTTGTTTTTAGTCTTTGGGAATTCATCGAAGCAAGAGATGGTGTAAGTTTGGAGGAATTACTTGAGAGTCTGTTTGAGTAGAAACAATCAAATCAACGTCCTTCGAGCGTTTTTGCATGCGATGAGAAATTATTCAGCACTATGATCGACACCTAGGAAATTTAATCATCAATTGTATATTCTTCTTAGAGAACATTTGCGTGTCATGTAAAAAACGTTACACCGTTAGTTCAAAGTAAGGTGTTGATAAATAATAGCTGCCCTTCGCCTTTCGCTGTACGCGTGTAACTCATTTCCGGTGAAGTAATGTGAAACAACCTGGCCAACCGGGTCTGACAAAGTGATCTGTTCAACCGGGTTTCACTAAGTGATCTGTTTATATGGCACCGGGTAACTCGGCTAGTACTTCCGTTCATTTGTCTTAAATGAAGTTTGGCTATGCTAACTTCGAGTAAAGGCGCGAGATTTTAAAAAGCCTCACAGTTTCGCAGCAAAAATGGAATGGGTGAATATAAAATTGAAAATTATGATATGTGTATGTTTTTGTATAATAATGCTGCAAGTACAAGGCTTAGTACGCATGCGTACCAACATAGCCAGTTTTCTCGCCTCGCCGAGTTACCCGGCAAATGCGTTTATATCGAAACATTCATCCCGCCTAGCCGGGTAACTCGCTTACACAAACCGAGTTTCCGGCAAGGCGAGTTACTCGGATGTGTCATACAAACGATTGACCGGGAAATGCATTCATTTTATATAAGGGCCGAGTTACCCGGCTAGGCGAGTAACTCGCTCAGCGGGGACATCGACAAATATGACGCGACTTGACAGAAATGTGTGGCTTAGAGTCATATGATACCCTATATGACGCATTTCTTATCAAAAATAGTCTACTTCAGAGAAATGAGATTGACACAATTCAATTGACACAATGACACAGATTGACACAATTCAATTGACACAATTCAATGAGATTGACACAATGAGATTGAATGTTTAACCGAAATTAGTTATTAAAGATTTATTCTCCTCATGTCATACTGTTGCTTAATGAATTATAGAGTTGTACCTTCATTGAAAGGATAGATTAGTAGATGTTTATATTTTTAAAACGTTCTTGTCTTCTTCTAAAATGAAATTCTCACATGACGATACGAAGAAAATCGAGACCTTGTCGGTTTGATAGATGAATTCTAGTGTTCAATATCGCAACAACACAAGTGCACGTGCTCGACGGGTCCAGAATGAGTATTGACGACAGGGGAAATATCAAATTTCTTTTGTACACGGAAATGGGTTTATGTTTGACATATATGCAAAGCGATGTTGGCGATGTGGAACTTATACTGCACTGAAAGGGATGAAATATTTTACAGTGGAAATAGCTGCCGGATTATATTGGTTTATGCCAATGTACGACGCGACTAGCAAGGATATGCTGGTGTTTCTGTTGTAGACTCATAAGTTGACACAAACAATTGGAAGAGATGGGAAACATTGCATCTGTGGAAAGCCGTAAACGTCAAGAGATAGAAGGTTAGAATTTATTTGATGTACGTCAGTCAGACGAAACTATTGTAGTAATTGCTCTTCGCAATTTAGGGTTTTTTAATGCTTTTTTTTTGGAATAGCTTTGTCGATTGTCATGCATTTGTTTGACTTGAACTGTGCAATTAATTATTGGATCAAAACATTGGATTACAATGGGGTGACATATGGTAGTTGTTAAAAGGTGTTTAATTTTGTACAACATGACTCATAGGAAGTTTCCTCTCGGACTTACGAACTGTGTTGGCCTTGTGTTAAAATACATGGCCAGCCTGAAACATCTCGATTTTTCGTGACTGTGAACGCAAACAATGTCGTACCTACTTCCTATAACCGGCGGTCAATAAATGCTGAATCATGTTAACAAATTATAGGTCCTCTTTGTTCAGGAAAAGTTGAAATTTGAAAATAGCATTCTTGCCTTGATGTCATTTCTATTTTAGTTTATTGTGAATCACGACAGGTCCAGATTCAGTCACCCATGCATTCAATGATTTATCTTAAAAGAAAGAAAAGGCCGCCAAATCGACAACCTTGTCGGCTTACATGTTGCAATAACCTTTTTCATAGTGCTTGAAAGCACAATATTAGGAGTCTGGCTTAGTTGCCTGCTTCCTCCATAGAATGCGGTTTTTTTTCGTTCGACAGGCTCTTGAAATTCCTCGGAATTTCAATACTGGAAATTGTGTGAATTTTTGCACGTTCAAGTTATAAATATTCGCCTGTCGTTTCCTTGTTGATAAATACTGTAGAGAAAACAGCAGGTTTCCTTTGGAAATAACAAGTCGTATAGTCTCGTGACAAAAAAGTTTAAATTTTTCGCATTATCACTTTAAGATCAGGAGCAATATTATGTTATGACCTTTAAATATGGTTGCTTGCGCATAATTTTTATTTCGTAATACTTTTTCCAATATTGATAACCTTTGTGCTTTATAGAAATATCGAATGAAACGTAAAAATTCAAAAGTGAAATAGAAAGTTAAAACAATGTGGCTGTCGACCCATGAGAGAACAATGCAGCTCAAAGTCCATTTTGTCAACAAAGAACCTTGCTGTTAGCGTGTTAGCATAGACATGCCCAAGAGCGTTGCATAAATAATTACTGCAATCAATAACTTTCTCGTGTCATCATATTAGGAACATCCAAAAATATAATAAAATTTCCAAAGTTAAATTTGACACTTATATATTTTCCGACCATGAAAAAATTTCCATTGAAATTAATGCATGAAACATTCCCATTTCTTGACCAATATAAAATTAAGATAATATATATATTTTATAGATCTTGTAAAGTCCATGTTGGAGACGTTTGAATCAGAATATATAACTGCATATAGTGGTGAAATATTGAAATGTAGCGAAGAAACTCCAGAAAATGACTTCTCGTTTTCTCTCAAATTTTGTCCAGTTAGTAAACGCTTGCATTCTTAGCTTGGTTAAATATTTGTTTCCTGTTCAGATGTTGTTGTTTAGCATATAAAAATACTTATATTAATTTTTTTACCGTCTTTGCTTCAGTGGGAACGACTCGAATGTCCGATAAAGAAAGGCTATCTTACAAAACAAGGGGTTATTGTGAAAAGTTGGCGACGGAGATATTTTGTCGTGCGATCAAACTACCTGATTGATTACTATGAAAACAAGGAGGTGACGAAAAATCAATGGCAATTTATCTCATTTCAATAGAATAGGGACATATTGCCATTCTGTTCTTACATGTAATGAGGGTTTTATCAAAATATGAAGATGATAGTTGATAACACCCAATTCAATCACTCAGAGTGAGACTGCACTGAGTGCCGAGCTTTTTTGTAAGGGTGTGCTTCAGGAAGGGTCAATAATCACCTTAAAACTGTTTTTGACCGGATGAAACTTTTTGTCGAACTTGTTTTCGAAAAATTTTCCAGTTTCTAATTTTACGAGGCATTTAACCAAGAACAAATTGTGGCAGAAGTAGTTTAATGAACCAACTCTTTGAAAAAAAATCGTCGATTTTCAACTGTTTCTGGCGAGCTGATTTTTACACTATCCATTTTAGCCAACCACGTTTTTTAACATGCTATTTCAGACCTATGACAAGGGACTAAAACCCAAAAGAACTATCAATCCATGTGGCTACAGAACTGTCCCCAACATCGAAGATGAAATAAGTCGAAAGCGGAAATCATTGGCGAAAATGTTAGGTCAATACCATCACACTCAATCATCGACGTATTTGCAGATTGTATCGTCTTAATTACTCGAATATAGAAAGTATATTTTTGTTGCTTGTATTCTAGTTGGTCAAAGAACAACTAATCGATATAGTACGACGACTTTAAAGATTTCAATCTAAACTGGCTACGCCACATATCTCTTTCATCATCATTATTGAATATACGTTTTTTTTATTTCCTTCTTTCGTGTGCAGATACATTTGCTGAAGCAGATGTTACCGAGAAATTTCCAGACCATTCATTTGGCGTCGTTCATGATAAACTTCGAAACTTCTTCATTTATGCTGAAAGCGAGGAAGAAAAATCTGAATGGATGGACATGTTTGATCTTTGCTGTGCTTCTGTGAAAGGTATAGGATAGATCTTCCACTTGGTCAGATTAAGATTTCACTTAATAACGATTACCACGTGATCGTCAATGATTTAGAACCCAATCTTCCAGATGTCTAACTACCGTGACAAGATGAGGCAAGGACGACATTTTGAAAGGTGGCAAGAAGCAAAACTAAAAATGAAAAATAAGTTAAAACGAAGCTTAAAAAACGCATCCTCTCAATCATTTTAAGATTCAAACCTAGATTATCCACTTTGCGACTCAATATCAACACAGCAAAAGCAGATATTTGTCGTAAATATCGTCAGTTTTGCCACGTTTCAAGATGGCGGCTTGCCTCACACGTTACTATACAATTTAGGCGGAGTCAGAGATCTAGTAGACTGGGTTCTAAGTCATTGGTGACAGTACTTTGAGATTTCAACCAATCAACGGTCAGGAAATGGTGCTCGAATTTTTTGCGTTTTTTGATCACGTGGCCCGCCAGTATGAAATTAAATTTCAAGTACACCTCACTTCAATTCTTTCCCATTCAACTTTATATTTCACATCCAAAAAATATAAGATTCCCTGAAACGATTTCTGTCGTAATTCATGTCGTCTATGTTAATAAAGCCTTTTGTTTTCCCTATTAGTTTAAACTTTCCTGTTTTACGAATGTCACTAAAGCAGTATCTCAAAAGGAAGTTGTTACATTTGTCATTAATTAGGTCTTGATATCGTCGATCCAGTAGAGGAGTCAACATTTCATGAAGCAGTTCATAAAACTTTAACTATTTATGGTTTTCCTGACCATTTCAAATACCAAGGCACAAAAGAAAAGGTAAGACACACTGAACTATACAGGCAACTGGAGCGATAACTTTATGAACCACGTGACGTCAGTTCCAATTTCTGTTGAAAGCAAACTGGACTTCTTCACCGAACTTTCACGGTGGTACTTCAATGCTTTTATAGTTACATGTTATCTGCATTATTTGTGGAGCTAGAGGCACGACTTTAGTTTGACACTAAAAAATTTAAATTTACTGCTTACTTATATCTAATATGCGTGTTGAACTCTGTAGTCTGAAATGATCACAATGTATGTTTTTTGACCGTAAAAAGCCGCACAATGGAAGAAAAACTTGTGTTTTCACAATATTGTTGTGAATAATCGCTGATATTTTTTCACGTCGACAGTTTAGTTAGACCGTTTTAGGTGTCTTGAAATAATCATCTGTACATTGCAGGATATCGTATTTCTTATAAAGAAAGGGATTTTTAGGTGATTTATGACATCATAAGTGCTAAAGTTGACGCAAAATTCATGGCTGAACTGTGTAAACACGTGAAAGGACTGTCTGCGAAGTTGAAAGTCAGAGATCAGGTTTGATTTCTTATTCAGTGTTAGTGGTACTGGTCACGTTGCGTTTTTTTTTCTGTTTTAATCAACTCTCTGCTCGTTGAAATTATCAAACGGTAATCTAACAGAGCAAAGCTTCCATGGAAAATCCACGACTTCCGGCGGAGCTCTAATAAACTCCATTCATTGTGGCTATTGTAAAGAGCTCTTATGCTGTTTTCGTATTATAGATTTTTCTCCGTCACTGATATTGATCCCTTCTTCTAAAAAAAGCATAAATCCTTTATCCAGACTTATAAATATTCTGTTTATCTAGGTGCTCAAACATTTAGACGCTTCTTTAATGTCTCTTGTAACGGCCATGTGGCAGAAGCTTGAACTTAATACATCAAAGATGAAGTCTGAAATTGAATTAACTTTGTACGAAAAACAACGCGAGATTGATGCTGTGCGTCGGAAAGTCGAATGGGAAATGAACGGTTTGTTTAGTTATTTAATGCAGAGGAAACAGTCGTGTGCAGTGAGTGAGTTATGATAAGGAATGCGTAGGATTATGGTACCACCGAAACCAAGATTTGATAAAGACTTGCTCAGTTAAGAGAAGTGATTCGTGAAAAACGAAAAACGTTCATGCGTTCGACCTTTTGTGTTCTTTTATAGATGATTTGTTACGTTAGATTGTCGTTCGGGATAAATGTTTGGAGTTTCATATGTTGTTATGGACGTACGGTTGTTCTCGGAGATAAATTGTGATGGAGTGGATGGGTTGTTGTAGTGGATGTAGTTTTGTTATGAAGTGGGGATGTTTTGTAATGGGGGTGAGGATAGATGTTAGGGGTGGGTGGGTTGTCATGAAGATATACATTGTTGTGAAGAGGGACAAGTTTTTTTAGGGGGGGATGGTACGTGTTTGAAAAGTTATAATTACAGTTTAACAGGACTTACTTGTGTTCATGTTTTGTAACTTTTTCAGGAACAACAAGGATGTGCCTTGATGAGGCATTAAAAGATACGAAAGTACGAATCCTGAGGATGTGTCCTGTACTAGAAAAATCCGTAAGTCTAATTATGAAATTTTCTTACCAAGGGAAAAATATGTTTTTTTGTTTTTCAGAAAAAATAAATTTATAATAAAAACTCTAGCGAAAGCTTTTAAAAGCTTGTTGAATAAATTAAATTGAAAGTTCTCTTGCAATCTGTTTTCTCCTCTGCAGATGTTCGATGCATTGTGTGAAGTGCGAAATATTTACGAAAGAAATATTGTTGAAATCGGTGTAGATGTTGAACAGCGAGATGAGATTGAGATACCAATTTTGAGAGTAAGATAAGTACCTTTATACAAGTGATGACTACCTTTATACACGTGATGTCTACTTATAAACACGTGATGTCTACTTATAAACACGTGATGACTACTTATAAACACTTGATGACTACCCATATACACATGACGACTACCAATATCATCATCATCATCATCATCATCAGCCGTTCACGCCACTGATGGCAGATGGCCTCCACAACTTCTTCCACTCGATTCGGTCTTTAGCTCTCCTCATCCAGGTCTTTCCAGTTTCCTCTTCGATCTCGTCTCTCCATCTTCTCTTTGGCTTTCCTCTTCCTCTGGTGCAGTTTCTTGGGTACCATTCTGTTGTCAATTTGGCCCATCTGTTGTTTTCCATTCTTGCCACATGGCCTGCCCATCTGCCTTTCATTTCTTTTGCTGTTTGGATGACATCTTTCACCCTGGTTCTCTCTCTGATTACTTCATTTCAATATACACGTGATAACTGCATAGATACACGTGATGACTATACACATGATGACTACCTAAGATTGCGTAGGAAGGTATTACGTGGTTGCTTTATAATAATATATTGATGCACTTCAGAAAGGGTCAGATAAAATAACTTCCAACTAAAATAGTTAAACCATAAACAAAAAGAATGTAATCGCCTAGAAATTACCCATCATGAATCATTGAGCATAGCGGTATGCAAGCGACAAAAAAATAATATATTTACATGTTGGCAATTTATTTATTCATACAATTTCTCTATTCATATTTAGTACGTGCATTCCTTGGACATGATAGCTAGAACTCCGTCCGAGATGGCTTCGGCTTATCAGTGCCTCGATTCCCTGAAAAAAGAGCTGACGTCACTCCAAGTGGACATAAACACGTTTGATGCAACGGCGATGATGCTGCGGGCTCAGGACAAGCTGAGACGTGTCATGGACGCGTTAGTGAACACATTCGAAGTGAAATTTTTTGAAGTGTCGAACGAAGTCGAAGGAAAGTTGAAACACAAACAGTTGCGGATGATGATCGAAAATTTAGACGATGAGATTGCAAATAACGTATGTGAACAAGGTTTTGAAAAGTGTTAAAAAGCTTTGCGTGACACAGTTTGTTTCAATCAATGAAACTATAGAGTGTTTTTACTGGCTACCGTATTTGTAGAAACTAGAAAATAAATAAATTGTGCATGAATTTTATGTTGACTCATTTGAGCATCGGCTTTACGAAGTAATCTACGAACATGGCAGTAATGACGTCACAGGAAAACATACAATATGGCGTGATCTTTTATTATAACTATTAGGTAGTTTGTATTGTATTTGTATGTTAATGAACCAAATTTATATCTCTATGTAGATGTTTGAAAATAATGTGAAGGAAATCATGTACAGGTTCAATATGGATACATTAAAGACCATATTTATCCCATACGTGCACCGAAATATCCATGAAAAATGCACAATGGTAAAATTCTTAGGATTTACAACCAGATTGCTTGCTCTGCCTGCCGTTTCAAGATTTTTTTTTTACAGGAAGTTGAATCAGCGGAAAAGGTAATTCCTGAACATCTCAAGGTCGTCATCAATACCAATAACGAATATAGAGTTCTTGTTGAGCGATCCGTTGAAGATCTTATAAGGCAAGGTAAGGTAAAGTTGGAGGTTTGACAGGGTTGCTATAGTAACTAGTTGAAGCAAGGGAATGTGAAATATATGTTCTTGCAAATGGCTGAACTCTTATAACATGCTTGTCACTTTGTGGAAATGAGTAAACTTGTATAGTTTAACATGTTGGTCATTTTAAGGAAAATGATTAACTTACATAGTTTAAAATGCTTGCCTTTATGGAAAGTGTTAAACTTTTACCATTTTACAGGTTTTTCATTTTTTCCAGTCTGATTGTATGCGCTTTTCACGTTTGAGCGCTTCAAATTTTAAAACTTAGAGCGTAAAGTGATAATTTTTTCTAAATTTGGGGGAGGGGGGAGCTGAGAAGACGCATGTGTACCTATTTTTTTACAATTATCTTTAAGTTTTGCTGAAAAAAGACGATGCAAAACAACGTTCGTTTAAATCAAGTTTACGCCAAAGTAGGCGTAAAACATTCCCAAAGTTCATTCGCCGACAGACGAAATTTCAAGATTCTGGTAGCGAAGCTGGTCTCGAACGAAGAGTGTCGTATCCGCAGACAAAAATGGCGTAAAAGGTGAACAGCGTAAAGGCGGCTTGAACAATCATTCAGTTAGCCTGCCTATTCAGGCAGATTACTGTGAGCGTTACTTGTACAATATTGATGACATGCAAGAAATTCATCTGACGTTAGAACGAGACACCAAACTATGATTTACTGGTGAAAAATATTCTTCTTTTCGTATTGAATGTGCATGTGTTTGGCCGTCTGCGTGTGGATTAAGAAGTTAATCTAAATGAGTAAAGAAATATTTTGATCAAATTCAGGTGGCACGTGCCTTGATGATTTACTAAGGCTGTAAACATGTCCGTGAGTTTCATCATTTATCAAGAACTGTCCTCTAATGACGTCAAACGTCATTACTTTTGTGTCAGTTTCCTATTGTTGAAGAAGTAAATATTGTGAAAATGTGATTTAGAACATCATTTTAAGAATTTAAGAGTTGAATATTTCAAACGATGATTGTAAATAATAGTTACGTTCGTAAAAGTAAAAGTTCTGTAAGGGTAAAAGTTTTAAATGGTTATAGTTCGTTGGACTGACAACTCTTCCTTGTTAATTGTAAGAATTGGCGTTAGTTTTTGTGGAATCAAGCAATCGTGAGCTTCAACTATATTTTTTTATTTTAAAATTTTCTTGATGAAAAAGTTTTCATGCATTTGATTTTCATATAAAATTGAAATATACGACGAAAGTTTGGACTACACTGTAGTCACTGCAGGCAAGATACAATATGGCGTTACTTGTAATGTCTTCCGATTGGTAGAATGTATACAGAAGAAGAACGGTGATTGGTTACTCGATCCGAAGACGAAATTCAAATCATAAGAAGAAGTTTATAGTCGTTAAATTGGGGAAATGTATTTTTTTAAAGTACTCATGTAAGAAGTTATAAATTTATGGTTTTAAATCGCGTCGAGGTTCTTGCCAATCTTTCATTGTAATTGTAATCCAAACTGTATTTCTTGTACAAGTCTTCCCTTCGAAAGTTAAGCGATAATGTGGGCTCACGAGCAACAACACTTGACGAGTCCTTCAAATGAGAACAGAGAAGAAATAACAAAAACAACTCACGGAAAATGGTACGGACCAAATACACCTCACAAACAAAGACGTGCTTGTAGCTCATTAAGCGAAAGTCCTCGTTTATGTCTTTCTATGTTTGCAAACACACCAAGGATATCGTTTGGAAAAGTTAAAATTGGTCGTAGTCGAACTAAAAGAGTTGTTATTGAAAATCCTTTGAGCATCGCTCAATGTTTGCACTTGAACAAATGGCCTGAGGATAAAGGGTTCAAGATCTTACAACCGGTTGAACATGGCGAAGAATGCACCTTTACTGATACTCTTCATCGGGATGTAGAATTTGTAATTCCAGGATTTAGTGAAATGGATTTACCTATAGTCTGGACACCAACTACTGAGGGAAGTTTCCGTGAAGTGGTGACGTTGAATCTGGGCGATTTCAATCGTTTGAATCTTATTTTATTTGGAAGTGCGTTTGATACAACTGTAAAACAGAAGCCTAAGGTTCGTGGAAATACGTTTTAGATATTTTATATCTTCAGATTTGGGATTTCATGTTCTTGAACCTTGAGATTATAATGTCATAAATATCCAATTCTATGTGGAGCATTTATCGTTATATAATGCCGTTCAATAATTCCAATGCATTATGAAAGAATGAACTATTTGAATTTATGATAAATTATTTCATTGCTTGGAATTAAACTTATTTTAAATTCATTTTTGTTGAGCAACCATTTTGCATTAATACAGAATTTTGGTTCTGGCATTTTGCTGAAGTTGTGATAGTGGAAGTAGGCAAGAATGAAAACATACATGTTTACTAATAATGAATGGATCTACATAAATTCCCATTTGCAAACACATTGTCAATTCAACCAACTGTGCTTAGCAGATACTATTAAAACGCTCTTATAACTATGACATGTGACAAATTTGACCAATCAATATTAACTAATGATTATCTCAACACACTTCATTATTTTGATATTGTCAGTCTCTTACAGTACATATGCATATTGATTTTTTAGATGAAGATTTTGTTACCTGAAGATATGAAAAGAGCTAATGGACATTTTTCAACCAAAAGGAAGATGTGTATGAGCAACAAGCAAGCCTCAAAGAAAGTACCGCCAAAGAGAATCCTTAAAGAGAACAATGCTGGGCTTCCTAAACCTACCAAAACAGATTCAGGCTCAAATCATGGATCAAATGTGGAAAATAGACTGCCAATGATGAAAGACAAAACTATGAAAGGTTTGTGACAAAAAGAAGTTACTCAGATGACATTCATTATACACATTATCTTCTTCACAGAGAGCTTTGTCTTTTATTCACTGTGATTATTGCAAACCACTTTCCGTAACATGCTATAGGAGAAAGTAAAATGGCAAGAAAATTCAAAGCTAAAGTTTCCTCAAAAGGTGTGGCACCTTCACATTTGAATCTAACGAAGCATCTCACTACAGAACGAAACCTTCCTCGACATCCGCTACCTTATGCTGCAAAAAATATGTACTATGATGAGAAATGGACAGAGAAACAAGAAAGAGGTAAAGAAGCATGGACGTATATGAAAGTCGAAACATTGCTAAGGTTTTCGAAACGTCAGTCAACATCAATACCAACAGTCCTTCTCAGGACTCTACTAACATGGACGATCTACATCTACAAACATGTATCTATATATATATATACTAAAACAAAACTCTCAATGTTGATATTTTTCAATCATCTGTACATTTTTAGACAGAACTATAGCTGTATACTTGCGATAAACTCTCTATGTCAACATTTCTACTACTTTTCTCTCTATCTCCAGCATGCTTCATATTCTATGATTGTTCAAACTTTTTAGGATTCACCCAATGGTTAAACTACGTTCTCACCCCACCCGATGAACTTGGAGATTATGGTAAGGCAGACGTATAACGTACTGTATTGACTGATCTTGTAATATCCTTGTAGGTTAAGTAAAGGTCTTTCTACTGCATAATACCTAATCCCCCTTCACTAATGAGTATTTTAGTGTTACAAAGATAAGTTGAGTTGTGTTTTTTGCAGTTCAACCCACGTGTTCATCGTCTGGTATTTTCTCGGTCAACGATGTTTATTCACGTGAACAGCATCTTGCTCCCACTAAGGAAGAATTGTCTTTGCGTGCCTACACAGCCCGCAGAAAGATGTCACGTGTTCGACGCAGTGCTTGCCTGCTTTTTCAATCGCAACCGTTTGCAATAGTTGCAAAGACAATTGAGTCAGAAGTTGAGATGTGTCGTCTAGCAATCCGTTCCGACAAACATCTCCATCAAGATTTAGGTAAAAACTTTTGTAAAACCTCAGTATGTCCTCGTTCCTACATGTGTGGTGTAGTGATTGGTTAGTATTTTTTTGTGGGGAGGGGGGGATGGTGGGGGGGAAATTTATTTGTAGATCACAGCGATGTTTTGAAGTATGTCTTTACTACAGCCAAAATTGTGGAAATGTTTATATGAGAACATCGTGATAGGCACATCTGGACTTTGGTAGCTAATATACAAGAGTAAAGCCTTCAAGAAGGAGAGAAAGAAAGAAATCTTAAATAACCCTCCATTTACTTTTCCCTATACTTTTCCTTTGTTTATCCCCACGTATCCTTCGTCATCCTAATTTCTCTTTGGTAACTTTCACTTATCCTTTGATAACGCCTACTTTTTCTTCGTCTTCTCCAATGGTACTCCTTGTTTCACCCAAAACATCCCATGGAATGAGTAATTTTTATCAATTAAAACAACTTGATGAAATCGTATTGATTTATTTTAGGCATTAAAGAATCCATGTTAAAAATGCTACTTTCCTACAATGCTCTTTGGCTTCGTATTGGACTTGAGGTATGGATATATAATGGAAGGCAAGTTTTTACGTGATTGAAATATTTTTAAGGCTCTCATCGTGTTATTTTTCCGTTAAAGACTATCTATGGTGAGGTGCTACCAGTACAATCAAATGACGATGTACTTGGTATAAGAAAATTTTTAAAGAGAAGATTTTTAGCCAATCCCGACGTTGCGCTACGCTATCGTCATGCTACTGTGGCAGAGGTGTACAGACCTGGTACGGTGTTTAAACATATCGCGCATTTTATGCAAATTCGACTTGTTATGAATTGCGCTTCCCCAAGACGATAGTTTTAATGTATTGATAGGTCTTAAGATCTTTTTATATGTTCTTAAGGTTATTACGAAGCGCTCAACAAGTTTACTTTAAAGAAATTTCTTTTGTTGATTCTGTTTCTGGACAAGGCAAAGTTAAGTCGTTTGATAGACCACGATCCTTGCTTGTTTAACAAGGATGCAGAATTCAAGGTAATTGATATTTATGTGTTATAAAGTTGACAAATGACCACTTGCAGTCGAAGGACAGGCACCGAAACGATTCTTTTGGAGTTATCCTTCAGGGTCCTAATTAATCCCTCAGGAGACTGCAACTCTCCCCAACGATAATATATCTTAAATTTGGCTGTGAAGTCGAAATACATATTACAAATTGTAAAATTATAGTGATTCTACAATCAATATCTTGTGAAGTAAAACTGAGAGATAACAAAATATAGTTGTTTATAAAAAAACTTAATATAAGTACACTTTCCTTACAGAGTAGTCGTATGTTGTTGCTTGCATTTTCTCGCGATTATCTCAAAGGCGAAGGTGATATAACGAAACATCTTGGTCTACTTAATTATGTCGTGACACACGAACAGGTAATCTCTGGATATGTGTTGTTTAAGCCGTACATCTCGTGTCCCAAGTGCAGGAGTCACCATTGCACGATGGGGATTGCCGGCAGGACACATTGTTATATCAGGGGCTTAGCCGGCCCGAAAATTCGGTCCAGCTATGTTAATTTTTCTGTGTTCACTCAATTGTAAAAACAACAGATTTCTAAAGAAATGAATGATGTTAATGATCTGAAATTTACATAGCAGGACCAACACTTGCGAGCTGACTACGCCACTGTATTATACATTTATACATCTATGTATGTACTTGCTTAGTCATGTATTTTTTCGTCACCAGACTCCTCTCGACGAAATGGATTATGCTGTGACAAACCTTGCTATTGATCTTCGCGATGGCGTTAGGATCACGTAGGTTTCGCGTGGGATCATCCCAAGGATCCCATTTTGTATCTTTATGATATCTTTTAAAGTTAAACAATTCACGTCTGTCGGTGAAAGGTTGCTAAACTTGCAACCTTTTTTGTTGTATTTTACTTTGTAATTGTCAAAGTTAAAATTTAACAACTTACGGTGATATACACGGCGCTCATTTTTTTTTGTAAAAGTGTTGGCTCCTTCACAAGGCTTTTTAAAGATTTAAATCATGCATCAACAGTACATTTCTTCAACATGCATGCATCTGTTTTTCCCATTTATCAACTTTGTTTCTTTTTCTGTTTGTTTATTTTAGACGCGTTATTGAGCTTTTGACCCAGCAGTGGTTTCTGACAGGAAAGCTACGTGTGCCAGCGATCAGCAGACTTCAGGTCAGTGTGCATGATTTGTATAAGAGTATTTGATATTATATTTATGAAAATAATATTTTTTCCTTCCAGAAAATCCACAACGTAGATATTGCTTTGAGTGCCTTAAAAGAGAGGAGAATTATTTCAGATGAACTAAATTCCGTCAATCCTCGGCACATTGTCGACGGTCATCGTGAAAAGACGCTTTGTTTACTCTGGGTTATTATACTACATTTCCAGGTATCAACGATGTCATGTAATTATATGATATATATGGAAATGTATGTTAACCTGTAATGTACCATGGATAGTGTGTGCTAACCTGTAATGTACCATGGATAGTGTGTGCTAACCTGTAATGTACCATGGAAATGTATGCTTACCTGTAATGTACCATGGAAATGTATGTTAACCTGTAATGTACCGGTACCATGGATAGTGTGTGTTAACCTGTAATGTACCATGGATAGTGTGTGCTAACCTGTAATGTACCATGGAAATGTATGTTAACCTGTAATGTACCATGGAAATGTATGTTAACCTGTAATGTACCATGGATAGTGTGTGCTAACCTGTAATGTACCATGGATAGTGTGTGCTAACCTGTAATGTACCATGGATAGTGTGTGCTAACCTGTAATGTACCATGGATAGTGTGTGCTAACCTGTAATGTACCATGGATATTGTGTGTTAACCTGTAATGTACCATGGATAGTGTGTGCTAACCTGTAATGTACCATGGATAGTGTGTGCTAACCTGTAATGTACCATGGAAATGTATGTTAACCTGTAATGTACCATGGAAATGTATGTTAACCTGTAATGTACCATGGATAGTGTATGTTAACCTGTCATGTACCATGAATAGTGTGTGCTAAACTGTGATAACCTTTGATAAGCCATAGATAGTGCATGCCATAGTATCTTTGAACTAGCAATGGGGTCGTATTGCTTAAATCACTCTTAAATAAAGTGCTGCCTTATTTGAATCAAATTTTTTTTAATAAATTTAGGTAAATCTGGTTGTCAATGAAAAACAAATCAGAGATGAAATCCAATTTCTAAAAAAGTATTATGATCAAAGAAATCCTAATCTTCATAAATACTTTATCAACCCGTCAAATGATGTTTACAACAAATCTGAGAAATTGGCTTTGCTTTTGACGTGGTGTCAGTCGGTCTGTCGCCTGTTCAACGTCAAGGTTCGTAATTTAAAGAAAAACACGTGGATCTTATTGTAGTCGCTGGCGAAAAAAACTGAATCACATAAAACTGAATTATATGCTACGTTAATTATATATCACATACTTTATTATGTTGCATTAATTACATACTTAATGAATTGCTGTATAAATTATATAAGTCATGTACTAAATCAACGTATTTCTTTAAAGGTGGATAATTTCACTGTATCAATGTCAGATGGACGAGCTATGTGTTATCTAGTTCATTACTACCATCCACGTCTTTTGAGAGAGGAGGAAATTTGTCAAGAGACAACCCAAACCCGCAATCCTTACATACTGCAAAATAACAAAAGTTTTGATGATGACAGTCTTAACTCTGACAACGACAGTTGTCATAAGGATTCTGGTATGGATATTTTTTTTTCGTATTGATGGATCCACTTGGGGTGCTTTAGTTTAGATTAAATTTTGTTGGCTATACTTTTGAAACCGTGCTTTGTCATGTTCAGTTATGTTACCTTGTGGTATTGATATTATAGATAGCGCCAATTTTAACACAGCCCAGCTTAAAGAGAACGAGAAAAGAAACTTCGAACTTCTTCAAGATAAGGTTAGCTCATTCGTTCCTTTATGAAAAAAATTTTCTCTTAATAAAAAATTATACCGACAAATTCACAAGCAAGGTGTCACTATATCTGTGAATTTCACAAAGAAGCAACTCATTCGATATTTTCTTGAGGGTGAATACTTCATTATTAGTATGAATTTGGCTTTCCTTATTTAGTTTAAACATCGTGAGCACAATTCATCCAATCACATTCAACGTTAAATATTTACATTATAACAAGTTGATCAAATTTTTTTTCATATGTACTATGTTGTCCTAACTTTTGTCGCTGTTTCAGGTGAAAGCGTTAGGTGATTTGCCTAGGATGCTGAAATTTAAAGATATATCCTGCACATTACCAGATGAAAAAGTATGTTAATAGAGAACAAGTTGAATGACAGGCGCTTTCTTGACATTATAAATGTGTTGAGTGTTTATTTTAGGTAATTATTACATATATTTCCTACCTATGCGCTCGTTTACTGGATCTGAGACTAGAGGGTCGTGCAGCTAGAGTAATTCAAATGGCCTGGCGAAAGTACTTCCGTAGCAAGCAATTGATTGCGCTCAAGGTAAAGTATGACCTTCTTAAGTATCGAGTTTATCTGTAAACTAACTTAAAGTTTCTTAAGTATTTATTGTCGTTGTTTATCAGATTTGTAATAGATTATTGATGAGTAGATTATCGATTTATAGATTATTGATGAATACATATTTGTACACTATTACATTGTACTTCATGTATAGTATACCAAGTAAGTGTACTAAAGCTAGGATACTACATAAGTAGTCGTAGTTACTATGCTAAAGTGGCTGTGTGACTCAACACTTCAAAGTTCAAATAATCAAATTTGACACTATAGTATTTATTATAGCATGTGATTGGCCAGGGGGCTAGGATAGGACGATGAATTTCGAGATTGTTCTTGGGAATTGTTTGTTTTTGTTTTGTCTAAGTTGCAAAGCAATCTATAGTAGTTTGCTACGTAAGAAATTTTTCTTCTTTTTTTTCGTGTTTTAGCGAAGGAATTATGCTGCCTGTGTTATCCAGGTAGGAACGAGTTAGTGTTGTGTTCTATCCTGAAGCTGGAAGACAGGTTTATTGTATAATTTTGATGGTGTCATTTTAGAAACATGCCAGGTTGATGATGCAAAGAAAACAGAAAGTTCTCATCTTCAATTCGGCTAGAATAATCCAAGCATACGTTCGCGGTTTTCTTGTAAGACGTAATCTCCATCATCGACACCAGGCTGTAAATATCATCCGGACATGCTACCTGTCCTATCGCGTTGCACAGAAGACTAGACAACATTTCAAAGATCTCAGGATGGCTACCTTGCGTCTGCAATCACTGTATCGTGGCAAGATGGCAAGACGTCATGTAGAGAAAATAAGAGCGGCACGAATTATTCAGTCTCGATGGCTTAGCTATCTAACAAGGCGCGAATTTTTAGCACAGAAACAGGCTGCATTGGTTATCCAGTCTGAAGTGAGAAAGCGGATCGTTCAACGACATTATCGAAATCTGAAGGCGAGCGTTTCCTTTCTGCAGAAACGTTACAGAGAGAAGTTGATGGCAAAGCAAACTAGAGACCGATTTGTTCATTTGCGAATTGTCGCAACGAACTTGCAAGCAATTTACCGTGGAAATGCAACTAGAAAGAAAGTCCGAGTTTCCAGAGCCATCGTTACAATTCAAAAGTCAATGAGAATGTGTGTGTATCGACGGGAGTATGTGAGGATTAGAGGTGTTATCATCAAGTTACAAGCCATTGTTAGAAGAAATATCTCTCGTAATAAGTACAAAACGACGATGTCCGGCATCCTTCTTATTCAACAAAAATGGCGAGCTTATAAACTGGGTAAACATACAAGGGAAAAATACCAGCAACTAAAATCCAGCACGATCCTCTTGCAATCCTACTACAGGCAACACCAAGCTCAGAGACAATATCTCGCTAAAAAGAAGGGAATAGTTTTGATTCAAGCATTTGTTCGTGGTTACACGACGAGAAAAAAACTGCAACAAAGGGACGATGCTTCACGAGTCCTGCAATGTCATTATCGAGCTTATGTATTGTCAAAAATTGTTCAAGAAACATACAAGAACACTAGACACGCCATAATCAAGCTTCAAGCATTATGGAAAGGATATCAAGTTCGTATGAACTATAGTAAACAGAGGACTTGTATCATTCTTATCCAATCCAGAGTCCGTGGTTACATCATGAAAAGACAATACTTAAAAATGAGATTTGCTGCAGTTGTTCTGCAAACGCGTTTTCGTGCATTTCGAGAAATGCTCATCGCTCGTGCTGAATACTTAGAGACCCGTAGATCAATCATCAAACTCCAGGCTGTTGTACGCGTTCATCGTTTTCGTCAAGAACTTAGACAGAAAGTCCTTGCAGCCGTTCTCATACAATCTTCGTTTCGCGGTTACGTCACACGGTCTCGATATGTATGTTTGAAGGAAAGTGCCATCATTCTACAGAGACGGTATCGTGCATGGAATCTTGGTCATCGGATGAAAAACGAATATAATTTAACACGTGATGCAATCGTGACCATACAGAAGCACACACGTGGCTGGGCAGTGAGAAGGGAAATGAGAAGACTGAGAAATGCTACAGTAAGAATACAAGCTGTGTACAGAGGTTATCAACAGAGAAATATGTACTCAACTTTGCGTGTGTCGGCCATTTTTATACAACAAAAGTATCGTGCAACCCGCAAGTCTCGAATTGCCCGCAAGGAATTCATACAAAAGCGAACTACAACCGTACGCCTTCAAGGTTTTGTTCGTGGAAGATTATGCAGAAGACAATACGAACGTGTTAAAAGCTCTGTTATAGTTATTCAAACTCGTTGGCGAGCCTTGCTCAACGCTCGCAAATCAAGAGCAGAATATCAACACATGAGAGCATGCGCAATCACCATTCAGTCTTTCACCAGAGGACTGCTGGCTCGCAGGATAGCACACAGAGAACGAGCTGCAGTTAAAATTCAGTCATTCTGGAGAGGTATCGTTCAGAAGATTAGCTACCATAAGTCTAGAAACGCTGTTATGAAAATACAAACTTGTCTACGTATGAGAATCGCAAAGAAGAAATATGAACACTTGAAAAACACGGTTGTACACCTTCAGAGACTGGTGCGAGCCAATCAACTGTGTCGACGTCATACTATGGAGTACCAGACTAAACGACAAGCTATTATCGCTTTACAAGCTTCTCTACGTGGTTATTGGTTGAGGAAAAAGTTGAAAATTATGAATGATGCTGCTATCAAAATTGAGAGTGCTTACAGAGGATATTCAACTCGAAAGCGTCACCTAAGGGTGACTCGTTGTGTTCTCTTACTTCAAAGAAGGCGACGAGCCACAATTTTGGGCAGAAAAGCGATGATTGACTACCAAAGAAAACGACGGTCCGTGAAATTTCTCCAATCACAGTTCCGTGGTTTTATTGCAAGAAGAAACTACAGGGATATCCTAAGGAAAATTATTTCTCTTCAATCCGCTGTACGTGGCATGCAGGCGCGTAAGAAGTATCTAAAAACATGTAAAGCTGCCTTGGTCATTCAGGAACGTTATCGTGCCCACAAGAAAGGTTTGATGATTAAAAAAAGATATCATTTACAACGAGGTGCTTGTATTACCGTTCAGGCTATTGTAAGAAGATGGTTATGCAGAAAACAATATCAGAGCATGCGCAAAGCGATTGGAACAATCCAGTTATATTATAGAGCAAGTTGTTGGGCCAAAGAGGAACGGAGGATGTTCCTTAAAACAAGGAGTGCGATCGTGACCATGCAGGCGTTCACACGTGGCTGGTTAGCACGTCGCAAAATTCAACGACAACGCGCTGCTACACGTATTCAAAGTTACTGGAAGATGCATGTTGCAAGACAAAGGTATTTATATCAACGTGCATGTGTTGTACGGATACAATGTTATTTCCGCTTGTGGGTGAACTGTAAAAGATACATCACCTTGAGAAAAACGGCAATTTTCATCGAGACTTGTTACAGAGCAAAAATACTTGGCAAGAAGGAACGAGATCACTATAAAAAATTGAAAAGATCTTGTATTATAATTCAACATGGTTACCGTAGGTACAGACAACGTCGTTTGGTCAACAAAATTTTGGAAACTGTTTCTTCTCAAAAAAATGCTGCTTTGGTCCTTCAGCAACGACTTCGTGCTAATATGGCGGCCAAGAGCATTCGTCAGCATTATCTTCTTTTGAAAAGATCTTCTGTACTTATACAAGCTTCCTATCGTGGTCACTTAGCTCGAGCTCATGTCGCCAGGATTCGTTCTGCCATCGTGATACAGTCGTACTATCGCGGACACTGGCAGGCAACCGAGTATAGGGGGATAAAAAATGCCATAATCTTTGTCCAAGCTCTAGTTCGAAGGAAGCAAGCATTTGAGAGATATAGAAGTCTAAAAACTACTGCGTTGGTTGTTCAATGTCATCGTAGAGCAGTTGTGATTGGTTGTAGACAAAGAAAGATGTTCTTGAAGATGAAAATAAGTGCTATAAAAATTCAAAGTTGCTATCGAGGTTATAGAGCATGGAAGGCGTATGAACTTATAAGACAGGCTACCATAAAGATTCAGAGCTTTATCCGTGGAATAATAGCTTTGACTAGATATGAGAAACTACGCAAAGCCATTGTAATACTTCAAACCAGAGAAAGAGCGAGAATACGTGGAAAAGAAGAAAGAACATCATATTTAAAGCTGAAAAAATACACCATTTCTATGCAGAGTTTGTTTCGTGCAAAACGCGATGAAATGAGTTATATGCTTACTCGAAACACCATTATAAAGCTTCAAGCTATGTTGCGTGGGAAACATGCACGAAAAGCGTTTCAAAGATCACGTTCAGCTGTTATCGTGTTACAACGTGCACAACGAGCACGGATGTTGGGAAAACGAGAACGGATTCAATTCATGGAAAAACGAAATAGTACTGTGCTTATTCAAAGTCTTATAAGAATGCACTCACAGCGAACACGCTATTGCAAATTACGACACGCGGTAATCATGGCACAAACACGTTTCCGTGTGAAACGAGCGCGCAAAACTTACCAAACAATGCGTACAGCTGCCATAATTATTCAACGAGCGGAACGAGCCAGAGTTCTTGGAAAGCAACAGAGAGTGGAATTTTTAAAACTGAAATGCAAAGCTGTTTTAATTCAGAGTTTGGTACGATGTCACACACAAAGAAAACGTTATCTTGAAATAAAACACGCTACCAACATCGTTCAAGCGTATGTTCGTGGCAAGAAAACACGACGTTTTTATAAAGAACTACGTAAAGCTCGAAGATTTGCTCGAAAAAAAATGAAAGCAATCATCAATATACAGGTATGTTGGTGATTGTTGACAATTTTATAAAAACCCGTCTATTTGGTGACTACGAACTACAGTTAGCGGCTTAAGTGGGTATCCAGCTTTCCGCTCGCCCAAAAACCTTTAAAGTGTGGCTGTACCTTATAGAAAGGACACCCGCAAATTTAGCTTCTTGCTTTAACGGGTATGATCTATTGCATGCTGGATTTTTATAGGTGTACAAAATTTTGAAATTAACCAATGGGCACAAGGAAGAAGAAAATTTTAAATGATGTGAACTTTGACAAAATATGCAAGTCACTTGTATGTAATGAAACACAACTAAAGAAAATTGAAAGTAACTAATACTGAGGAAATATTTTTTTTACTATTTTATGTTTCTTGCGTTACGTCTCACATCGCGAACATGAGACATTCGCAACCTTTGAAAGCTTTCAAAGCCCCTGAGCAAAATGTTTTTCAAGCTCTTTAGATTTCTGCATGTTACAATCGTTTCTTTCCTAAATTGTTTTTTCAAGATCTCTAGTCTATATTTCTGCATGTGCCAATAATTTCTTCCTTTCTCACCATAAAGAGAACGTGGCGAGGTTACAACGTTCGAAAGCGCTTCAACTCGAAGAAGTTTAGAAAACTAAGAGAGCGAATTATTGTGGCTAATTCCAACGTCACCGAGTCCATGAAGCTTTGCAATCGTACTCGTTCTGCACTCGACTATTTACTAAATTGTAAGAATTTAACAACGGTCCGTGAAGCTCTGGTTCATCTTGGTATGTCGCACTATTTAATTTTTGCAATCTTCACTCCATTATATTGTTCAAATTACAACGCCCATACAATCACATAATTGCCATTAGTTCTATCCGAATTCTTATATACTGTCCATTTGCTTTTCCTCCCCATTCCAAACCGTATTTTTCAGCATTAAAAGATTTGTACCCGAATTTCCTTTTGGGTATTGATTTGATCATCCCTCATTCTATGAAATGTATCCAACTATACGTATATTGATCATACCGTATACCAAGATATGTACCCAATTGCACCCCTGTATATTGATCATCCTTTTTTCTAAGATTTACTGTACACCCAAGTGTCCTACTGTGTATTGGTTATCCCTTATACTCCATTTTCTCGACAGAGGTCGCAACAAGATGGACATTCAAGTGTTCACAACAACTGGTTGAGAATAACGCTCTCCGTGTTATTTTCCAAATTATCCGAGACTCAAATAGGAGTCTAGCTCACATGGGATTGATCAAACTGGCGTTAGATATTTTCACCAATGTGTCCAAGGTGAGTTTGGGCTGAGATCCATTGATATATATTGAACATTACTGTCACTGAACGTTGGCAGTGTAATCAGTTTGTTGTTTTTGCCATTTGTTGCATGGTTTATTGTTAGTTGTTTTGTGACTCAACAAAACTTCATGCTTTCTGCATTGTTTTTCCACCATAGTTGTTGGTTGTTATTGATAAATGACCGAGAAACTGTAGTATTTTTTGTGAAGATATTGCCACTTTAATGAATAAAGAAAGATTGCACCTAATTTTTTATCATTATTTTAATATCTGACTTGAAACAAAAACCAAAACACTTTTGCTAAAGTAATCATGTATCTAATTAGAAACCATTTTGATAAAAACACGAAACAATAGGCATTCCATGTTTTTTTACCAAAATACTCTTTGGCATTCTTGATTTGACTATAAACTATATGCGCGACACATTTTTAGTGTCCAGCCACCCAGGATGCCGTGGTTTTAAAAGAAGAAAATGCATTGGAAACCATACTTGAACTCGCATGTATTTTTCGCGAGAAAAAGGAAATTTTCCTCAGCGTTGCAAAGCTACTTACAATTTTATGTACTCACGAAAACGTAAGAAAGGTAAGCTGAAGTAAACTTCTAGGACAAGAGCTGCCTGCATGTATTTCTTCTAAAGGGTTTGTCATTCTTTGTAATGTCGAATTAATTTAGCAACTTTTGTCTGTTTTGATTCGGCTTTAGAAATTACTGAAAACAGAAAACGCTGCAATGAAGATATCTTCCATTTACTCCATCACAAAAAGGAAGTTTGAAATCGAGATGAAACGGAACACGAAGATGAAACAACAAAATGGCAAGGGCGGACGATACAAGACTGATAACAATTATGGTGTTGCCTTAACAGCCGTGATCACTCTTATGGAAACGATAGGTTTAGATTATCCCGTATAGATAGGCTTAGATTATCCCGTATAGATAGGTTTAGATTATCCCGTATAACAACCATTACATTCTAGTATTTTTTATATTTAGGTCAAAATTTATGCGGCGGCAGTATGTAATATATTATTTTTAAATTATTTCTTATGCGCTCAAACTCACCGTTGTTTAACGCAGATTTAACGCGGCAGTTTTTTATTTTTAAACTAGCCAAAATCAATTGATTAAATTACTCGATGGGAAACAGTCTGTGATTGTCTGTGTAAGTAAAAGTTCAGCTGAGGTTAAATTATTACCTGTGCGATTCAGCTTTAAGTAAACACTCCTCGGCGAATCTCGCAAAATAATTCATGGAAAGTTGTGACATTCCTAAAATATGCATTGATAGCCAACCAAATACGTTTAGAAAACATTTTTTTCGTTTCTTTGTTAAGTTTAGTGACATGATGAACCGCTTCTTTCTTTGTTAATGAAGCTCAAAGGTCAAAGAAAGTTGGCTCTTTCGGCATTAATTGCGTAACGACATTTTTTTGTTTGACTTCCTACGCTTTCTATTTTTGAAATATTTTTGATTTTTGCATATTAAAGTTTCTCCTACGTGATGTACATGTTTTGAGAGCTTTGGCTTATATTGGCCTTACATCGCTTGTTTTTATACGTTTTTGTACGCCAAGTTTCTGTGGCCAATAAATGTGGCTAGATTTTTCTCCTTTGGTAAATACTATGTACGTAGTATGTGTACTTAGCTGCTATTTTCATCTTTAAACAAGTCATCTACTTTATCGTTTCAACTCCGCTTACGTTGAGAAGCGTCATCAATTGGATTATTCATCTGTATCGCAACAATACAGGCATCAGGTATCCGTATCTTCACGCGTCTAATATTGTTCGCTCTTCAAAATTGATGGGTGAAAGTTGAAACACTCGTTGGCAATCCCACTTGAACCAAAAAAATGAATATGAATCATAGTATGAACGGACATGGACATGGACACAATACAACACAAGCAATGGGCTCGTATCACGTTCTGGGCCGTCACACTGGTGGTCATGAGGTAACATATTGTGCTTGAAGGACAGTTTTGAACTGAATCCGTTGTCGAAACGATTTTTTACTTTGTAAGGATTTGTGGTAAATTTGATTTACACTAAATGTTTAAAATTATGTTGATTACCCCATTCTATGAGATGAATTAAGCTCTAAGAATCGTCAAAACCGAGTGCTGGTAAAATTATCGTTCTACATTGATGGGAATTTTTTATGAAAACAAATTCATCGTTTATTGGCAAACGACTGCTCTATATCACAAACCTAGTTTAAAGGGATATTAAATGGGTTAAACAAGCGTGGAGGAAGCTTTATGATTAGCAAGGAGGCTATATTCATATCGTTTGATCCGTGATTACAACTGATTTCAATGAAAACTAATACAGTACAAGCATTACCGTGAAAATACTCAGTCAAGTCATTCATCAATTAGGCATGGCCAGCTAATCAATTACATTATGTACTATAAATGTATGTAAAGATTATCTGAAGACGTTTTTTTTCTCGCGATTATTCATACAGCGTAAAAACTTTATTCGTAACACGAACTACAATATATAAAATCGACAACGGAAACATTTATTCGTGCTGAAGGAAGTTTTTAGTTGACACTGTTCCATGCTCTTAAACCAATCACATTCCAGAATGCATGATATTTCCCGTCGTTATGGCAATAATACGTGCGTTTCATGCAATAATTTCATGAAATATAAATTAGCTACAGCGCAGTGTCGTCACATTGACAATCGAAAAATTATTTTCGTCCATGTAAATTGGTAAACATGGAACATTCAAATTTGACAATGAATCATTCAAATTTGATGATGAATCATTCAAATATGCACAACATGAAACAATCTATGCACATGATGAAGGTTGAGTTTTGCTTTTGATTTAAATATTTGTCAATATACAAATGGCGAACGGTCACGAAAGTTTTTGTTTCTTTCTGAATGATGTTTTAATCTTTTCAAATCTATTTTCCACAGATGTATTTCCAATTCAGTTCAAAGGCGACTATTCTATTCAAAGAATGGGACATTGACAGTATTGGAGGTAGGTTCATGAAAAAGAATTTATAGCTTTCACTTTCCCTTTAATGTGAGTTGATCAGGTTACTACCTTTGCGTCAGTGAACAGTATTCAATTATTCCCAGTTGAGTTTTATGGCATAAACTGCCTTTCGTATTTGACAGTTCTACCAATTTCAAGATTTGTGACAGTTAATTGTGTTCATGGCATCATTTTGCATTCATCTTATAATTTATTTTTTTAGGCATGGTTTGGTCATGTGTTGTTGTCTTTATTCTTGCAATTCTTTATGAAGGCTTCAAGGTGTTTCGAGAAGTATTAAGAAATAAGTACGCTACGTCTGTGTCGTACAATGTTTCAGAAAATGGTCTTTCAGCCAGAAGTAAAGGACCACAAGATGTAACTGTGCATATAAACAAGTATGTATTTGGTAAATTGATGCATTTTTGGAAATGTTTTGATAAATGTTTTTGACCACATGCCTGGTGACAACATTAACATGTCAAACAGAAACGCTAGCATGCTAGGCTCGTTGTTGATTCAAGGATATCATGAATACTTTATTTCTCATATTTCGATTTAATCAATCCAAGGGGTTGATTGTTAGATTTTGCTATTTATAACACATAAGAAAGCAACTGGAAATCTACTTTCACAAGAAAATGTCAAACAGTGTGGAAGTATTTCAAAACCTCATAATATTTGTGTGCTGGACATTTTCTTGTAGTTTTCATCTCCAAATTCTCACACGGGGAAACCCACAAATTTTTATCATTCTTTAATACAAAATACACATTGCAATGACAAGATTATGGAAGATGTTGATGAACATGTTGTATTGGTTGTCTTCAATGTCTATACAAAAGCTAAATATATGCTAAAGTAAGTGCATTCTGATGAGCCATTCTATTTTATATATATCAGTTGAACTGATTATGAACCAAGTTGTACGAAATTTTAATTATCTGTATGGTAGTTAGCTAACCAGTGAATCATTAAACTTGTCACATGACTTATTCAGGTCAAGGATGGATTCTTGATGGTTTTGTTGGGGAGTGCTCTAGTTTGATTAGATTTTGGTGACTTTTTGCTGACATAACATGTCTGCTGTTTCTGTTGGCTGAATTTTGTTATCTTTTCATAGTGATAGGGAGATTTTTTGGAAGTGTATTGCATACAGAGATGGCAACAATATTTGACAACTGCTTTTACTTATTGATATGTTAATGTTTTTAAGGGAAACTTTCACCCATCCTGAATTATTCTGCCTTGTAAAAAATGCCATTATATATCAAGAGTTGCTTTCCTTTTTTTCAGAAATCTTTACTGCAACTGGCATCATTTGCTTCAGTCCTTTTTACACATGATTCAAGTTGCCTTCAGTTATTTTCTTATGTTAATTGCTATGACTTTCAATGGTTGGCTGTTCATCTCTGTTTGTATTGGCGCTGGTTTTGGCCATTTTATCTTCAGTTGGAAAGTCAATCGTCCTTATGACGTAAACGAACACTGTCATTGACACGTGCTAATGACGTAAGAAGTGAAATAACCTGCTGTCGTCATTACAATTCAAAACTGGTTTTGACGTGATTTTATCGAGTAATTTTTATATCTATTGTAGTTAAATAATATTGCTCAATAAGTAGAACTGTATAATTGAAAAATCAATCGTAGATTCTTTTGATTGAGTGTATCCCGTTTTAAATTCCTGTAAATAGGAAGAAAATGTCGAGTGCTGTTCGTTTGAAACAAAATTTAAAACTTATTCTTTGACCAACAGTGTTAGCCTCTACCTAAACCCAAATAGTGAACTTTCAAGGTACCCGTTGGCATAAACAGGTAAATTTCATTCTTGTGTGTCGTGCTCAATCAATATTTGGCCAGGAAATCTCGCGTAACATGAATTTTTCAGTAAAATTTTTATGTGCTTTTTTTTGCTTTTGCCCGTATGTTGAAATTGTTCATGCAAAGACTGGGAACGAGAGAAAATGGAAGAAGAAAGAAAGGAATTTGACTGCAAAAGGCAACGTTGTTTGATAACTTAGTTGATTAAATAAAAAATGTACAAAATAATGTTGTTATTTCTCCGTGATTTTTGCTCAGGTTTTCTAAAAGGTAGAAAGCAGTTTCTTCCAATGCCAATGACTGTAGGCGAAGGTGGGTTTTCAATTTTGAATCGACAGCAATGTGTAAAAGAGTCTCGTGAATATTCAAAATCGACCTGTGCTAAAATGTTTTATGTATTTTGTCACTTTGTTAATTTTTAATTGGGGAAGTGGAAACGAAGTAGAAGTGGAGTAGATGAAAATTGTAACGAAGGCTTTGAAGGGTAAGGGGTGGGTGTAATGAGTGGTAGGGGGATGGAACATTTGGGGCAAGGGCTTGATATTTGTCTTAAACGCAATGTTTTCTGGGATCGCGTCACCCGTGTAATTGCAAATGGCGCCAAATTGTAAATTTACGAAGGGGGTACATCAGTTGAAAGAAGGAGAAAACCTTGAAAAATGGTATTAATATCGAATTGAATGCTCAATTTTAATGTATGTATTTATATTTTGGCTTAAGAGTTGTTTTACTCGAAGTTCAGACAAAGCTCGAGCTTATTTAAGCTGTTGTTTGTTCATGGGTCGTGCGACCAGAAAATTGACGTACGCGTAAAAGCGTAAAACTGAACTTAAAAAAGGCTGAAATCAACTCGCAAAACTTTGCCTTTTGTAATGTTTAATGTTTCACTATTTTATACGTTTGCGTTTGTGACGGGTCATTTCTACCATACGACGACATGCAGGGCTCGAAATAAAAGAAATTTGACCTGACATTTTAATTTTTGTCTTTGTGTAATTTTACAAAACAACTGTTATTTTTTCAAATTTTTTTTGCCATCCATCTCGTATGACCTGCTTTTTTAAGCCCTGACTACACAAATTATATTTGTATTTCTAATGACCAATTCATTTAATACAGGTGCACAGGATCCAGTAAGGAAACCTGCTGTGTTTTCAAACCAAAAATTGGTTCCCAGTAAAGAGCATGAAATGAAGATTACTAAAGGCTTACCAAAAGCTTACGATTGTTCTCTTTCTCCAAATGGTTGTTGCTGGGATGGACGTACACCAGCTTTTGGACCTGCTGGAAAAGGATGTCCACGTAAGTATTTTTTAAAGATATTTTTTCAGTGTTATGAGGTAGTTATGTGTGTTTCACCTGCAAATAGAAAGGTCATAAAAAATATCTTCTATCAAATTCCAAGAAATCTTTGTAGATTGACTGACTTCATGACACTTGCAGTTTTCACTTTCCATTTGCATTTATGTATTTTTGTTTACAAGTATATCTATTGAAAGAGAAATAATTATTTTGACGTACTGTTGTGCTAAAAATGATTTTAGAGCAATAGAAACACAGTCATAGGTGTTGCTGTTATTTTACTTTTGCACAAAACTTTAGTTGCATGATGTTAGAACTGTACTGGTTCTTGCCTGAAGCTAAGACTGCATGGTACTCTTACTTGATGCTAGCACTGTATTAGTTTTATCTAATGTGTAAGGGGACTGTATTGGTGGCTACATGACGATAGAACTGTATTGGTGGCTACATGATGATAGAACTGTATTGGTGGCTATATGATGATAGAACTGTATTGGTGGCTATATGATGATAGGGCTGTATTGGTGGCTATATGATGTTAGGGCTGTATTGGTGGCTATATGATGATAGAACTATATTGGTGGCTATATGATGATAGGGCTGTATTGGTGGCTACATGATGATAGAACTATATTGGTGGCTATATGATGATAGAACTGTTTGGTGGCTACATGATGATAGAATTGTATTGGTGGCTACATGATGTTAGGGCTGTATTGGTGGCTGTATGATGTCAGGATTGTATTAGTTTTTGCATGAATAACATTTTCCATTTAGAATGCCGTGATGTTTATGAGGATTTCTGTAAAAGAACCAAAAAGTTTTGTAACTACCCCATGGTTGCTGATTATTGTCGTATAACATGCAAGTTATGTGGTAAGTATTGATGTTTTTAACAATTTCAGACCTGCCAACCTCAAAAGACCTAAAAATTTAACTGTCAAAAGCAGGAATTGATTTGTTCCCACTTGCAAAATCTAAATTCAATATATAGACAGGCAATAGACCTTTTTCTTTGAAGTAATATTGTAGAGTGTTACTGAGCAAAGATATGGCAAAGATATTCCGATTTCCTAACTTTGTCATAATGAAAATTGACTTAACTGGAACTTTCATAGATATTCCACATTTGATTGGGTAACAAATTAATATCGTATGCCATTAAACTATTTCAGTAACATTTTATGAATAAAATTTGTGGCAAAAATTGTGTGAAATGGATGTTAAATCTTGAGAACTTAAGCCTAGAAAATCATGTGTCACACAGCATTACAGTGTGAGTTGGCAGGTCTGCGGTTTCTTGTGAATATGTTATGTGAAGTTGTGAACAAGCACTGCTTCATTTGTTTTTGATATACTTAAATTGTGGAATTGTATTATATATTTACAATTGTATCACAATTGTAAATATATGTTAGTAGAGCAATTTTATAGTGGTGTCTCGTGTGAGCCAATATCATATGGTTATAGGTAAAGTCAACTTGTGGCTAGTATTTCAATGATAATTTTACAACTTTAACTCGTAGCTAGAACCATAGTTATTCGTTCTACCCAAAACACGATATTTTAAGAGGGATTTGTACCATATCAATGAAATCGTTAGGATAGACTCAGTATATTATACTCTAGCTTCTCTAGGAAGGAGTTGAACTAAAAGTATTTACCTGCGTCAAATAAATATGATGCAGTTCTTGTTTGAATTTCTGCAATGAAACGTGATATTTTAAAAGGTATTTACTATATCAATCGAATCATTAGAATAGACTAAGTACATCGTACTCTAAGAGTTTAACTAAAAAAAATTTCAACTGCGTCAAACAGATGCGAAACGGTGCTTTTTTGTGAAAATTGGCTTTTTTATCAAACTTAGCGACTCCTGAACATAGTCAAAACCCAAAACATGATATCTCAAGAGGGATTTGCATTATGTCAATGAAATCCACATGATTCATTCAGTGCTTTGTAAACTAGGAGTTGACGAGACTTCAATATGCCACTTGTTGTTAAAAAAATAACAGATTTCATTTTACGACATGTTAGATAGAGAAAAAGGCAGAACTTGTGAATCATCCAAATACAACTGTTGTTGGGATGGAACTACTTTTGCCAGTGGACCTAAAGGCCAAGATTGTCCAAGTGAGTGTCTCGTTATGTTATTGATTATCACTTAGTTCCTAGTGCTGTAGCTAACTGACTATTTGCTACTATTACATAAATATGATGCTCAACAAACTGTAGCTTTAAACTATCAGAAAGATAGAGTAGTTTTGTCGTTCCTTCTGGGGAATCAACTTGAATGATCAAAATATGACATAGTCTGCGTAAGATAGCGGCGTCGATTGTCCTGCATAGTTGAGACAATGGTAGTTAGAACCATACATGTTATTCGTTCGCAATTCGTTGTCACGGCGATGCTATTGTATCTATTGTATGTTGTGTACTAGATATGCGGGGTATTAGGGTACTTTAAACGTACCTGCCTGACTACTTGTGTACTAGATCTGTGGAGTATCATGGTACTTTAATCGTACCTACGTGATAAAATAAAATCATGATGCTAAGCACGCTATAGTCTAAATTGCGCAATGTTGACGAGGTTTTTCTCACAATAAATTTTGACTGTCCGTGATTAGAAATGCCGATGTAATAATTCTACTTTCTTCATCTTTCCCCACCCCGAGACGTTTTTGTTTTATTTTGATCGATCTGATCTCTGCAACTAAAGATATTGGGACATTGACTCTCATCAAGCATTCATCGTAGAAATAAGAGACGATCCTAATGCAAGATGTGCCATGTTTGAATCGGAGTGTTTAAGAAATCCTTACTACATGTGGACAAAATGTCGACAAACTTGCCTGAACAGCTTACCACCAATCAAGCCTTTCATTCAGGAACTCGGTCCAAATTATGGCTTTGGTCTCCCGCCTCCTGCATACGGGCAGCCGGCTGTGGGCTCAGGTATTTTATCGCAAATACAGCCCACCGGAGATTTGAACCCCGGAATAGGTGGATCATACAGCCGTAAACGAAAAAAGACTTCGACAAGACAGCAGTTGAATGTTGAAGGGAAAGAAGACTGATAATGAGTTGACTCTATGTAAAATTGCTATTGTTTTTATTGTGATAGCTGAGCTTTCAGAGTGATTTCTCATATAACAGTAAAATGTAATAATAGATGTATTATTTCGCGAGGAAAGGATGTCGTTCGTTGTGACCATCGTTCTAGTTTAGGATGGTGACATTAAACATTTGGTATTATTGATGTGGTTCTTGTTGAATATGGTTCTAGTTTAGGATGGTAACATTAAACATTTGGTATTATTGATGTGGTTCTTGTTGAATATGGTTCTAGTTTAGGAAGGTGACATTAAACATTTGGTATTATTGATGTGGTTCTTCTTAAATATGGTTCTAGTTTAGGTTGGTACCATTGAACATTTGGTATTATTGATGTGGTTCTTGTTGAATATGGTTCTAGTTTAGTTTGGTACCATTGAACATTTGGTATTATTGATGTGGTTCTTGTTGAATATGGTTCAAGTTTAGGATAGTAACATTAAACATTTGGTATTATTGATGTGGTTCTTGTTGAATATGGTTCTAGTTTAGGTTGGTACCATTGAACATTTGGTATTATTGATGTGGTTCTTGTTGAATATGGTTCTAGTTCAGGATAGTAACATTAAACATTTGGTATTATTGATGTGGTTCTTGTTGAATATGGTTCTAGTTTAGGATAGTAACATTAAACATTTGGTATTATTGATGTGGTTCTTGTTGAATATGGTTCTAGTTTAGGTTGGTACCATTGAACATGTGGCATTATTGGTGTGTTTCTTAAATATGATTCTAGTTTAGGATGTTACCATTGAACATTTGGTATTATTGATGTGGTTCTTGTTGAATTTGGTTCTAGTTGAGGTTGGTAACATTGAACATTTGGTATTATTGATGTGATTCTTGTTGAATATGGTTCTAGTTTAGGATGGTACCATTAAACATTTAGTATTATTGATTTGGTTCTTCTTAAATATGGTTCTAGTTTAGGTTGGTACCATTGAACATGTGGCATTATTGGTGTGTTTCTTAAATATGATTCTAGTTTAGGATGTTACCATTGAACATTTGGTTTTATTGATGTTATTCTTGTTGAATATGGTTCAAGTTTAGGATGGTACCATTAAACATTTAGTATTATTGATTTGGTTCTTCTTAAATATGGTTCTAGTTTAGGATGGTACCATTTAACATTTAGTATTATTGATTTGGTTCTTAAATATGGTTCTAGTTTAGGATGGTACCATTGAACATTTGGTTTTATAAATGAGGTTCTTCTTAAATATGGTTCAAGTTTAGGATGGTACCATTGAACATTAGGTATTATTGATGTGGTTCTTCTTAAATATAGTTCTGATTTCACACATTCATCCAGCTATACTAAGGTTGCAGCGTTTTTATAATTATTTATGAGAAACTTTTAGAATCATTGTCATTCATGTTGCCTTTTAATTTCTCACATGAAAATGCTCACTTTTATTTCATATTTTACAAACTAGACAATGAATGTTTGTTGATAACACGGCTCCTAAAATAAGTTCAATAAGCTTGTTGGACAATGAGAAGATTTTATAACTAAAAGAGAGGCACAAATAAACCCGCACCTGAGAAAATCATGTTGGAGTATAATTGAAAATTGGTCAATGAAGATCCCAATTCATCTCACTGTGGCTTTGAGTAATTTTCTATTCATGATTGTTGTAATAGAGATGCGTAAATGGATTCTGAATGGAAGCACAAGAAAAATAATTGTCTATCAAATATGGTGGCGATGTCGTTGTCTTGCTAGCGTATTGAAACATTTCCATTGAAGGTTGAAGCAAAAGCTGACCACGATTCTCTCGCTTCCATTTATTTCTTCTGTTCTGAAACCAAACCTTAACTTGTCTCGAATTCAACTCCAAGAAGTTCGCCAAGGTGTTGCGCTCCTGGATGGTGAGATAAGGGGACCGTTGAAATCTAGCCTCTAGCATACGTTGTTGAAGGCGGGAAAAACTCGTACGTTTCCGTTGTGTTGACTCCATGCACTCGTCGTCTATGTCACGTTTTCCGCGAAGGCCATCGTTGTCTTTCGCTGCTACACGTGCATTTGAAGTCAAGACTTCTTTAAAAAAAAGCATTTTATCAATAAATACAATGGTAAATGGTTTGAAGCCGGGAGTATCGTAAAATGTTTGTAAATGTAGATCGTCCAGGTTGGTATAGTCCTGAGAAGGACTGTTGTTGTTGATGTTGAATGACGTTTCGACAACCTTAGCGGTAGTCATCTTCAGAGTCAAGTGTCCAATGGTCTTTGATTTGAAAATGCATTTAACTGCTTACCCGTTGAAACGTTAAAATATAAGATGAAACGTTAAAATATAAGATGAAACGTTAAAATATAAGATGAAACGTTAGAATATAAGATGAAACGTTAAAATATAAGATGAAACGATAAAGGAAAACTCAAAACTTTTGTAATGTTTTTATAGCAATATCAACTGGGACCAGCTATATCGGGATTTTTGTTTTGCTCTTTAATACTAAATAATTTGTCAGTTTAATGTCAGTAGAGGTTAATTATTGATCAGTTGCTCATGTTGAGGACATCAACATCATTCACGTTTTGCATATTTCCGATAGTTACTTTTGCTATGCTTACTTATAAACTTTTCAAAAATGATCTGTGTAAAAGAGTTTGGTTGACTTTATTGATTTAAGACTTATTTTAGTCTATGTTTACGATCATTATGAAAGCATTGCGATTGCCGAGCAAAATATTTATTGTACAGCATGTTTAGCTGATGACTGAAATGTATTTTTGCTTGTACAATGTCGAGAGGATAATTCTCAATAATGCGGATTTTTTCGTGTTTTGTAAGCTATTTTAGAAACATATTCTTTGCTGGGTATTTTTACAACATTCCGCAACTATAAAGCTAGATTCTGCTTGATAGCAAGCACTTTTTATCTTTTCTACAAAGTATTTAACAGATATATTTTATAGCGACCATATAGTACATTATGAGAAGTATATATAATTTGATTCAGCTTCGAACACTCCGTTTATGTGTAAAATTTTATTTGACTTATGGCGAAAATTACACACATGCATGCAAATAAGTGCGAGTGGATTCTGTGAAATCTGTAGCATAGCGAGGCTGAAATTGTTTTCAAATCATTTGCCAATTGTACTATTCAATTAGTACAGATGCATTAAAGCTTGTTGGTATTAACGTTACGTTAATGCTGCTGTACAGTTAGCGATATATATATGTACTGCACTGTTCACACTATCAAACCTTGGTAATAACACTGTGATTTTTCCCTTATGACGATCGTCAACATAAGGGAATTTACCTTTACCTTCTGTATGAAGGGCGAGTTTGTTATCTTTGATTTTCAGTGATCTTCTGTTGTTGGTTGTAAAGGATCTTTCTTCTGGCTTTTTGTCAATTTCTCCCATAAGAACCGCTATCGAGAAATTTGTATAAGACATTTTACGATGTATATGTTGATTTTTACTGAACTTGAAACGAAGAGTGAAAATATTGACAAGGGCAGCGTTTCTGTCAATGAGAAATTATGCACGGAGGCAATTGTATCTTCTCACAGCGAATGTAGATAGAGCCTGAAGATCTGTATAGTTTTAAACTGATTGCGACTTCTTTGTGATAAATCCAATTACGAAAGCATGTACTTGTGACGTTATCCCTCACGATAAGCACATACTGTGATCGTGCATTGCTTATCAATAGACATTGAACCGTTGCGTTTCAGTAGTGTTGCACACTGGGAATGGGTTGCACACAGCGAAGAAAAAAGGTCTGGATTCTAAAAGGGGGACGAATAAAGACTGCAATAATTTTAAAAAGTGCAATATACAATAAGTAACGGACTTTTTCTAAGAAAATTCTGGATCAACTGCCGCAGTGTTTCCAATGGTGACTGAGGACGTCGATCCACTTTATTGAGATATTTTGTGCAGCTTTTTGTTGCTTACTTTTGCTTGATCTTGAGGTTACTGACGAGAGGCAATAAGCATTGTTGAAAACACTGTCAACATACTGAGTTATTTCTGACAAAATAACTGGCAATAAGCATTGGGGTTGAATTTGGAGATGTTACCTTTTCTCTAGTTTTTCTCTCTACCTTTGCTCTGTACAACATTTTTCAGTGAGCGTTTACTCTGTTGAAAATGAAGAATGTAATGTTTCTTCACTTTTAACCAAACCAACATGGTTAAGTTTGGTCACGGGGGTTCACAATCGTTGGGCTATTGAGGGCTAGCGGAAAAAAATTCGTCATTCAGATTTGAAAGAAAAGAAGCGTCCTTTGTATTTATGGTCTTTGTGCATTGTCGTCATCAAAACTTTTAAAAGAACTTTACTCTGATTTTTAGGCAACATGAAAACGCTAGCGTTTTTAAACCAGTTTTTTTTACATTTGTTGTAATTTAAACTCTAAGAAATTAAAGTATTTTTTAACGGTCTGTAATCATGTCGCCATGCACGGAGATTATAGAAAGTGTTGTTGTATCTTAATGTCTTTTTCAATGCTTCATACATGGAAAAATCACTTACATGTTTGCGTGGTCATCGTCATTTTGTCATGTGTATTATGATTGATCTATATGCAAGTCATTAGCTGTATTTTTGTATTACGAAGTTCATATCCTTGTATTATTTATACACCCTGCACAATATGCTAACTTTAGGTGGCAATTTTATCGATAAATACGATGTTTAGCCTATGACATTATCCCTTCCCCTCTCTGGATATTAATCTAGGAATTTTGTGGTAAGATTATGAGTGGACTCCATCTTATGAAAATAGTTGCAATCAGCGTTTAGCGAACATGTACTATTTATCTCATAAACAATCGTTCGTCAGCTAATGTTAAAGGACATTTGTTTCATTATTTGCTATACGGTATGTAACGTTGAATAATGGAGAGTATCGTTTTTCATAATTTGGCCTGTAATCTGTGAAATGGCTTGTTGGAATTTTGCTATCATATAATTACTCCTTTAATACTGGAACATGCCAAGAGGCGGCCTTCTTTCATCTACCATAAATAGTCACAAGAAATTTTGTTTTCAAGCAGTTCAGACATAAGCGACGAAGCTGCTTATCTTCATCAAATATTTCCTATGCTCAATACCCCATGGACCGCTGTACATACATGAATTATAACACTTTTTTAAGGTAAATCACACCTAGCATGCTAACATGAATCGTCGCCTCTGGTCATTGATCAACGATATGTTGACAATTCAACAAACATGTAATGTATACCCAATGTACACGTTTCCCATGAATAAATATGACTTTTTGCCTCCATGGACGAGCGAGATAATTTCATCAAACGTAATTCCATTTCTGGACATGCATAAATGTGTAGATGTATTTGTGACCAACTTTTCATCTGTTTTCTTTGATTTTTGACCTCTTATTTAGCTTATCCTTTTTTTGTATATACATTAGTACTTTAAATATATTTAATTCCCCGATTATTTTTACTGATTTACCGATAAATAGCCGTAAACACGACACTTTGACGTAAGTTATAATACTTAGGTTTATAATCTAAACAATTCCTGCTAAAGTTGAGAAGCAGCTTTTAATTGTTCAGCAGTAACACGTTTTCTATAATACTTAGTCACATGGAGTTAAATACGTCGTCGGCCTTTTTTTGTCTTCAACTCAAATCGTTTTTCAAAATATTTTTGGAAAGGAAAGTCATTTACTTCTTATGAATGGCGTATTTACTATATTATACACGCTCGATTTGATTTTTATTATAAAAAAACTTCATATGTTGCATGATTTTCAAAAAAGGCTATGAATATGAGCAAGATTCTTTTTGTGTCCACTTATATACCATTGTACTTACATCTCACAACACCACTTATCCAAAATTGTACATATATGTATATAAGCTGGTTATGATGAGTATAAAGTCACGTGGATAGCTTGAATTAGCTTTGAATTTCTTTCAACTACTCAAGAGCGCTAATGTGACTACCGAAAAAATGATTTGGAAATTAATTATCACAAGTGGGCCAGGAAAGGCTTTGATATTAAAGGCAGTGGAAGTGATCGATAGGTCGAACTTTTTTGTTTATACCTTATTGTTGGGGTACAGTTGTAACATCTTTTAAATGGGACTTTGTTCGCAATGCTATTGAAGTGTGATGTTTTCAAACATTCCAGTGAATTAACGAGATATTTTTCGCGTATTTTTTTGTTTTTTACTTACACGTAACATGTACATGTTCGTGCAGGAAGGAGCGTGGAGACTTGGACCGAATGCCAAGGCCGCGCGTCCCTACCTCCCAAAGTAAACTTATATGCAAACAAGTTTAAATATATCAAATACAGTATTGTGTTTGAAAACACTTCAAAATTGCTGCATGATCCACTTTAATCAACAAATAGATTTATGTTCATTTTAACGAACTTACTTTATAATCATCAGTTGCAATTATTTCCATTACATAACAATGTGTTTTACATCGTGCAATCTTTCGTGGTTTGCTTAACTTGGTTAACAGCATTTCCTTTTAAAAATCGTAGCTTATCCGAGGAAATATTTTGGATCAATATTTTTAAACCATTTGTCGGTAATGGTAATCATATTAATTCCTCCATACATTGTCTTCATACAGGAAATATCATCGTTTAATAGAATTGCTACACCAACCCTAAAGAAATGTTGGGGATTAGGGGATTAATGACACACGGGCAACGAGATCTCCTTGTAAATACTGCCGCCATTCAAACGAGCCTATGAATCATGATTGTGTGCATATATTTGTCATATATAGCTATTTGTGCTCATAAAAATTTTGGGACATAAAAAAAATTCGTTCGCTGAATTTTATGTTCAATAGTTCATTAAGTCATGCTAGTTTTTGTAGTCTTTTTTAGCTAAGATATTGGGTAGAAAAAGTTCTGTCTTTGATTGTCATCTTTCAGAAGAATGTCTTGTGTTTATGTCGTGTTCGTGTTCTTTGTACAAAAAAACTGGTGTATTTAACGTACTATATTCTTTGAAATGCTTCAAAATCTGTTTTCTTGGCACAGACGCCAATCCAAATGATTAATGATAATAATGAAACTTTGATTGTTTCTGGATTAACTAAATTACCTTTGTTAAACTACTTAATTATATAAAATTGATACTTTCATGTGATATTTTTTATCAATTACGTGTGAGTTGAACAATTTTAATGTTATGGTGCTAGACGACTGAAGCTACTTTTTATTCTACGCATATTTCACCATAATTTTTCACCATTGCCGTGTATATTGGGCATTTTTTAAGCCTCTCACATCTTGACAACGTTCCCAGAGAGGGAAAACCAAAGAACCACACGATCTTGCCCTGTTTTAAATATAGCGTTGATTCTGAGGGTTTTTACTAGAGCTATAAAAATGTTGGCAGGAATTGATCTCTCCGGAGAAAGAGCCTAACGACTTGACCACTCTGAGATTAGTCATTATCCCCCTTAAAAAAGACCACGAAACGCTACTATCTTTTTGTGAGCAATAAATGCTCATCGGGTGTATCCAGGCACACGGCAAGGAAAATCATTCTTTGTGAAGTTATTCACGAGTCATCATGATGGAAAAATAACCATTTGAAATTTATTGTATATTTTGGCAACATTTTGGTAAATGATTTGTTGCCATCCATATCTTTTAGGTTATCCTTACGAGTTGACAAATGATATTAACCTAGGATTGAGAGTTGTAAACCCATCAGCAATAATTTCCCTCTCCTGTGGTATACGGTTTGTTGACAAGGAAGTTAATAAAATTGAGAAAAAGCTACACTTGGGACATTTTTGGGTGTTAACTAATGGTTTTTTGACGTCCGTCGACATCTTCTGGACTTGTTTTTTACCAATGATTCCCTTCAATGTTTTTAAAGTTTGTGACAAACGAAGTTGAACATGCTCTTTACAATGTCAACATTATTTTGCAACGTTTTCAGTCAAATTCCGACTGTAGTTGAAGAATTTCTAGAATGATCTTCAGTGAGTATTCAAAGTCCAACTAACATCGAAGAATTTCTGGAATAATCGTCAATGAGAATTCCAAATCTCGAATCAAAGCCCATGTAATAGATTTGGTTAAAATATAATGCACTCTATCAAAAACAGGACATTGGATAACAATTATTTTGTCATCCGTCGTCATTGTAATCATCAATTCTCATCATGGAATGTTGTAACATTCAAAAATGAAGTCCTTGGATTAATGTTATGGTCTTAAAAGCAAAACACCTTGACTGCAAACATGTGACGTGTTTCATATTTTAAGAACAAATTAGTGTTTCCGAGTTTCATGCATGTGACCAGGATGACCGTTGAGTTTTATAATGAACTTATACGTTTGAGCTTACTTACCCTTGCACAATTCAAACGTGCATAATCTCTCGTAATCACTCAATGTATACAAAGTATCCTTTGCTGTAACAGCCAGTTTGAAACACGTGCCTTGAATGCAAGACCTAGCCACGTGATAGATGCTCTAGAAAAAGGCATAAGTTAAGCAAAAAGTCGCGAACTACAATGGTTCCACTCATTGTACTGGTTCATAGAAGAACTGAGAAACAAAGGTTACCGCTTCGAAAACATTCTCGAAGATTTTTCAAGCTTGCGGTTACTAAATTTACGGCTAAAATACATAATTTGTGGTGATTTCTATGGTAATTGGTTGATCCACTTGACTTTAATGTTTAACTTCAGCGTTATTGACGTAATATCGCACTGGGGAAGCAAATAAAACACTGTTATTCTTTGTGCTTAATTAGGATAAAACTATACTAAAACTACAAGTTGTCTTCATAAAAATAAGAGCTTTTCCAGAAGAATTTGTTATTTGTTACTTTCTACCGTCACGAAACGTATATTGATAGAGAGAAATTGCTTCGTGCGTCCATATTCTGCAAAAGACGCAAGAATCACCGGTAGTTTTCTAAAACTTGTACCGCGACACGACAGTCTGAATCGTTTGTGTTTTCAATTTTAGCCTGTAATTGAAACACTGGTAACAAAATTGAGACAAATAAAAGATCTTCTCGAAATTATAGAAGTTAACTGTTATTGGCTAGTACTTTAGTCTAGTTCTGACAAAAATGGCCACCGACTTCAGCATCGAAGCACTGCTTGACATGCCAAGGAAAAAGAACTGCCTCTACGAAAGGAATGCAAATGGATTGAGAAGAAAGCTTTTGGAGTCACCGAATGTTGGCTTTTGTGCGTTAAAAGGTTAGTTAGTCTTTTAGCCATGATTATCTATAGTTTATACAATACAACATGTGCACATGCGTTAAAAGATTAGTAAGTTAGTCTTTTGGCCATGATTACCTATAGTTTATACAATACAACATGTGCACATGCGTTAAAAGTTTAGTAAGTTAGTCTTTTAGCCATGATTATATACTTTCTACAATACAACATGTGCACATTTACGTAAATGTAAAAAAATGCAACTTTTAACTGTTTATTGTTTGTGAAAACTATTGTGTTTTGGTAATGGTTTATTTTGATATTTCACATTGCGTTCTCTCGTCCGAGGATTTCCTTCCAAAGTGAATGAAAGCTTTGACCGTCACTTGTTCATAATGTACGGTTTCTTCTTTAGCGGATGACATAAGCAAAAACTCCGTTGCTATGCAAAATTCAAATGAAATGAGTGGCGTTTCCGAGAAAGACTTAACGACAGTTCCTGTAACGACGAGAAAGTCCATGAAACCGCGACGAAAGCGCACCGCTTTTTCCAACATTCAACTGTATTTCCTGGAGCAGTTTTTTCAAAAGAAAGCCTATCCAACGAGCCAGGAGAGAAATTTCATCGGAAGTATTCTGAACATTGGTAGCGGTCAGGTGAAGACCTGGTATCAAAATCGAAGGACAAAAATGAAAAGAAATAAGGAATTTGACCATGGTTCCGTAGAAGCACAAGAATCCGCGCCCTCTGAGAAGCTGAATGTGAATTTTGTTGGAGAAGCAGCGCATTCTCCAGGTTCACTGAAACTTTCAAACACTTTCAACATTAGTGGGAAAAATGATGAAAGCAGATTACGGAGTCATACAATTTCAAACCGACCAGATAATCATATTTCCATATCTCATTGTTACTACAAATCTACCCGTATTGCCAGCAATCTTTTAATCCAGCGGCAAAATATGTCCATAAATCATCGTTGATTCACATGAATTATTCATCGAAAACCTCTACTTTTGGCTGGGATGCAAAACAAAGAACGACAATCACTTTATATGAAAAGAAAAAGTCTTGATGTTCAGTTCAATGGCTTTTGTGTGTGCTTAAAGGTCAAATGAGTTGAAAGTTTGTATGTTGTAGGCAGTTTTTTTTTTAGTTTTACAATGAGAGAACATTGAAACGTTGCTGTTATCAAGCATTACTTGCGCATTAACATGTGTGAAGTGAATAAACAATTTTAAAATATGCGTTTCTTTGTAGCGGAAATAATCCAAGTTAAAACCACTTAGATAGAATGTAAACGATCTATGGAAATATATGTATACAAATATTTTCTTTTTATCCCGGGAAATTGTGGACTTGTAGAAACAAGTTTATATTTACCATCGAGATTACATTCTTATTCCACATGTAAAACTACATATAGTCACAGAATTCCAGTTTTCACTCAGCTGGTGTATCCACTTTGAATAAAGACAGTTTTCCTTCAGCTGGTGTATCCACTTTGAATAAAGACAGTTTGCCTTCCTTCTCGATGTGGATCAATCAGCTCAAGAGTGTCTGTGAAACTCAGTGATATCGTACAGCCATGCTCCTGAGCAATGATATTTTTTTGATGCGATGTTTACCTTTTAAAAAGGAGTTCTTTTGCCGAAAATCTTCCATCGCATTTTTTTATTCTCCATGTGCATCTTGGGAATGTTATGGATGGTTGTGCAACATACCAACGTTTAGGAAGGTTGATGTCACATACATCTTTTACAAACAAGTTAGCATAAATTCAGCGTGATGATGAAACGTCCGTAGAATAAACTAAGCTATAAACCAATTACGTTGCAACTATTTCCAGGTACTACTGAAAATATAAAAATAAAAATACTTTAAAGTGTAATAACCTCATTTCATTAAGTCGCTAAAGTTAGTTGAAACTCCGGATCCTACTGCTTTTTAAACTACGTAATCGCAGGAATTATATTGCTCACATCTTTGGACTAGTCACGCAAAGCTAAATTATATCAATTTTTTATGTCATTATGACAAGCTTCTCGTTCATTGATTGCACACTGTATTTCGTTAAAATTTTTTACTGTGTTTTTTTGATGTCGTAATCTCCTTTTAGACATCGGTCATTCGGCAACCTTGCTCAGAGTAACCTTTAGGGTAACCTTCATTAAGCATCTGCACATGTTTACAGCTTATATACTTAAGTACATTAGAGGTACTGAAAGGGTAATGTAGTACTGAGAGGGTACCCAAGTAAGCACTAAACTACAACATACGATCATGCGCAAAATTTCATGGTTATTTTTTGTGTGTCGATTTATGCTTGAAATACAAGTCAATCGCGATGACAAAAAAATGCCTCTATGCATACGTGTATATTTTGCGTTAGACTTACTGCGTTTATAGTAAATGTTTTTTAAGTGACAAGTTTATTTACGCAGCGTTTGTCTAAGCTGATTTCCAAAACGAAATGAAACCCTGGAGGTTTGTGAATGAAAATCCACTTTATTGTCTATGCATAGTGTAAATAAGTCATTTGAAAAACAGCGAAGACTAAATAGACCCCCAGTCGTGACTCGTCTTAATCCTTTTTAGCGGCGTCTTTGTGTAAGGAAGGTTTTGTATCCAACCACTCTATACAATATCATCATCGCTTTTCTATGAGTGGGTCATCGTCGTTGCGTGTTTATTTTTAGGCATCCTTTGAGCATGCGCATTATTTTATGTTTTGTTTTTCGCTTGTCTACTATTCAGTTTTTTCATCTTTTCCCAAACATGTTTGCTTCTTTGGTTTTCAAATGATCCGATATGTTATGTTTAGGGAATAGGGTGGATAGTTTTTAATTTTAAAACGAGCGAGTGAGTACGAGCTATTTTTTAAATACACTAGGAAATTGCGGTTTAAATCTCGTCTATGCTAAGACTGCGAAGCATATTGCTATAAGTACGATAAATAAAGACGTTCTTATAAATTTGATTACATCTGTGCTTTTACATGCTATTTGTTTGTCGTAAGTTAACATGTGTTATGTATATAAATTGTAAATACCACTTTTTTACATGTTGCTTGTATGGAATACTGCTGGCAAAAACAAATAGGATTATAACAACTGCGCTTGCCCATACGACGTGTTGTAATTGGATAAATAGTTTTTGGAAAAGCTGGATTCACTAAAACATCGTAATTCACATACACTAGAAGCACATAGTTTTATATATATACATAAAGTACGCTATTTCCCTTCGTATAATTACCCTCGGCTACTGTATTTAAATAAATTGCGCTATATGAAGGACATGTTGACTTGCAATTTAGTTTATCAGCGTGACGCGCCGTTTTCTAAATGCTCGAATACTTTGTCTCCGGAACCGATTCATTCTTGCGCCCGCAGGGTGTCTCGTAGCTATGCACAGCGTGCCTGTTACAAGACATTTCGTTGTAATGAAATTAAAGCACTGTTTCCGATGGCGTTTGTAAACTGTCAACGATGAATATTTAGCATTGTTCATATCAGTAGACACATAGCAAGGATCGCAGTTCTCACAAAAAGTCTTTTTTCTGTTTCTGGTTAGTGTTCGGTATCCGTTATTCAGAATGATTTATCATTTTGAAAAACAAATTCTTTTTTGTAGCACGATACTTTGTTGTAGCATTTACTTATGCACAAAACAAAGTCTTTTTTTTTGAGAAAGATTTGAGAAAGCTTCTCTGATCTCATTCCCTAAAAATCGAACATTGTCTTACACAGTCCGGCCTGTATCGCGAAATGTAATTGATTTTGTTTGTGCGACTAAGAATTTGTAAAATTCAATTTTCTCTTCACGACGAAAGCTCTACTGAGTAATTTATACTGTCCCTAAATGAAGAAGTAAATAGTGGGCGTTTAACTACTTCTAGCTTTGCTTTCTGCGCAAACGATGGGGGTTAAACTGGCAATTTGTGATTGAAAATGGAAATTAATTACTGCGATTGTTCTTGAAATTTCTACGTTTAAAAAATACCTACCCAAGTAAGAACACCCAAAAGAAATCATTAAGCGGTGAAACTCACCTGGTAGATTGTCAGTAAAGGTTCTCTGATATGTGATTATGTTAATGCTTTTTTAACCGAAGTAGTCCTATTTTGATACTTTCATTTGTTCGGGTTTCTGTAATTTTTATACGATTTTGCCGAAAGAGGCAAGTCATATTGCAAACATGTTTAAACACTCTTTATTCAAACACACCCAACTATTTGAACTGTAGGATAAAATGTACTGGTCAAAACACATGCTCAATTGTGCTTCAGATGAATACATCCAAGCATGTGTGCTGATTCTTGCCTCCATACACTTATTTTGCTATTAATGTTGCCTTACTTGGTAATCTGAACGTGCTTTATGCAAATTTAAGTATGACCTTTAAAATCCTTCACCTTGCGCGCTGGGTGTATTGGCTATAAATAAACTTATGTCAAATTTTATCGGTAAATAGCAGAGTCTGTTAAAGTTCGTTAAGAATCAAAAAGAGAGTTGTTATTAAAGAAGAAAGATAGATTAATAATGTCGTGCTAATTATTCATTCAGTACGACGGATTAGAGTAAAAAAAGACACGAAATGATGGTGAAAAATATTTTTGTGCGCGTGCTCATAACCAATCAACTTTATGGGGCTAATCCACACTTTTATTCGTTCAATTATTTCAAACTATTCTTAAAATTAGATGACTCTTATTTAGGTGTTTAATCAACGATTTGATTTGTTTAACATGATGATACAACTTATATTATACTGACTTTGGTTTTTTCGAAAACTCGCTGAAAAAAAAGGTAGAAAGCGTTGGGCATTCTTGCTTGGTTGATTATAAAATACCAACTTTCCAACATGGAAAAGTGTTCCAACATGGCAGACGGCAAACCCATGGATGTATTAAATTAAAAACATTCATTTCTCACAGTTGTCTATGATGGTAAAACAGACTGCTGTTTAACGCTTTCCAAATTCTCTTCTATTCAATTAATGAACGACATGAACTCTGAATAAATCCGTTTATGAGTCTCATCCGACAAGCAAGATATGTGTATTTTGTTTCTCCAAATGATATATGGAACCCCTTATATTGGAACAAGCCAGAAAAAACAATCGCTTTCTCTTCACTACGTGTAAAACACGTGATTCATCTCGATTTTTGCAAACGATGTGCGTTGCTTCTATCAAATTAAAGCAACGCGAACTATCAGGATTAGAGTTGTGGTTAAATTCCCATCAAGTGGATGTTTATATAGCAAAATGTATGCGTTTGTTGTCAATTATGTTTTATACCCGTGTCGGCGATTTATGTTATACAAAGGATGCGACTTTACCATTGCATACCAGGATTTCGGTGTAGATTACATCGTAATCTTGGGGGTAGTCGATTATCACAGTGAGTTCGACTGTGTAAAGTTATCGACAACACCCACAGCGGCGTTTTTTCACAGTTTTTCGAATTTTGACTTGCCGTGTGAAGATCTAATGAATGCGACGTTACACGCTGAGTGGAACGAAGAAGACCTAGCTGTATTCCTGTGGAAGATATTGAGATAAAAAACACTCAATGCTATCCGAACTTGGGAACTTTGCAGCAAAGATCAGTCATACAAGCAAGTCTACATATCATATGTGCATAGGTTGTGTAACACATTTTTACGAAGCTCGTGAAAGTGCACACAATTTACTCTTATCTTCATAAGGAGAAAAAAGATTGAGACGATGTCGTTTACTATCGAGGCCTTGCTGGGAATTCAGCCTAAAATAGAAAGTGAAAATTCTCTCGACACAAATTCCCACAGTCGTGTTATTTTTGATGAGGCAATATACGAAGATTCTGAATGTGGTGTTGGTAAGCCGAATTTTCTTGCTGTATTTAATGATTTCATCACGAACCCAGTTTTAGCGGTCAAACCTTATGTTTCATTCTGTCCTTCAATCGACGATCTGCACGTTTAAAGCATCATTGCGTCTTTCAGAAAGATAAGAGGGACAAATCTTTCTCTGATATAACACTAAAATAACCGTGCAGCAACACAATCAGTGTGAGCAATTCAGTCGGCTTTTTCACTCCTTTCAAATAAACCAAAAAACTTATGGTTTCTGGGTATTTCTTTAGCCGCTTTCTCATGAATGAGTTAAGGACGTGTTTCTAATTGGAAAACGTATGGTTAAGTCAGTCAAAGTCTTTAAACAGAGGGCTTTTCAGGTCTCAAAATTTCTGCATAATATCTTTTACTTTTGTGTAACACAACACTCGTTGGTATCGTTAGAGATTTGTAAGTTTTTGATGCAGTTATTATCTCAACAAAACTGTTATCTTGTCCTGTCTATTTTCTTTTTAATTATTGGTTGTATTCAGTCGGTTTCTATTTCACGATATGATTTTCCTTCTGGTGGAACGATGCGGTTTGGTTGGGCTTATTGACATGAAGGTTTTGTGAAGCATATAAGTACTGTAAACATATTTTATTGTTTTGCTAGAGATATCAAAAACAATCCCGCTTATTTTATAAAATGATGTATGCCAAAGACTGAGTGCTCTGTGTTTTATATCGTTTGATATCGTTATTCATTAGATATAAACAAAAACATTGATAAACTCGAAAGAGATGACGAGACAGTTCCTTGTGAAATGACGATAAACCAGACGATTGGTAAACGACGGATACAAAAGCTGAGACGACGGAGAACCGTGTTTTCAAGTATGCAGCTGCATTATCTAGAGCAGAAATTTCTTGACAATCATTATCTCACCATTCCCGAGAGGGACTCGCTTGCGCATGCTCTCAATCTCAATAGTAAACAAGTCAAAACATGGTTTCAAAATCGACGAACAAAATGGAAGCGAGATGGTTCGGTAAACTCAGGTGATCTACCCTCGACTTCGTTGAGCTCACCTCAAATGACTTCGTTTCCTGTAAATTCCTTACATATGACATCGTTACCCCTAGTGACGCCGCCGTCATCTTTTACGTCATATAAATCTATGACGTCACTTCTTGCACATCAACATGTAAAACCATCACCAGTGATGTCATCATTTCCACGTATGACATCGATCCACGGACAAACTTTGCCATTATCTGCAACAAATTATCGATATCCAATTCTTAGATTGCCTTTTTCACATCAGTCAATGGATTTTTCTCTAAAGCAAGCACGATATGCGTAGTATTAAACGTTTGTTTAACGTATCTGTAAATATAACTATATATAAATAAATACATTTGTATGGGTTGAATTTTCATTTAATTGCTGTAAATTTATATGATAAAAATGCCATTCTTGAGGAGGATATATGTTGATCTTATATAGTATGATGGGGAAGATAGGTGAGGTAGATGTTGACATTATGTAGTATGAGGAGAAAGATAGGTTGGGTAGTTGTTGATCTTATATACCATGAGGAGGAAGATAGGTGAGGTAGTTATTGACCTTATATAGCATAAGGAGGAAGATAGGTGGGGTAGTTATTGACCTTATATACCATAAGGAGAAAGATAGGTGAGGTAGATGTTGATCTTATATAGTATAAGGAGGAAGATAGGTGAGGTAGATGTTGATCTTATATAGTATGAGGAGGAAGATAGGTGGGGTAGTTATTGATCTTATATAGCATAAGAAGAAAGATAGGTAAGGTAGTTGTTGATCTTATATAGCATAAGGAGAAAGATGGGTGGGGTAGTTATTGATCTTATATAGCATAAGGAGAAAGATAGGTGGGGTAGTTATTGATCTTATATAGCATAAGGAGGAAGATGGGTGAGGTAGTTATTGATCTTAAATAGCATAAGGAGAAAGATAGGTGAGGTAGTTATTGATCTTATATAGCATAAGGAGAAAGATAGGTTGGGTAGTTGTTGATCTTATATACCATGAGGAGGAAGATAGGTGAGGTAGTTATTGACCTTATATAGCATAAGGAGGAAGTTAGATGGGGTAGTTATTGATCTTATATAGCATAAGGAGAAAGATGGGTGGGGTAGTTATTGATCTTATATAGAGGAGAAAGATGGGTGAGGTATTGATCTTATAGTATGAGGAGGAAGATAGGTGAGGTAGATGTTGATCTTATATATGAGGAGGAAGATAGGTGAGGTAGATGTTGATCTTATATAGCATAAGGAGGAAGATAGGTGAGGTAGATGTTGACATTATGTAGTATGAGGAGAAAGATAGGTGGGGTAGTTATTGATCTTATATAGCATAAGGAGAAAGATGGATGGGGTAGTTATTGATCTTATATAGCATAAGGAGAAAGATAGGTGAGGTAGTTATTGATCTTATAAAGTATGAGGAGGAAGATAGGTGAGGTAGATGTTGATCTTATATAGTATGAGGAGGAAGATAGGTGAGGTAGTTGTTGATCTTATATAGCATAAGGAGGAAGATAGGTGAGGTAGATGTTGATCTTATATAGTATGAGGAGGAAGATAGGTGAGGTAGATGTTGATCTTATATAGCATAAGGAGGAAGATAGGTGAGGTAGATGTTGACATTATGTAGTATGAGGAGAAAGATAGGTGGGGTAGTTATTGATCTTTTATAGCATAAGGAGAAAGATGGATGGTAGTTATTGATCTTATATAGCATAAGGAGAAAGATAGGTGAGGTAGTTATTGATCTTATAAAGTATGAGGAGGAAGATAGGTGAGGTAGATGTTGATCTTATATAGTATGAGGAGGAAGATATGTGAGGTAGATGTTGATCTTATATAGCATAAGGAGGAAGATAGGTGAGGTAGATGTTGACTATGAGGAGAAAGATAGGTTGGGTAGTTGTTGATCTTATATAGATAGGTTGTAGATAGGTGAGGTTGATCTTATATAGGTAGATAGGTTTGACTGGATAGCATGATGGATGGGTATATTAGGAGATCTTATTGATCTTATATGAGGAGGAAGATATGTGAGGTAGATGTTGATCTTATATAGCAGGAGGAAGATAGGTGAGGTAGATGTTGACGAGAAAGATAGGTGGGTAGTTGTTGATCTTATATACCATGAGGAGGAAGATAGGTGAGGTAGTTATTGATCTTATATAGCATAAGGAGAAAGATAGGTGAGGTAGTTATTGATCTTATATAGTATGAGGAGGAAGATAGGTGAGGTAGATGTTGACATTATGTAGTATGAGGAGAAAGATAGGTGGGGTAGTTGATCTTATATAGCATAAGGAGAAAGAGGTAGTTATTGATCTTATATAGCATAGAGAAAGATAGGTGAGGTAGTTATTGATCTTATAAAGTATGAGGAGGAAGATAGGTGAGGTAGATGTTGATCTTATATAGTATGAGGAGGAAGATAGGTGGGGTAGATGTTGATCTTAAATAGCATAAGGAGGACGATAGGTAGGTAGATGATCTTATATAGTATGAGGAAGATAGGTGAGGTAGATGTTGATCTTAAATAGCATAAGGAGGACAATAGGTGAGGTAGATGTTTATCTTATATAGTATAAGGAGGAAGATAGGTGAGGTAGATGTTGATCTTATATAGTATAAGGAGGAAGATAGGTGAGGCAGATGTTGATCTTATATAGCATAAGGAGAAAGATTGGTGAGGTAGATGTTGATCTTATATAGCATAAGGAGAAAGATTGGTGAGGTAGATGTTGATCTTATATAGTATAAGGAGGAAGATAGGTGAGGTAGATGTTGATCTTATATAGCATAAGGAGGAAGATAGGTGAGGTAGATGTTGATCTTATATAGCATAAGGAGGAAGATAGGTGAGGTAGATGTTGATCTTATATAGCATAAGGAGAAAGATTGGTGAGGTAGATGTTGATCTGATTATGAAGAAAAATATAATTTCTCTGTAAAAGTCTACTGTTGCAATTGTCGTAATCTTCTGAACAAAACATTCTTTCATTTTATCATCTATCAGGAAATTATTGTTTACTCAAGTTTTAGAATGTTGTGCACATCACGTGATCACATGGCGAGACCTTCAACATTTTTCATCGTAACGGAAACGGTCTATTTTTGTACATATGTTATCAGTGATGGAATGGGGGTTATTAGTATTGTGCAGGGTAGAAGAGAACGTTAATTGTCAATGAATGGAATGACGTTGCAAAGCTTGTGTAATCTGCGTTAAATATAAAGGTGAAGAGTAAAGATTTGCTTATTGGATTCACATATTAATGAGATATAATTTTCAAATAAACAAGATTTCAATCTACGTTTCTCACGAATGCGAACTGTCAATAAACGCGATAGCTTATATTTACTTTCTTTCAAATGTACTGCTGTGACTGGCAAAATAAACGAAAACTGATGTTATTCACTGGAGGTTTCAACCTCCCTCGTTTTTTTTTTTAATCAATATACCTGTATTGCGTGCTTGTTTAATTAGCTGTTTAGGGAAATTAATGGCTGGAATTATTGTTTTGCTAAGAATAATATCAGCAGATTGTCACGAGGTCAAAAGTTGACAGATTTTCGATAATACGATGCATGTTTAAGTTTGGAAATTTTTAAGTGTGACGTATATTCGAAGAATTTTTCGAATTTTTTCTACTGGCATGTTTTACATCTCGAATGAAGGTTATAAAATAGCGCTATGTTGCAATTGTGGTGCTGAGTATTACTTCAGGGGTAAGTTATGTACGTCCAACACAACATTAACAGACTGTGATTAAAATAAAGTTTGACTCAAAATTAACTATATATATACACATGGAGCTGTGAAACTCTGCTTCTTCTTTATCATCGATGATGTTTTTGACGTCCATTTTAGTGCGTCATTTATATTATTTAAAGACAGGAAATTGCATATTAACCGTCTTAAATCTTCAACAAAGTGTAAAAAATGATAGATTCCTTAAATGCTCGCTGATATTAAAATTCGTTGAAAAGTTTATGAGAATCTGTCTGGAAAGTAAAGAATGCTGGATCGAAATGCTGAATAGCTTCTTTCATTTCAAATGATAAGTTAGTCGCCCAATCTATAAATTTTGAATTGAATATTTGCAATTTCATTTTACATAATACTCAAGTAGGCAGTCAAGCTTCTTAATTGCTAAAGAAGAGGTCAAGCAATCGTTTTTGAAAGATTAATCCAATGGCCTCTAGTGATTACTCCTGCGTTTAATTCAATTATTTTACGAGCCAAACATTTTTCAACATTATAAATCTCGGTGATTTTCAATTTGATACTTTCCTACTTTTTGTGATGCACGAAAAACATTTAAAACATCATGTACGTCATTGATAAAAAGACACAATAGGTTTCATTTAATCTAAATTTAATGTCTGCAGTATCAGTGTTAACAAAGTTTGTGAAAATGATGTTTACATGTTAAATTAGTCCGTATGAGTTTCCTTCAAATAATACTACATTATTCTCGATTCAGATAAAAAAATATTAAGTAATACCACCAATTTTTTCAATCTTGGTATGACAGGCATTTCCAGACGTCTTGAGATGGATAAAGTAAAGGGAGGAATTTGGCTTGAATCGTTATTACCATATCATACTTTAGAATTCATTGAATGAAAGTAGTATAAGTGAATGGAGTTATTCACATCAATGGAGAAACTAATGTTGGGCAACATAGTTAATATTGATCAAATTAATCATTTGCCTGTATTTAATTCGTTTTTTCGTTCACCAGTGATGCGCATGTCACTCGTAAAATATATCATGAAGTGTCACTGTAGTGATGGAGTACTCCACTCGTTGTAATATGCCGTTCTCACAAAACCTTACTTGCGAATAACATTGCATTATAATATTGTTTAAATATATTATTTATCAGAAATATTTATTGTATACATCTAATGTTTCATCTGTGGGAACGACAGTGTCATATACCAGGAAAAAATTTATTTGAGCAAATAACAACGCTATTTACAACATCTTGATGTATTTTTATCTATACACACTAGTTCATGATCCATTCAGATCAAACTTTAACGATTCAACAAATATATGTATTATTGTATTGTTTTAGATGTACATAGGCAATAGAACGCAGTAGATGTTTATTGAGATTCTTTCACCTTTTTGCTGAGGTGCAAAATGAATTAGCTTTTGTTAGAAACACCGCGCGACTCTTGAAATAATGGGAGATGATTTGACATAAGCTTTTTACCACAATTATCACGTTTAAGGAGACAATATATGCTATGGAGAGATAAATAAGGAAGTGATGGAGTATGTGACATAAGAAAGAGAGAGAGAGGGGAAATATTGAGACGCAATCATTATCAGGTTTCGTAGCGTTGCTATCATTGAACGACTTTAACACCTTCATAGTGGGAGTTGCGGTAAAATTTATATGTGTGAAGTTTGTGAGACTAGACGGTTCGCTCTTTTCTAAGTAACTAGATTATTTTACTATTTTATTTCCGTCTTTCTAATTTTTTCATTGAAAATTCTTACCGTGAAAGAGATTTTCTCCATCACTAGAATATTCTATATTTGCATCACTCCCAATAGTCTATTCAAACTTAATACATATTTTTTTCCCTTTAACCTTTGATTCAACATTATCACCTTTTAGACGTACATAGTCATTAAAGAAAAATTATTTTTAGAGTTAAAATTTGAGATCATGCCCGGCTGGGTGTTACAATCTCCATTTAATCTCAAAGCGCAGATAAATAGGAAACGATGTCGCCATTGAAGGTGTAATATCTTCCAAGTTGATTATTCTAGTGTTTCCTTGTTGCCTATATTGAACTGTTTATGTTATCAGTCTATTATTCTTCTAAATGGACTTAACTTCTAATCTAACGATTGATGATAATTACGAATTGCGATCTCTAGCAGACAATTAAGATACTCTGCATATTTTGTTCGTGACAATGTTTCCAGCATTGTTGAAATATCTACTTAAAACATCAATTTTCGGCAAACATATATGTGCGGCTGTGTATATGTAGCACGAAATAAGCCTTTTGACAAAGTTCCCAAATCAACTGACGCGTATTTATGTAAATTTTGTCTGCTTTATGGAGAAATATTTTTCGTGAAACGTAATGTATTCAAGAAATGTTTTAGAGATATTCAGCATGCAACGCATGTTCGCAATTACTCGTTTTAATTGGGCAAATAGTTTGTAAAGCAAGGCTTGAACTTTTTGAATATCTCTATTGAACATTGTTCATCACTTTATTATATCTGTCCGTGGTTCAGAGTGTTTACCGCGCCACGATTGGCGTAAACTAAATGCGCAATTGGATTTAATCCATTTGCATTTCCGGTTTTCAATCTTACTGTAGTTGCTTAATTCTTCCGGTAAAGACGCTTGTTTGTTGAAATATGATGACTTTAATAACTATGAGCCGTTTACCGCAAGCACGCGTTTACATTAAGATTTATCAATAATAGTATGTTATAATTTAAGACTTTCACTTCCCAGAACAAACTGTAATAATGAGTTTGTTTTCCACTGCCTTAATGTAAACATTATACAGACCACTTCAAGTTTTTCCTGAAGGCCATGATGTCAAAAACGCTTTTTCTGTCCACGAGTCTTTAGATTTTTAATGAAGCAAATATTCCTGGTGCTTTATCCAGCAATTTATTGTATTAAAATTAATTTTGTCGGTGAATTTTGAATAAACTTTGCACATTTTTTTTCGTGACTTTCATATACATCCCTGAGGCTTATAAACATGTCATTACACGACTTTGTCGTAAACAGAAGTTGCTATCGTATCGAAAGTGTGACACTCATTACGACTTGGCATTTTTTTCTTGTGACTCGGTTAATTATAGATTCGAGAAAGAAAATGCTGTGAATTTCTCTAGCAGTAACGTTAGTGTTTTTGAGTTATTTTGTGGCCACGTGAAATGTTTTATTTTTACAACCACACATAACACAACTATAAACTTGTGAGGTGTTGGCCAAATTCAAGTTCAACAACTGAATGACACTATTTTGCTGACACCAAAATCTAAGCGCGATAATAACGTGTTTTCGTTTGAACACAACCCTTCTGTAAGTCAGTAACTTTTAGTAGTTTTACTTAAACACAATCTGATTTTGCACTCTCGGTGAGAAATGAATGTTTTAATCTAATGCAAAATAATTAAAAGAATATACTAGAGAGCGGTTCGAGATTGATAATCGCTGCAGGAAGCGGTCTGGTGCCCATTCATAAATCGTTGCAGGACTTTAAACAAATTTGCAGTAATAACATCGATATTTTAATGGGTTTCCATGCCATAAAATACATGCTGTGATGTATAGCGATCAAAGCTATTATAATTACTTATCCTTTGTTGTTTTGGCTAGCACGAAAAACAGCGACTCTCGCATGTGTGTGTCGTTTTTGTACATACTTTTACAAAAGATAATAATATAAATATTTTTGGAGCTTAGGAAACCGTTATTTCCTGTCATACTAATAGAAATGTTAACATCAATAAGTTTTTTCTGTAGCGTTCGACAATGCTTTCTTTTTAATTTATGAAGTTTCAATATCCGAGAAAATCCATCAACTCCTTTTTTTTTGAAGGCATTAAAATTACTAAATGGATCAATGGTATTCCATTCCTTCTGATTGCATTCATATAAACAGGCATTACCCGTACCTCAAGTGCTCTGATTTCAATGATATAGTGATTATGATATTTTAATGTCGAATTCCATGACATACTGAAATGTTATCATATATAAATCATGGAAAGAGGGAGTTATCGATTAAGAAAATTTGTTAGCGCATTATTAGATCGCACTGGCATTAGCATCTTTGACAGTTCTTTTGTCTCCCAAGTTCCTATTGATACTAGATTATCCATAATAATACCGACTTTGTGTGTACGGATAAAGGGGCATGTTTGAATAAGTCACTTGTAAATTTGGTGTCGGTCTAAACAGTCCATAATTTCCCGCCAGGCTACTAAACGGAGGTAATAAACAGTCCGTGCGGTATGGATAAATGGGATCTCGAGGTATGCGAAGTAAAGTTCCATAGTCTCCTGGAAAAGCCTGTTCCATGAATCCGTAATTTTGTGCCGTCATGTTTTGGGTCGAAATATTTTGCTTCTTCCATTTCGTGCGTCGATTTTGAAACCATGTTTTCACTTGCGTGTCGCTAAGACTCAGCGATTTTGCGAGTTTGTTTCGTTCCGAAATTGTCAAATATTTTTTGTCGTCGAATTTCTCTTCCAGTGATTTAAGTTGTGAGCTCGTAAACGCCGTACGTCTGCGACGCATTTTATGCAAATTTACCGAGTCTCTGTCCAAGTCCTCTGTGTAGGGTGAACGGGCTTCTTCGAGTTCGCTCCCACACTCGTCATCTACACATGTAAAAGAAAATATATTGTCAATTTAAGACATTATACTTATCGGAAATATTCTAGTTTGCGTTGCAGGCTATTGTATGTTTGTATATTCTTCTTGGCTTTTCTTCGAGTAAGTTAAGTATTCAAAAGGATATTTTTGACAATATCTGTGTGTTTCACAAATTGCAGTGAAGAGATTTGTGTAATTATAGCTGGCCGTTGACAAATTTTTATTGATTTTTGAACCAATGTCAAAATATTTAATTGAATGAATACTTTGGCCGTGCGATTGTATTCATAGGATCAGAGAATCAAAGATCTCGCTTGTATTATTTGAGATATACTTTTCCGTGCAACAATAGCCGACTTTGTAGATGTTGGTTTATAGTCAGGATGATGTTAGCTTAGAAGTAAAACTAACATCTTGTTTGGGCACGCATAACTTATGCTTTAAATATCTGGCAATGAAAAATCTGCTTTTGATGATGATTCGACAAAAATATTGCGCATTTACCATATTTTTATTCCTTATGTATATTGTGCGTTCGTTGCCGCTATTAAAGATACTAAATTTTTATCATAATCGTCCAAACCATGCTTACAAAACGTAATAGTTCAAGATATGAAGTCAAGATAATGCAAGTAATTGATGCGTTAAATGGTTTGATCTTCAACTTAAGCGATACAAACACACTTATGTATAAAATGCGTTCAAACACTATCACCATGACTCTATTATTTTCGATTCCATCGACTCGGTTGCATGTCACTTGAAATTTATCCATAAGCTATTATTGTCGTATCTCACAAACCTTCTTCCTCTTCTGTTTCGGTAAGTTTACGTTTCTTATTATCCACTTTGTACTCGATATTCTTATGTTTCCCGTGGTTGAACGTCTCGTGGTTTTCATACGAATGTGTGCCTAGTATGGCATTGATGCTGAACGAATTCATTTCTTCGTGAATCGATGTAGAAAGCAAAAGAAAAATTTATGCTGTTCGCGATGCGAATGTTGTTCTCGGCTGTCTGCAAGGTTGTGTCCAGGCGAGGCCCCTGATCAACTAAAGGCATACTAAACTAAAGAACTGCTCAGGTCGGTTTTCCTATTTGATATGACGCACCCTGCTGTGTAGCGCTAAGGCCGTGACCAAGTGCTTTAATTGTTTCTTAAGTGTTAAATTGTTTTCATAACAAAAAATCATTCATTTCAGATCTAACCCACGGTTAAATAAAGTTATTGCCCCCACGCGCGAAATCAATTACCATTTCGGTTCAGCATTTTGACGCACCCGTTGCTTAAGATCGACGAAGGAGTAGAAATTCTGTAAGCATATGGTTATTCACAAGTGTTTAAAAAAGGAAATTGATTCAATTTGCTCGCGACAATGATTAATAAACGATGTATCTCCTCAGACCGTTTCACACTGAATTATATTGAATATTTTCACCAGCGATACATATTAAGACGGAGTCGTTAGCATTCTATGATGTAATGCGTATTTCCTCCTTTTTAACCGAATATTTTGATATATTTATGGTTTCTTGATTACTTGATATGTTGTACTTCCTCACGAAGGTCCAAAAGAAGTGTTAAGCAAAAAAATTTGAGCTCCCGTTTTTCTGAACATTCTTTATTTTATTAGTTGATGCTGTAGATTTTTCTATACACTATAAGAAATTTTTACAAACAGACCAAAACACCATAAAAGCAGCCGAGTTCGACCTATAACAGCACGACTACACAGTCTTAAATTACTGCAATTGAAACTTCAATTTTTGATTAATTTCCCTCAAAAGGTGACTACGTAGTTATTTTATGAAGAGTCAATAGCCAAAGTACATTGTATGAATTTATTGGTTGCTTTTTTAGATGCGATATCGTGCTTCGTGACGTTATTCTCCAACTATCTTCGTTTTTTAGACATGTCCTGTTTGATTAAAAGGAAATTATACTTAAAAGTTTACAAGCAGGTTTTGTGTTATTGTTTTTATTGTTATTATACGAATTTATATACAGGATGGATACTTCGGCTTTAAAAAACAATCTATTACATCAATGTGTGTCGTGTAAATTTGCGTAGGTCATCAACAATGCCTATTAGCAATGGAGATTTTGTGGCCAATTTTCAATCAACTATTTTTAAATTTCTTTAAACTCAATAGTATGTTTGATCAGGAAGCGCTGGTGTTTTTTTACTTGTATTTGAAGCGGAGGAAATCATATACATGATAACAATGGATGAATAATAATAGAATTATAAGGAAATTAGTATTTTATTTTAATTAAAAGCAATGAAAATTAATTTGCATAGAGCACGCTATATTTTAATTTCTCGTAAGTATATGAATTTTATTAGGTCAAATCAGGTCAGAAGATGCTTTATTTTATCGAAGACTTCATGCCTTTTTCCCAAGTTTTTTTAACGTTTGAAAGATGCTTTCCTGTATTGAAAACAATTCACGTTTTCTCAAATATAACATTGGTTAATGCTTGTGCTATCTCCTATAAATATTGTTAGTGCACGGTGCTACCAAAAATCTATACAGCTGTGTTTTTCAATATCTTGGTAAGCGAATTTGTAACTAGCTCCTTTCAATCGTAGCTTACAGCGTGCGTCAACTTGTAAACGATTAAAGTAGATTAATGAAATGGTAACCGAGCCGTCGATTATAAAACTGCATCTCGTCCAGTTTTTATCGTACTATTCACTTCTTAATGGCGATTGAGGTAAATTACGATCATGATATAAAACAGATGTTTTGGCCATATCATCACGGAATAGAATTGGGATCAATTTATAATATCAGCACGATGATGCGTACCTGTCGTTTGAAAATGGTTTAAAAAACATTAGCTTTTCTGTTTATACCTTGCTGATATCAGATAGGTTATTTGTTTTGCCATTAACATTGGCCAGTTGCATGATCATCAGTATTTCAATCAGCTCATCAATTTGGACTTTGGTTAGCTGTGGTTTTTTATAGCATTTTCTCGTCATATAAATATTTCACCTTTTTTACTTGTATATTATACCTAAGAGTTCTCATTTTAGTTAAACCGGACTATTTAAGAAACGTGCCTTGTTTGACCGAAAAATTAAGGCAAGAAAAAAAACCATTTTGATTCACAAATATTCAAAACATAATGCTCTCGACAATATAACGTAAAAGACAATTGTAATGTCTATAAAGGAAAAGATCGTGCTTGCGTTGTTTATGATGATTTTTTGGTTAGCGAATGTTCTAAATTCAAAGCAAAACATCACTGTTGTCCTTGAAAGAGGAAAACCAATTACGACTTTATTGTACAGGCTGATGAATATACACAAGTGCTTATCATTCGTCATGTGTTCTCCATATGTCAAAATGTCTAGTATTAAATTGTTTGTTATATTGCTGTTTAATGTAATTAATTGTTCAGATGATTTCGGTCATTCAATCCGGCCTCCAACTATTTTGCTATTTTTCATTTTGTTGACATATATGCCATCTGCCGTATTGAAAATTAGCATTAAGTGCGTGCAAGTACTAATGCGACAACTTGCGCAACCTCAATAAAAAATTTCTTCAAGATATTTTAACACATTTTAATATCTTTTGTTTATTTGTAATGTGCTGCATCTTCACCAATTACATATGCGGTTGTATTGAAATGAATTTTTTTAATGATGGATTAAGAATGTATGTATCATATGAAGTATATTTTCATCTCAAATTTGAGACATGTAAGTGACGACAGAAGGCTAATATCAAACCATAGTTAACCTATTGTGTCCCTTGATTTTCAACCATGAAAACAAAGGCAATCTTCAATATTAACATTATGCATGTCTTCGCTTCTGTGAAACTTTAATTTTTTCAAATACTACACGGTTTCTACAATAATTTAACTCGTTTTTTCTACAGTATGTTTGCTTGGTTTCTACAATGAATTTACTCAATATTTTTATATCAAATTAGGAATTGTTAATGTTTGCACCAGATTTCAAACATTTAGGGATCGTATTCTTTGATGTTACAAATTGAGTGGGATATTTGGGTACACTTGTGTACATTATGAAATGGTGCTGTGCCGTATTTAGCAAATTGTTGCCGTATAGATGCGGAGTAATTGTTGATCGAATGTCTAACTCGGGAACTGTTATGGATCTAGGCAGAACACAAATGTTTTTTTTAAATTTAGTTCGTCTGTTTTGGAACCAGGTTTTTACTTGGTCTTCTGTCAGACTAAGTGATTTGGCAAGTTTTTCTCGCGTCTCCACACATAGATATTTCCGTTTGCGAAATGTCTCTTCTAGTTTCTTCAACTGAACGGATGTAAAAATTGTTCTGTTCCGACGCCATTTTGATGATGAACATTGATTCATCTTCAGAAAACCGTCTTCAGTTATGTAGTCACTGAGCTTGAAACCATCTTTTATATCTAATAAGGGAAAAAATAATTATTTTTCTTCTTACATTTGCTGTTTTTCCTTGTTTGTTTCCGGAGCATGTTCAAGAGTGTTAAATAATACGAATATTCCTAAGTTTTTTAAACGCGAGTGGTATGAAATAAAAGGTGATGTCGTATTCTGGAGATTACTGATTGTTAGCTTTAAAACTTAAGGTGCTTTGTATAACTATATTCTCTGTACAAAGCTGATTTTCTAATTTCAAAATGCTGTTTCTCTATCTAGCATATGCTTGGGTTTTTCAAATTCCTCGTTTGCAGGTTTGTTTTATTTGTTAAACTGAGAACATTATAAATTTATACTGTACCATTATTGTGTATTGAAGAATTCGATTGAATACTATCCATAGACGTGTAGTCTGCCGTAGTTTCTTGCATTTTTTCATATGTTTTTCCTCTCGTCGGAATGGATGAAAGAAGAGATTCCATACTAAAATATGACATAGCGTGTCTAAGGGACTTTTATATCAAATATTATTTCTTTTACCATTTATTTCAGCTAAGTGAAAGGTTGCTTCCAAAGATGAACTTGACAAATGGTTTCAGTTCAACAATCGTGAAACATCTACGGCACTGTGTCGCGATTCCTGGGTATTTACTGCCTATGGTTCGATGACTTTCATCCATTATCTCCCTACCGCAACATCGTTATAATAATGGGTTTTTAAGTCGATAAGGTATTGAGTTATGTTATTTAATTAATTGAATAATCATTTCATAATTCGAAGTGTCCAGGCAAAAGGAGGCCGAACTAATAAAAATTACTTGATAGGTAAATTAGCATAAAGCGCGCTTTGCGCATCAAGCAGAAAGACGTCACCGCTTCCGTGTGCTTCTCACTCACGCTGAAGTTGGGCGTTACTTTTGCTGTATTTAGCATAAACAATGCTGTTTTTTTTTGTCTATAAATAGTAAATGATATTGCATAGAAGGTTAACGATCGTTTACGAAATTTCGTCTGCGCTTTGCGTTGCGGTGTTTCTTTTTAAAGAGCGAAAACAAAATGGATATTGCATATGTTTAATGTACTGACGCCGAAGCAGTGAAGCCGCTTCTCAGACAACCACCTGTAGTGATAGTGAATTTTGAATTGACACAGAAGACCTGCGGAGTATGTTCAACTAATTTCAACAATAAGGCATTTTTAGCTCCTCGTAAGACCAAGGTTACGGAACATCACGGACGTAAGCACGCGGGTAAAAAAGGCATCAACACGTGATTAGTTTGTACTTATCTAAATCCTTGATCTTAATCCTTGATTTTAATCCTTGATCTTAATCCTTGATCTTAATCCTTGATTTTAATCCTTGATCTTAATCCTTGATTTTAATCCTTCATCAGTGAGGTAGCCACAGTTGTAGTTTGTTCAAAAAATGACAGCACAGAAATATCTTACTAATAACAAAGAAAAACTCAACTCCGTTTTCTTCACTTATAAAGAAACAGCTTTTGTTCGTTTAGATCATTTATGGATACCTGGATTTTCTTTATTTAAAGCAATTTTCATCCCTTTTTCAAAAGATTTTGAGTAAAGAAAAGCCGATGCATCCTTCATACGCTACGATTGCTATAGTGAAGAAAGTGTTTATAAAGAGAGAAAAGAGAAAGAATCCTATCCTAATCAACCATGAAAAATATGAACTTGAAAGACAACAAAAACAATTGTTAGAGAAGACAGCAGTTATGAAAACTTGTGGAGGAAATCACAGTCATCAAAGTTGCTAAGCAACTGTGGAAAAAAATAATACAAGTACAATATCAAAAGGTGGTTTCCTCCAACTGATGTTTTCTATGAACCAAAATTGCTTCAATGAGTTATCTATTTAGCATACTTATAACAAATAATCTTCACTTTATTTTAACATTTCATTTTATAGTTACGATAAATTCTTAGCTAGTAGGAGTTTGCTTTGAATGTGTGGTAAGTTTTTGAAACTGTTGTTGTAGACCACCAAGTGTTTGCTTGTGTTTTTGAAATTTACTTTCCAAATCTTTCACTGTTAAATCAATTCTTTCTCTAAAAATGAGGAAACAAACTTCAAACAATAAAAAATCCCATGAGTCATGTGATCACAATCTTACATTTCTTTAGAGATATAAGCGATCCGTTTTGTGACTGTATCTTTAGCTTCCACTGGATCTTGTTTGACCAGAACAGGACCAATTAATTTGTATATGGAACCTTCTTCGATGTGATTTAGTTCCTGGGTAGAATCAATAATAAGAAGCGTATAAAGTTGTGCAACATACGTTTTTCAGAGGTTTTCAAGATATACATTACCTCTAAGACTATTTTATTCTCGTTAAGCTGTGCATCCAGTTTTTGGCGATTGTTAATTGCTTTTTGTATACCTAAAAAATAGCCATTATTTTGCTTTTGCAACAGTCCACAGAACGGGGAAAGATTATTAAAATAACTCAGCAGTGTTGGTATGAAGGAGTATATAAACGTAAAAATGTTAAAAAAGCCAAGTACTTTTCTGTATTTCCTGAAAATTTCCAAGTTCTTGTTGCATATGATTTTGAAGCGATTCCACTGCAGCCGCCATTTTGAATCGAAGGTTTAGTGCTTCCACTTGGAGTATTCATTTGTAATTTGTAATTTGTTTTTTATTGTTTGTATCTTGTATGAACAGGGCTCGCAACTTAAAGTACATAAAAAATATATAATTTTCGACTGAATGATCATGTCGTATTCATTAAGGACACGTTTATATGGTATTTTTTGCTGTAAACTCCATCGAAGGCAGCTATCTACAACAAATGGGGCAAAGTCAGCAAATAGCAGAGCTCCTCTTTTGCTTGGTGCCATGCCTGTTATTTCATTTGGTCTTGGAACTTGGCAGGTTTATCGTCTTCAGTGGAAAAAACGCTTATAAAACAACTTGAAGATAGAACAATGAAGGAACCATTGGATACAAAAGATGGGTTTGTATTTCATTCATTTTAGTACAACAAATTTGTCTGATTGTGGATTCTACAATTATAAGGCAACGTTTGTTCGAAAAGTCTAGATTTTTTACAAGATGAAAATATGCAATACAGACGTGTTAAAGTAAAAGGGAGATTTGATCATTCAAAAGAATTGCACATATTTCCAAGATCGCGTAATAATGACGAGAGAGCATCAACAGGTTTAGGTATGCCTAATGCATCTGGAGCTCAAATAGTTACTCCATTGCAATTGACATCTGGGTATGTTGGATTTGTTTCCTGCAGTTTCATATAAAATGCATGGTTTACAGTTGATCTTATGTTTTACAAGTGAAAAAATCTTGGTAAACAGAGGTTGGGTTGATAGAACAAAGATGAACCCTAATACTAGACAACAAGGTCAAGTAAGTTTATGCATATTGTACTCTGGCTGCAACGCAAATTCACAGAATTCATGTAAATGTTCTAGATTGATGGAGAAGTCGAGTTTGTTGCTTTTATTCGACAAGGACAAAAACGTCCACAGTTTGTTCCGAAGAATGACATTGAAAAGAACCATTGGCATTATTGTGATCTCCAACAAATGTCCGAGGTTGCTCAAACTTTACCAATAATGGTGGATGCTGATGCAGGTTTGGAAATTATATGTCTACTTTTATATTTGACCTGTAACGAATGATGGTCAAGTAAGAGTTGTTTTGAATTTATTTTTAAAAATAAGCAAGCACTGTAGCTGGGGGACCCATTGGAGGACAGACAAGAGTTTACTTAAGGAACGAACATATGCAGTACATCATCACTTGGTAAGAATTTTTGTGAATACTGGCTAGTAGTTTTATTATGTTTTTAACATCTGTTTCCTGTGGATGCACTGGTATCTATTTGGCCTCGATACTTTGTAAAGGATCCTTGAAACTTTGTAAAGCATCGTGTTTTGATAACTTGAATCTAAGTTTACAAGATGCCCTTTTTCGGACTATGCTTTATTTTGTATAGCATGTATTCTAAATACTTTAATTTTTGCTAGGTACGGACTTTCCTTAGCAACTGCTTTGATGTTGTACAAATACATGAAGCCAAAGGGTTGGAGATGACAAGAAAATGCTTGTAAATGGGTTGATGAATCAATGAAATTTTAGAACTGTCATTGTAACAGAAAATTGTGAACTTTTTTTAATACACCAATATCATGGTTCATGTAAGAATATATCTTTATCTGGCTTTTGCTTAATTGATATTAACAATTATTGAATGATAAATGAACATCATTTGCTAACGTTGATAAAACAACGATGAACACAGGTACTTGTGAATTTCAATTTTTGAAACTTTAACGTACCAATGGTATCAAGTATGTATAAAGGGTGTACAATGATGTATAACAGTTGATAGCATTGGATGACGGTACGTGAACGATTAATGAGTGAATTATCATAAATAATTATGTTGTTAAAAATGTCCGTGTTTACGTACGTGTTTGTGGAGAAATCCTCTTCGTTGTGTATCTGGTTTTGAAGCTATTCGACTATATAGTTTATGATGGGCGTCATGAACCTTACAGGTATGTAATTTAAACAGCTACATTTATATTTTACTTTAAAATTGATGTTATTTTCTCCAATGTTTTGAGGTTGAGTTCAACAATTATGACATCAATGTAAGGCTTTCACGTCGTTTCCATACGTCGATGTTTTTTATCAATTGTTTACACGCATTCATCAAACAAATTACTGTCTGCCTGGTATTCTTTCTAATATGAAATATTGTTTGTTGTATTTAAATGGCGGCTGTATCGACTACAGCACGGTTGTATTAATAGTTGTATTCACTTCGTTCCAATGTCGAGATTAATTTAAAGTGCGTATTTTACTATTTCCTCCGATACTACATCATTCATTTCTTCCTCTTAATGTCCAATATTGCTCATAATTACATCATGCTATCATTTGTAGCTTCGCGTCGTCTCCCAAAATTCTAACTTGAACATTTATAACTCTCTTTGTTTGTATGTCAAAATGTGCCAAGACTGTCATGTTATTTTCTTATGGTAACTGTATACACTCACTGTATTTCAATGTTTGTATGCACAGCCTCTAGCATTGTTCTTGTTTATTCCATGTATACATCTTTATTAATAACTTTTTGCGTGATATTTGGAGAAATATTCTGGCAGAGAAATGATTGACTTCTGTTTGATATTTTTCTGTATGGAAATTTACAGAGCTTAGTATTTATTCTAAACGCATTACAAAACTTCAATTTTTGTGAATCACATTTTGTGCATTCAGTGGCAAAGCCAGTCGTTTTTTTTGTCGTGTAAAATTTTTAATGGTTCACTCACTGTAAAAACAAAATCTTAAAGAAATGAATAGTTCTGATAATGAAGAATTTACTGGCTGGTTATGCCACTGAGTGCATTTTAACTGAATTTTCATCTCTGAGAGAAGAATTACAAAAAACTTTAACAGCATATCTTATGCAATAAAGTTACCATAAAACAAGATAAGCATCCTATACTTTATAATAAGCTTGGGATCAGGAACAGCGACAAAATTCCTGTGTGAATGTCACACATGTGATAAAAGAACTGCCATGTAGCATTGCTCTATAACACCTTCAATGGTGATTTGTGAAATTTTATTTGAACATTTTAATAGTTTGTTGCAATTTCCAAATTGATTGTATTATTTATGTTTTGTAAAGATAGGTAATCCATAGAAGACTTTGTTTTTGTTTATAAAATCAAATGTGAACGATTAATTAATATGACCAATATGATACTGTTGAATTTTAAAAATCATTCTCAATAGGCAAAACTGTCTGCTTTAACCATTTCATTCAGGAATTGTTTCTACCAAACAATAATTTCCGTTTTAAAGGTGAATTTTCTTTCATTCATTCCATTTCCTACAATCACACTTTTTTCTCACAAGAATCAACGTATGCTGTTTTACATCACAAGTGTTTTTCATTCTATTTTGGATTAGGTATAGCTGCATTTGCACAACAAAAGACAAAAAGTCGTTAACGGTCTAAATAGCTTTTTAGTAGCGTTTCCAATTGTCCCCATCAATATTACAGAACGACTTAAAAAAAAATTTGACACACGCTGTCTTATGTTCAACCAATAAGATTTGTGAATATTGCATGCGACGCAGTCTACATTTCCACCTGTGCATACGGAGATTTATCAAAAAATCCAGGTTTGCCTTAATTACCGCGCTAAAAACTTTGAATGTATATTTCTCTCTTTTCTAATCTTCTTTTAGACATGGACGAAAGCGTTACGGAAGAAGTGGGAATTTCAGCCGCTGTTCTTTCACAATCTGTTTCTGAACAAGCTGCGGTGAGAGATATTTATTTTTATTGAACATTGTCACCTGTGCGACGAAGGGAAACACGTTTTGATGTTACACTTTGATGAACGTTTATGTTCGTTTGTGATAACTTTCTGGCTGGTAATCATGTTCTATTGGCTGAACGAGAAACCTATCTTTTATTCGCTCATGATATTCCCCAATTAAAGGCGTTAACGAAATTATTGTGAGATTATGTTTTTATTCAATAACGGATAACATTCATAAACAATGATTTGTTTTCGACAGTAGTTATTTGGTCTTAAAGAAACGCTTGCTGTTAAATATTTATTTCATGTTGAAAACTCGTCTGAACCTCTCGAAGAAAAATATATTTTTTATAGTTATGCTTTATCTTACACCACGTCCCAGTTCTATTTTTAATATTTTCTTGCAAAAACAACACTCGTCATTGTGAAGATTTCTTCGATATAATAAAGGACATCGTATTTTGCCCGCAGATGTCAAAATCACACAGATTTTTGGCAGATGAACTAGGCAATTTTCAATGTGGAACAAAAATACTGGAAATATTTGAAAACGCTGCTCGTTTAAAGCAATTGTGATGCTGACTTTTTTCAACGTGATTCTGCATGAGAAATTAAAGCAGATTTCGTTATTTTTATTTCTATTTTCTCAGTAAGTAAAAACACTGCAGAAGTCGGTCCTAAAACATAGACTCTCCCCATTTTTTTTTGGACAGAAGTCGGTCCTAAAACATAGACTCTCCCCAGTTTTTTTTGGACAGAAGTCGGTCCTAAAACATAGACTCTCCAGTTTTTGGACAGAAGTCGGTCCTAAAACATAGACTCTCCCAGTTTTTTGGACAGAAGTCGGTCCTTGAACATAGACTCTTTCCAGTTTTTTTTTGGACTGAAGTCAGTCCTTGAACATAGACTCTCCCCAGTTTTTTTTGGACAGAAGTCGGTCCTTGAACATAGACTCTTTCCAGTTTTTTTGGACAGAAGTCGGTCCTTGAACATAGACTCTTCCCAGTTTTTTGGACAGAAGTCGGTCCTTGAACATAGACTCTTCCCAGTTTTTTGGACAGAAGTCGGTCCTTGAACATAGACTCTTCCCAGTTTTTTTTGGACAGAAGTCGGTCCTTGAACATAGGCTCTTTCCAGTTGTTTATTGGACAGAAGTCGGTCCTTGAACATAGACTCTTCCCAGTTTTTTTGGACAGAAGTCGGTCCTTGAACATAGACTCTTCCCAGTTTTTTTGGACAGAAGTCGGTCCTTGAACATAGACTCTTCCCCAGTTTTTTTGGGTTGTGCTCTCCTGTTTTGAGCATGATGTAGGGAAAGTTTTTTTTTTTCATTAAAGAATGTTGCCTTGTTCACAATGCTGTAAAGAAAAATGAATATTGTTGACATAGTAATAGACGACTGCCAAAATATCTCGGCCACTGGACTGTTGTCTTCAACAAGTACAAAACTGTTGACAACACACATTGTTGTTGCCGAAAGCATGTTAAAATATAACGATGTTTTGCTTTATTAAACGTCAACTCTTGTTACTATGCATTTTGCTAACAAATGTTCTGTTTCTATCGCAGTCTCAATTGAACAGGTGTCCCGGATGTAACGAAGTTGTGTTGGATCGTCACGTGCTGAAAGTAGACGATGTGGTTTGGCATGTATGTTGTCTTAAGTGTTGTGTGTGTCAATGTGAGTTGGGTCTGGATACAATATGTTATTCCCAACAAGGACAGATCTATTGTAAAGAGGATTATGCCAGGTATGACTTATCACATGTTGAAAAATCGATGTTAATAACTCGTAAATTTTACAAATATTTCGTTCTTCATGAATTCAAATAAAAAAGTGAAAAAAGTGAAAAAAGTAAAGTGAAACAGTGATTAACGCGCCTGTGGAACCCGGCCATAACATTCCTCTTTAACTTATATGAACTTTTTTTTAGAAAATTTGGCAAAAAATGTTCCGCTTGTTTACGAAGTATCGAATGCAAGGACTATGTTCGTAAAGCCAAAACCTTAGTTTATCATTTGGATTGTTTTTCCTGCTCCGTCTGCGGAAGACAACTGGCAACAGGTGAAAGATTTATATTGGACGATAAAAAACTTTACTGTCAACTTCACTGCGCTGAATTCCTGCAAGTGGGCAGTTTTCCTCGAGGAGGCGATGGTAAAATTTTGTGTAGATTGTACATCAACTACTTTAATTAGATGAATATAATAGTTAATAAATTAATTATTAAATAATTGTGAAGCAAAGACTTTTTTGAGGCGATAAACTTTCATACTGTTTTGAATTTCGCATTTACCACAAGGAAGGACGAATATCGGCAGTTAGGAAGGACTGTTTGAAAACCAAAATTAGGACGACTATGAAAAGTTCTTCTCTATAACAACTAAAATGTAAGAGTGCTGGGTACTATTGTACTGTTATGTTTCTACTTATGGCGATTCTTGGTGAATGTTTTATACATAAAGTGAATGGTTAAGTACGATCCTGAGAAGGGGTGTTTGTGTTGTTGACTGACGTTTCAAAATCCTTATCTATAGTCATTTTGTTATCTCCAAGTATTCCTCAATTCTCAGAGTTAGTAAACTTCCTAGAGGTGTGTAACAACACGCTGCTACTCCAACTATTCCTCAATTCTCAGAGTTAGTAAACTTCCTAGAGGTGTGTAACAACACGCTACACAACAAAATATCTGATTTCAATCGACGGTATCTTTTTTTGAGACAGTCTAAATATGATGTATGAATTGTTTGTGTGCATGTTTCGAATCATCATGATGTTTAGTTGTAATTTGTTTACAGAAACTAACTCACTCAAACGGAAGCGAGTTCGAACGACATTCTCAGACGATCAATTACAAGTGTTAAACGCAAGCTTCATTGTTGATCCAAATCCCGACGGTCACGATCTTGAACGGATTGCAAAACGAACAGGACTGACGAAACGCGTTACCCAAGTGTGGTTTCAAAACTCCAGGGCCCGCTTGAAAAAGCAAACGTCGAGCAGCGGTAAAATAATAAATATTCTTTCTTTTCTTTTAGTCTTGGTGAAGAAACAAAAGTTATTAAACTTGTTCTGTTGTCTCTACAATATTTTGATTGTAGTAATCTCTCCCTCCCCCTTAGTGAAAGTGTGTTTGAGTGGAGTAACCTCCCCCTCCCCCTTAGTGAAAGTGTGTTTGAGTGGAGTAACCTCTCCCTACCCCTTAGTGAAAGTGTGTTTGAGTGGAGTAACCTCCCCCTCCCCTTAGGAAAAGTGTGTTTGAGTGGGTGAGCTCCCTCCCCTTAGTGAATGTGTGTTTGAGAGAAGTAACCTCCCCCTCCCTCTTAGTGAAAGTGTGTTTGAGTGGAGTAACATCCCTCTCCCCCTTAGTGAAAGTGTGTTTGAGTGGAGTAACTTCCCTCTCCCCCTTAGTGAAAGTGTGTTTGAGTGGAGTAACCTCCCTCCCCTTAGTGAAAGTCTGTTTGAGTGGAGTAACTTCCCCTCCCCTTAGTGAAAGTGTGTTTGAATGGAGTAACTTCCCCCTCCGCCTTAGTGAAAGTGTGTTTGAGTGGAGTAACTTCTCTCTTCCCCTTAGTGAAAGTGTGTTTGAGTGGAGTAACCTCCCCTCCCCTTAGTGAAAGTGTGTTTGAGTGGAGTAACTTCCCCTCCCCTTAGTGAAAGTGTGTTTGAATGGATCCGCCTTAGTGAAAGTGTGTTTGAATTGAGTAACTTCCCCTTAGTAAAAGTGTGTTTGAATGGAGTAACTTCCCTCTACCCCTCGGTGTACTTATTTCTAAATTATTCTGTGAACTCCCCTTGGCGTAGTTTGTTCTGCAACATTGTGGTATAAACTCCTCTATCTTTACTCATAAATGAATTTTTCCATGTTCTGGAATAATTTTCTGCGCATTTTTTCCTCATGTAGAATGAGTTCTATGACGACGAAAACCTAATTCACAATTACAAGAGAAAGGCTGTAGGTTCAAGAAACGAAATTGTGTTTCAATCTGCAAGAAAATAGTTCAAACAAGAAAGACAATGTTTGACTTTGTGTGAACGTTTGATGAGACGCTTCAATGCATAAGTTCGTCACATATTTGTATATAAATTTGACAACATATGCTTATTTTACGTTTCAAGTTGTAGTATTCATTAATCTGCATCCAACATTATAATAATTATACCTTTGGTATATTGATATTATGAAAGTCTTGCGGTTAAAACAAAACATCAGCATGTACAACTTTAGACCTTGTAACATCGGCAACACTTGTAACAGTAGTTGCTGCAAGTCAAGTCGTATTAATCTATGAAGGTCGCGTTTAAAGCACAATCTCCTGGTTTTTTTGTGGATTTTTCACATCATTTCACAAATCCTACCTCACTTGATCATTCACATAGTCCCTCAACAGCGTCAACCAGGTATGGAATTTTAATGATTAGCCATAAAACAGTTGTTTGTTTGGTAGCGCAAGAATATGTTTCTTTCGTAAAATGGTACAGTGGCCTTGCAAGGTTTTCTCGAGGAGTTTTTAATTTTCTCAAAGAATTTTTAACTCCCGGAATTTTGGCGCTTTTTTTTGTTTTGTTAAGCCAATGTTCGGAGCTCTTAATAAAGGTGGAGAGGCAATGCAGCAATTTTTTTTTTGAAATTGTTGAAGGTTGTGGAAAAATCTCGCATTTACAATCCATAAAGTTTGCAATGTATTAGTTGTTTACACTTTAAAGTAGTTTAAAGTGATATTTTTATATTTTCGAATAAAGGTGAATGAATTATAGTCTTCCAGAGTTAGGTACATGAACTATAGCCTTTGAGAGTTAGGTGTATGAACTATAGTCTTTGGGAGTTAGGTGTATGAATTCTAGTCTTTGGGAGTTAGGTGTATGGACTATAGTCTTTGAGAGTTAGGTGTATGAACTATACTCTTTGGGAGTTAGGTGTACGAACTATAGTCTTTGAGAGTTAGGTCCGTGAACTATATAGTCTTTGGTAGTTAGGTGCATGAACTCTAGTCTTTGGTAGTTAGGTGCATCAACTCTAATCTTTGGGAGTTATGTACAAGAACTATAGTCTTTGAGAGTAAGGTGCATGAATTATAGTCCTTGGGAGTTAGGTGCATGAACTATAGTCTTTAAGAATTAGGTCACACATTTTCATACCAAAGACTATAGTCTTTGTATTTTCACACATTTTCATGCCAAAGACTATAGTCTTTGCATTTTCACAGACTTTCATGTCCAAGACTATAGTCTTCTTTTTTTGACACACTTTCATGCCAAAGTTATAGTCTTTGCATTTTCACACACTTTCATGCCAAAGACTATAGTCTTTGCATTTTCTCACATTTTATGCCAAAGACTATAGTCTTTGTATTTTCACACATTTTCATGCCAAAGACTATGGTCTTTGCATTTTCACAGACTTTCATGTCAAAGACTATAGTCTTTCTTTTTTGACACACTTTCATGCCAAAGACTAGTCTAGCATTTTCACACAATTTATGGCGAAACTATAATTTTTTGAATTTTACAAATTTTGAATTTTACAAAGACTATAGTCTTTGGCATAAAAATGTGTGAAAATGCAAAGACTATAGCCTTTGGCATGAAAGTATGTGAAAATGCAAAGACCATAGTCTTTGGCATGAAAATGTGTGAAAATACGAAGGCTATAGTTTCGGCGTGAAAATGTGTGAAAATCATGATCTATAGTATTTGTCATGAAAATTGATGAAAATCATGAACTATAGTCTTTGTCATGAAAATGTGTGAAAATCATGAACTATAATCTTTTGCATGAAAATGTATGAAAATCATGAACTATAGTCTTTGTCATTAAAGTGTATGAAAATCATGAACTATAGTCTTTGGCATGAAAATGTGTGAAAATCATGAACTATAGTCTTTAACATGAAAATGCGTTAACTGTAGTCTTTGGCATGAAAATGTGTGAAATTCATGAACTATATTCTTTGTCATGAAAATGTGTGAAAATCATGAACTATAGTCTTTGGCATTAAAGTGTATGAAAATCATGAACTATATTCTTTGTCATGAAAATGTGTAAAAATCATGAACTATAGTCTAGATCGTTCATCAAATCTTTTGACATCAGTCGACATTTAGAATTTTCATGATCAGTTGTAGTTGTTCACCAAGGAGGCTTAAATGTTTGGAGTTTGCTAGTTTCTGTAGCTGACATATACGTATTTACTTATATCTGTGTTTATATTGTATTCAATTGCATTTACCGCTCTGTGGGGATTAATTACTTCTTAGTGATGAATCATGCAAATTTTAAATCTCGGCTGATTTCAAAGACATCAGTTTTTTGAGATAGGCACAATGTACAACTGACGACACACCTAGTAAATGACCAATCAGAACACACCACGTTTACGCCACACCTAGTCACTGACCAATCAGAACCCAACACGTTCGTGAGACTTAGGCCATAGTTTAAGGCAAAACCTAAGAACGTGCCATTTGAACGTGAAAGTCGGCAGATGCACGACGAATAGTTAGCTGAAGTCGAAATTATTCCTCGGTGAAATATCTCCTGATGTGCTCTGAAAAAAATGTTCAGGTAAATGTGTTGTTTCATGTTCTTTTGCACTGAGTCTGAATTAAATTGGGACGCTGCATGGGATGTTTATCTATGCAGAATGCGGTGTGGCCTTACCATAAAGTTTTCGTCTTAGTAACTTTTGTTTCTTCTATGCTTTATTTTAGACATGAACATTCTCTTAAACGACATGTAGTCATCAAATGAGTTTGAAAAACAGCAAACAAACGTTGGTGTATTTACCATGATGGTGGACTCTACAATTAAAAAAATCGCTTGTTCACAGCGGTTGAAGAGAATTGTGGCTGTTGTCGACCAGTTCCTCGACGCTCATCGAAGCATAAGAACAAAATACAATTCTGTAATTTGGTTGAAATTCTTCTTCCCTTGAACTACATTACTAGTGAATAAAATGTTCAATGTAAGTATGTTATCAATGTTTTTTTATTTATGAAAATATAGTGTGAACTGACATTAATTGGATTCATTTATCTTATGTAGAAACCTTTAATGAAATCCTCTGAGCAATGATCAAGTTAGAACAATGATCAAGAATGATGAAGTCCTCTGAACAATGATCAAGAATGGACAACATACACTCATGAGTCCTCTGAACAATGATCAAGAATGGACAATATACACTCATGAGTCCTCTGAACAATGATCAAGATTGGACAATATACTCTCATGAGTCCTCTGAACAATGATCAAGAATGGACAATATACTCTCATGAGTCCTCTGAACAATTATCAAGAATGGACAATATACTCTCATGAGTCCTCTGAACAATGATCAAGAATGAACAATATACTTTCATGAGTCCTCTGAACAATGATCAAGAATGAACAATATGCTTTCATGAAGCTGAAAAACACGTGACTTCTATTGTCCTAAAGACCATCTCTAGCAAGAATGCAAACACTATTGATGAGCAACGCACCATCAACCCAACGCCTGTTTCCATGGATTCATATTATAACCTTTTCTAAAACATTTTTCGTGGACATTTTCCTGCTAAGATCATGACTGGTCGATCAATCGCAATGATGAATAAAACCACGCCACTATCAACGCCCAAATTTCAACATTATTTAATTCAAAATTTTTCGTAATAAAAACATGGAATTTCTTTGACTTGAAAATAAAAAACCTAAAAATCCTAATTTTCCGACTGGCTGTCGATATTTCCGATTTAATGCCGTAGGCGACATGCACAGTTGCAAGAAATGGCCAATCTTGCTTCTGTGCTTGCCGTCGTCGACATTAAAGCGGGAATGTTTGTCAGGTAGCCTGAGAATTGGATACGATGGTTTCACCATCAATGTTTTTAATTTTTCAAAAAATTGTTTTGGGCTTTTTTGTGGCTGTCCTTGCTCAATATCCGATCGTTTCATCTTCATAGTTGGCAAATGATTTGTCGTTTATCGTAGTCTGTCATTGAACTGCCAAAGATTCTCTCGTCAATCTGCCAAGGATTCGTCGAAAACCGTGAGTGTAATAATAATAAACCTTTTAATTATTTAGACCTGCTAACAGGTCAAATCTCTAATATATTTTGGACAGTAGCCACAACAAATCCTGGTGCTCAGTATATTCCACATGAGGCTATTTTTTAATGCAGGAATGCAAATAAATATATTTAAAGAAATTAACATCTGCATTTTCAAAATAGTCTTGATTAAGAGGTAATAAAAATGTTCTTTCGGTTGAAATAATCCAATTGTGTTTTTTGGTGCTGCTTTAATTATATTAAAAATTTATATATTTGTAATCATGTAGTTGTATCAACTGTGTTAAGTCAGTGACTGACATGCAATTGTGTTTGTTCTATATAATTTACCTTCGAAAAACCTCTGTGTGAATATACTGATTTAAGGAGCTACGCATGATCGCAGCGGTTGTTGCCTCGCAGAAGGATAGACAGGACCATAGCTTAGAATCGGAAATGCAAGTGAAGTTTGGCCCAAGGAAGGCAACTTCAACTTGGGGTCAGTGGGTACAAATGGTACCTTAGCGTAGAGGATGCAAATAGCATCTGTAAGAAGACCTTTGAAGACTGGATCTAGCGAGCAAGACCTATTGAAGACAAAGGAAAGATGGTGGTTTTGCTGGAAAGACAAAATATCTCTCCCCTAGTACGGTAAAAGCATGCAGTCTTGCAGTTGGCCAATTTCATGAACGGCTTTCTACAGTGACTATTAAGGCACTCCTGCATGGATCCCCTATAATGCATGAGTAGTTCAACCCACCTCGGTTGGAGGTCACCCGTAGGTGCTACATGCACTAGGTTAGGTTAAGTTAAGGGCATGATGGGTTACCTCCTTCAAGGGGCATTCCTTTTCAGGGCGGAATTCCGGTGTCATGCGCAGGTAGGAAGTTTAGATAGCTTAGGCATGCGCTGTAGTTGCGGCGGGTAGTTGCTACGCTCAGGTAACGAACGTGGGGTTTGTACCTTTAAAGGATGAACCCCACTATCAAGAGAAATGAGTGAATTTTAAATGTTTGGAAGAAAACTTTCAATCTTGTCACTCATTATTAAATCGACAAATAGATACTTAAAAAAGTATTTAATTTGTTAAGACATTTACAGTTTAGGAGCGGCGTGGCAATTACTGTAAATGTGTAAAAAGGACATGT